GGTGGCTGTGCTTTTGCCCACCAATTCTGGGGCAAATCATACCCACTCGTTTTGGCCCCCAAAATATACATAAATTTCCCCGTGGGGCGCCCCTTCCCCCCCCCCCCCCCCCCCATCGGTGTCTGGATAAGGAATGAATGCCAAGGGGGCTCGCCTTCCCAGGCCAGGCCCTGGGTTGTGGGACCCTCATGCTGGCGTGGAACCCGAGTCCTTGGGCTCGCCTCAGTTCTCGCGGTTACACTCAATCTCACCTTGTTTTGGATGCCAGACGTGACAACAGATCCATGCCTTGCACTGAAACTATTCGCAAAACTGGTTCAATACCAATCGTCTCTCTCTAACCCGGGTAAGCCAGAGTGTATACTGAACAGGCAACCAATAATTTAAAGGGGGCAATCATACTTGCCTTGGACGGGTCTAGAGGTGATAATAAAGCGGACCATTGTAGATGAACTTCGGTCATGTATCCCCGTATCAAAGGAATGTTGATTAGACGTTGATTCTCGACTGTTCCCTATTTAACTGGACCTCTTTGAGGGACAGGCTTGTAGCGTAGCTCATGTCAAACATGCATTCCTGAATTAATCAACCCCTTTTCATACTTACATTTGGTTTAGAAGTCAAGCTCTGTCACGGCAGACTGCGCAGAACTCAGACACATCGGCGTATATCAATTTAGTGCCAGTAAGATTCACTTAGAAGAGACTTATAGCCTTAGACAGAGACCAGATGCCTCTGCAATAGACCGCAATGGCGCAAGGTGATGGATGCCAGGGCACAGTCTAGTTAAATAGGGCAAGTATTAAAAGGTATTACCACAAGTAGCCTCAGTACTTAGCTTACTGCGCTGTGTGACGGTTCTCAAGATAACTACGGTCGTCAGGACAGGCCCAAATCATGCCTTAGTGATATGTAGATCGCAGGTAACAGAGCCGTGAGGAATTGTTACTGATGCCCAGCCGCCCCTATTTGGGGCCTTGAAGTTTGTTTTCTGTGTAAATCACTACCGGTCCAATATTCTCTTACCCTACTCAGAATCAGGATAGCTCCTTACATCTGTTCACCCTTGCGCAGTACTTGAGAGATGGAACTTTCTGACCATGAAACAGGAGTTAGAGAACGCATGACCGAGGACCACAATTGCGTCGACACAGAACGACAAGGTCTCGATGGGCGATTCGGAAGTGCAACACCTAATCACCGTCCGCTCACACACGCCGAGGACGAGGCACACACGGACCGACGTGAAAGATAGTCCGCACCGCCGCATGGTCCGAGGTCCACTCGTTGCCCCAGTGGTTCGGCATTGGCGCAGGGTCCCCGACGACGAGCGCTTCGGACCCAAGCACCGACAGGCTCCCGCTGTAGTAGATGAAGTCGATGCGGTCCAGCGGCTCGGGCCGGCCGCCGTTGTCGAGATATATCGGCGACCAAGTGATGCCCGGCTCGGCGGCCGGGTCGGGGTGTGCCGCGCGGAAGGAATCGACCATGCCCGCCTCGGTCGGCTCGGTCGACGTGGGCCAGGGGATGTCGGCCTTGCCGCAGTTCTTCCCCCGCAGCGCCTCGGTCCAGTCCAGGTGTGACGGCGCGTTGAAGTCGCCCAGGAGCAGCACGGGCACGTCGTCCGAGCCCGCCAGCTGGTCCCGCATGGCGGCCATGGTGGCGACGATCTGCGGCGTGCGGCCAGAGACGGCCTCGCGATCCAGGACCCGCTCCGCCGTCATGTTGTCGAAGCAGAAGTCGTAGGGCCCGTAGGGGGTGTATCCGAGATGGACGTTCCAGAGGTTGATCTGGCTCGTGTCGCCATCCAGCGCGACGCGCACCGCACCGCCGTACCCGCCCTGCCGGTGCTCCGCGACGATCGGGTAGCGGCTGATGATGCCGACGTCGTCGCCCTGCCAGGCGTGCCACCCTAGCGCCCTGGCCAGGCGGGTCGCGTGCCCGCCCGTGCTCTCCTGCAGGCCAACGACGTCGGCGCCGCTGTCGAGGAGGAAGCGCACCTGCTTCCGGTGGTGGTCGTCGACCTGTGTGCCGCCGTGCCAGAGGTTGTACGTCAACACGCTCAGACGCCTCACGAGCGGCCTGCCAGAGGGTCGAACGGGTATGATAACGTCCAGGCGGGCTGTGGAGCCGTCCGGGCCGGTTGTCGCCTCGATGGACACACGCGTGCGCTTGGCCGAGGGGCCGGGGGTGCCGGAGATGGTTCCGTCGGCGTGGACCTCGACCCACTCGTCGCCGTCGCCGCCGAGGTTGACCTTTGCGAACTTGAGGGCCGGATCGCCGTCGCCGCCGCTCAGCAGGCCGCTGATCCTGGCCTCGAAGGGGTCGCCCTGGCGGGCGTTGTGCAGGGTGGCGTTGTCGACGATGAAGGAGATGGGGCCGGAATCGCGGAGGAATACTTCGATTGGCTCGGCCAGCCACTTGTAGCCGTCCTTGGCTAGGAAGAAGACCTTGTAGCTCCCGGGCTGAAGAGCGGAGACCGGCAGGTGTACGGTCCCGGCCGAGTCTGGGGCGTACTTCCACACCAGAGATGGCTCGACATATTGCTCGTGTTCGGGGCCCCCGCCGAAGGAATTGTAGAGGCCAACCCAGTTAGTGGGGTTGGGGTCGGGGGTTGAGTACTTGAAGGTGAACAGAGGTTCGTCCTCGATTAAAGAGAACGAGCCCGAGAGCTGACGGGATGATACGGTGGCACCGGCAAGCGGAACGGCTCCGAGGCCGAGGAGCAGACCAGCCAGACCTGCCGGAATCAAAGATTGGAGACGCATTGTGTAATTGTGCTTTGTTTAGAGAGTTGCAATAAACTGCTCAAGAACCCGTCAGCCCAGCGTCAATAAGAAGGAACTGGACGCCCGAGTCTCATGATTATCTCAGGCTCTTTAGTATGTGTTAACACTGAGAGGATGGGTCCTTTAAGTAGTCCTCTCTCCCGAACTCTCCCGCACCAAAGGTGTGCTCCCCCGTATTCGAGACGTCTGTGAAGCGATATCCATTGCTGTCAGGGGTATGTTATGTGCCAAGCAGATAGTCTGAAGCTTCCGCTTCGATTAGAACCAATAACACCAGTGCGTCGTTGCACGAGGCTCTTTGTAGATTTTCAGGGCACAAATCCGGCAGAGAGGTGAATAGGAGTTTGCTGATAGTTTTCGATAGCCAATTAGATGTTAATTGAGAGCTTGCAGTATACTGGCCCAACTATATGGGTTGGTCCTGCTTCGGCAGCAAAAAGGAAGCTTCGTCCAGGGTTGGTTAGCTGGTGGTAGGTTGGTGTCTTTACCTCGCACAGACCATCTGCCTGTAGAAACTTGCCTTGCAACATAGGCTTAGCTAACGCTACGCTAACTAACAATCGGCGGGTGATTAGTATAGTGGTCAGTACACCTCGTTGTGGCCGAGGAGACCCGTGTTCGATTCACGGATCGCCCATCACCCATTCTTTTTTTGGCCCTTTTTTGTTCACCTTCCAAACCTCGTTCAAAAACCATTGGGCGTGAGGTAATCTCAACTACCTATTTACCTCACACAACCTTTTTTTTTTTTTTTTTTAATTCGTCTTGGCTAACTGCAGATACCCTACCAAACTGGAAGGACGTATCATGTGTGCCTGGATATTGAGAAGAAGTGCTGGGATTTATCGACGGCCTTTTGAAAAACACGGCGTACTCGACATAATTATTTTGTTGGTACCTTGAGGCGAAGCAATTGTGAAGCTTCGATCCAACAACTTTCTCACAGACGTGGATCTGCAGCCCTGAATTCCCAAGCTTGCCGCCTCCCATCAACAACCGGGCAGGTTTGTCTAAAATCCCTGCGACTCTTGCAAACAATATGGGGCTAGGAATACCCTGCCGAAGTGTGCTGGAATGCCACAATCAGTTCACAGACGACATCAGGACTTCGGGGTGTCGGGATCATCTTCAGCGAGGAAGCCCGGCACGGGTGCTGGGCAGACAAGCTGACGCCGCCCCAAAGGTATATCTCATGGAACGGCAATCAACCATGAATTGAGGAGAATATAAGGATGCAATGACTTAATTATTGGACAATGTTGTTGTTTTATGTTGGCGCAGTCGTGATAAGTCAGGGGTAATCACCAGCTGATAATTAATAGAACTCGCATCAAGAAAATTACCTATCGCAAGCGTAGCCACCTGTTGATTACCAGAATCTAATGAGCACAAGGAGAGCTTAGATCTAATTGACAGGCTCATGGAGTATTCAGGGTTCATAGTTATTACATCTTTGATTCCTTCCTCCCTGTTGCGGTCGAAGGCCTCTTTTCAGACCCCACCTCCCCTCCCCTTTCCGTCTCTTGAGATATTAGCGTATCATTTAAGTCTACAGACATGTCGCCGTTCACTAAAACTCATCACTACCACCCATGAACAACAAAAAAATGGAGAGCGAAGGATTTTGAGATGAGGTCTTTCATTATCGGACTTGCGTGCTCGATGCACTCAAAGACGTAATTGCTGCACAGCTAGCGCAACCATGTGTCGGGATCAATAAAAACGCTGAAACGGGTCGTCAAGATAACCAGGTCAGAGACCACTTCTTATTGCCTTTACTTTCCCTACCCTCGTTCGCCGGTGTCGAGTGATCCCAAAGGTCAACTCAATTCGTAACAAGACAGAAACGCTCATCAACCAACGACGGCCATGGCATCCATTAAGGTCCCTAGAGTTGCCGTTATCGGGGCCGGGCCAGCAGGCGCGATTGCCACGGATGCGCTGGTGAGAGAGCAAGCATTCGATGTCATCCGCGTCTTCGACCGGCGGGACCAGATTGGCGGGACCTGGTAAGTTCCCTCCTGCCACTGGCCGTGGCTCCGGCGGGAAATATGATGCTGAGCTCAGGTCTGCGGGATCAAACCAGGGTCTACACGCCGCACCTCCCTGCCAGGATTCCGTCGCTGCGGGACCTGCTGGACGGCAACGCAGATGTCGCAGTCCCCATCCCTCCCGCTCTGCCGGCGGAGACGCCAAAGTCGGAGGCCATCAATAGCCACCAGGTGCGGTTCTCGGACACGGCGCAGCATGAGCACTTGCACAGTAATATTATTCCCTCCCTCATGAGCTACACGGACCGCCCGTTCCCAGACACTCTGTCCGAGCGTGTCCTGGCTCATTACGGCCCCGGCGCCCCGTTCCGTCATCGTGAGCTGATCCGTGAGTGGGTCGAGGGTATCTTCTTACGGGATGGCAATGACAGGCTCCTGGAGCTGAACACGACTGTCGAGCGAGCTGAGAAGAAGGCAGGAGAATGGGTGCTTACGCTGCGGAAGGAGACGCCGGGGAAGAACTACTGGTGGCAGGAGAGTTTCGACGCACTGGTCGTGGCCACGGGACATTATCAGGTTCCATGGTTTCCAACCATCCCAGGGCTTGTTGAATACGACGAGCGATTTCCTGGTCGTGTACTTCACAGTAAGCACTTTCGCGACGGGACCAAGTTCAAGGGCAAGGTAAAACACCCCATTCCAAAAAAAAAGGCCGAAAAAGAGAATAAAAAATAGCAACCACAGTGTCACTGACGACCTGTCTTCAGCGCGTGCTGGTCGTTGGGGCTTCGATCTCCTCTCACGAGATTCTCCACGAAGCTCTTCCCCACGCACAGCATCCGGTCTACGCCTCGATACGAGGCGAGCCCCTCCCGGCCTTCGGCTGGGCGCCCTTCAAGCATCCGCACATTGCCGTCAAGAAGGAGATTAGCCGCCTCGACCCTCAAACGGGCCGCATTTTCTTCGCGGATGGCACCCACGTCGACGGCGTCGACTACGTCGTGTTCGGCACGGGGTTCACCTTCAGCCTGCCGTGGTTGCCACACGTGCAGGAGAGGATCAAGACGGCATACCGCCGACTGCCGGGCGTGTATCAACACACATGGGATATAGAGGATCCAACGTTGACGTTCGTTGGCATGGTGAGGCGACCCCCACCCCCATTTTGCCCCAACCAGCACAAGACAAGTCAAATCAGGCGTATCTGACAGACAACAGCTCGGCGGAGGTTTCACCTTCCGCGTATACGAATGGCAAGCCGTGGCGGTAGCGCGGCACCTCGCGGGGCGGGCGCGACCTCTGCCCCCGGCGGCGGAGCAGCGGGCCTGGGAGCGGGATCGGGCGGCGCGGCTCCGGGGCGGCAAGGACTACTACTCGATAGCGCCCGACTACGAGGCCTTCTTCGAGCTGCTGCGGGGCATCGCCGGGGATCCGGCCCCGGGGACGGCCGGGCGGGTGCTGCCGCCCTTTGAGCGGGCGTGGCTGGACGTGTGGGCGGGGATGACGGCGCCCAAGATCCGGAGGTGGGAGGTGGAGAGGGAGAAGGCTGAGAAGGAGGAGGAGCGGTTGAAGACCAAGGTGAAGGCGCGACTGTAGGCGGAAAAGGATGACCGGAAGGTTGGTCTTGTAACTTGGACTGTGAATCTACCTGGTCTTGCATACGCAGCATTATATGCTTTCGGTGCCAATTGATAGGTATGATGCTTTTGGCAGGGTATCGGTTTGTCGAAACGAGGCAAGGTTGAACCCCTATTTCCTAGCAATATCAATATCAAAATATACCTCTCCTTTCCTCTTGACGTCGTATACAAAGTCGAGACTAGGAGTTTGAGTTTGCTCGTCAGAATGATGTATTGGCAGCGAGGAACTGTTCGATACTGCTCATCCACATACTCAACGGGGCGTAGATGCTACCTTGTGCTTCACTTACATCTCTCTAGAGCTGGCAAAGGAACAATTATGGGATCATGGCTTCGAGTGCTCTACCTGTGATTGGTGACCTCAGTCTGAACGATGATGCGCAGCAATACACCGGCTACTGTAACGTGTGTGACTAGGAACAAGCCTGACCAGAACAAGCTTTCTTGGGATAAATCCGTGAGCTTGGGTCAAAGACCCTTACAGTACCAGCGTACCTGGCCGAAGGAAGTGATGAACAGGCAATGGATAGAACGGTGACCCGAGTACTTGGGCAGCATGACGTCATACCAGCATGGACAATCGGGTTGGGGCGTCACTCCCCCCCAGGCATCTCGTCATTGTGCCCTCACCTTCGGGAAACCTCCGAATCATCTACCCGTTAAAATTCGGGCAGCCCGGAAAACCGGAAGAGGGACAAGCAACTTCCGTGGGGGTTGTCCCTGGTCAGTTGCACCGATTGCTGGTGTTGTGTGCTGTCGGCCGATAACCGGACTGTCTGACTCGACGACAAGGTAGCCTTGGGCAGAGATGACTCGTGATCAGGTTGTTGGCAGGAGGCGTATTTTTAGAGGCTTGGATATTGCGGACGGGCACGTGGCGAGGTGCTGTGGGGAGTGACTCAGCTGACAGTGCGAGCTCAGTTGGGAAGCGGGCGGCGGGTTCAACTACCTACTATGTAGTAGCATGTGAACCTATTGAGACGGAATTTGTGGCATGGACGCAGGAAGGAGGGATGGACAGCCGCTGCGTTGTCACGAGATAACTCACTCACATCAATCGGTTCCCTCCTCTCGCTTCTACAGAATAGAAATACCAACTAGGAAGGAGCTGAAAACGCATATCGAGACCCAACCCGCAGCGCGGCCAAGGCCAAAGCGGCACTGCGCAGATGGAATGCGGAATTCCCGAACAAGCAACTGTCAGGCTGACATGGAGGCTCCCAGCTGCTGCTTATTGCGGCGTATTTTGTCCCATCGGGCACACGTTACATGATCCCAAGGTTGGGGGGAAGGGGTAGGCGGGTAGGGTACCTAGATAAATAAATGGCCATCTCCGATCCTCGACTCGGTGGATTGTCGCATTTTGTCTTGCTCTGGTTGCCACCCTCAGTCAGTCAGCCCTACCCGATGCCCGATGCGCACATTCCTGTCGAGCTGGGCAAATTTGAGTCGCAGGGGAACGAGATACGAGATCAGATCGATCAAACACACTGCCAAGCCAGGTACCCCCTCGGTCAGTGGCACTGCGTCATCATCACGATTGGGGAGTCAGGATATCGAGGCAAATCCAGCCACGGGTGGCGGTATCCAAGTTTTTGGCCTGTTAACTTCCATCCCCAAACCCGTAAAAGCGACATTCCTCGTCATACACTTCCCGGACGAAAATACCTTGGACCTTACTTGACTTGGTGACTTGGTTGATCGGAAACCTGGAAGCGCGTCTTGGCCAACCGACCGACCCGGCCAAGTGACCTCCTATTTATTTGTCGCCGCGGCCAGTCTCGCCCACACGCGCATAAGGGCAGATGATTCAGCGCACCCGTGTCTTTTTCTTGAGGCCACCGAGAAAATCGCCATTTCCCGATTGCAAGCACATGATTGATTGCTGATTTTTTTTATCCGTTCCTCTTGTCTCCCAGTTTCATCTGTCCGTACGTCTGTGGTTCTCTCGCCCTTTTCAGGACTTGCGACTTCCTGTCTCCGTTCTGCGAACTCCCGTCTTCCTTTTTTGGACCCCGGAAACCTCTACCAACGACCAACAGCCGAACCGGGCAGCCCAGGACCATCAGCCTCCGAAGGGTCCAGCCTGGTCCAGCCACTCCAGCCTATAATACCCCGCGTTTTACGCCCGGTCGCGCCCCCAACCGGCCCAACCTTGCAGGCTAGGCTAGGCTACAACGCGTACCCCAGGCAAAGGGTTTCCACCGGAGCATCGGATCCAATCACCCGATTCCAATTAATATCAGCTGTTGCCTCCCAGCCTGGCCTCGATCGCCTCAACATTGTCCATCCTTCATTCACTGTCACTTGCTGGTCAAGTTTTGTGCGGCCTGTCTCAGCTGCAGCGACGCAACACGCCAAGTCTCCTTGTTTGCCTGTTCACTTCACACACAGAAGAAGCAGGCGGAGGCCTGGTTTAACTACCTACGCTGATCCAATTTTAATGCCACGGAAATTCACATCTTCAACCTTCGCACAACCGTCTACAAAGGCTGAACACCCTTCAGCCTGGCAGCAACGCAACGACACTATTTTCTCCACTCCAGTCGCATATCAATCTCATCTTCAACCGATCTTTACCAACGTCCACCCACCATGCCGTCGCCACAAAACCCGCCACCCGGGTACACAACCCGTCCCTATCTCCTCGTCCCAAATTTCCACGTTACCGATCCATCAGTCTGCGAGATGGGCCTCGGAGACCATCCGTGGATGGTCGCTACTGTCATCGAGGACGACGACCTGATGTTTGGCGGCAAACCCCTCAGTACCTGGTACGAGGAGGAACGGAGGCGACAGAGCATGGGCAGCAGCGACGAGGAGGAGGAGCGCAGGGGACGCACGCGAGACCGGCCGAGGGCATGTCACGATGGCCATGACCATAAAAACCGCCATCACGGACACAAGGCTAACAAGGAGGCAAAATAACCTGCATCGCCTCCGCAACCCGTGCCGGGCGGCCATCTTGCTTGCCCGCCCTCTCCGGTCCTGACCGACCGTTATCGCCACCTCGGAAATTTGTGTTCGGTCTGCTAGACGCGCCCACCTATGGTTGATCGTCTCGGCCAGACGCCTCTTGGGACAGCATGACGGATATACACGAATGCCGGACTGGCGCACAACACAATTCTTTGGGCGCATGGGCGGAAAGGGGTTGCCCATGACTCTGTTTCGGTGTTTTACGAGCACACTCTGATACCCTGATACCCCATACCCCCTCCCACTCTCAACTTATCTTTGGTTGATAATCCGGAGCTTGGAGGACAATTATCTGCCCCACGTCTTATGGTATTCTCTGGCTGTGCGCTGGCTATCGCGCGGCTTGCGCTTCCTCTCTTCAGTTTTTCCTTGGGCGTACGTACATACAAGATGGCGTCACGCAAAGAACCTTCAACCTTGGACTCTTCTGTCTTGCATTGCATTGCATCTGCATCATTACACACGGAACATTTTCGAATTTTTACCTCCATCGTATTCGGAAGGGGAACGAACCTTCTCTCGCTTGGCCTATCCTGGCTGCATGATACCCTTTTCGCATTAGAAGCTCTTGGGTCTGGTCTGGGGAGGGGACACTAGATGGGTCTCCTGCCTCGCCGGCACATGGGAGTTGTTCACGATGGTTTCGCGTCTTTGTCGCACCATCGGTTGTCATATTATGGGAATCGTATATATATCCCATCCCATGTTAGCAGGACTTTCACATCCGTTTGGGAGCTATCTACCTAGGTTGATAGCTATTAATAAACTGCTGGCAAGATCCCTTTTATTAAACCTTCGCCAATATGGCTACTGCTTGTAGCCTACCTGGGTGACCCTTGACGACTAGTTTCCACCCCGGGGCTAAGACTACGCATGCAGTGAGTAAGAAGAAGTAATTCATTGGCCAAAATACAAGCCGGCAGCGACATACACCCCGCCGCTGGTCAGGGACAGCTTCCGCTTGTTATCGACCTCAATGCCTCCTCCAATTCCAAGCTGGAACCAGGCACGGAATGACCTCCACAAGGACTACCATCTCCCCCCGCGCCACACGTACGAGGACGTGAGGGAGTGGGACACGCTCATCCCTTACTACATCACTGACCACGACGTGTATGCGCCTGCTGATGCGGGGCTGGACCAACGAAGACGCAGAGGCGAGCATCATCACTGACGTTGGCGCCACGCTGGACGATCTGTGGGTACTGTACTGCCGCCGTGGCGTCTCATCAACGCGCCGGAGAACCACCGGGTCCTAGGCGAGCCTGGAGAGTCCACCGCCGTCCCAGCCTCGGCCATACACGGGGGAGAAGCGAGGCGAACGCCGGGTCTACGATAACGACCAGGATGACCCCGAGCTTAGATACTGGTGCTCCCTCGCTGGCACCGCCGAGAGCATGCACCACCAGTACAAGATCAGCGGGAAGCAGGGTCGCAACACGTGGCAGACGGCGCAGCGCGGCGGGGAGGGTGAGCCGTTCCACTACACTGTAAGACGTGGTCGGGTTTGCGGAGGTGCCGGGCGTCATCGCTGAGGCCAGGACGGAGGTCTACCGTAAGTGGGGCTGTGATACCTGCGACCTTGTGGAAGCTCGATAGGCATTAGGTCTAGTGATATCGATCAATGTTAACTATCAGCTACTTCCAAGGTCTTTTCTCACCGCCGAAATAAATGGTTCTGTAACTTTGGCGACCCTGTCCCAGTGGGAGAAGAATATCAGCACGGATACCCCTGTGGATGGCGGGGCAGAATATATCACGTGCCTTGGCCCATGCTCAGACTACTCCCCCTCTGACGACGACGGTGGGTCAATCTGCGATCCAACCCACCAACAATCAACGTCGCCTCACGTCGCAGGCCAGCCCGACCTACGGTAGCTTTGATCTCTCGAGCTGCCTTCTAAGCCTCCCAGATACGACACCTCCCCCGAACGTCGAACCTGCGAACGAGCAGCTGTCAAGATGGCTACTCCGCCAATCGGTACGAGTTTCCCAATCCAGCAACTTTCCCCGCGGTCCGAAGCGCGGGGGAACAGAAGCGGGAGCTCCCATACTGCTCCAGGCAAACACGCAACGGCTAACACTCTCCTCTCCTGACAGTCCTCGATGGCGGCACAGGTATGACTACTGCAACAAAGCGAGAAAAGGCCCAAGGCCATCTGCTCTGACGATTTCCAAAGGGTTTCTCAAGGTTGGCTATGCGGGCCAGAACGTGCGTGCTTGTTTCATCCGTCTCATCCGTCTCCGAGTCCTTTTCCCGCTTAAACTATCTTCTCGGCCTCTGACTCCTTGCCGGGAGGATGCGTTGGAGCCCGATGGATGCTAATGAGTACCAGTTTCCTGAGCATCAGTTTCCCAGTATCGTCGGCCGGCCGATCCTCCGATCCGAAGAGCAGGGCGACAGCGAAGTGGTGATCAAGGTACAGAAGCCAACACCCGGGGAAAACCAGCCGCAGCTGGAGGGCTATCGATTATCAATGGTTCTCAGAGACTGAACGCAGGCAGGACATAATGATCGGCGACGAGGCCGCCGCCGCCCGGAACATGCTGCAGATCTCCTATGTACGTTCTCCCAGGCTCGAGCCTTCCTCCAGTTGTCAAGAAAGAGAGCACTGACAAGGTGGACAGCCCATGGAAAACGGTACGCATCTGGGGAGAGCAGGATAATACCGAGGAGGCATCACACTGACCAACCCGCGGCGCAGGTGTGATAAAGCTCTGGGAGGACATGCAGCACGTCTGGGACTGTGAGACTTCCTTCGTTTTGTTTTCCCTGTTTTGTTTTTTCTCCCTTTGGGACACAGTCGAGAGAGTCTGGGGGCTGCTGGAAATTCGGGAGCACGGCACTTTGGCATCATCATGACCGCCCGCGTCTCTGTTCTCTAATGGCCCCCGAACACGTCCCAAGTCGCACTCTTGTAGCTATGGTGAGAAAGCTAACTCTTCGCACAGACACATTCCACGACAAGCTCAAAGTAGACACGACCGGCCGGAAGATCCTGGTGGGTTGCCATTTTCCCCCATGGGCAACCGTTGAACTTGAAGTGGAAACTAACCTTGCCACAGCTCACCGAACCACCGGCGAACCCTCTGAAAAACAGAGAGGGCATGTGTCAAGTCATGTTCGAGTCAGTATTTCCCTTTTTATGTCTCCTTTCATTGAAGTTGTGTACGGCATCTGCTGACCACGAAGGCAGGCGGTACCAATTTGGCGGGGTATACGTGGCGATCCAGGCCGTTCTTGCTCTCTACGCCCAGGGACTTTCATCAGGGGTGGTCGTGGACTCGGGCGATGGTGTCACTCACATTGTTCCCGTCTACGAATCCGTCGTCCTCAACCACCTCACGAAGCGCCTCGACGTTGCTGGCCGAGTACGGAATCCCCATTTTGCGCCTTGGGGATGAGATGTCTGACGAAACTGAACAGGACGTCACGCGTAATTTGATCGCGCTCCTCCTTCGCCGAGGCTACGCTCTCAACCGGACGGCCGATTTCGAGACCGTCCGCCAGATCAAGGAAAAACTGTGCTACGTATCGTACGATCTTGAGCTTGATAAACGGCTCAGCGAGGATACCACGGTCCTGGTCGAATCCTACACGCTCCCCGACGGCCGCGTTATCCGCGTGGGTTCCGAGCGCTTTGAGGCCCCTGAGTGCCTGTTCCAACCGCACTTGATCGATTGCGAGCAGCCTGGTATCGCCGAGTTCCTGTTCAACACGATTCAGTCCGCCGATGTCGACGTCCGCTCTAGCTTGTTCAAGGCCATTGTCCTGTCGGGCGGTAGCAGCATGTACCCTGGTTTGCCTTCGCGGCTTGAGAAGGAGCTCAAGCAGCTATGGCTGACGCGTGTCCTGAACGGCAACCCCGAGAGGCTTTCGAAGTTCAAGGTGAGTCGACTTTCTTTGCTTTGAAACTCCCGTGTCGGGACTCCCTCGGGAATTCTCGGGAGGTCTAAGTACTCCCGAGACAACTGTTTTCCCTCCTCGTTTCTTCTCTACCCCCGAAGTGCTCTCTCGGAATGCTGGAAAGCGGGATCATTCCCATCTCTCGATCGACTTCCCCGAAGAGCATGACGCGGTCGAGCGGCCGCGACCCCCCACCACCTGCCGAGGAGTCACAGACAGCAAAGCTGACATGAACCACACAGGTCAGGATAGAAGACCCGCCACGCAGGCGGCACATGGTGTAAGGACAATTCCCCAATAGCGCCCGAGTTCTCTCCATGTGGAAGCAATGACTGACTGACATGACTATTTGAACAGCTTCCTCGGCGGTGCGGTGCTGGCAAACATCATGGCAGACAAGGAATCGATGTGGATCACGAAGCAGGAGTGGGAGGAGCAGGGGCCGCGGATACTGGAGAAGTTGGGCCCGAGATAGGGAGAGACATGAGAGCGGGGGGCAAGCATGCTTGCTGGCTTTGGAACTCTCTTTTATCAGTCTACCTGGAGACAGGACCTTTTAAAATGGCATCACAAAATTCCGAGATCGACATTCCAGGCCTGCAGACGTGCAGGGAGGAATGGTCTGCTCTAGAATTAACAGGCAGCTGGTCTCTGTCTTGGTGAATAGCTTCTGTACAGCAGCCCTCCCTTCCTCCACCCTCCTTTTTTTGTGGTGCCGGTTCACATATTTCGACACGAAAGACTGTTGATATTTTCGTGATCCCGTGCTGAGCGTCACGTCTGATGCTCCAGCCCAGCGTAGACTCAAGGGTCAGACTTTCCTGAAGAGAGCGAAGGAATCGGGTTCTCCACCTTGGATTCGGAGTCCCTGGAGTGGGCGACCACGCTGGCTGGACGGAGACCGTCCTGGACCTCCCGTGCCAGACTCGTCGGCTGCCTCCTCCAGCGTTAGCCTCTTCTCGTCCAACTCAACAAACACATCTAGATGGATGTAGTCAGTGTCGTCGTCTGTCGGAGATTAGATTGATAGGTCATAATTGGCTGCTATCGTGCCACGAAGGGCCTGTGCGAGATTGAACTGTTAGCGAGTGTTATCTGGTCTCGGTAGATGCTGTTGATTTGATCATTTGTTGCAAGAGAAAAAAGGGGCGTACGAGAGGGACTCTCTGCGCAACTCTTGAAGTTAGGCTGACTAACGCAGGAAAGCCCCTTCGGTTTTATCTACTGCACCCAAGGAACTAACTAACTGCCGCGTCAAGTCTTGGTCTTTTCAGGAGAACCCTGGTACTTTTATTTTGTAGCTAGCCCGATCGGTCTGAGTCCTTGGACGATGGGTGATTCACTTGTATCGTGAGAAAGGGGCTGTCTCGAAGTAGGATTGGTCCCAGGCTATCGAGGTTGTACATACTATTAAAGAGTGTGTTCAGCTACTTCGGCACGAACGATTGATGCGTAGGGGTTGCAAGGCAACCCCATCCCATCCATGTGGATCATTGATACTCCCCACGATCGTGATGATTTGGTCGGTCTGGCCATCCGAATCCTCTCGCACGTCCTATCGGTTGTGTTGCCGTTAGCTCACGATTGGACCCTTGGCTGCCTACGTCCGAGCGAGGGCGGACGGTTGACGGAGTTCGGGTGCCTTCCGAAGACCGTAGGTATAACAGCAGACATGTGCCGACGTCTGTGCCCAGAGCCAGTCTTTGAAAAGGGGGCTTTGCCACCCTCCCTCATCAGTGATCACGAGCAATATTCATGCAGGAGTCAAGCTAGCCCAGCTGCTGCATAACTACCCATGAGGCAGCCTTGTGGGAAATTCTTAATCCACGTGCTTTATACACGGGGCACGGCACTTCCGGATGCATCTAAAATAGCATCGACACTTCTACGTCGTACTAGGTGGATCTAATTGTGCAAGTAATTGCAGGATCGATCTCTCCTCTTGCCACCATCGTTGGTAGAAAATAGGCGGGGTTTCCCTAGATGAGGTGCCAAGGATTAAGAGACAGCTAGTTGACTGACTCCTTGATTGCCATTCTTTGTCTCTTCCATACGTGGGTAGACAAGACTCATCGGTTGACGTATGGTATGTATGGTATATACAGTACAACGCAATGAATCTCAACGATGACTCCCTCACAGCCGCCTGTCTGGTCTGGTCTGGTCTGGGCAAAAGGACCCCCCAAACAACGTTCCATTGCATGGTGTGGCCCCAACCCGGTAGCCTGGGACTGGGCGTGGGAGCGGGAGCCTCATCCCCAAATCATCCCCAAATCATCCCCAAAACATCAGGTCTGCACAGTAACTGCCGCGTCAGGGACGGAAGGCCAGACCTACTAGCGCCTCTTGGGCTCTCTGTGTAATAGTTTATGTAACTTCGGAGATATGTGTGGGCCATGGGCTGAAGAGACTATTGACAAAAATACACATTCCGGATCCCGGCCGAGAACCGACTAAAAACACCAAGCAACCAATCGCCGCGACGACAATGGATCATACGAAACCCTACAAACCCTACAAACCCATCAGGCTAAACTGCAATGCGTAGAGCGGCCATCTACGTCCCATCGACCCCAGGTTGCGCTTTCCCCGCATGGGGGAAGTTGGGGTAAGAACGCCAAGGAGCTATTCACACATCGGCAACAAGAAATTCTTCTGCTGTATCTTTCGGCATTTACATGGGTGGATGGGGCCCCTATGGGGCCGGACGCGTTTTTCAATGTAAAAGAGAGCTGCTTCCTCTTCTCTCTTCCTTCGTTTCTCCACGCTTTGGAGTCAAATTCAAGCCTCAAACGAACCTCAAGAGGAGCGAGGGAAAGAAGCCATCTCGAACCAGTTAACCACTTGCACTTCTCCTCCCTTCCTTTCTCGTCCGAACCCGAAGTTCGCCATGGCTCCTGCCGCGGATAAAGAGACCATCCGCGCCAATTGGCGGTGCTTCGTGGCCTGCGGCTTCATTGTCCTGTGCCCCATCCAGTATGGCCTCGACTTCGGCCTGATCGGTGGCCTCCAGGCCATGGTCGGCTTCCTCAAGGTTTGTTGAGCCTCTTCCCCTTCCCCTCCCCCTCCTCCTGCATCCCTTCCCTGGTGTGCCCGGGGGCCCGCGGGGCGGCTCAATTACTGTGGCTAAAAACCCGGGAACAGATCTACGGCTATGAGAACCCCAACACGGTCATTGGCTGGAACATCACCCCGGTCCGGCAGCAGCTCATCTCGTCGCTCATGACCCTCGGCGCCTTCATCAGCTCCGGCACCGCCGGCGTGATCGCCGGCTATCTCGGCCGCAAGTCGTGCCTGTGGGTCGCCTGCGCGGCCTGCATTGTCTCCAACGTGATTATGATGGCCACCACCGACATTGGCGCCCTCTACGTCGGCCGCCTGATCATTGGCCTGGCCAACGGCTACTTCATGACCTTCTCTCAGCTCTACATCCAGGAGAGTAGCCCGGCCAAGTACCGCGGTCTCTTCCTTACCGCCTTCCAGTTCTGCACCTCTTTCGTGAGTTCCTCCCAAATTCGATATCTTCTTGGTGGGCCATCGCTGACGACAGTCCCTCCTCCCTCCAGGGCACCCTCGTTGGAACCATCATCGACTGGGCGACGGCCAAGAGACCGGACAAGTCAGCGTACTTGATCCCGCTGGGCCTCATCTACGTCGTGCCCATCTTCCTGATCATCGCCATGTTCTTCATCCCCGAGTCTCCTCGCTGGCTCATCCAGCAGGGCAAGTTCGAGGACGGCCGCAAGTCTCTCGCCTGGCTGCGCCCCGACGGCGCCGACGTCGACTCGGAGCTCGACGAGATCCGCGTCGCCCTTGAGCGCGAGCGCGAGGAGGGCAGCGGCATCGCCATCTTGGACATGTTCGCGAACCCAGTCGACCGGAGGCGCACCTTCCTGTCCGTCTGCGCTGTCACCCTGCAGGCCGCTTCTGGGTCCATGTTCATCATCGGTGAGTTTAATTGCTCGAATCTACCCTGGAAAAAATGCTAACCGGCTTGTCTTCGTCTCCAGCTTACAAGGCATACTTCCTCGCCATGGCCAAGGTCTCCAACCCCTTCGGCATGACCTGCGTCCTCAGCGCTGTCGGCCTAACGGCCATCATGGTCAACTCCCTGATCGTCGTCCGCTACGGCCGCCGCCGCGTCCTGATCTTGACCGGCCTGGTCACCTGCGGTTTCCTGCAGCTCATCATCGCCGTCGTCTACGACAAGAAGCCGGGCAACATCATCACGGGCCGCGTCATCGTTGCCCTGACGTCCCTGTACATGTTCAGCTACAACGTGAGTTTGACACTTTTGACACGCTTAACGCCAGAACAAGACAGCGGTAAACTGACGAGAGACCCCGAAAAACAGGGAATGATTGCCACCTACGCCTGGCTCGCGGGCGGCGAGCTCCCGTCGCAGCGCCTCCGCAGCTACACGTTCGGCCTCGCCGCCGCCGTGGGCTTCTTCTTCGCCTGGCTCACCACCTTCACGGCTCCCTACTTCATCAACCCGGATTCGCTCAACTGGGGCCCCAAGTACGGCTACATCTGGTTCCCCTCATGCATCATCGGCGCCCTCTGGGTCTTCTTCTTCCTGCCCGAGGTCAAGGGCCGCACCCTCGAGGAGATCGACGAGATGGTATGTCCTTTCCCACCCCCCGCCAGCCTGCCGCGGAGCAATCTGGGTTCTTCATATGGTCTGCTAACACTCTCCCAGTTCGCTGCCAAGATCCCCGCCCGGAAGTTCCGCACCTACGTCTGCATCGGCCGTGCCGCCGTCGACGAGAAGAACGCAGAAGACGCCTGGGAGAGCGAGAAGGTATGCACAGCCACGCCCCCCAATTTGTTGTCCACCCCGACCTAACTTGGGACTTTCCCCCCACTTAACAGGCAGCCACCGCAACCGTCGAGGAGACAAATGCCGTCGAGCCAGCGAGTGTCGTCACCCCCGCCGCGAAGTAAATTCAGAAAATTGCTACGACGAGAATCGTTTTGGGGAGGTGGTTGATACGTGCGTGGCATCTATGGATGGGCCCTTCAAACGTTTAGACTGCCATGTTTTCTGTTGTCATACACACAGAAACCCGCAGCAATTAGCGATGGAGTCCTGGCTGGCTAGGGGTTGAAACGGATAGGAGAAGATGATAATATACACCCCATTTTTGCTTGGAGATGTATTTGTCGAAACGAATCGCAAACCCCGTTTCGCTACCCTTTGTATTCTTTTTTTGATCATTCCTCTTTTAATTCCCTGTGCAGGTCTGCTGGCCTCCCTGGATCGTAGTAGGACCTGTCCCCACCGTCTGAGGGGGGGTCAACCAACAGCCTCTTTCCATTCATTCACACCGATCTTGGCCAGACCCGAGTGCCTCTCTTGCACCTATGTTGTAAGTCGACAATTAGTAGATACGCTGTGGCGGATCTCCCTCGTGGTGTAAGCCTGCCCTGGAGGGATCCCGTGTCGGCTGGCCCCTCACGCTTGGCATCCTCAGGCCCCAGGAACCACAATACCCCCTGACCTTTCACGATGGGACAGCAGTTGACGCAACACTGGTCTGAGAATCACACCTCTCCGTCATAATTCGTGAACAAAAATTACTCATATACTACTCTAGCAAAACACACAATGTCTGTTGCTCGAAAAAACACAGGTTACTGTAAGACCGTCTAATCATCCCCCGAGTACATACAAGATGGCCCCCACCCCACCACCCCCAATCTACCCCATCTACCTACCCCCCATCTACCCCAACCACCTAAACCTCCGATTAAACTCCTCCACCGCGACGGCAACCATGCGGTACAGGAAGGCGCGCCCGCTCTCCTCCCCGACGGGGATGAACGGCCCGTTCGTCCCGCCCCTCAGCGTCAGGCTGAGCCCCGTGCGCTCCTTGGCGATGGTCTGGACGTCGCTGAGCGGCACGTCCCACTCGGACGCGAGCCTGCGGCTGCGGATGAGCAGGATGCGCGAGTACGTCACCATGACCACCATGTCCTCGCGCGGCAGCTCCAGGTGCGCAATGTACTGCTCGTCAAAGTACTTGCCGTTGTCGACCTGCTTGAGCCAGAACTGGCCCAGCGCCTCGCGCTGCGAGTAGGGGCGGATCACGCCGTCGCCCGGGATGTAGCGCGTGAGGCGCACGCGGTCGAGCTCGGACCCGTCGAAGACGGTCGTCGTGTTGCGGATGCCCTCGGACACGTTGGACGCGAGGTCCAGCACGCCGATGGCCGGCTTGGTCGCGAGCCCGATGACGCCCTTGCCCACGCCCTTGAGGAACCCCATCGGCCCTTCCTGCTCGGCCCCCTCGAGCGGCTTGCGCGCCAGGCCGCCGACCCCCGACGCCACCGACGTGAACAGCGAGTTGGCCCCCGCCGTGACGCCGTAGAGCGCGTGCTTGGGCCGGTTCCGCGCCCGCGTGATGCGCCGCCTGTCCTGGAACTGCTTGTCCAGCGTGGCCGCGGCCAGGCCCTTTGCGAAGGAGCCCGTGAACTTGGAGAACGAGTCGGTGAACCCGTAAACCGACTTCTTGACGAACGACCCCGCCCCGCGGGCGAGCGCGATGCCAAAGTCCTCGGGCTTGTCCGACATGATCAGCCCCTGGTACGGCTCGTAGAAGACGTCGGTGAGCCCCGAGCTGATGTTGTTGAACAGCCCCACCGGGTTGCCCAGGAAGTCGGCGCTGCCGAGGATGTTGTGGATCTGCGAGAGCGCCTCCTGGCTGTAGTGGTTCGAGATGTTCTGCGTCAGCACGGGGATCGACACGCGCACGTTCTCGAGGATCAGCGCGTTGAGGCGCACCGGCGCGTCGTTGACGTTGCCGATGGCCATGGTGAGCACGTTGAGGAAGAACATGAGCGGGTTCCGCGACGACGTCTTGGCCTCGACGTTGACCCTCTCGGTCCGCACAAACGAGAGATCGAGCTGCATGGGCTGGATATTTAGTAGCTCAAAGTAAAAGTCCTGGCCCGACTGTTGCAGCTTCGGCTCGGGGATGTCGAGGCTCTCGTCGCACAGCCGGCCCTCCTCCTCCGTCTCGGTCCACGTCGCGCCGGGGATCTTGGAGTAGTCCAGGAGCGCGTAGACAAAGTCCTCGTCGAGGTCGAGCGTCATCTGCTGCAGCAGTATGGTGGCGTACTTGATGTACTGCACGCCGTATGAGTCGTCCTTGACGCGCGTGACCATGACATGCACCGACGGGTGCGCCTCAATCTCCTGCGCCCTCTTCGGGACCACGCTGGGGTAGAGGATGATGGGGACGATGCCGCCGTAGAGCTGGTTGTCTATCTGGATCCACTTGATCGACATGCTGACGGTCTGGTAGAGCGGCGAGTCGCTGTACCGGAGCTGGATGTCTCGCAGCGTGACATAGGCGAGCTCCTTGAGCTGCGAGTTGATGAGGGAGATGCCTACTCCCGAGAGCCTCAACTGCGCCTGGAACGTGATGCCGGTGCTGAGCTCCTTCGCCTCGAAGCCGCCCTGGCTCGTGCTGGACCCGGCATTGGATCGCTGGCGATACAAGCTCTTGGACTGCTTGAAGTTGGACAGGATCATGGTCTGCGTGGGGCCGTCGGCAGCGACGTTGATGTCGATGATTTTTGCCTGTCCCGACGGGGCCGTGAGCTTCAGAGGCATCAAGTTGCCAATCTCGGCGAGCTTGACATGTCTCTCCTTGCCGAAGGCGCTGATGCAGATCTCGCGGTGCTTCGCGGCGGGAAAGTCCCAGGCATACGGCATGATACTACGCGGCGGTAGGCGGTACCTGATGGGCCTCCACCCGGATCGGTCCTCGGCGCCATCCTCGTCGAGGTTGGGGTTCGCCTGGAAGAAGGTGAACTCGGTGTCGCTCTCGTTCCGCATCGAGAAGGGCCAGTTCTTCGTCTCCACGCTCAGGTGCAGGAAGATGGTCGCGTCTTCGACCAGGACCTCGACGCGTATCAGCCTCTGTCGCTGCCCCGCCTTGGCAATCTTGATGTGCGTCGTCCCCACGTCGGAGATGTTGAAGGGCGCGGTCCACTGGTTGTTGACCCCTGGGAAGCACAGGCAAAGCTGCTTTACGGCGCTCCGCTGGAGGAAATGCAGCGGCTGGAGGGCACCCGCCTTGAGAGACATGAGGCTGGACGAGCTGGGTTCGCGAATGTTGAGGTCCTCGCCCAGCCGGTTCTGGATGATGTATCTCGGCGTGAAGGTGACCACGTTGGTCATCTTGTACTTGCCCTCGCCCGACTCGACCTTGATGCCGACGTGGATTTCCGCGTTGCGGCCCGGCGATTGGAGGACAACCTCGGTCGTGCTTCCGATGGCGTCGAAGCTCTGTGACTTGCTCCACTCCGAGTCGCCGATCTTGAGGTTAGCGCGATTCTTGTGGTCATCGCTCCTATACGAGAACATGAGCGGCTGTGCTTGCGGCCGTTGGTTGTCTCCCACGTCGATGAGCACTTGTTCGCCAGCGGCCGCCTTGGCGTGCTGGATGTACCCTCTGGAGCGGATGCTCAGGTCCAGTCCTGTCTTGTTCAGGATCACATAGGGGCTGTAGACGGTGACCTTGAAGGCGCCACCGCTGTCGGGGATGCGGTGGTAATGCAACCTGAGGCTCAGGCTCAGGCCCTCGGCGTCCTTGCAGACAAGATGCGTCTCCTTTTTGAAGTCTTCGGCGGTGCCCGAGTTGATGATGGCAAACTCGCTGGGTTTGAACGACGAGTCTTGCATGTCGATGCTCAGTAGAAGGAGGTGAGACAGCTCGACGATATGCACGGGGCTGACCCCTCCCTTACGCAGAAAGTTCGACCAGTCCTTCTTGGTGTTCTTGTCGTAGATGCGGTACTTGAAGTCATATGGCAAGAGGTTCTCCAGCGTCACTGGGGCTGAAAGCTTGAGGTGCATGTACGGGTAATTCCTACGTAAAGTAAACTGTGTGTCAGCGGTCTTGCCCAAGGGGACGATGCATCATGCACGGCGGGGGGCCACTTTACCTGGTCAGCGGGTTTGTCCGATCAAAGCTGGCATTGAGCTGGAAGTAGAACGGCTCGCCGTGTTCGCCCTTGCACATCATGGTCCTCGTCGGCCTCTTGAGCAGGTCTCGCCACCACAACGTCTCGCTGCTCCACGAATAGCCGAAGCCCGAGTCCGGCCGCACGAGGAGACTTTTCAGGTACACGGCGCCAACAGGCGCCGGCCGGCTCTCGCCGGGGGGGATCTTCTCGATCTTCAGGAGATGGCCTTCCTGCGCATCGAACACGCCCAGCTCGATCGGGATCTGGGTCGCGTTCTCGACAGACAACGGGCTGCGCAGCGTGACGTACTTCAGGTTGTCCTTGCCGAGCTTGACGTCGACGAGGAGTCGGTGTTGGACCTGGTCCGTCTTGGGCTTGAGGCCGTAGAGGATCTCCCCTTCACGGCTAAGCCGGATATTCTTCACCGTGTCGAAACCGCTGCCTTCGAGCGAGACGGAAACGCTACCGGCAGTCGTGCTCTCGGCAAGCAGGTTCTCGCGCATCTTCTCCCAGTTCTCCAGGCTCCACGGCGCCTCTTGGCCATCTTCCAGGCGCAGAGCCGTACTCTCGTCGTTCGCAGCCTTGGCGTGAACGACGACATCAAAGCCCGTGTAGTTCTGGATGCGGTACGGCGCCTCCGTCCTACGAGGCTTGCTCAGCACATCCTGGTCTTGGGTCAGGAAGGCAAACGAGGTGGAAGCCAGGGCGATGGTGGCGGTGGTGATTGTGACATCGAAGGTTCGCTTGGACGCCACGTCAATAGAGAACAAGCCCGTACTCTGCTCTCGCGCAACTCCCAGTCCCACCTGCCACGGCTCTAGCAGTGGTTCCCAGGCCGACTTGGAGAAGTTGTAGACATTGATGTACGTATCAATGGCCGCTTCCGCCTTGAGATCCGACGTCCAGTTCTCGGCCGTGGCAGTGAAGTTTTTGACGCTGATGTCGAGAATGGGAAGCTCGTGAACATCGCCAATTAGGACTAGGCGGATGCCGTCGATAGTGGCGGTGAGCTCTTCGTAATGGCGCGGCGCTTTCACGACATCGTGGGGTTGGTTCTCCGACCCATGTCTGGCTACTGTACCGGGCTTCGCAGTGGCGGCCATCGACCTCGAGGCGCCCACTGTTGACTGTCCTCTGCCGCTGGCGGTTCGCTGCTTCATGCCAGCCCGCTTGAGCTGTCTAGCTTTTTCGTCTACAGCGGTTGCTTTCGGGTCTTTCGTTTCGCCGCTGGTCATCTCGGACGCCTTGCTGATGATCTGCATGGCTAGAAGGACGTCTCGCAGCGACAGCCGGAGAACCAGGGGCTCGATGTCCACGTGCAAGCTCGTCAGCGACGGCTGTGAGCTGTCCATGGACATCTGAATCGAAAAGTCGTCGATGATCCTTAACCGGGTGTCGTCGAACCGGTCCATGCGGCACAGAAACATGCCAACCTCGGAGACCTGGAATGTCAACGCATGCTGCCGCGATAGAAGCACCTGCTTGGTGCCCAGCACAATCGCCTCGGAGCTGGAACTCAGCGGGTTGGCGATGAGGATGACCTGGGCGTCCACCACGTTTGCTCGGAACGAGATGTTCATCTTCGTCTCGTCTGCCTTGCTGTCCTGCTGCACTTCCTCTCCTGCGTTGCTGGGCCCGCTGCTCTGGGATCGTCTGCCCGTGAAGCTGACCTGCATCGAGTCTGCATCGCTCATATCCTCGGGGCTCCCCAGAGGGCTGTCCTCGTCGGCAGGGCTCGGCTCGTCGACCTGCATGCCAACCGATACGAACTGCTGGATGGCAAACAGATAGTCCAGGGCGAAGATGATGCGCGGGCTATCAATGGCCACCATGGCGATGACGTCCCTCTGCCTGCCGCCGCTCATGGTCAAGCTCGCCATGAATTGTTGCACGTCCTTGTTCCTGCTCGCCATGATCCTCCGGAATTTGTTGGTCTCCCTGGGTCGGCTGTCGTGGATGCTGAAGGCCTGGATGACGAATTCTGCCTCCAAACTGCCGTCCGACAGCATCCGTGTCTTGAGCCTGCTCTTGTCCAGCGAGAAGCTGCTCAGACTGGCCGTGTCCAGGCTCCCCACAGGCAGGTCTTGACGGGCACTGATGAGCTCCAACCCGATAGTCTGCACCTCAAAGACGAGATCTAACGCCGTCCAGGTCTCGCCATGTGGGGCAAGCTCGGGGCTCAGGTCAGCCTGCTGGTCTCCATCTCCATCGTTGCCCGCGCTAGGTATCGTCCGCGCTCGTTCCAGGGTTGCCGTGTCAACGTCATGCTCGGCCTCCTCGGCCCTCTGGGTTGCATCTCCGGAGAACACGGCAGGCACAGACCGGGACAGCTCGAGGAGGAACCTGAGCTGGTACGGCGTTATGCGAAGATTTATGTCTGTCATGCTCCCCCGCACCTCGAGATCTGGCCGCTTGGAGCCCTTTCTGTGCTCGGCGTAGGTGATATCGAAGCCCAGATCGACGTGGTCGATGAGCTCTAGCTCCTCCGAGTCGTCCCCGGGATAGTGGAACAAGGACGTCAGCCTGATGTTGCGGATGCCGGTAGAGACCTTGGTGGCGATCTCGGACTTTTCCGAGTCGTCGAGGGCGGCAAATTTGTTCTGCGCGTATATCTCTCCCAGGTAAGCGGTCATAAGGTCCCTCTTCGATTGGCCCGTGACGACGGCTCGCGGAAAAACGACGATGGGGGTCTTGACAATGATGTCGAACTTGATGCGGCTGTTGCTCTGCTGCAGCTGGTTGGCTTGGTTGGCGGCGGCCTGTCGCGCGGCGTTGTAAATGGCCTGCATCTTGCCAAACTTGACGAGGAAGTCCACAATCTTGCGGAACGGCTCCTCGACGAAGTTCAGCTTGATCGAACCGGCACGCAGATAGATAGACGAGTCATAGCCCGGGTACAGGTCTGGGTTGTCGGAGTCAAACGTCTCGTAGCGCACGTCGGCGAGCCCGTCGCCCTGGATGGTGATGAGTTGTCGAAAGGCCGACTCCTCGGACACGCCTTGGTCCACATCGTCGACCAAGCTGAGGTCGCCAAGCTTGGTGGAGACGCGCATCGTCTTTCCGAGGAGGAAGACGCCGACGTCGGCATGGTTGAATGAAAGGGTGGCAAGCCGAATTCCGTCGTTGTTGAGGATCAGCCTGATAGTCTTGAGATCTACCTTGACCCTGATGGCACCGCCCTCGTTCTGCCCGGCTGTTGGGGAGGGCGGCTCTACCTCGATGTCCGTCTCGGACTCGGTATCTGTAATCGCCTTTTGGGGGCTAGCATTCGCGTTGCCATTGTTGGTGAAGGTGATGAGGATGAAGTCGAGCAGGGTCAGAAGCGTCTTTCGAGTGATGACGAGGTTGATGGTGGAGATCGCGACATTGACGTTGGTTTCCACGCCTTCGTACACGGGCATGAATTCCGGTGACTCCTTCTTGACCTTGACATATTTGACGTGCACCAAGTCCCGCTGCTGTTTCCGATCTTCGACGTCGCCAGATGTGACAATGGACTTGAACTCGGCCGGCGGGTTGTCGACAAAATCGTCCACCGTCACGGACCCCAGCGAGACTTCGGCAACCATGTCGTATGGCCGCAAGTAGAACTCGAGGTCGAAATTCTCGGCTACCAGCTCAACTAGCAGCTGGTCCGGCCTCTTGCCCTCCGGATCGCTGCGGTAGAGCGAGCCCTGCAGCTTGTCCACGGCAAACTTGAACTCGAAGCTGCGCTGCTGCATCTTCAGCTTCTCATGGCCGGCGCCATCTTTTGCATCCTCGTACTGGTCGCTGTCATCATCGAGATCGTCGTCGTCGATGATGATGGCCTGCTGCTGTGTCGAGAGGGCCAGAAACTGTGACGACTGCCGACGGTCGTCTTCCTTCCGTGAACGAGTCGACGCAGTGCTAAGACCCCTAGGCCTCCGAGTCGCGTGGTCCTGGGCTGCCCGCTCCTGGGACTGGGCCTCACCGAGCTTCGGGATGGCAACGTCGATGATCCGCATGAGGCTCTTGTATTTTGCATCGGAAGCGGTCGCGTGGAGGACGGGGAGGTGGCCCGAGACCTTCAGCCTCGTGAGGTTCGGGGCCTTGGGGAGAATGGAGATCTCGACGACAAAATCGACGGTGAGCTCTTGGACGATATGCATCGGAAGCTCCTCGTCCTTCTCGGTCAGCTGCTTCTTCGTTTCCTCGATCGATGGCCCTATGAGCAGCTGCGTAGAGGTGAGCTTCACGATGAAGCGGTCGTACATGAGTGATTCCAGCTTCCTGAGATCGTCTTCTGTGTATGACTGGTGCTGCTTCGACTGGACCTCTTTCATGGTGTCCTTGTCGACCAGCTCGCTGTTGACACTGATGTGGCCGGCGTCTAGGATCAGGCATGGGGATCTCTTCGTCGTGATGCTTTGGGGGATGATGATGAGCGGCGCTTGCAGGTCTAGCTTGGCATTGATCGTCTTGTGCTCCTCTAGAGCGAACTCGAGGCCCGCACGAGTCTGTTCGCGCAGACCCTCGACTGTGGCGCCCGCTGTTTCCATGAGAGCCGCGATGGACTCCATGTGCCGCTCTGGCGGTCTGAAGAAGTTCACCACTCCGATGATGAGATTCGGGTTCCACACGACCTCCAGCGGCTTCAGCTTGGCCGTCAGGGCAACGTCGCCTTGGCCATCCAGGGGGTTCTGCTCGACCTGGAATTGGAAGAACGGCTCCTGGCTCTTCTGCTCGAGCTCGGCAATCGACAGCCGCTTCTGCTTCTTGCTATCGGGTGCGTCCTTGACCCTGACAATCTCGGTGAACAAGCTGTTCGGTGTGGTTCCATCGTTGACGCGCAGGCCGCCCAGGCTGAGTTCGGCCAGGAACGAGTCGGGTCGCTTCAAGCCCTTTGCCTTGAAGACGTCGAAGTGGAGGCTTAGTAGGTCCCTGGAATCGCCGTGTGGGTTCTGTCTCAGGGTGAAGCTGCCGGTGCTCAGAGAGGCCTCGATCTGCATCTTGACGGTATCTCTCGGAAGATCGACTTCTGCGGCCAAGGCAGTTTTCTCGTCCCAGTCGATGGCCTCGTACAGCTCTTTTCGCTGCTCCTCGGTGATCTGCGTGTTCTCCTCGGCGTCTGACGGAAGCTCTTGGGGCTTTGAACCCCACGCCCAGGAGAACCAGCCTTGGTGTTGCTGGTTTTGGGCGGCTGGCTTGTTCCTCAACGCCTCGGCGTTCTCCTTCTTCAGCTCGTTTCGGGCTAGCGATCGCCAGAACCTCAGATCCTCGTAGTCCAGCTTCCACTCGAGCCTGGTCAGGTCGGCATTGTCGTCGGGCGAGAGTTGCTGGTTCTGTTTCTTCTTCTTGAAGAGCTCCATGTACCGCTTCCGGTCATCGCGTCGTTCTCTGAAGTAGTCCCAGGACCACCTCCGGTTCCGTTCGTGGATCTTGCTAAGCACGGCATTTCCGGCAAACTTGAGCCACGCGCGGGGATCCTCCTTTGCCGTGACACCCTTCGGCTGATACTTCTTGTACTCCTGGTGGCGGACGAAGTAGTGGAACAGGTCGACCATCATCAGCGCGTCGCGGTACTGGTCGTCATCCAATACCAAGCCGATTTCGTCAAAGAGTAGGTTCGCCTTGAACTTCGGGACCTTTGTGTCGCCCGTCTTGTCGAGCTCGAGTTTTGCCTGTCCGTTCACAGGCTTGAGGATGAACTGGTGCCTGCTAGATGCCGCACCGACTTCGCTGCCTTTGGTGATCATGGACTTGAACTGGCTGAGCACCTCGTCGTGCGGCAGCTGCTCGTTGTCGGGGGTAGAAGCCTCGCGCCCAGGGCCTATCAGCGATGTGTCTGTATTCCAATAGACAGCCAATGCTCCCAGCGTCGCCAGCTTATGTGTGGTTTTGGTCGGGTCGTTGATGAACATGGGTTTCCAATTGCCGTCGGTGCTCACGGCACTGAATTCGTCCAGAGTGACACCCAATGCGAAGGGATGGCCCGGAGCCGATATCGCGTCCTCGTACCGAACGTGGATGTTCTTGACCGTGACCTGGAGGTTGTCGACGATCTTGGTGACGAGGCTCTCGGTAAAACTCTGTGTCCGCTGCTGTTCTTCCTGGCTCAGGCCCTCTTGGTTCCTCTCCTTGAGCAGCTCGGCCGAGTCGAGCTTCTCCATCTTGACCCGCTGCTTTCGACGTTCCTCCTCGTCCTCATCGTACTCGGCCTCCTCCTTGGGGGAGGCAAGCAGGAAGACATCCTCGATGAAGATCTTGACGGGCGCGCCGCCCAGGTTGGACCACGGGATGACGAGCGTTAATTGGCCCAGGTGGCCCTCGACAACGTTTATGGGGAGCTTGAGCTGGTCAAGGGCCTCGCGGCGGAGCTCGAGGTCGCGCAGCTTGACATCGCCAGACCAGATACCGACTTTGAGCTGGGTAGGGTCAAAGTTCTTGACGTACATGCCCAGAAAGCGGTTCAGCAGCCCGGCAACCAGTCCTTCCAACATTGTGACTGTGGGGTGCCCTCACCCTGGCTGGGATCTCGTGTTCGGGATCTATCGAGGGGGTTGTTGGGGCTTCATTTGCGGGTATCGATTGTAGGATTGGAGGCAGCGACAGCGCTGGGTCGTTTTGGGACGCGTGGTAACGTCTTGTAGCTTTCGAACGAGATGGGCAAATCAGAAAGATCGGCGAGTGCTTCTTCTGCTTCGTCGTCTTTTCTGGACTTAGTTGTTGTTTCGACTAGGTATCTTGGCAGACAGTTAGGTAGGTGGTTTAACTGTGCTGCTGATCGAGTCGTCGTGATTGATCGTGGCGCAGACAATGTCTACTTGCCGTTTGGCCGTTTGCCCTTTCCCTGTTCCTTCCCAAAGACGTCAGGCCAACCCGCAACCAAAACTGGGGGTTTTAATCGAAATACGTCAGGTGTGGGTCCAATAAGTCAGGTACGAGAGGGCGGTTCCTGGGTTGGCAAGGCGACTCAGCCTCCAAGCAGCTGATGATGTAAAAAAACCTTCTATCCACTTTGGTTGTATAAAGCACCACGATTCTAAAAAGGAGAGCATGGTATTATTTCATCCGAGAGCAAGATTGTCGACGTGCTTTTGCAGCCCAGCCCGAATCGTTAGGTTTCCCAAGTGACTCGGGTGTGATCAATAGGATTTGGCAATGCGGGGCACTCCTGAGCCTACGGGAGGGTTAGTGTAGTTGCTTGTTCACACCCCGCTGGCCCGAGCTTTTTCCCAGCTTCCAGATCTGAGGTCGGCCTTGTGTTTTGAATCATTACGTCACTGTGAAGCAGAGCGTCAATGAGGTGGAAGTTTCGGCAGCAAACATGTCCAACAGCATTTCCAAAGAAGGGTTTCGTGGAACCCTACCCGTAGCCGAGAACCTCAGATGGTCCTCTTTTCCTCCTCCAGCGTGTCTCACCCCTTGCGCGTTCTTAGGCGGCCATATCAAACCCAAGTGACGACCTGCAGAAAACCCCAGCACCAATCTTCCCAGCTGTTCTTGAGCTTCACGGAGTAGACACGATGCTACGAGGCGTGAATCCACTGTTGCGCTCCTCCGCGAGGCCGGTTGCCAAGCTCGTAGGCCCGGGAACTCAACGGGCACTCACACCGAGGTTGGTCGGCGCAAATGCCCTTTCTGCTAGGCCCAGAGTAGGCCACCCGAGCTTGATTCCCGCGACATGGAAGACCGGGTTTTCCACGAAGCCGCCGGTGCAGCCGACGAAGGTCAACAAAGAATTTGAGAGGGAATTGGCGAAGAAGAAGATGGAGGCAGACCCGGATCGTGTTTCGACCAAGTCGTCGGTCCGCCAGTTCATCGAACCCAGCTCAGAAGCCACCCAGGCTGCCAAGGACGAGGAAGACGTTATGCGCGCAGTAAAGTCGGACCTTGTAAGACAACCTAGAAGACAATTCATGGCCAATTCAAACTTGACCCTCCCCAACTAACCAGCCGCTCTTCCAACCTCAAGAACACCGTCGCGGAGACCTTCTCGCTCGCCTCGGTGCCCCGCGAGGTCCTCACCCTCGGCCTGGCCGGCTCGCTCCCGTACCTCGCAACGTCGCTCTCGACCATGTACCTCTCCTGGAACCTCAACACGGCATGGCCGACGAGCTCCAACTTCCTCAACAGCATCATGGTCTCCAACGAGACGGCCTCGCACTGGCTCCACCTGCTCGAGCCCATCCAGCTCGGCTACGGCGCCGTCATCATCTCCTTCCTGGGCGCCGTCCACTGGGGTCTCGAGTTCGCCGAGCGCGCGCCCTCGCGCCCCCGCACCACCTTCCGCTACGGCGTCGGCGTCGTCGCCCCTGCCCTGGCCTGGCCGACGCTGCTGCTGCCCGTCGAGTGGGCCCTGATCGGCCAGTTCGTCTCCTTCACGCTGCTGTACTTTGCCGACGCCCGCGCCGCCACCCGCGGCTGGGCCCCGGCCTGGTACGGCACCTACCGCTTCGTGCTGACCTTTGTCGTCGGCTCCGCCATCTTCGTCAGCCTCGTGGGGCGCGCCAAGATCGGCGAGGACAAGGCCAGCTCGGCGTCGCGGATGACCAGGACGACCAAGAACTCGGAGCCGTACGCGAACTGGCAGAAGTTGGAGCATGAAGAGATGGAGAAGGAGAAGATCAGGAAGGAGAAGGAAGAGGAGGAGAAGCGGAGAAAGGAAGAAGAGGAGAAGAAGAAAGAGGAAGGGGAGAAGAAGAAGGGGGCTAAGAAGGAGAAGGAGGGGGCTAAGAAGGAGACAGAAGGGGTTAATAAGAAGGAGACAGAAGGAGCTAAGAAGGAGACAGATGACGCAAAGGCCAAGGAGTGATGCAAATGCTCTCGGCAGAAATGGGAAGGAAGTGACGTACAGTTGACACCAACAATTATCAGACGCGAGATAGGAGTCATAGGGAAGTTGGGAGGGAACATCGAGAAGACCGGGGTTTCGCCTGAGGTTTTCGCACCGTCACTTTATCGGCTTGCATTTTTGGGATTTTTGGGATATAGGAAACTTGGAGAGACTTTCCTGCTTGGAACCAATGTGATGCAAGATATCCATCAGGCTCTCATCAAGATAGTACTAGGTAGCTTGTAATCAACCAGTCAGAGCATCACATCCAATTAACTATGAGGACCTCAAGCAAATCTGAAGCGTGTTGGAATCTAGGTTGGCTTAAGCTTGAAGATATCCTGGGTGCCCGGGGGCGAACCTGGAGAGAACTACCTAGGTGGGCAATCAGGCGGCGGCTCTGCTAATCAATAGCTGAACAGCTCCGCCAGTCTAGGTCCGAACCAGAACGTGACGACGTCTCCCGCACGATGCAGCTATGTAATACTTAGGGGTATGGGTTCCGCTGTTTGAACCATTTGCGTCACCTTCGAGACGGGGTGACCAGGGAACCGATGGCGGGCGTCCGCTGCTGACCCGGGACTTGTTGTTTCACAGAGTCGACGGACTGGGGATGCAAGTGACACCTTTAGTGCGGCCTTAATGCAGGGGCACAGCGATTGGGATTGGATGTCTTCTAGTCGTGTAGCCCGTCTTGTCGGGTCATAGACTCTGTTGAAAGGCACGTAGAGATGCCAGATTGATACGATATCGACGGTTTCCGCTCAGCTAGCGCAACGAGGCTTCCAAGTCGATGCTATCGCTCAAAGCAACCATCGTCGTGGTTGTAGGCCGCAAAGGAATGTACCAATAATCTGGGGGCCAGGCGCCAGGCGCCATGTAATGGCGGGCTTAAGGACGGGGCCAATTAGCAAGTCCATCGCTGCCGTCTCAACCAGTCAAGCGGGTGGCGGGGCAATGGAGCAAGATGACCCAGACGAAGGGTCATCTTCAGAGCCAATACCGCCCCCAGACCTCATACTCTTCCTTCGTCCCCCGGAACTTGAAGTCCACTTCGACAATCTCTTGGAAGCCCTCTTTGAGCTTCGGCTCCTTGAACCTAGAGCTAAAACCGTTAAATGCAAGTTTGGGGAGTGACGGCCTCGACTCGGGGTTCAGCTACATAGGGGTTAGTTAGCGCAAGCCGGGAAGGAAGAAGATTGTAAATTCGCATTAGTCACATACCGATTTGTTCATTGACCTCACGGCATCGTTGTGTTCGCACAGCTGGATGGGCGTCCGGAACCAGACGCATCGAATGGGGACCTTGTTCTTCTGTGCAAGCTCGACCCATTGAGCCCGAATGTCTGGATCAGGATTCGTATTGTCTAGACTGGTCAGTGAGGGTCTCATGGCACTATATTAGTCGAGATCCTTACCAATCGCGACGGACTCTCCATCACGCAAGAAGTCGGTAGCCACCTGGAAGCATTTGACCTTGCTGGGCGGGTGTGAGTGACTACTAAGAAACCAGCGTGGAAGGACATCCAAGGGGGCACTTACCTCTTCAAAGTGTCCTGATTCACCCGTTCGTACCCCAGCGGCTTAAGATGCTCCCAGTAGAACGTGCTCTTGCCTGCGCCAGGCGGGCCACAGAACAAGACAATCTCCGTGTCATTCTTCTTCTCGAACTTGACCACGTCCTCACCTTCGCCCTCGCCCTCGCCGGCAAAGGGAAAGTTCACCAGATCAAAGTCCCTCGCAAACTCACGGGGCTGTTCCCCGAGGAAGAACTCTTCAGGCGTCTGGAATTCGATGCCCACATTGTGGGCGAGGTTCCGATCCGAGCAACTGAAGTCCTTCGGGACGGCCGCCGCCCCCTTCAGCTGGGCCATTCGGCCGCCTGCATCTCCCACAAATATGCTGTTCTCGAGGTCTATATCCTCCTCCCTAAGGTCGTAGTCGTCGCACATCTCCTTCCACATGCCCGTGCGAGGTTTGCGGTATATATCCTTGGCCGTCGCCGCGTAGAGAGTCAGGGGGAGGTCAAGTTGGGCGAGCACGGAACTGCATTTCTGCCTAAAGGAGGCGACTCGGTTCTTGCCCAGGTTCTTGGGGGCTTTGGACTTGGGGTCGGGGTGGAGTGTCAGGCCTCCCTGGTTCGTGAAGATGACGACCCGGTAACTGGACGCAGCGGTTGTTGGTTGACTGCGGTAGCAAGAATGGGAGCACGAGAAACAACGTACCCTTCCTCGAACAGCTGCTTCAGCCGCATTGGGACACACCGGTCCCACCACTTCCAGTCCGTTGCATCGTCGGAATGCTTCTTCCCAGACGCAGTAGTGATCAGGGTAGAATCCTATGTTCTGAATCAGCCCCAGTCCCATCGATGGTAGCGCCGCGGCGGTACGTACAAGATCAAACGCAGCGATCTTGCGCCGTTTCGGTAGCGGCTCCTCCTCGGCCCCGTCGGGGACGTATTTGGCAACGAGCAATGTTGCTGGTGTATCTCCGTGGGGACTCCGTTCGGTCCATGTTGTTCGCTCCTTCGGCTTCTGGGAGGTAGGTGTGAAGAAGTTGGCAACGGCAGCCTCTAAAAAAGCAGACTGTCAGCAAGACAGCACGGCACCACGGCACTAAAGTGGATGCATGGACGATTGGCCTTACTCGAGATGACACTTTGGGCCTTGCGCTTCAAAGGCGGGGGGGAAATGGAGGGGTCATTCTCCGCGGCGGGACGTTTGCTGGAAGACGAGGACGACTTAGACGGAGGCATTTTTGATAGCCAAAGTACTCGGTTAGTAGTGCGGCTATCTGGGAATACCTGGAAGCCAATCTGTCGCGACGCGATCTTTGAGAGGCGAATGACGCGCATCAGGGGCAGCGGAGCGGGTAATCATGTGACTGTGGCCCACCGCGCCGCCCCAACGAAGGATGTAGATACCTAGAGTCACATGACCTAAATTAATGGCGAATCCAATTTTTCCCTCAACCACCACATATGCGTACATACCTACCTAGCTTCCTATGTTGCAAATCACCCTCGACCAACACGAACTTCACTTGGTCAGGCTGCGTTGGGATTCTTTGTTCGACTGGGCGGGGATACGAGTGGGTAGAGTCGGCATGGTGCCCACCTTGGGAGCCGCAGAGACCCAGTCACGATGATTCTCCTCATCTCGACTCCCAATAGGGCCGAATGCCGAAGGGATCTGCCTGCAGGCATGGGGAACTCAAACCGGGTCCGGATAATGCGGCCACGAAGCATCTGGTGCTTGTGGCAATCCTCTGGACTTGTCGACTCGTAGAGCGAGCCTCGAGTTAGGCGTAGCGGCTTTCGACGGGGGTCTCATGGATATTTCCAATCGCGAATCGAGTCTGGAGTAGCACGCTGCTGACTGCACCACCATAAATAGTAATCTATATTTCCGTGGTCACGGTACCTAGTGCGATCCCAGGAGAGATGGTGCCACAAGAATCACTCGACAGGGGGATAAAGATTCTTGGGGTTGGGATGCTTCAACCACTGCCCAGCGACGAGGCTGCAGTTTGCTTACAACTTTGGCCCGTATTGAGCTCGGCTCCATCGCTCCAAACACTGCGCTTCCTGGCTGGAAGTTCTTTGTGATCATGCATCTACGGCGTATCTGCAATGCGAGCTTTACAATCCTATGTTCCCGGGAATCACGGAGAGTTTGGATGGATCGTGACTTCGCTGGATCTCTAGCCGAGCGTGGGAATGATTGGCGAGGGTGTATGCGTACATCTGTAGCTGGATCATTTGGATGGTTACAACGACCGAACAAGCTTTCTTGCTTGTCTCCGCGTTTGAAATTCAACATTTGGGGCTCCTCATGTGGGGTTTTGGCAACCAATTGCACTTGCTTCCAGATATCCTGCGGAATGGAAGCAGAAAAGGACAACCGTTTACTGTTCCATTGGGCTGTTCATCAGCAAGTGCTATCGGCCCGTTGTCGTTTTAGTTGCCCGGGGGTGTCAACCAATCAGGCGTGCTGACAATTTCAGTCAGGCAGACGAGGGAGGTGGTGGGTGGCATGACGTCAGGCAGCAAGGCCGCCCATTCGCAAAATCTCCGCGGGCAACAACCAAAAAAAAGATGGCTGCCGCTAGCTAACGGCACCGCGTGCAGGGCTAATTGCGGGAGGCGTCTTCGAGAATTGTCAAGGAATCAACCAACCCGACGGCTGCCAAGAGCTGTCAGAGAGCATGCGGAAACTGGAAAACAAAAAAGGGGAAGGTACTCAAACAAAGTTGACCCGACTACTTTCCATTTTGTTCATAAGAGAGAGCGGGAAAGCAGCGGCAGTGAGGAGAGAATTGATTTCACCGTGAGGCAAGTCCTTGGGACGCGGCATATATAGGTAGGTAGCTCCATACCCATTGCATCCCAATCTTTTGGAGATTTTTGGGGATTTGCTGGAGTCGTGCCGCACCTGGCGGCCATGCTAAGACCACGTGCATATAGCTATTTGTATGTAGATATTATTGAGTACAACAGAGTGGTACTTTACGGTCGTAGATAGTGTATTATTGCTTCCTACTTTACGTTAATCGATTCAAGGTTTGCACTTGCATATAAGTATGGATTGCCTGAAATCAACACTACCTCCCTAGATAGGCAGGACTGGTTGATGACCGAGAACATTGATTAGGTACCTATCCTAACGAGTTGGATGGAAACTTGCGATCCCCCTTGATGCTGAAAGTTCCAACTCTCTCTTTCCATGAATAAAAGTACTGGCCTATTGCTTCAAATCGGCAGCGGGCAGAACAACAATGGAATCAACCCCGGATGGAAGTCTCATCTCCTCAAGGCTTGTCAAGGTTTACGGATACTTTACAGGTAACGTCGCTCAAGAAACTCGCCGATCGGCAGTGGGTAATTGCGGGGCTGCGTCCAATTGGCTGCAACCCCCTGTCGCGCATTTTAAGGTCGTTTTAGTTTGGGAAGCTGCGGAGACAAACTTGCCGAATTGCAGCTGATTGGCTCGGTGGTTCATGCCTCCCAGGCCTTCCTTCCGTCGCGGGGATCCGCGCGGCAGAGTGGAAAAGAAGCAACCCAGATCTGGGCAGGCCACCGCCGACCATATGCGTAAACCATCAGCCCATGCCGTGTGACCAACGGGCCATACGAAATCCCAGTTGTGGTTGTATCGGATCCTCCTTCGGTACACGAATGGGACCGAAAACTGGGGGGCTGCCCGTTGTCTACCGTCCACACCGCCCGTTTCTTGCACGTTGCTTCCCGCGGTCGAGGCCGCAGCCGTGTCCAACCAATCTCGATGACGATACTCTCTTTGGCAGCCGTGAGGACAATGTCATCTGCTCCATCGAGATCCGCACCGTGTCGCTCCCACCCCGGGGTTACCTCGCAAGCAGGCTCAAGTTGCCACCAAGAGAGGGAAGGGCAATGTACCAAGCCTTCCTAGGTGACCTTATCCTCCTCCTTTCAAATCCCCAGAACTATGGGTTGCCCATGTAGCCACCCCATCTTCATACATACTTACCCCGGTCGCGGGGGGGTTCCCAGAGCAAAGGGTCGCAAGTGTGGACTTCCATATCTATGGAGTGTAATAAGCTCCTTCCTGTTCGTACTATGCGGTACTACGCCGTAGTGACAAGGTTTCCTGGTCCCGTCGGCTTTTCCTGCACTCGGCCAACCTTCTCCCGCGCCCTGCTGTGGTTTCACATAAAAGGACGATCAACCCCTCCATCCCCCCCGGCGATTGCCTCTTCCCTTGATCGTTGCCTCCTCCGCATCTCCAGGCATCTCTAGCCATATAGAGGAAATAACCCCCCTCCCCCCTTTTTTGCTGAAGCCAGGAGCATCTTGAGACAAGACAAGATGTATCGAGTCGGCAACATCTACTTGATTGCGGCCGTCGCCGTCATTGGTAAGATAAACCTGCTCGTTGCCACCCGCGCCCTCCTTGCCCTGCTGACCATGCCTCTCTCTGTCTGCCAGGTGGCGGCCTTTTCGGCTTCGATATCTCGTCCATGTCGGCCATTATCTCCACTCAGCCCTATCTGTGCCAGTTCAACCAGCTTGGCCACAATGAGAAAGGCGAATGCAGGGGGCCCAGATCTGCCGTGCAGGGCGGCATCACTGCTGCCATGCCCGGCGGTTCTTGGCTCGGCGCCCTTGTCTCGGGTTTCCTCTCTGACATCTTCGGCCGAAAGACTTCGATCCAGATCGGCTCCGTCATCTGGTGAGTTTGGATGGCGCAACCACGAAGAAGCGGTCTGTAGAAGGAAGCATTGACAGCTGACCGGAAATCGCAGGGTGATCGGTTCTATCATTGTCTGCGCATCTCAGAACATTCCAATGCTTGCTGTTGGGCGTATCATCAACGGCTTCTCGGTCGGCATCTGCTCCGCACAGGTTCCCGTCTACATCTCGGAGCTCGCACCCCCGTCTCTTCGGGGCCGTCTCGTCGGCTTCCAGCAGTGGGCAATCACCTGGGGCATTTTGATCATGTTCTTCATCTGCTACGGCTCGTCCTACATCGATGGCTCCGCCGCCTTCAGACTGCCGTGGGGCCTGCAGATGATCCCAGCCATGCTGCTCTTCCTCGGCTTGGTCTTCCTGCCAGAGTCGCCGCGTTGGCTGGCCAAGAAAGACCGCTGGGATGAGTCTAAGAGTGTGCTGGTGCTCGTTCATGGGAGGGGAGACGAGAACTCGGTGTGGGTCGCCCGCGAGCTGGAGGAGATCCGCGAGGTTGTCGAATTTGAGCGCCTCAACTCGGACGTCACCTACTTCGAGCTGTTCAAGCCCAATATGATCAACCGGACAATGATTGGAGTCTTTACCCAGATTTGGTCCCAATTGACGGGAATGAACGTCATGGTAAGAAGCTCACCTCCGTACCTCGAAACAACTCAACTGCCCCCTTTGCGTGGCGGTGAGTGCGTAGCACTTTGACTGACTCTTGACCACCCCGTGTAGATGTACTACATCACCTATGTCTTCACCATGGCCGGTCTCGGTTCCGACGTGCTCTTGCCGTCGGGCATCCAGTTCATCATCAACGTCCTCATGACTGTCCCCGCCCTCCTCTGGATGGATGTTTGGGGCCGCCGGCCAACCCTCTTGGTGGGCGCCTTCTTCATGTGCCTCTGGCTGTGCATCAACGCCGGTCTCTTCGCAGTCTATTCGCGCCCACCTTTCCCAGGCGAGTTCACCTCGGCGAGTGAGAGTATGTCCGTCAGCGGACCCCCTGCCAAGGCGATCATCGCGTCGACGTACCTCTTCGTCGCCTCGTTTGCCCCTACTTGGGGTCCCGTCTCCTGGACCTACCCGCCTGAGCTGTACCCTCTGCGCCACCGTGGCAAGGCTGTCGCTCTCGCCACGTCGGCTAACTGGGCTTTCAACTTCGCGCTTGCCTACTTCGTGCCGCCGGCCTTTGAGAACATCACCTGGAGGACCTATGTCCTGTTTGCCGTCTTCTGCGCAGCCATGTTCATCCACGTCTTCTTCGTCTTCCCTGAGACGGCCAACAAGCCCCTCGAGGAGGTGCACGAGATCTTCGACGACACCAAGCCGGGCAGCATCAAGTACCTCGGCACTCCAGCCTGGAAGACGCACAACACGCGTTCCGCCGTCCTCAAGCGCGAGCGCAACGAGCTCAGCGACGAGGACAAGGTCGGGTTCGAGGGCCGCCAGGTGAGCAACGACCAGACCACCGAGATCAAGCAGTGAAGCGCCTAGTGGGATGCGACGGCAGTTCCTTTTGGATTCTTGCTATCTCCGGCATGACCGCTTTTTTTTGATACCCGCGTTTGGATGTTCTGTTGGGCACGTTGGATATTGAGGTGGGACGTACTTGGTACTCCCGTGCTTAAATCTATCTGTCAAATTATAATTTTGTCTTCATCCTCGTATTTATTCTTTTGTATGGTCTGATAGTCCCCTATTAGGCTATGGGTTAGGTAATACATATGCATATTTGCGAATCATGGTCCCCTTTAGAACCCAACCGTAATCGTGGCTCGTTCAAAGACCCCGGATTTGACCTCAGACGCTTGATTTTGTCATCGAACGCAACGCGACTCGACCTCAAGGGGGGCTTTGCCCCTTAATACGGACCTACCTCAGTCCCGCAGCTCTTCTATAATGCAACGAGACAAACCACCAGACATAGCTTGGGACTTTCAACGCTTTCTAGTCTAGATATAGATTCTCATAACTGGGGAAAGAGATAGCTCGTAGCTTTTACTACCAAGATTCAGGAGTACGTTCCCATTGTGTAACACTGTCTCCCCAGACCTATGGTGTCTCTTCCTACCATCCGATTCCAGTTCCAGCCAGTATTCTGGGAATATCCGGAAACAGGTCGCAGTACAGGAAGAGGATCAGGCGTTTCTGGTCGCTGAGAATGGTCTGCACCTGCTTTGTGGCTTGTTGCGGGCAGGATGGGCCAGGGGGCGTGTATCCGTCTGCGGACTTGGACGAGCCCAAAGAGGTGATGCGGCCGCATGGCATGGGTATCGAATGTCTCGACACTGTCACATTGCGTTGCTCGTTTGGCCTCGGCCAAGGTTGGGGAGCTTATAGTTCAAGGCAATTATGGCGCTGGAAGAAGCCGTTTTGGTGGAGTAGCATAGTCGTCTGATAGTGTATCAGCTGAGCTCTGGCTAGTAAGCTCTAGTCTTTCTGAGCTATCATTGTGCTGCTGGTTGAAATAAATAGTGTGCAAGGCAAAAAGACAGTTTTGCCTTCGCGGTGACAGGGCTATGGTGGCGACTGAGCTCTCGGGTGTTGCTCTTGGAAATATAATAAGTCTTTGTCTACCAGCTTGCCGCCGACATCGTTGCTCTCACTATGCATTAGTAACAGTATTACTCTCCAGTCCAATACAAACCGGGGTATGGTAAGTTGCCTATATTGGTTGTTGGTGCAGGGGTTTCCAGTGCGGGTTGGTGACATTTGGAGCAAGCCCGCCACCCCCTAATACTGGGACTCTCTAGTTTAGGGCACAATAGTTTTGAACAGATTGTCTAGACAAGGTAGCCTGCCATGACCAAACAGTGATTGAAGAGTGTCCCAAAGGCACAAGCTCAAGTGAATCACAACATTTGAAACTGCCAAACAGAAGATATAAGCCAAGGAGGAAAACCCCCAGAGTTAGGGAGTGTGTCAGTCTCTACTCGTCTCACATAGTTCAGCTCCATATCCTCAGATCCAGATCTGGGTAAGAGCCAGAGATCACTTGGGGTCACAGGGGAGGGCAACATGGAGACTATCTGGCGTAGCATAAGACTTGGCAACTAAATATCAGCTACCCTTGACCAACTTTGCTTGCTTGCTGTACAGCGCCATGTGACATTCTCGATAGTTGCAATATTCATATCCTCCCACTGCAACGCTCAACGCCCAAGAGAAATATCCTCTCTTCTTAGTTCAAGTCCAGCTATGGTGCCCTGGTACTCAGGTAGCAATGGGTGATTTTCAGAGCTTCGACATCCCCCTTGATTCAAATGCATGAATTTGACGTCAGTTGCAGTGAAAGCATCATCACACCCAAGTGTGCAAGTTCCACATATTGACATGAATAAAAACAGACGCAAAGTACGACGAGTTGGCATGTCAGGATACAGACTGGAGATTGTAACATTACTTGATGTAAGACATCCACAGAAGCGAGAAGGGCTGCTCAGCTGAACTCTGACGACGGCGGGGTTGCCAACGTGAGTGTAACGCGAGTTTCACTTGAGCTTCGTGGACAGCCCCAGGTTGCTTTTTTCTCGACTCCCTGTGTTTTTGGGAATTTCCTCACCATGGATATGACCAACCCCTTCCCAGTCTTTGGGACATACCTACCATTGGCATACCTTTCTTTGCAGGTAATCCCGGCCATCATCACCCGCCGATTGGTGCAGCACCACCGGACGAGGACGCATTCCTTCCTTCTGCTTCTAAGCCATACCCCAACTCATTACAATTTGTTGGGGCCCCGGCCGGCATCACAGCCCACCATCCTCCGAGTGCAGGGTCAGGACGTTGAGACAGGAATAGAAACCTGACCCTCAGCCCGTTCTCAATACTCTGCAGCCACGATGCAATCCCCCGTCCCTGGACGAACCGATTAAATCGCGCACACCGCCCTTTGGCCACGACGGCCAACATGGCCACGATCTCCATGTTCGCGGCTCGGGAGAAAACACCCACCCAGAAGACGCTGCGCTGACGAGACAGCAACTTGCAATCACCTGATCCCCGCCCACCACCCCGGGCAGCCTTTTCGGCCCTGGTAACATTCTGGCTGCAACTAGGCTTGACCGGTCGTCGTTCCCACAACGACTGGGCCGCTGCAACCGCGGAGATTGATCAGGCCAGCAAAGCAAAAATGTTCCCCGCCGGTCACATATATCGACACCGCTGGCACGACGCGACAGGCGGAGACGGGCAAGCCGCATCATGCTGGTTGCCCTCCCTTCCCTGCCCCCTAATGCAGGTCCACGAAACCCAATCGCAGGTTCCCAGCGCCCCCACAGGAATTGGCGGGCGTGGGATGTCTTTGTTCCTGGGCTGGGGGGGGGGGGATCGAATTAGCTCCTGCCACAACGGCGGGCCGCGGGGGGGTTGTGCAAGGGACGCGCCCTGCCGGGGTAAAGGTCCGTCGGATTGGACATGGAAACGGCGCCATTGGGGTTCTGGGTTGGTGGTGGGGGTTTCTTGTGTGTTCGGATTAGTTGTCACGTTTGCGGCGTGGGATGCAACCCCCCATTTTCTTGTGACCGGGGAGAGGGTTATTGTGGCTGCTGTTCTGCGTATGGCATGATGGAGCAGCGAGGGGACTTTTTGAGGATGTGCACGGAGAAATAGGCCGGTAATTTATAGGTGCCTTCCCTCCGGAGCACCCTCCGTATCTCCAAATGCCGGGAGCCGGGATCACGCAGGGTTTACAGCATGCAAGCTGGATCTTGACCAGACTTGTTACATTGTGGAATTGTCGTGGTGTAAATTGCTTGCCACGCCCTAAAAGTTGCCATGCGGCGATCGCATCACTTATACAACAAGTATGTAGGCATTACGGAAGGACGAGGATGACACGTGAAAATGCGCAACAGTATCAAGGGCAGAATCAGCAGCTTCTATTAGCGCAAGAAGACGTGCAAGGCAAGGAGCTGTCGTGGATGAGGTGCGCCCCTCCGTGACGTGACCCCTTTCTTTGAAGACGTCAGAGTTGGCGTATTGCATGAACGGGAACCTGGCATGGAACGACCCGGTGTTAATTCAGGACCAGCTGGCCGAAGAGAGGAAGAACCCGGAAGGTAAGCCCGGAAGTTGATTGATGCGGCGGGATAAGGATAAGCTTACCGATCAAGGGACGGGAAGTTGAGGGGCTGAGGGGCAATGGAAAAGGGAGCTCCACTGTCTGCTTTGGGAATGATTCTTTCTCTTTCGATTTTTTGTGGTTCTCTCAATCCTTGGTTCGCCCTATAGCCTGGCCTACCTTGGTGGATATACTACGTAAAACTACTGCGTTGTAGGCACACTAGTAGGAGCCAGGAGGGGATCGCCAGGCACCAAAAAAAGAGCGGCTCCTTCCAAGAAACGCTGGATCCCTTGGCCTCGAATCGCCGCCAACCACCGCCCCCCCTCAGGGCTGGCTAATGCAAGGAACAGAAGGGGGACCGCCAGTCTGCCACATGGCGGAACACTGACAACGTCGCTTTTTGCTCGTCCCGAGGCGCCTTTTCCATCGTGTGGGAATGTCATGTGCGCATTGTGTGTGTATTGGAAGGTTGCCGCGTGTCAAGTACACATGCAGTGCCGTACGTATCGTAGCATTGGGACGCCTTGGGTTGCGGTATTTCCTCAATGTAATTCTCTTTTCCACGCCTAACGTCCAGGGTTTGGAGTTTGTGAGGGATGGATTGAGAAGGCGGAGGGTGAAAAAAATTGCACCCGAGTGTTCCTTCGAGTGGATAAGGAAGCTGCCGACGAGAGTCTAGACTCTGTTGGAGATCCAGCGATATACTAGTTTTTCCCATCTTTTCTTCCCTACGGGGTAGACCACGCTTGGCACCGATCTCGGCCGTGGCCCGGTTCGGGCCCAGCTTTGGTTCTGGTCGGCCAGCATTCCGTAAGCGAAGAGCAAATCGTTGCCAGATGGGATGTGGCGGAGTGCCGGTAGGCTAATGGGTCATGGACTTCCGGACCCACGGGCAACCAGTGAGGACATCCGGGTGGATGTTGTTCTCGTACCAAGAAGGTATCTTTTCGTGCTGTCCCCCGTGGAGGCATGAGGCTGCAACCACACGTGGAAAATGCTACGTCCGGACCATTGTTGGACTCGATGAGCGCTTGACAGATCCGCTCTTCCTCCCGTTCCCTCGCTGAGCTACTGACCTGCCCCGCAAAAGATATTACTATTGTGTGACGTCGATCGGCGGAGTCTTCCGTCAACAAACAAGAAGCGTCACAGACTCGTATCTCGAGTCGAGTAAGGAGGGGGTCAAACATGTAGCCGACGGACCGGTGGCTGTTGAGAAACATGGCATCCTCAGGCGGGTGGCACCAGATCGTCCCACGGCACGTTGTTGACACCAAACCCCGGACCCCAGATTTGAAAGATAGTAAAAATATAGACGATCGAGCGGCTGAGTACGACTGCTATGCTGTGCAACGGAGCTGTCGAAGAGGCACCCCCGCGGCGGCAATCAGCTTGGGGAGGGGGCAAGGTTTGAACAAGAGCTGGGTATTGCGAGACGAGGAAGGACGTGGAGTTTCAGGACACAGGCAATAAACATCCATCGTGGTCACGGCAGTTGCGAAACGAAGCCAACTTTGGTCTTTCCGATGTGCCGACCTATACCTACTGGAAGTCTGGGTGTGGTGCTTGTTTCTTTCGTTTCTTCCTTCTCCCGTCTACCGGCCTTCCCCGCGGATGAGCCTGCTTGGAACGTCCATCCAAAGCCCCTTCCCGGGTAAGAGGAAGGAGACGAGAAGTACACGCGAGACGAGACTGGTTGCGGTAGTGACAACCAGAGCCCAAGCCAGATCAGCCTGGCAACAGAGCTGGTCCCAGTAAGTTCTTTCCCGCGGCTAATTCTTGCCGGCTTCCTCGCACCCTCCTCATTGGGGGGCTGAGGCGGGTTGATAGATTAAAAGTTCTTCTGGGGACGGCTCGTTGACAGTCTCAACCCAGGGTGGATCGCTGGTGACCCATTGGCTGTTGTGGACTCGCGGGGACCTGGACAGCCAGGAGAACCCGGATTGGAAAGCCATCGTTCCGGGAAGAGGGCAGGATAATCTCAATTAGGTTTGCCCTGTGCGGTCGCTCTTGGGCCTGTGCTCCCGTACATAGTAGACGTAGAAGCTGCCGGGGAGATAGAAACAAAGAAAGAAGACACGGCAACAACGACGACGAGCGGTATTGTGGCCGGCCTCTCCTTCACGAACCCGCTGGCTTGTAACACTTGTTTTGCGAGGGAGGACATGGAGAGATTGCCATTGCAACCCTCCATGGCGTGATCTGGGAGGTGGAGAGCAAGTCGACCCGACACGGCTGGCGGCGGCCTCTCCAGGCCAACCCAACATGAGGAGTTGGCTAGGTCTTTGGGATTCTGACAACCAACCTGGAAATCTTGAGCCCATCTCGAGGAGCGGCGGTCCAATTCTGCTGTCAGCGACGCCGACTTCGTTCTTCGTTGGGGGTGGGGCAGCGAGAGGACGAATTTGAAAACTAGTACACATTGGGAGATGGTTCCGGGACGCTAACCCCTAACCGGCATGGTGAATGTCAGGACTTTCTTTTCTGAATTATCTCTGATTCTTCTGATTCATCGTTCTTGCCCCGGTACAATGCCGAAGCGCCACTTCAAGCTTCTCTTGCCGCCACTGCGATCCTTCCATATTGCCCCCTCATGAGCCGTGTACTACCTACTGCGTAGTAGCGCGGATACTTTCTACCACATGGATTCCTCGGGAACAGCAAGCCAACTATGTAATCCCACCGCCTTTTTCAAACTTCAAACAGCTGCTCAGTGTGTACACGTATCGTGCAAAATCAGGTGCCCAGGCGATGATGATTGAGCCATTGAGCCAGCGAGGCGATCTTGCTCTGTGCGCTTCCTCATCTAGGTTTAGCGCGGGCATCCAGGTAGGGCTTGGCTACGAATCTGGACTTTTTAGTGTTAGCGCTTGCATGTACTCCGTATTTTTACGTTCAATCCACGGTGAGCCCCAGGCCATCCGAAGAAGACCTGGCCCGGCACGCCTAGATCGCTGAATGCAATGCGTCCCGCATTACCGTCTGGACCGCCTGCAGAGTAATGTCGTTGGGACAATTTTACAAAACGTAGCACGAGGCGCGAATATGTGTTGTGGGATTCCGAGTTGCGTATTGCCGACTAATACCTAAACTGGTTTGCAGGCTTGCGCAGGATCAGAGCCATGGATGGATAGGTTCGGAGAAAGCAAACTCTCTGGTCCAGAAGACAACCAGTAGGATTTTCTACCGGAATGGGTACCTAGGTACCTAGCAAGTGATGATGAAAAAGTGGTGTACAGGCTACGCTGCTTACTAACAATTTTAAAGGCATCTGCTAACAATTTTCCGCAGGTTTGGCCTTGATAAGGTGTTAAGAGGTAACACCCCTTGCCTGGCACGCCTGGGTACCTACCTCCCATGTGAGCGCAAGACCAGAAGCTGAGCTGAGGGGCCCAGCTTGGTGCTTCATGGCCGCCGCCATTGCTCCTTCCCATCGCGGCAGATGAAGCCTGCAGCGCAGTAGCCCAGTCTCCCTTTCGGGTCTTTCCTGGTCCACATCCCAACCTGCCAAGCGATTTCCCCTCCCTTCTGTGAACTGTAAACTGGACATGGCCAGTGAGAGTTGTTCTTTTTTTGGTCACGACGACTGCGTGACTCAAGACCTGACACGCGGTTTGCAAAGTCCCCCACAAGTTCCATTGCAAGTCCACCAGCTCTTCCCGTCACTTCAGAAGCCACACGTTCTAGGCATCAGGGGGCCACCTGAAGCGCATCCATGGGTCCTAGCAGGTAATCGCACCGGCAGGGGGTGGTGCGATACGGAATGTCCAGTGTTTACACAGTATGGAGGCTACGTGCTATGCGCGCTACTTATATGTCCAGGTGTTACTGTTATGTAGGTACTTTGTAGGTAACGCCTAACTTACCGAAGTCGCAATTGTTTTTCTTGAACTTGCCCACCAGGACCCACAACAAAAGCCCACCTGCGATCCGAAAAATCCAGGAACCTCCCCGCCCCTCCATCAGCCAGAGGTCGTCCTCCCACCCTCCCACCTCCCTCGCTCACTAGGCTGGTCAAAAGGCAGGCCGCACCCACGCCAGCAATCACAGCCATTAATCGTCTGGCTGTCCAACCTAGAGGAAACACACAACACCACAACGGCCACCACAACCGACGACGACACCACCACCGCTCCACATATTCGACGCAATTGTGCTTCATGTAGCCCAGCTGCAGGAGCCATTTTCAAGTCAGCACTGCAATCCATTGGCTCTTACACACCAGGCGCTGTGTGCCTGTTCGCTCCTAGGTACCTACCAGGTGCGTGCCTACCTAGGTACCGACACTGAGGTACCTACGTTGAGAAGGCAAGGGCAGAAATTCCTGATTGGAGCTAGACGAGCTAGACCATCCCTGGGAGAGCCTAGCCAAGGTTCCATTCCTTTCCAAGTGCAGGCCCCTCCTCAACGGCCCACGCCCACGCCCGACTACATCAAGCTGCGGTGCCCAAATACACGTGGTGCCACTCCAGTACAACCAAGACACATTCGGGCCACGGCCGGACACAAATCTCTAGTTCCCAGCGAGGTCGATTACAAGCTTCAGGCGAACGCAACACAACGCACACGCGAACACGCACGCCACGGAGGCGGGAAAGCGAGAAGGGTCTTATACTTTCCGCTAAAGACGGGAGGGAGCTGCCCGTATATAAAAAGCAGGGCAAGTGGGCCATCTCCATATAATCCGCCGAAACTCTGGATCTTCTGGAAAATTCCCTTCGTCAAAATTGAAGGATAAACACATTTTACCACGGAAACAAGCAACAAACTCTCCCGCAATTCGCAACAAAAGCACGGCGAAAAGGCCCCCCCAACGTCATCGGCCCCCAAATCCAGGTTTACCAGCCTCCACAACCGGCTCCAACAGCTCAAATCATTCACCCCTCACCCCGCCATTTACCACGCCAATTCTCGCATTCCCACCAGCCTGCATGTTCGAGATTACTGCTGTCACAACTTTTGCGTTTGCGTCCGACATCGCGCAATGTCGCCTGGGCTGAAGCCCCTGATCTTACCACAGCTCGTGGAGCAGCGGAAGCTTGGGAATGACATGGCCGATGGCGACCAAACCTACAGCTACTACACGAATCACTCGTCTTCCTCCTCGTCCGACCTCGCCTCGCCCTCGCCAATAACACCCACATTCACTCGCAACGGCTATTCGCGCTACTCGGCTTCGACCTCTTCCCTGGAGCAGGTAGCCTCCTCGTGCCATGACAACACCACCTCGCCTGCGCAGCTTTCGCATACGTCCAAGGGCAGCAAATCCCAGCTCCCCGACGTGCAGGAGGATCCATTGAGGGAGGATGAGGATATAACGGTCCTTGCCAGCCATTATGAGCTCTATGGTTGCTTGTGTAGGTCGTCGTTGTCTGTGCGATATGCAACCTGGAATGCTAACCCCTCTGCGCGAACAGGCGACGAGCCCTGCGTCCACCGTAGCGCCGACTCAGTCCAAACGACCGTCCAATACCTCGGAACGGACATCGACTATGATATCGGCTTTCTGAGTGATGGCGACTTGGATGCAACAAGCCCACGGTCCAAGAGGAGGCGGAATGGCTCAGAATCAACATTCACCGGTTGGAGCAGGCAGCTCGGATCAAGATTCCCGACCCTTACACGGTGGAAATCGGTCGGCAGACGCAACGACTTGACCTTCTCTCCCGCCTCTGAGCCATCGCTAGATCACCGACCGAGCGTCTCCCGGACCGTCTCCCGGGCCGCTTCAAGCAGCTCATCGTCTATTTCTATGCTGGGCCGTCGAATGCCGGATTTCAGCCGGGAATTTCCACCGACCCCTGCGCTGTCTGTTTATGGCAGCACAGACAGTATTGTGCTTTCGTCCGTGTTCGACGTGGAGAACGCGAGTGTCAGGAAGGATATCGAGCGCGACCGTGCCATGGCCGCGACTCCGCTCCTACCGCCTCTCCTCACCGATCAGCTGCCGGCCTCTACATGCTCGTCACTTCAGGCTTCGCCGTTGCAATCCCCAACTGTGGCCCCCTCGGTTCCCTCTCCCATTCTTGAGGCGCCTTCGCCAAACCCGAACCTCACGCCGCCTCTCAGCAACAAGCCCTCGGTGTCCTCGTTTCGTCCGGTGCCTACCATGACTTTTGCTGCCGCCACCTCTCCGACGGGCGAGACAGCTTCGCCGATCCCAAACCTGATCGAGCACGACAAGTGGTCTGATTGTCTTGGTCATGCCAACTTTACCATCCTTCCCCGCCCCCATCAGCCGGCAGCGACCAACCTCCAGGCCCTGTCGCTGCTGCGTGCGGATTGGGACCTGGCAAGGATCAACTACACCAAGCATCTGGTCCGGACGGGCGAGCACTACGGAACAACGTCCAACACTTACGCCCTCACTCAAGCGAAGTGGACCGAGATCGAGGGCGAGTGGCACTCGATAGAGGACGACCTCATTGAGCGCATTGTCCAAAACGGCAACGACGAGGCCTTGGCTGCACTCATGCGGCGTACGCAGGAAGATGGTCTCCCAACCGACATTCCAAGGATACTGGACGCTGAGGGCAAGTTCCCCGAGCGTGGCGATGTCGACATTGTCGGGCCCATGCAACGGGACGCGGTCATGCTTCGATGCGCCCCGGACGACAAGAAGAATGTCAGCGCCTGGCTGAAGAACCTCGCCGAAAAGGTCGGCCTACGGAAATGACCAGCACGTCACGCAGCCCTCAAACCCACCCTCACCTCACGAGCAAGCATTTTATGTGTATTCGATGTCACGACGATATGAAACCCCTCAAGACATAGACTTCATCGTATCCTGTCGCAACTTTTTTTTCACTCTTCCCCCCATTTCTTTCTTTTCCTTTCCTTTCCTATTTTTCTTTTCTTTTTTTTCTTACCTCCGATTCAAAGATACCCAGCCAACTCGTGCCGCTCATTTCGTTCTGTGTCACTGGCCTGGACAAGTACCAGGGCCAAGCACATTGTTATTTCTTATGTACCGGCGAGGATCGCCCCAATCTAATTTGTCCACTTCTACTGTTTACTACCAAAAACCAGCGTGGCTCCGCGAAGGAACCAGAGAATCATGTACGCTGTAGATACCCGCATCAGGCATGCTTGTTGTTTTTGCCTTTTGTTTTTGCCTTGGCCAAGCAGTGGCGACGCCATTTCTCGGGGGCGGGGTCAGCCAGGGGCAGTTATCACATGTGAGCCAAATGGGACTCAAAAATAGAAGGACACTAGTGGCGTACAGCATTTGGGATCGGGTCTGGGAGAGGGAAGGGGGATAGAATCCTGGACCAAGAAATGCTGGGAGATCACATTGTGTAGTACTGTTGTACACACATGGTCGCTGTCATGTATTTATTGATTTATACGTGGGACGACGGGGAGTTGGTGTGCAAGTGGCAGACACACGCGGAGGGAGGGCGGGAGAGAGGAGCAGCAGCATCCATGATGCCAGCAGCAGGCCTTCCACGGCTTCCAAAAGAGAAACATTACTGAAAATACCACTTCTGCCCCTCGCTGTGCCAACTCTTGATGAATCTGACGTCACCCTTTGGACGGGAAGGTTAGCTACCAACGGGTTTGTCCACCCGCGACGGGCAACAGGCGAAACACGTGGCGTCCAACAGGGTCTCTTCCGCTTGCTGAAGATTTCTGCTGTAAGCAGAGATACGTACCGGCATTCTTTAAATTTTTAATTTTTAATTTTATTTTTTTGAGAGTGAAAAAACGCCACCATGAAAAACGGAGCATCCCAAAAACCCAGCGGCGATACATCAAGCAACCAACAAACATTGCTGGTACACGACCGAACACAACAGACGAGACGCATGCGATGCGCCTGCCCGCCCTCAGCCCCCTTTTAACTCCACACTACTAAGTAAAGACTGGTGCACGTAGTAAGCCTAGGAGGTAACCTACCTGCCTACCTACCTGATGCCTCTGAGCCGGGCGCAGGGGAAAAGGCCAGGCCAGGCCAGGCACATCGCTGAGTGAGACCCTTTCACCCCACACAGCAAGCAGTGCGACGTAATGTTACGGGGGGTAGGTAGGTAGTTGTGAAAATAGCCACTAGCCTTGTCCCTGACCTTTCTTTCTTTCTCTTTCTTTTGATTCCGTCCTCGCTACCTATGGCGGGTCGGAGGTTCGCTCCGCGAAACACCATGTCCCGGCAAGTGGATTGGATAGCTTCTTCTGCGGCGACTGGCAGATTCCGGGACGCGGGGGCGGGTAGGCTGGGGGAGGGATATGCACCCTACCGGCAGGCAGGCTAGGCATGTTTGCGGGGACCTTTGTCGCGTCAGACCGGCCGGGAATGGACGGGACGGATGTCTGCGTCTTCTGGATCTCTGTCCGGGTCCCCGAGGAGGGGTGTACCGCCCAACGGAACGGACGATCTGGGGGGCCCGGGGCGGGAGGGGGGGTTTTGCCTGTCGCTTACCCGCGTAGGGGGATTGTAAGGGATGTAGTGATGCGTGGGACGCGGTCCCCCCCCTTTGTGTCTGCCGGTTAGACGACGGCAAATGGACGGTTTAATATGGTTTTCGTCCGGCCAGGCCGCGGCCCGAGAACTTCAGGGGGTGGGACGTAGTTGTTATTTGACAAGGCCGGTGGAAGTCATCCACCTGCTCCCCCCATGACGCAAGAGGTCGGCGCGCCTGCGCCAGCGCCCACGTTGCACTGCATGGCGTCGTCGTACACGGGGAAGAAAAGAAGAAGAAGCAAACCCCGGGTTTCCAGTGCCGGAGATCGATCGAGCCACCAAGTAGGGAGATGGGTGGATCCTGCCGATGCCGGGGAGGCGGGGTTTGCGTCTGCGGTGCGGCCGTTACTGGGCCGGGCCAGAGATATGTAACCTTGCCGAAGGCGCAGGCAGGGGCCGAGCCTCATTGTGCTCGTTGCTGTGGTTTCTCGTGCTGCGTTCTAAGCGAAGGACGGCGTTGCACTGCGATACCGCTCTACGGTTATCAGGACAGCACACAAGGAAGCAAAGTAAGGGAAGCAAAGAGTAGCAATATCAAGGCTTTCTCAAAGCCGACCTGCTGCTCTGGTGGCATAACAAGCCATTACGGACAATAGAGCCTCTGCTCTTGCAAGCGGCCAAAGTTGTTCTAGTTATTAGAAGTATTCTATGGCGGTCGGAGCTTCTCCACCTCGGTCTGAGCAGCTCAATGGCAACACTCATTCAAGTGCCGAGCCGCGATACGTGTTCTTCCCGTTGGATATGTCGTGTGAGCCGGATGAGCCAACCGCCTGTTAGCTCGCTTGTTCCTTGCTGTCTGATATTCGGCCGGTATCCTGCAACAGGACGACCGTAAACCAGACGGGCAGCCCAAACGACTCCGTCGTTCTCTTGACTCGCGGCATACACATGCCATGTCCTCCGCATGGCCGATCTTAACGCCGGAGTCCACCACGCAGGCGACTCAACATACTGTCGGACAGTCTTGGCGTTTTGGGATGACATCAAACCAAGCATACCGTATCGTGTAATTATGGGAGCTGACTCGTGGTCCTCCTCTCAACCCCTCCAAGTGTCTCTCGACCGGCTAGGTGTAGCTTCGTTGTCGAGGATATTTGGTGCATGACTCGTCCTCTTTGTCACGGTACAGAAGGCCCTCTCGACGTGGTGTCCCCTCAGCGCCTCTTCACACCATCCATCCACTCCCTCCCAGCCCTCGTCCCATCGTGCGCCTTCCTAAACAGCTTCCTCTCCCACTCATCCAGCCCCCTGAGGAACTCCCCACCCGCCCCGCCGACCCCGAGATTGCTCCCCTCGTCAGCCCCAGCCGCGGCCGCAGCGGCGGACGAACCCCCCGAGGACCCCTTCGCCGCCGCGACACCACCACCACCACCGCCGGCCTTCCGCGCGTGCAGGGCAACCTCAGCGGCGCGAGCGGCAAAGGTGCGGCGCAGGACGGCGGCGAGATCGGGCTCCTCGAACAGGTCGAGCATGCGGGCGGCGAGGCCGTAGAAGTGGGCGCTCTGGTCGCGCAGGGCGACGGCGCGCGGGTCAGCCTTGAGGGCCTGGGCGACGTCGTTGGAGAGAGCCGGGGGGAGGTTGAGCGTCGCGAAGGAGCGGGCCTCGTCCGGGTCGCCGTCGGGGTTGTCGTCGTCGGTGGTCGTTGCGGCCCTGTGGGTGTTGGCGAGGGCGAGCATCTCGGCTAGCCAGAGGGGGAGGTTGAGCTGCGTGCCGGATTTGAGCGGCTGCGAGGGGCTGTTGTCTAGGTAGCCGAGGCTGGGGACGTCGATCTCGAAGGTACAGGGTATTTTCTGGTGGGGGAGGGGGGTTTGTGAGCTGTGAATAGAAGGCTGGGTTTTGTTTTTGGGGGGGTTACCTCTGCATCCGTGAGGATGGCATCAATATCGTAATATGACATGGCTGTAGACAATTGGCCTTATAAGTGGCCAAGAGAGCCGATTTTGTTGGTTGCCGCCGTTTACAACTGGGCAAGATTCCGTGGGTGGAAAGTCGCGATGCCTGACGCGACTGTGGCGCGTGGTTACGGTCAAGCCACAGCGGGTGGTGGCACGGGCTCACGGGTGGGTAACATGGGCCAAGACTAGGCATGACGACAGACTTACCTAGCTGCGAGACTTAACAGAGTGCCGAGCTTTCCAGGTGTTTCCTCGCCGGTCTTGACATCATCTCCTCAACAACATCCGATTGTGGAATTTAATTGTTGACCGAGTAAAAGCTGTCTCGATTGCCAACCGTCCGTTCTTTCCAATTGATTGAGATTGCCAACTGGAGATCTTAGCAAACATGTCTGCTACCCTTCTGCGAACAGTTCCCGCTCTGCGGGGAGCTCTCCGAGCTGGAGCTATGAAGCCTGCAGCCGCTCTCGCAAGCACTAGCTTCATCCGAGGGAAAGCCACGCTCCCCGACCTGCCGTGTAGGTGATCTTTCTATCAACTGCTATTCTCGGCGATCCAAGAGGTCCAAAATGGGGGCCGGGTTCCATTACCCCCCTGTTCTTGCTTTTGGTCTACCTTTTTTCTTCTTCTCGACCTCGGCCTTGTTCGGAAATACGGTGCTAACCTGCCTTGCGTCGGCCATTCTAGACGACTATGCCGCCCTCGAACCCTACATCTCCGGCAAGATCATGGAGCTCCACCACAGCAAGCACCACCAGACCTATGTCAATGGCCTGAACAGCGCCCTTGAGTCGATTGAAACGGCCGAGGGCAAGGGTGACTTCACCCAAGCCGCCTCGGTCGCTCCCCTGCTCAACTTCCACGGCGGTGGCCATCTGAACCACTCGCTCTTCTGGGAGAACCTCGCCCCCGCGAGCAGGGACGGCGGCGGTGAGCCCGCGGGCGAGCTGAAGGTGCGCCCGATTCCATCGCTTCCTCCTCTATCGCATCTTGATCTTTAGGCTAACCTGGGTTGTTCACCACATGTAGAAAGCTATCGAGAGGGATTTCGGCTCGCTGGAGACCTTCAGGAAGAAGACGAACACTGCCCTGGCCGGCATCCAGGGCAGCGGCTGGGCGTGGCTGGTCAAGGACAAGCAGAGCGGCACCCTGGGTCTGGTCACCCGCGCGAACCAGGACCCCGTCACCGGCACACTCGAGCCGCTGCTGGGGATCGACGCTTGGGAGCACGCCTACTATCTCCAGTACGAGAACCGCAAGGCCGAGTACTTTGATGCTATCTGGAATGTCATCAACTGGAAGACGGTGGCCTCCAGATTCGAGAAGTCCTAGGTTTTGGGGGTGCTGTGTATATTATCTTCCGAACCCAGATTATCCATGGCGTGTGCCAGCAATAATTATTCATTCTATCATTCCAGTCTGTAGAGTCTATGGTTGAAGACGCATGTCCGGTAGTCTCGAGTTACCTTAGGCTATGTCACGTTGACTGATCCTGGAATCGCTCGACTTACCTGTTCAAGCTACTTAATACTGTGATACTGACGACGCACCGGGTTGTCATCGCGGTCACCGAGGTCCCGTCCTGCTGGATAACACCCCGTCCGCTCGTGGGAGACTAAGTCGCCTAGAAAGAGTAAGCGGCTCTGACCACCCACCCAGTCAATGTCGTCAAACGCCGAGCACAGCTGTGGGGAGGGGGAGGCGCGGAGGAAGAAAACCGGTCGTGCAGAGAGCGCCGAGGCTGGAGGGAGGCCGGGAGGCGTCTCCCAGCTCTGCGCGAATTGGGATTTGTGCTCGAACTCAAAGGCTAGCCACTCGAGAAGCCGGGGGCCGCTCGGGGTCGTGGCGGCCGCGGTACAAGATGTTGCCCTCCGGGACGGTGACAGGCATGAAGGAGAGCCCGTTGTGGTCCAGGGAGGAGCCCCACTGCCGTGGCGCTCGGCGTTGAAGATGCGGATCGCGTTGGGAGCCGCGCCGGCCACTTTGGGGTTTGACAGTGGGTGGTGCCTCGAGGATGGCGATGACGAGCAGCAAGAGGCTGCAACGGTGATGGAGAGGAAGGAGAGAAGGGCACGCAAAGGCCAGACGGGAGACTGGCGGGAAGCTGTGGCGTTGGCTCGCTGCGCCTACTACGTCCAGGGGGGTTGTGGCCAGCATTGATTTTAATATTCAGGCAGCCGCGCAAGGGTATTATTCATTGCATGCTCTCGCTCGTTATCGCTCTCGTTTGTTGAATTCGCCCGCTTTTTAAATCCTCCATGCAAGCCACCCTCAAGGCTTACGACTCAATGACCCACATCTTTCCTCTTTTTAGGGGCTTCTCTAGACACCTTGGAAGCTTCCCCTGGTAGGGCTGGTTTGTACGGCAATCCTGCCGGGGCTGGACGGGTTTCCGGATAAGATCCTGTGTTGTAACTGCCCAGTCACCGTGCTCCTTCAGCTGACAGCTCCATTCTCACTACAACCAAGCCCGCTCCTGCTTTTGTCGCTGGTGCCGGTATTTATTAGGTACGTCAGCACTACATGCTAAGGTAACGTGTAGGATGAAATTCGACCTGCAACTCGAGCGAGAACGAGATCGAGGCCTGGTTCTACCGAAGGACGCGCAATGTTGTTGGGATCGGTGTTGAGCCGAGTCATATAAGAGTGCCATCTGTAAGTTCAGTTGGGACGGCTGGGTGATTGTAAACACAAGATTTCCATCGTCTCATTTGCAAAGTGACTGAAGATAATATCATCGACATGCGGTTCTCACCATCTCTCGCCCTGCTGGGCGTTCACCTTGGTGGTGTGACAGCAGCAGCCCAGCCTGGCCTAGCCATGTACCCACTCTCCAACGACACGCAGTTCGCCTTCATCCTCGCAGAGAAGCTCTCCCTCGCCAACGGTGGCGGCGCCGCGACGGGCGAGATCCTGCGCGCGGCCTCACAGATTGCGCCGGGCGACTTCGAGTCCTTCTACCGCGAGTTCAAGTTCCTGGCCGACAGCATCCACGCGGCGGGCAGCGGTGCCAAGCACCCGTCGGCGCGGCGCGAGGCCTTCTTCCGCTCGTCGGCCTACTACCGCGCCGCCGACTTCTTCCTGCACGGCAACGCGAGCGACCCGCGGCTCGAGACCCTGTGGGAGAGCTAGCTGGCCGACTTCGGCGAGGCCATCTCCCTGTTGCCAGTGCCAGGGGAGCGGACCACCGTGCACGCCAAAGGGTTCGACATCCCCGTCATCTTCTACCCCGCCCCCCGCAGCCGGGGCAACTGCACTGCCGTCCGCCGTCCGGCCTTCCTCGTCGGCAACGGGTACGACGGCCCGCAGGAGGACCTGTACCACTCCATCGGCCGCCAGGTGCACGAGCGCGGGTGGAACTTCGCCACGTACGAGGGGCCCGGCCAGTCGACGGTGCGGCGGCAACAGGGGCTAGGGTTCCGGCCAGACTGGTGGAGCGTCGTGACGCCCGTGGTGGACTACCTGTCGGGGCGGGCCGATGTCGACACCGACCGCGTCGCCCTCGCGGGCTACTCGTTCGCCGGGACGCTCGCGCCCCGGGCCGCCAGCCGCGAACACAGGCTGGCGGCGGTGTTGCTCATCGACGGCCTGTATAGTCTGCAGGCGGCGCTGAGGGACCAGTTCCCGCTGGAGCTGGTGCAGCTGTTCGACTCCGGGAACAAGACCTTATTTGACGCGGTCGTGAACGAGGCGCGTGCCAACACCAGCACCGTCACCCAGTTCCGCTGGCTGCTCGACCAGGGCACCTGGGCGTTCGACACGGCGAGCCCGTTCGAGTGGTTCACCCAGCTGGGCGAGTACACCCTCGACGGCATCCTCCCGGACGTCCGATGCCCAGTCTTCGTCGCGTCCGGCGAGAACGACGACACCGCGCCGGGCCAGCCGGAGGAGGTCGCTAAGCTGCTCGGCAGCCAGGGGTATTACCACCTGTTCAAGACGGATCTTGGGGCCGGCGAGCACTGCCAGCTCGGGGCGGAGCCGCAGCTCGCACAGGTTAGCTTGGATTGGCTGGAAGGCATATTCGAAGGCATCGGCCAGGAAGGGGGGAGCTAGAAATAGGTGGTCGTCGGTCGGTGATGGCCATGCTCAACTGTGTCACTATACTACATTAACGGTCGCTCTTTCGATTAACGGTCGCTCTTTCGCCGTCTCTTTTTCCTTTCTCTCTGAAGACGAGCCATTTAGAAACTTAGGTACCTACCTATTTAATAATGAGGCATTCAACTGCCCGTCTGTTGGAGCATCGAGTTGTGGAGCTTAAAGGTGGGCCTTTCGGAAGTGCCCGCCCCTGCATTTTAACACGAGCGAACTAGCAAATTAAGCGACTTTATGCTGGAGATGCGGGGTCTTCGTTGGGGGCCGGCCAATGGCTAGGAATTGGGCGCGCGAGCAATGGCATCATCTGGCCTGGGAGGATTTTGTCTGTGCTACAGTGGCGCCATACTATTACAACAGGATGAGACTGGTCGAAGCCTAGTTAGGCAATGTGGTTGGCAGTTAGCATGCATGCGGTGGCGACTCGAGGCGCCAAGAGAGGAGGAAAGAGGATAGGGAGAAACTGGCCGACATCCAATCCCTGTTGCATGTGCTTGCTGCCCACCACTTTTTGAGGGGCTCTCCGACAAATCGAATCCACGCTGCTTGCCAAAGCTCACATTGGCCTCTCTCCTGCCCAACAATAATAAGCTATTACTGTGCCTGCACAGATGGTATGTTTCTACACAGCCCTCGAGGCGCTCTACTCTATGGGCTGTTTCGCAGCCCATGTCGGTCTCTTGCGATCCAGGCATGGCATCATGCATTGGCGCGTGATGTCCATAGTACGATTACAGTAAGCTTGGCTTTAGCTGATGACGTAGGGCATATAGGGAGAGACCGCGCCTCAGGACCCGGTACATCTAGACTCCAAACATCTCTTATTCTGCTGCATCATTCCCCAAGCCAATCTTTTCTCCATTCGAGATTTGCAGATTAGTTAGCAACCCAAATTACTACTTCCCTACCTACTCGACGAGGCCCTGATTAATAAGGGGACATTAAACGAGCAAACCACTACCCGCGGCCTCTCGTACAGCTGCAGCAGGTAGTCAGGTAGGGATATTCGTCCTCGTCCGACGAGCAAGGGCAGTTGCAGCAAGCCTGTTGCAACCTGCACCGACACCGCCCCTTGAACGAGTAACACTGGTCTCGGAGCGGGTTCACCGGAGAGACCTGTCGATATAAAAAAGCAACAAGCAGTGGCCATCGACCCAACCAGGCCAGGAAAGGTGCGACAAAAAGTGAACTGGTCGCAGAAAAAGGACAAGCACGGATCCCTGCTCTTGAGTTCTTGTGAGTTGGTTCGAACTTTGCGTTGACCCCAACCTCTCGCTCCTCCTCACGGTGATTTGATGGTGCCTCTCACCGACTCTTCACTGCACACAAGTGTGTCAGACAGAGCCTCGGACATCTCAAGACAGTTAGTTACCTTGGGGGTGGCGGCCACCCATCCAATAAGGCATCCTGGAAGGGGTTGATTCCGGCACGCGCGCAGGCAGGCGGCGTGCAGGTAAAGTCACCTTGAGCCAGCCGCATGCCGATACCCCACCATCCCTTCTGGCCCCTCCAACTCCCCGTCCCCGGACTCGGCTTCATCCCTCACTCACCCCACCCCCCTTCCCCTCCATTACACCTGGTCAACAGTCAACACTGATAACCCGAGGGGAGACATTGGGGGGCGAGGAGATTGGCGATGAGGGGGGCAGATAGAAGCCACCCCGCCATACTTAGTTTACGTTATTATCCTGGCACTTCAGAACAGCCAATTGACATGTACAGGTACTTTCTAGGACCTGCTCACCCACCACCCGCCACTCACCACGGCCCCAACATCGGGCTGTCTCACCGGGATTGAACTGGCACCGGACGCAGGAAACCGTACTCCAGGGTAGCACTACCAAACCGCAGAAATTGTGGAAAGCTGAACCTTGGAAGCCCAAGCAAACACTGTCAGGGGTAAACCTACAACCTACCTACCTACCTACCTTACCCTCACCAATACCTAGGTACCTACCTAGATATCTACCTCGCGAATACCTATATAGACACCTCCCTCCCCGAACTTCATAATGTCCGAGCCATCTCGTCAGGTAGGGGAAGAGCCCATACTTCGCCCTCACAAGACTCAATTCCAACCTCCAGTCGATCAGGCCCAGGCCCAGGCCCAGGCGCAGGACCAGGATTTCCACGGTGGTAAGCCCCCCCTGCACTTTCCTCACGACCTAGCAACGCAGCTTGCAGGGTCAAAGTGACCGAGTCGGACGGGCTGCAGCTGCACGAGTACCCCTGCTGACCTGCGTCGCACCCCAGAACCTCTTTCCACTTCTAGCTCTTGCACTCCGTCTAATCGAGCTTCACCACCTGCTCCTTCCCCGAAAACTACTTTATCTCGGCCTGCCCCCCAGGCAGATCCTTCATATTCCTCATCCTCTCGGTCGATTCACCCTCTTGCCGACACTTACTCGCAAGACCAGGACTCTCGCGATTCATCTTCCACAGAAACCCCCCTGCCAACCACGCACCACCGCCACCACCGCCACCACCTAAGGGATCTTCTCAAGCACGAACGAGGATCTCCAAGCCCATCGGAACACGCAAGCAGGCCCTCCACTCCTCAGCAGAAGTCACCACACCTAAGAACTCTCCGGTCCTTCATCCTATCCGTCATGGCTTTTGAGAAGGGTCGCAAGTTCTCTGCGGGCGCTTCGGCGCACCGCAAGAGGCAGATGAGCTCGATCGTGGAGAAGGAAGGTCAATTCGGACCATCTCTCACGGTACGTCGTCGCCCAGTACCGTCCACTCATCATTGCCCCTCCCTGCTGACATTGGTCCCCCCACCCCAAGACCCTCTATCTCGGCATTTCCGCCGTGTTCTCGGATGATCACACTGCCGTTGTCGCCTTGGCAATCCACGACACTGTCTACCTGATCGACTTCTCCGTCAAGCACATTGTGCTTGACGATGCCCTGAAAATGGGCCAGGATGTCATTGCCGACTTCGTCATTAGCGAAGCCGAGAAGTACGAGCATGAGCACTTTGTCAAGTTCATTGGAGCCGGCCTGCCCACCACGCTCAAGTACATGAGCCCCAGTCTGTGCTCCCGCTTGTGGCTGGAGCTGGACATTGTGCCCATCGTGATGCGTCCGGATGACGACTTCAAGGAGAAGAGTTTCTGGGATGCCAAGCGCGTTGACGAGCAGGCTGATTCCATGGCCCGCAAGTGCATCATGTGAGTCCATTTCCCAGGTCTGGTCGAAAACGAAGGGGAAAGGGGAAGAAGACTTGAGCTGACACACCGCTCTTAGGAACTTTGGTCCCTCGCTTGTTCCTCTTCTGCAGGTTGGATTCCGAGGCGTCGTCCAGACTGATGCTGGTTTCCGCGCCCATCTCACTACCCTGCAGAACCACAAGGACACGTGCAGTTCTCCCACCTGGGAGAGCATGTTGACTTATGCAAAACAGCTTCGTGGGAATGACATCCGCGTGGCCTTTTTTAGCTCCACTCCCCAAGGGGGCGGTGTGGCTCTCATGCGTCACGCACTGGTCCGCTTCGCTCGTCTGATGGGTGTCAATCTGACCTGGTATGGTAAGTGCCATGAATCCACCCTCTAGGCGCCTTGAAGCTTTTTGTTCTCGATTACTGACACCCCACAAAGTTCCCAAGCCGCGGCCTGGCGTATTCAGAATCACCAAGAACGTCCACAACATCCTCCAGGGTGTCAGCCATCCCGACCAGCGCATCACTGCCGAGGAGAAGCAGGCCATCATTGATTGGATCGATGAGAATGCCAACCGGTACTGGTTGTCCGAGGGCGGTCCTCTCCGTCCAGTAGAGGAAGGCGGCGCTCATGTTGCCATTGTCAGTGCCCACCTCTACTCTCTCTGCTTTCCCCCTCGTAGTCTTGGCCCCACCTGGTCGTCGGCAAACACTGACAACATGACAGATCGATGACCCGCAAATGCCCGGCTTGATCCCGCTCATCAAGAAGTTGACCCCTAATCGCCCGGTCCTTTACCGGTCCCACATCCAGATCCGGAGTGACCTCGTTGCCAAGTCTGGCTCCCCCCAGGCCGACATCTGGGACTTCCTGTGGAGCAATATCCAGGAGGCAGACATGTTCATTAGCCACCCGATCCCCATCTTCGTCCCTCACACGGTTCCGAAGGAGAAGGTCGTCTACCTCCCGGCAACAACCGATTGGCTCGATGGTCTCAATAAGCCAATGAATAGTTGGGATTCTGGCTACTATGGCCACATCTACAATGTTGCGTGCCACTCCCAGCGCATGTGAGTATCTGCCCACGGCCTAAACGCCATGTCCAAGATATCTGTAGCTGACCGTTGTGCAGGACCGAGCTGCACTGGCCGGCCCGCCAGTACATCATCCAGGTGGCCCGCTTCGACCCAGCAAAGGGCATCCCGACTGTCATTGACTCGTACGCTGAATTCCGCCGCCGATGCGAGAAGGCCGGTATCGTGGACGTCCCTCAGCTCGTCGTTTGTGGCAATGGATCGGTCGATGATCCTGATGCCAGTTTGATCTATGACCAGACGATGAATCAACTTGAGACACACTACCCGCATCTCATGAAGGACATCAGTGTCATGCGCTTGGAACCGAACGATCAGTTGCTCAACACCCTCATCGCCAAAGCTCACGTCGTCCTCCAACTCTCTACTCGCGAGGGCTTTGAGGTCAAGGTCTCCGAGGCTCTCCATGCTGGCCGCCCCATCATTGCCACCAAGGCAGGCGGCATCCCCCTCCAGGTCAAGGACGGCGTCAACGGCTTCCTTGTCACCCCGGGCGACTGGAAGGCTGTCGCCGGCCACCTCATGGAGCTCTTCACCGACGACAATCTATACAAGAAGATGAGCTATGCTGCCAAGACGGGCGTCTCGGACGAGGTCGGCACCGTTGGCAACGCCCTCGGGTGGTTCTACCTCGCCGCCAAATGGGCCGAGGTTGGCGTCGAGAAGAACGGCAAGGGCGGCCTGAAGGGCAACGAGCGATGGGTCAATGACATGGCCCGCGAGGAGGCTGGTCATCCGTACTCGGACAACGAGAATCGCCTCCCCCGTCATTTCACCGAGAAGAAGAACCTCACCGTGGATACTGTCGTCGACGCCAAGAGTGCCACGCCAGCTGCACCGGAAGAAGCCCCGGCGGCGGTAGCTTAAGAAGAGGGAACCATGTCGGACCAGAAAACGAAAAGTGAAATTGGCCCAAAATCGCTTGCTTTTGCTCGTATTTAGTTGACGATCGTTGCGGTGGAAAAGCACTCTAGACATGGCAGGCACAAAAAAGAGGTACCTCGAGAAATGCATGGCTAGGTAGATCAGATAGATGGGTAGCTGGCGAATCCAATCACTTCTCCTCGTCCTGAAGGCTAGTAGTGCCTGCACTTGTAGCTGCGATTCCGAGAGACGGAGTTGTGTTCGCATTGCATTGCATTGAATTTAGATACCACTGAAGTACGAATATTACGCAGGCAGTCGGGGCTTTAGGCGAGATACCGTGCTTTTAAGGTTAGTAGGATCCTGTACGGATCATTTAGGTAGGATTATGGGGTCCTTTTAACGTTATCCTGGGGCTCGGGGGAGTGGGGCATTGACCCCGAGACAGTAGACGGGGGGGCTGGGCCGCCCCCCAAGATACGGCTCCCGGTTTTTTTTTGCAGCCGTGCGGCGTCAAATGACCACCGCAATCTCCCTTCTCCTTGCCTCGGCATCCTTCTTTCTATCTTCATTCGCCTCCAATGCATCGTTATCGACTACATGAGTCTTGAGGAGATTCACTTTGAAGCCATGCGCCAGCCATCACAGCCTCGAATTTCCACCTCGGAAGAAACTCGGTAGCATTTTCCCAACTTTTGGCCCCGACCAACCTCTTTCCCGATGAGCTTTTCGCGCTCCTGCCGGCGCCCCCGGCGCCTGGCGCTGGTGGCGCTCATGCTCTGCGCCTCGTCGATACTCACCTTGTATATCATGGCGCCGCCGACATGGGAATTCGCGCCGCTGAACTTCTTCGAAGACCACTCAGTGAAGCGGATGCCCGTGGCCGAGCCGCTGGCCCCGCTCAGCAAGCGGGTGGCATGCCAGGGGCCTAGGGGTCGCGACTTGTCGTCCAGCCCCGATGACGAGCTGCTATCCGTAAAGCTGAACATCTGTGAGGACCCCATCCAGTCCCTCTCACCTTCTCATCGGAGTCGGCGCACAACCCTGCTAACAGCATCCCCCCCTTGCAGCGTATCCAACTCCGTTTATCGGGTCGCACAAAGACCTTGGCCTCGAACAGACGTGGATGACGGTCGATGGTCGATACGGGCCGTACGGGTATGGAGAGGAGGACGGGGCCTACGGTCGGGCGAAGGTCGACTGGGACAAGGTGAATTGGGGAGGGCTGCAGAACAAGTGCTTTGAGCAGAACAAGCAACGATTCCCCAGGGCAGCGACCGGGTTCACAAACGAGCCGAGGTTCCGCCCGACGGACGCGGAGGTGCCTCCAGCTGTTCCGACCTGGGACCAGTTCAACAGCACCAGGCGGACGGCGATCGTGGTCCGTGCCTACAACGGCTTCCACTACAAGCCCGAGGACATGTTCAACCTCCGGTCGCTCATGGTGGAGACGTCGCTGAGGACGGGCGGGGAATACGCCGTGGTGCTGCTGGTCAATATCCGGGGCAAAGACAGCAACATCTTCGCGTCCAAGGAGAGCTACGACAAGGCCTTCGAAGCGGCCAACATCCCCGAGGAGTTCCATTCGATCGCGCTGCTATGGGACGAGGCCCTCCTCAAGAGCTGGTACCCCAAGGTCGGGGAGCACAGGACCGAGTGGCAGGTGTTCCAGCCGCTGCAGCTGTTCGCGCTGCACTACCCGGAGTTCGACCACTACTGGCAGCTGGAGATGGACGTGCGCTTCCTCGGCGACGCGGGCGCGTACCTCGACGCGGTCTCGGCCTTTGCGCGCGCCGAGCCCCGCAAGCAGGCCCTCGAGCGCAGCACCTTCCCCCACGTGCCCGCCGAGGACGGCGACTACGCCGCCTTCGCTGCCGCCGTCGACGCCGCCAACGCGGGGGGGTCGCGCGTCTGGGGCCCCGTGCGCATCCCCGACGTGTCGCCCATCGGGCCCGTGCCGCCCGTCCGACGGCCCCGGGACGACGCACGCGGCGCCGGAGCCTGGGGCGTGGGCGAGGACGCCGACGTGGTGGTGACGTCGGCGTGCGCCGACGCGACTTCGTCCACCACGTGGGTGTACCGCGACTGGGTGGGCGGGCTGCGGCGCGGGCGCGACACACCCCGGCTCTTCTGCCCGCCGGCCATCATGCGGTCGAGCAGGGCCCTCCTGCTGGCCGTGCACGACGCGCAGGTGCGGCTCGGGGTGCGCCTGCCGAGCGAGTCGACGCTGCCGAGCTTCGCCATGTGGCATGGCCTCAAGATGAGCTATCCGCCGCAGCCCGTGTACTTCGGGCGGCGGGACGATGCGGAACTGGCGAGGGACTGGTATCGTGGTGGGCCGAGGAACTCGTCGGGCGGGTTGGGCCCGTCGGATCCGCAGCGCTCGCCCGAGGGGGGGTTGTCGTGGTGGTGGGAGAATAAGTGGCCGAGGGAGATTGTCGACGCGTGGGTCGCGGGCGACGCCGGGCGGGCGGACTTGCCGTATCTGCTTGGTGTTGAGGGCGGGAGGGTGTATGCGCCTAATGTGGCGCTCCATCCGGTCAAGACTCAGTGATGCGTGTAGGGCGTACCTGTTGATGGCATCGGGTGCGTTGTCTGGCGGGCATAGGACTGTGGAATTGGCGCCCGCCTTTTTTGTATATTACGGAGCATTGGATACCCTGTTTGGAGGATTGGCCCTCTGCCTTTAGCAGCATAGTTCATACATCATCATTATCGCCGTCGTCCTCATGGTTTTGGCAGTTCGCGAGTTGTTGTTGAAGTTTCCCTGGTCCTGCCTCCTTTGGGGGAAAAGATGACTGGTTCCGGTATCTAACTCTAAAGAACCCTTCACCTCTCTGCATAGCCCCCAAGTCCCCGATGTTGAACCTTCCCCCGACCCCATGCGCCGAAGTTCCCCGTCCTGTCGCCCACCCGGTTTGTGCCGATGCCAACCCCCTGAGCAGGGAAAGGCACCAGGCGCGTCGTCGACAGTTTACATCAATCTCTTACGGTGGCCACTGCAACTTGTCTACTATGTTGGTGGCGACTTCATTTTGCCTTGGAGACAATGTGTGATGGCCCCTTACCTCCCGAACCACCCTTCAAGGTAGCCGTTTTCACTCTGCCATATCGGCGTTGTTCTGAAAGAACTAGAGGTAGGACGTAACAAAGTTGGACAAATATGGACCTGTTTAGTCAACTCAAAAATTACTTGACGCACCAATGCCTGAGTCTCTGCAGGGAAGCAAAAATAGTTACGGTTGCCTATTGAAGTTTGAATCCATCGTTGTCTTCCAGAAACAATCGTTAACAGACAGGCTATGCTACGAAAATGATTATTGCACAAACACCTGGCACCAGACTCCAAGAACGAGTGGTGAAGTATGTGTAGTTCCATGCACCCGAGTGTCTTGTTGACCTAACCAAACCCCCCTAACCTACCTCACCAGAGCAGGGGTAGAATATTCTACCTAGTTGCCATGACGTCGTGAAGCTGAGCTCTCCTTTGAAATGTCTCATACAGTCTCAGATTCTAGATTATCCCCCGTACCTCGCCATGGACATCCCTCCGCGAGAAAGAACTGAGCAACTCTACAACAGCTTCAAGCGGAGCTTGGCAGCGCTGTTGCCCACGACTTCTTGCTAGCACGCTGTCCCTCCTCAAGCTTGTCTCTAATTCCACGTCGATACGACTCCCCTCATCGCCGATCCTTTCTACGGCTCGTTGGAGCCTTCAATATTTCCTCGTAGTCTCTCACATCGCAATCTGTTGCTGCAGCCTCTGCACCTATGGCCAACTTGTGTTATCATTGGTAGATGGCGGTTTGAAGGTGTTCCCAATCTGCACACCAGGCTCTGGGTCCTTCAAGAGCGAATCCTATCCAGTCGGACCTTGGATTTCGGGCTCGATGGCCAGCAGTGGCGTTGCAGGGAGATGGTTCTTGGCGAGTCGGCGCCAGTTGCTGATACATCAGACAACTTCGAAGAGTTCGAAGTGCATAAGTGGATTTCCAGGGACCGCCGTGCCGCTGATCCCTCGGGTTTTCCGTTTACTACATGGTACGCAGCCATGGAGGCCCATAGTAGGCGACACGTGACGGACATTGCCGACCAGCTTCCCGCTGTTGCAGGCGTGGCTACCCTTATGAATGCGCCTTACAATCAAACATACCTCGCTGGCTTATGGCTTGAAGACCTAGTCTGGGAATGGGGACTAGGATTGTACAAGGGTTTACCTGGGGAGGACGTCCATCCCAGGGCGAACATGGATACCAACGCTAACGGCCACACATACCTCGCGCCGTCCTGGTCTTGGTCCTAGCATCCAAACGGATTCGTGAAGCCCGTGCCCCGGGCGGCTGGCGATTCAAATGAGCACTCCGTGACAGTCATCGAAGCAAAGTGTGAGCCGGAAAACAAGACCGATAATCCCATGGGAAAGTCCTTCCTGGGGCCTTTCTGAAACTGCAAGGCCGGCTCAAGAGAGCGCTTGTTCAGCCGCTGTCGAACCGCTGTATCGTCGATCGCAGTGGGTGCCAATTCCAATGGGTATCTGAGGTCGTCGATCCCGAGTCAGGTAAGATCGTTGGCTTCATCGCGCTTGACTGCCAACCAGACAAGGATAAGTACTTTGAAATATGGTGTCTACCCATTTTTAGAGCCGATAATGTTAGAGGGCGGGCCTCATTGATGTGTGTAGGTCTCGTCAAGTTCACAGGAGCGATGGGGACTTTCCAGCGCCTGGGGCTTGTAGCCGTTCTATCGGAGGGATGGCAGTATAAGGTTAGCTTGAGCGAAATGTACTCCCGGGACTCGAAGGATGAAGTGAGCAGAGATAGCGGGGAGGGTCAAGATGAAGAGAACAGAGATGGCGGGGAGAGTGAAGATGACTGGGACACAGAAGATGAAGAGGACAGCGAAGAGGGCATCGAAAGGCTTGAGTGTCTGGAGCATGGAAAGTACTGGGCCCTGTGCGACAAAGAGGCCGAAAGGGTAGGGATGTGGCACGATGATGTTTGGCCCACTGATCCCGTTATTATTACAATAGTACCTATAGAGAGGTAGGACTTGATGACGGCACCTGATACATATATTCAGCGATGGCTACGAATTTATTGACGTCAATACATGACTCTGAGCCCATTTGAGACATTCTGGCGATGGGAACTCGCACCTGGTCAGGTCAAGAAGACACTCGGCGGTGAGCCGCCCACAAAAGGGGTGATCTGAAACAAGCAGGTGGGGGAGCTAGGGAAGATCACATGACTCGCGGATGTTTCGAGGCACGTGCTTTTACAGCGCTGTCTTTCCAGGGAAGGTGATGCGATCCGCTTAGGATGGAGATAACCCAGGCGGTCTCGTCGGGCCTTAACATTAACAGAGGTGCCTAATGCGAAGTGAACAGATGCCTGGTTCGAATGCGCGAGATCTAGAGAGTGGGGGCTTCTTTCGTTTGTCCATAGGTATTCCATGCTACCTAAGTATGCGTATCTGCAGCATAAGTATCTCAGGTAGGTAGTCTGTATGCAGTCGTAGCTCACATTGCGTCAAAAGGAAGCTTTCGAGACGGGTTATCGAAATTCAAAATCTTCAAGAGACCGAAAAAAGTTTGACTAAAATGGTTGGTTGGGTTGCAAAAGGTGACAGTGGAAAAGGCGCGGTGACCGGGGAAGGCCCAGCCCGAACGAACCAATGTTTGGGCGGCTTGGTGGGCGCAAATCCAGGCAAGCGCCAATGTGGACGCACGAGGCAGAATCAACGACTTCGGGACACTCCTCCCGACTTCATTTCAATTTCGACTGCAAAATAATCCGCATCGCCCATCGCCAGCGCTCTTACCGCGCACACGTCGCTCAACCCGGCCAAGCGCTCGATGGCCTCCAACATCCATCATTCCGCGTCGCGACAACATTTGTAATTTGTACCATCAGAAGGTTTATCTCCGTTGTTGTTCAAGGATACCGGCGCTGAGGTCCGTGACCTCCCCCAATCTCTTCCATTCAGGTTTCTTCCCCAGTCATCCGTCCGCGAGACGCCAGAGAGCAGCATTGCCCATCTCCGGCCGCGCAACTGCGAGAGAGACGCCTCAATCAAGCCCTCTTCTCCAGCTCGCTGCACCTTCTGCCACCGTCACATGCTTCGCTCACGAGGCTTGACACGCCGTGCAATTCCCCGCCGGGGCACGGAAGCTTCATTCTTACATCATCACATCTAAGACAAATCTTCACAACGACCAGCCTACTGACTTTATCGCTCTGCTTCAGATACTAGATACATCGAGATACCCCATCCACGACGACTAGTCATACTAGTATTTGCATAGGCATTTTTTTTCCTAGCACACGATTATAGACCGCGATCGGAGTCGGCTTGGGTCGCACGATATATTTCTCCCCACCGACATCGTTTCCCTCCCTCCCTTGGTAGTCCGACATCGACGCATGTCCTGCCTCGACGGCGAACATCTGAATCCGAAACCCCATATATTCCTCCGTTTGGCGTTGTCGCCGCCACGTGCCCGACGCGGTGACGTAGCTGGCACTCAACTGCCAAGATGTTCTGGAGATTTGGCGCCTACGCCAGCATCTCTGCCATCGACACCATTCTCGACAAGCCCGACTTTACGCTTGAAGATCTACTCGACGAAGGCGACCTCATTCAGGAGCTCAAACAACACAATGCCAAACTCGTCGAGTACCTTCGGGAGCCCGGTGTCCTCGAGGGGCTACTGGAATACGTCGTCACACCAAAGCTGGAACCCGTCGCCACACCGGACAATGACGAAGAGGAGGGAGACGAAGCCAAGGGTAAAGGAATAACCCTTCCCTTTTCTCGGCCGAGAGCATCGTCTCGGGCCACAGACATGGACAGGGAGGAAGAGGGGGAGAGGAAGCGCAACAGATATGCTTTCGTCGCGGCCGAGGTTTTATCATCCGACAACTGGTCCATCTACGAGGCCTTGATGGAGAGCAAACCCCTCTTGCGGAAATTCTGGCAGTTCTTGAAGCGGCCGACGCCCCTCGATCCCCTACAAGCGAGCTACTTCACCAAAGTCAACGAATCCCTCTTCGACAAGAAGACGGAGGAGATGATTGATCTGCTCAAGTCTCTGGAGGATGCCGTCCCGGACATGCTGAAACATGTCGACTGCCCAATGATCATGGACCTGCTGCTGAAGACCATCAGCCTGGAGCGGACTGAGAGCGGCCAAGGCATTGTCGAGTGGCTGTACACCCAGGATGTCATGCCCACTCTGCTCTCCTTCCTCGGGCCCGAGCATAGCTGGGCGACGCAGACATCCGCTGGCGACTTTATGAAAGCCATCATCACTGTTTCCGCAAACGCGTCGCAGAACGAGCAGACATGCATCGGCCCCAACGAACTTACGCGACAACTGGTCTCGAAGCCCTGCGTCGAGCAGTTGATCAAATATATGCTCGGCGGCGGGAACCCTCTGACGGTCGGTGTGGGCATTATCATCGAGGTCATCCGCAAGAACAACTCGGACTACGACCCCGACGTCGGAGCGGAGCCGAGCTCTGCGCCTTCGAGCCGCGATCCCATCTATCTCGGCACCCTGCTCCGGCTGTTTGCCCAGCACGTTCCGGACTTTATGAACCTCATCATGAATGCTCCCGCACAGAAGGAGCGGTTGGATTCGACGTTCGGAGACAAGATAGAGCCGCTTGGCTTCGACCGCTTCAAGACGTGCGAGCTGATGGCCGAACTTTTGCACTGTAGCAATATGGCCCTACTGAACGAGGTCGGGTCCGAGGAGCTTATTGCGGCTCGCGATGAGGAGCGCCAGCGGCTCAGAAGGGACGGCAAGCTCCCTTGCTTCCGCGGCGAAGAAGTCCACTCTTCGGCCGAGGACCTCACCATGCACATCTCGCATTCCTCCACGCACGATGAAGGCCGCAGACTCGAGGTCACGAACATATCTGCCGATGACGACGGCTTCGAGGAAGTTACTCACGGCGATGAGGACACTTCTCACGAATTCGTGAGAGCCGAGGAGGACATGCCCGATCTCCCCGATGTGCCCACCCATCCTCCCACGACGCCGTTTCTGGACAAGGACGACGACGACTTTGTCGACGAGCCGCTGAGCTCTCCACGGCTGAACGTCCGCGAGCTTGATTCGAAGGACGATAAATCCGACTTTGACGACCCGGAACTGATGGTGGCCCCGCTCTCTCCGTCAAAACCGAAGCCTGCCGAACCCGCGGAGGAGAAATCCGAACCCGCGCAGGAGAAATCCCAACCAGAGGGCGAGACGAAATTGGAAGAGTCCATCGAGGAAATTTTTGCGTCCTCGCTGGACGCCAAACCTCCCACAGTCTCCGAACCCCAGCGCGAGGGACATGAAGCCGCAGCGGTTAGCGAGCAGTCGGCGACGCCTGCCATCCCCACGCCCACTTTACCTGACTTGGACACTGGGACTGACGAGCAGCCGCCTGCGCCTGACGTCTTGTCGGCCCATGCCGAAGATATGCCTGCACCCTTGTTCTCCGAAGAGAGACACGCCGTAACAGATGGCTCATCTGAAGGTGGAAAGGCCGTGCTGCCTGACCAGCCCGCCACCGCAGAGGAGGAGAGCAGGGTGAAGGGGACAGATGTCGGCGAGCACGAAATGGGCGAGGCGTCCATCATCGTCGGTCATGCAGCCGAGCCGAGCCCGCCTGCGAAGGAAGACCCGATCAACCCCGTGGTTGGCGACTACCTGAAGATGCAATTTGCCGAGTACCGAGTCGTGCCCACAATCCTGTCCTTTTTCTTCAAGTATCCGTGGAACAATTTCTTGCACAATGTCGTCTACGATGTCGTCCAGCAGGTCTTCAACGGCCCCATGGATCGTGGCTACAATCCCACCTTGGCCATCAGTCTTTTCGAGGTTGCGGATATTACGTCGCAGATAATCAACGGCCAGATAGCCAGTGAGATGTCGCAGGCCAAGACCAAGACCCGCATGGGCTACATGGGCCACCTGACCTTGATCGCCGAGGAGGTGGTCAAATTCACAGAGCGGCACCCGCCCGAGCTCCTCAGCGACGCCGTCCTCGACCGGGTCATGCCGCAGGAGTGGATCAACTACGTCGAGGGCGCGCTGGCCGAGACGCGGGAGCGCGACAACGCCATCCTGGGCGGCGTGCGGCCCGAGGTGGCCATGAGCAATCGCGCCGGCGCGTCGGGCCTCTCCGCCGCGGGACTGTCCAGCATGGGTCTGTCATCTCTCGGCGGCGGCAACGGCAATGGCTCCGGAGGCGGCGGCGGCACGCATTCCACGTCCAGCGCGCTCGCCGACGCGGGCCTCAACGGGTCCCTGGACATGAGCGACAACGGCGGCAACGGCATCGGGCCGTTTGCCATCAGCGCGGGGACACTCATGAGCGGGTTCGGTTCGAGCAGCGACGAGGACGAGGACGAGGAGCAGGAGAGCGAGGAGGACGTCAACAACGAGGTTAGTGATTATTATTATTCCCCGTAGTCGAATAGTGCGCGTCCCTTGGACGGCGCTGGGCTTGACAGCGCTGCGGGTGCTCCCAGGTAGGGAGAGCTGGTATCCCTGGTGTCTGAGGCCATGGAGGCCATGGGGGGAGTGGACTTTGAGCAAGCGGAGGACCTTGGTGACCCTGGTTTCGACCTCGAGGACCTGGAAGCAAGCCGACACGGAGTGGCGGAGCAGCGACCACGAGGAGGAGGACCAGCCAGGTCTCTCAGCCGGCCTTCTCCCGCCAGGGCAGGAAGCGACGGCTGCGTGGGTAGCCATTGTCCTGGGATGACGGCGCAGATTCCACTGCTCACCAACGTCCGGACTTGGACCCATTCCCCCGAGGTCGCGACGTCATGATGGAAACCCCCATGGCCATGCTGAATTACGGTGTTTGTTTCCTGGATTTGGTCTCACAGCTTCCCGGACTTGATCCTTCAGCGTTTCCTGGATTTTTAGCCAATCGCAGGCTGCAGGTCGAGGTCTTTCCTCCTGGGAGATCAAAAGGTCACCCACTGCCCAGCCTCGGTTGTTGCTGGGGGTCCGGGATTCTCGCGGGCATTCGCAATCCTACTATCTAGGCTGGGCAGTGTTACGATGCTCCGTTGCCACAAGACGATCATGCAACCTTGGCACAGGACAAATGACTCTATTAGCCGGGACTTCTCTATAGTCCATTGCTTCAACGAGCTCCTTGGCGGCTGCAGCATTCCCACTTGAGTGGCTGGTCTTGGTGTTTGCCAGGAGTGACCTTCTTTGTTGCTCCTTGTATTGCTAAGCCCTGTTCTTGGCCATTCGACGACTACCTTTTCACGCCGAAGCCAACCAAGGACCCCTCGACCGTCCACTTCCAGGCCCAGGACTACCGTGCCCGACTTTCTGCTGCTCCTGGTCTCTTGCCAGGCTCTTTGGCATCCTCAGCGCCTCTCCATAGCATCATTTTTGACATATCATGACTTAGTTAGACTACGATCGTTTGGACAAACAGCTAACTTCAGTCCCAGTTCCGAGCCTACACCGACCCACTCAACGCCAACCAGTCCTCGTCCATAGACCCGCCCTCGATCCCGCCCCCTCCGCCCCCGCCTCCACCGCTCAATATCCCGCCCTCCCGCGCGCGCCTCCAGCTCGCCGCCCGCCTGGCGATGAACAAGCGCAACGCGGCAGCGGCTGCGGCGGCGGAGGCGGCGGCAGGCGAGACAGGGGCCGGGGGCGCCAACGGCGGATCAGATGGGGAGGAGGGCGACGCGTCGGCGGGGGGATTCAACGTCTACAGGGGCCTGCAGGCCGCGCCCGAGCTGCCCTCTTCCTTCAGCGGGACCGATCGGCTGTGGCAGCCGAGGGATCCGTTTGCGGACGACGACGATTATGACGATGATGACGACGACAATGGTGTGGGTGGTGCCGGGCGCGGTAATGGGTCTGACGATGGCCGGGACGACGGCGGTGTCGGCGGCGGGCATAGTGGGTGGAATAGGGGGAGCTGGTGGAGGGGCGTGGTCAGGACGACGAGGAGGGGCATGAAGAGAGGGGGCGGGGAGAGGGGCCGTGAGACGGAGAGGTTCGGCGACGGCAGGGACGACAGCGACGACTCGGCCGGCGTCGGCGACGAGGAGGGCGAGGTTGACGAGGACATGGACGACGAGGAATTCGGCGACTTTGCCATGCCCGAGGTGGACGCGCCGGCGGGGAAGCGGGGTGCTGCTGACAATGACGGCAGCGAGGCCGGAGGACCCGAGGGCGCGGGCTCCGCCACGGGCATCGACCCGGCCCGGGAGAAGGTTCTCCTCAAGCCGCTCCCCGTGCACCCGACGGCCAGCAAGTCGGTCGCGTCACCCTTTGGCAGCCTGTGGCCATTCTCATCGCAGGCGTTCGGTGCCGGAGGGAAGGGCAAGGGCGGCGAGGAGGTGGAGGAGGGCAAGGAAGGGTCCGGTACCGGTAGCGGCAGCGACGACGGGGCGGCTCACGTGCTCTCGGAGGAGCCGCTCGAGCTCGAGGCCCACGAGACCGTTGTCGGGGAGGACGGGAAGAGGATTGACAGGGCTGTGGAGGCGACGCGGAGGACGAGCATTGAGGACCCCGACGAGGACGAGATTGGGCTCAGTGTTGGGGTTGGGCCTGGTGCGCGGGAGAGGGGAGGCATGAGCTGAGGGGTGGTTATTTCATCATTGGATGGGATGGATGGCATTGGTTGGATAGAGTGAGATGGGACGACCGTGTAACTGTACTGTAGCTATTCTTGTGTGTTATTTCTATTGGACGCTTTTTGTTACATCTCTAGGTGTCACCCTCAAGTGCCCAGCATGTTGGCAAGGGGGTTGGTTGCCACGTGATAGCAGGTCCAGCGATTACCCTGTGGCAGTCAGCTGCTGCTGGTCGCATTGACCCATTGGGGCATCTGAGACATGACGTGGCCTGTTCCCGATCCGCCTTGTCGATCCAAACCCCTGCCGCTTTTCTGCGGCTGTCGATTGCCGAGCCACTTGGACGAGCTTTGGCGCAGCTGCGTGGCAGGCCCCTCTTCCATGTTTCCGTTTTATGAGACCAGGTATGGTAATGTTTCTGCGCGAGCTTGCCTTTGGATGTTAATTGAGAGCTTCAGGCGCCCGAGTCGTTCTGCATTGACCGTTCACCTTCGCTTCCGCAACACAGACTCCCACGGTTCGAAATAACCAACCCTCCCTAGGTAGACGGCGGTAGTTATCCCCGCATCTTCGCGAACCCCCACTCCGCTTCCCGCCGCTGCACAACCTCGAAGCCATGGCGGGCGACAGCTCAGGCGCCGGCGCCGACGGCCAACATGATGGGCCGGCCTTCAGTAATGAGCTCGAGGGGGGGACCCTGACGAAGGAGCAGCCGCCCTTCTTCTCCAAGATATCGTTCGCGACGCACATCTACGGGCTGCAGAGCCTCATTTTGCCGGCGATGTGGTTTCGTGGGTGGAAGGAGTACTTCTACCCTCCCGACGGGGGGCCCAACATTGTCAAGACCTACGAGTGCCGTCCATATCTGCCGATACGGTGAGCCTCTCTGCCTGGCGCTATGCAAGATGGATGCGCTTCGTGTCCCGCCCACAAAAGAGCCCCCCCCCCGGTGTACTGATCCGCAACCCCCAGAATCTTCTTCCCGCAGACCTACGACCAGACCTCACCGCAGACCCTCCCGACGCTCTTCTCGATCCACGGCGGCGGCTTCTGCATCGGCAGCTCGGCCGACGACGACGACTGGAACCGACACTTTGCCGACTCGCAGGGCGCGCTGGTGATTGCGCTCAACTACTCCAAGGCGCCGCGCTCGCCCTTCCCGACGGGCCTGCGCGACCTCGAGGCCCTCGTCCTCGCCGCGCTGGCCGACGAATCTCTGCCCATCGACAGGTCCCCCGCCGCCGCCGCATCCGGGGGGCGCGCCGCCCGCACCGCGCTGCTGGGCTTCTCGGCGGGCGGCAACCTCGCCCTGGCCCTGGCCCAGCTGCCGAGCATAAGGTCGCACCCGCTCGCGCCCCCCGCCGCCGCGCTGAGCGTCTACGGCGCCCTGGACCTGTCCGTCCCGGTGGCGTCCAAGCTGGCCACGAGGCCGTTCAAGCCGTCGCTGGGCCCACCGCGCGGGTCCGCGGCCGACGCGCTGAGAAGCCTGGCGCCGACGTTCGACTGGAGCTACATCCCCTACGGCCACGACCTGCGGGACCCGCTGCTGAGCCCCGAGTTCGCGCCGCGGGCAAGCCTGCCGCCGTATGTGTGCCTCGTCGCGGCGGAGCTGGATATGCTCGCGCACGAGAGCTGGAGGCTGGCGTGTCGGCTTGCGGGGGAGGGGACGGGGGATCCGGGGCGGAGGGGGAGGCCGGATGCGAGGAGTGGGGATGTGGCGTGGCGGGTTTGTGGGAGGGAGGAGGGGGAGGGGGCTACGGCGGCGGGGGCGGGGGCGGGGTGGGGGCAGTTGGAGGGGACGGGGGATGAGAGGTTTGCGTTTGAGGAGAGGTGGGAGGGGGGAGGGGTCAAGTGGTTGCTTGTGCCGGATGTGGTGCATGGGTTCGATAACCCGAACTTCAGGGGCCTGATGGGTGGTGGGGAGAGGACGGTGCGGGACGCGGAGATGAAGACGGAGGCGTATGTTGCTGAGATTGGGCGGTGGCTTAGGGAGGTTGTGTGGGCTTTGTGATGGTGTTGCTGTTGGCTGTTGATTCTTTTGGGGCGTCTGGCGCTCTGGATATCGGCGTGCTTGAATGGGAATGTGTGCATGGTTTGGGTGGTATTGACATAGGCCTCTATATATGTGTTGGGGATGAGGTCGGCGAGCTGTTATAAGAGGCACTGCCTCATACCATAGGTCTGCACGTGTGTGGCGATACATCCCTTCCCCGTGTCATTGGATACAGTCACCGCAATTAGAATGGTTGTATGAGTCTGCTCACTTAAGTAAGCCTTGATTTTCTGGGAAATGCGTTGCAGCTGGAATCGGGGGTTGTCCGGGAGACTGGCGGGATCGAAGGTCTCTTGAAAGTCCCCCGGCCCGTTTTTACTAACTACTAGGACCACAACTGGCCCAAGACAGTTTCACTTTTGTGCCCTGTTTCTCTTTGTTAGCACAATACCATTGTCTGGTCGCCTTTTGCGTCTTACATTCTAGGTAGGACGAGTCTTCGAGGCACCGTTCACTTAGAACCTGAGTCTGTAAGAAGGAATTCCACACTCTCTTCCACGACTCCTCATACCTTGACCCTAAAAGAGGAAAGGGATCGTCCAAAGTCTGCTTGGCCACTTGAATTTAGATCCCTTTTGATAAGCAAGATGCAAGTCCGTTGGATACTGGGCAACTCTCTTCGGTCATCGAAGTGATGATGGGCTGTAACCTTGAGATGGGGGCTTGCTGGGGTCTGAAGACTGTCGACCGCTTTCAGAGTATATTGAGTTACAATAGTCTGCCTCGAGAGCGCATCCACATCTGTCCCATGAATCGCTACACGGCTTCTTGAAGTCTGCTTTCAGACCAAGGGCGGTGGCGGCAAGCGCTAGTGTGCGTGTGATTAACCTTATCACAGGCCGTTCCGGACAAGGGGACTTCTGATTGTATTCCAAGAAAAGGTAGCCAACAAGAAAACAATGAATTGCGATCCCAGGATGGTGCTCGATACTGTCCCTATATATATACGTCTGGGCATCGACTTATAGCCACGATATGCTCACCTCCACTGCCAAGACATATGCCACCACTCTCTTGTTCATTACATGCCAATCTTCTTCGAACAGGCTAGACTCAATGGTCCGTATCAGCCTACCGTGCCACCTCACGACCGCAGGTCTGCAGACGACTCTCGATGCGGTATTTCCTACACGAGCCGACCCGGATTACCAAGCGATATCGTAGGAACCAGGGGTTCACCAATAGGGAAAAATTCACCGATGCAAATAAGCTTTCATAGGGACAAATATCCGGCAACAGGAGACGACGACGATAGGGGGAGGGGACGGAAATTAAAACGCGGCTCTCGGGTGGGTTAGACAAGCTTTAAACGGGAACGACCAGGCAACGCACCCCGGGGACGGTTAAAGTGGGTAGTGCTCGAATCGGGAGACGGAGAGATAGGGAGACACATATTAAGCCGCGTCGTCCGGCGGCCGTGTCGAGAGGGTCCCTCAGGGCCCAGACTTTTGCTGCAAATCGGGCAAATCGGCCTATGGGTGGGGAATTGCGGGCTCGGATGTTGTGTTGTTTGTTTTGAAGGAGTAAAATGGACAACACGTCGCGAATTCCCGGGGAAATAGCCAGATGTCGGGGCTGCATGTATATTTATTCCCTGATAAATTTCTTGAACAGTCAACATCACCGGTATTAAATCACGAACTGCGGGGGGCCTGGAGCAACTATCTTCTTCAAAGGTCTCGCCGTTTAGTCCTACCGAACTCGTCGGATTGTTAGCCCATTAAACCCGTTCGTGTCAATATCCACCTCTTGCTCGTGCTTACGGAGCAGGCAGGCATGGATATATAATATGGAAAAGTGCCCATCAACGTGACGTGCACAAGCTTGTAATACCGCACCCATCTTTACACGGCATTTTCTTCGAAGCGGCCGTCAAGCTAGAAGATCTTTCTCGTTCTGATGTTTAGAGTCTGACGGAAAGAATCCATATCTTGGCTGGGGTTTTGGTTGAAGAATGGATCGATCAGTTCGATATATGCGTCGATGGGTGATGAAGAGAACTCGCCAACAGTCACTTCCATATCTTCCTCGTTTTCAAAATCGACAGAAACTGAAAGGCGGTTAGAACCCACTATGCGATGATCTACATCAATGAATTACAAATACCTAGCACGTAGCCCACATAGTCTCCTATTGATGTTCCCTTACGGTTGGATGACGACTCATCAACCCCCCTTGTTACGTCATGACTTGTCCTCAACCCTCTCCAGCAAAACAGAAACGATAAAGGTCCTCAGTCAACTCCTCACTAATTATCATATTCGGAAATCACTTCTAACTGGTTCTATGCATCCCTGAACGTGGCCTATCAAAATGTCTGACCCAAATTCGCCGAGCATCAAGAAGAGGGACACACCCTCCTGGGCACTGTACCAGCGCGAACAGTTTTGGAAATTGAACGAGGGCGAGACTCCCCTCTTTAATACCCGTACGTGATGAAAAGGCCTGCCCAGTTCGTGCAGATGTATCTCGATTAACGACCATGTAGACCCAGATAAACTTGAGGAACTGGCCAAGAAGAAGCTGGCCGAGAACGGCTGGTGAGAAAGGGACCCTCACTCCTTATATAATCAATGCCAGCGACGAGACTAAACACTCTCGCAGGCTCTACGCATCCTCCAACGCCGGCCTCTCACACACCCACCTCGCCAACCGACAGGCCTTCTTCCGGCACAAGATCGTGCCCCGCCAGCTCGTCGACACCAACTCACGCTCCACCCGGACGACCCTCTTCGGCCACGACGTGTCTGCCCCCTTCGGCATCGCCCCCGTCGGCATTAACGAGATCTACCACCGCGACGCCGAGCCAGCCGTGGCCAAGGTAGCCGGCGAGCTGGGCCTGCCGTACTGCCTCTCGACGGCCGGGTCGCGGTCCATCGAGTCCGTCGCGGGGGCCCACGACGCCGGCCGCCGCCAGTCCGCCGCCGCCGCCGGTGGTGGTGTCGGACCGCCGCCGCGCTTCTTCCAGCTGTACATGCCGCACGACGACGAGCTGACGCTGTCGCTGCTGGCGCGGGCGCACGCGGCAGGGTTCGAGGCGTGCGTGCTCACGACGGATACGTGGCAGCTCGGGTGGCGGCACGACGATGTGGCGGGGGCTAATTATGCGTTTTACCGGGGTGCCGGGGCCGAGATGGGGCTGACGGATCCGGTTTTCCGGCGGAGGCTGGCTGAGGCCGGGGTTGACCCCTCGGAGAGGCCCGTCGAGGCGGCGACGATGTGGATCGATAGCATTTGGCATGGGAGGGCGTGGTCGTGGGACAAGGCGGTGTGGGCTCGTGATAGGTGGCGGGAGATCAGTGGTGGGAAGCCGTTTCTGATTAAGGGGATTCAGCGTGTCGATGATGCTGAGAGGGCGGCGGAGCTGGGGTTCGAGGGCATCGTCGTCAGTAACCATGCCGGAAGGCAGGTCGACGGGGCGGTGGCGAGCCTCGACGCGCTGGAGGAGATCGTGGCGAGGGTTGGCGACCGGCTCGTGGTCACTTTCGACAGCGGCGTGCGCGGGGCGGCCGACATCGTCAAGGCGCTCGCGCTTGGGGCTAGGTTTGTCTTCATTGGGAGGTTGTGGATCTGGGGGCTCAGTATCATGGGCGAGGCGGGTGTCAGGCATGTCCTGCGGGGGCTGTTGGCTGACCTGGACATCTTGATGAACGTCGCCGGGATTAATAAGGTGGCCGACATCGACAGGAGCCTGCTCGAGTCGCTTCCCAAATCTTACAGTCTGCTTGCGGAAAAGAGCAAGCTGTGAGGGGCATCCTGTGATGACAAAAGGGTGTCGTAAGGAGAAGGGCGGGTTCTTTGAGCGTGACCCCGAGTCATCAACAATGCCGTCGTCTTGAACATTTGCAATGGCTTTGAGCAGGGACTGGGACAAAGGGGAACAAGGCTCTTGTGAAAAACACAGAGAGCGCCTCTGCTGACAATTCCATTGTGTCCCGTTGTTGTATTTTGTGAATTAAAGCATATGCGACTGAATGACATGAACAAGGCCCTCTTTCCAGACCCAGAACCATTAAATCTCAACAAAGGGTCGAGGCAACTTCGTCCGAGAGAAGTATTTAAGCAGTCATCCCCGACCTTACATCTCGCCATGGAATCCAACACTCCAGCGCCTGTTCATCATCAGCACAGTCAAGAACCAGAGAGTATAAATCAGCAACAGATACAGACACCCTCTTCAGCCCCAAACATGGGACACCGGTTCGAAGCTTTCCGGGACCTTCCAGGTGAGTTACAAGACGCCGTCTGGCAGGCATCCAGGTGCAGCCCCGGAGTTCACATCTTCAAGCTAGGCCGCGGACCCAGGTCATCGGATTCTAATCCATGGCCCACATCGATCCTCTCGCCTCGAAACGACCTCCGGCTTGAGCCACCAGCTCCACCTTACTACGATACATGGGAATGCACTTGGGCAGGTGAAAACAACCTTTCCGCCTATGTCGTCACGAACCGTGTCCGACAGGCATGCCAGAGAAGCCGGGACGCTATCGACCGCGAATCGGAACTCGTAAACCAGTCGCCCTGGGGGTCCTTCAATGTTCCCTGTCACCCCGCAACCAGGTTGATCTTCAACAAGAGCCAGGACACCATCCACCTCCAGACGGGGTGCCCCATCAGGCCAAGCACAACCGAGTGGTTCGACCCAAGCGTAATAGCGGGCGCGGGACCCCTCGCCAACGTCATCCTCGGCTCCGCCTTCCCTCGCCTCCGAGACATCAAGCACCTCGCCCTCCCCTGGCACGAGAACTGGCCAAGGGGCAACCCGGGCCTGTGCACGATGACCCAGATCGTCCGCGACAAGAGCTTCCTCTGGGCGCCGGCGCACTTCCCCGCCCTCGAGACCGTCTACCTCGTCGACTACGACAGCATCCGCCTCTTCGGCAACACGCCCGACCCGGCCGCGCGCGTCTTCGCAGGAGACAGGTGCCGCTTCGTCGAGGTGCTGCCCACGGACCCGGCGTGGTACTGCGCGGGCCCCGCGCTCGCCGCGGCCGCCGCTTATCAGGCCGATTACCTGACGCCCTCTGATGCCCGGAACTGGCTGTGGGGGCTGCCCATGTCGCGGGACCTGCCGCGGGGGAGTGGGTACTGTCACCCTGGGCTCAGGGACCGTGACTTGCCTGACTTTTGGGTGGGTGCGACGCACCGCCAGCAGGTTGTCTACAAGGTCTTGGTCTGTATTCAGGATTGATTCCGGTAGGGTCTAGGATTCTAGGTAATAACGGCAGGGGAGCCAAGACGATGATGTTGGGGTTTGTCGACGAGTGGCAGATACTCGAGGTCGGCGATGATAACCCCGAGTGTCATTTGGTAAGGACTACTCGCCCTTTTTTCTTTGTATTCTGATCGTGGGATGGTTTTGGTAAGGACAACCCCGTTTTCTCTTTTGTCATTGGCATCCATACTTTTGCTTTTTTGTTTCTGTGCGGGACTTTTCCGCATTCTTTTCTGCGGGCAATACAATTGTCACTCTTTTCTACCGGTCTTTCCTTACTCAGTCGCTCCTTTCCTACTCAGCTCAGGTAGGTAAGTAAATAACAAGACTACCTCAGACTCATAACATAACTTCGATGCTGCGTCTACATTGTGAATATTGCTCCCATCACCCAGGGGACTTCTCTTGTTGCCCCTGCCTTTGTCCTGCACTTGCCACGAATCATTGCTCTACATGACATCGGCACGAACCGTTGCAGTCAACACACCCTCTCGAAAATCTTGACAACGCTACTGCACCTACCTGCTTGTTTTCCTTTCCGACGGTCCGTCTTCCACGCTCCAGGGGAAAGCTTCCATCTTGCTTCCCTTTGGCAGAAACCCTTCAGAAACTTCTAACAAGATTGCCCGCGGACTCAGTTATAGAGTTTGGCGTGCCTGTGCCCTCTTGCACCGCCTCCTAAACGACCTCCTGATACAAAAGCAGGGGGTTATGCATATCAAATCGTTCAGTCACGAGGGATTCATAGACATATATATACTGTAGTAACTGAAGTCCAGGAGCATGACCCCGTTGAATAACCTCCACGCCGGTGCCTATCCTCTCTCTGGGCGTTGATACCTAGACGTAGGAATAGGCTTCTGACCCATTCATCGACCTGGGAAATGAGCGGCCGCCCAGAACAGGCTGGGGCCAATGGGAGCCGCGCCCACCCCCCATTGCAAGCTTTCCTCCAAGCTCCGTCGTCTGAACCGGGACGACCGCGACTTCACTTTCCGCTGCACACGGGTTTTGGGGATTTCCTGGTAGCGAGACTGCCCACGAGCAGCCATTTGCTAGGTAATATAAGTGGCGGTGCAGTAGCCCGCGGGGGCGGGCCAATTGGCAATTTGTTTCCAATAGCCGGGTTAATATCCAGAAGAGCCTGACGTGTGGGGATCACCGCGAATGGGAGGCGTTGATTGACGTGTGGCCTTTGGATCAAGCTTCTGGGGAACTGGGGACTGGGGACGGGAGATTTGACGGACCAATTGCTTCTGCTGATTCCTGATCCTGGGGGGGGGCGGGGGGGGGGGGTTTTTTCCGTGGGGCCTTTTGATCAATCTTTTGGGGAACGGGGGCCGGGGGGCGGGTGTTTTGCCGGCCCAATTGGTTATGGTGTTTCCGGTTCCCCCCCCCCCCCCCCCCCCCCCCCGCCCTTGTGATGATGCTACGCAACATCCTAGCTTATTGTTATCTTTGTCAGGATCTAACATCTTCTGACAGCTCCGGGTAACGGAACTTGATGCAGCCATCCCGGTCACACGTCCCTTTGGGATCTACATAAAGGCCGGACGACATCCCTCCTCTAGAGGGCCAAGGAGAGATACACTCACCAGCCCTGAACCCACACAGTTACAAGCCAGATCTCCAGAGCTTCTCTCACTTCACTTAACCAACCAACCGACCACACCAACAATGCTCCGCCCCACCGTTCTCGCCCTCGCAGCCGCAGTCGCAGCCGCCCTCTCCGGCACGGCCTCCGCGCAGGCCAACAAGCTGTTCACGGGCCAGGGCTACATCCGGGTGCTGAACAGCAGCACGGTCGACGCGGCGGTGCCGTCGGCGGCCGTCGGCTGCCTCGACGCCACAGGGGCGGCGACGGCGTCGGACTGCGCCGTCTTCACCAGGGTGGACGAGTACCCGCGCGTCGTGCGCAGCCCGCTGGGCAACTGCAGCTTCTCCGACGAGGACATGCCCGTCAACAGCGACAGCGTCTACGGGCGGAGGAACCATGCCTGGTCGTGCCGGGCTGGGAGCCCTGCGAGGGATGTTGACCAGTTTGCTTCGATTGTGAGTTGATGATGCTTTGCTCTTTTCTTTCTTTTTCTCCTTTTCTTTTTTTCTGGGGGGATCCAGCTTAAGCTAACTGGGGGTTCGCTGCATGCTCAGGATGGGCTTGACTACCCTCTTATCTGTAACATGGCGGTCAATTGCTTCTACGACATAGAGAGAGCCCCCGAGGGGGATGACAGGCTGCCCGTGTGGCAGTTTGTCTGGGGCAGCATGGAGATGGGCGTCCCGCCGGGACACCTGAAGACGGCTTGGTTGTGGGAGCCAATTCAAGAATCGGCGTAGAAAGAGATGGGATGGGACTGGCTAGTTTTGTGGGTTGGTGCATGGTTACATAGTGTTCCGTCTGTCATACGAGGAATAGAAGAGTGTCCGGTGGCCTTTTTGATCATTGCCAGGGGGACACGGCAGCGGAGAAGGCAACCTCGTTGAGGATTTCCCTCTGGCTGTTCCTCGTGGCAAAGCATGTAATCAGCCTATCTCTCCAGCAATTAATACAGAAATTCCATCACAGCATCCCAGAGTCCACAATCGACTGCACCGTATCTCCCACACTCGTCTCCAAATCCGTATACTCGATGCCCAACACCTCCCTCGACCTCAAGTTATCAAACCGATACACATCCTCCGGTAAGTCATCAACAGCATCCTCAGGCGGCAGCACACCCGCCAGCTCAGGCCTCACCCGCCTGACGATATCCGCCAGCCGCTTGTTGGAGAAGTAACCCCCGACGACGTAGAATCGCTTCCCGCCGGCCTGGGGCAAGGTCAGGGCGCGCACGTGTGCCAGCGCGACATCGCGGACGTCAACAAAGGTGAAGACGGGGCTGGTCGGCGGGAGGGCGGCGCGCATCTTGCCCTGCACCATGTCGCGGATGCGGTGGTTGGACGTGTTGGTGGCGTCTAGGCTGGTGAGGTGGCGCGGGAGGGGGCCGAAGGTGTAGGTGTTGTTGATGGTTGCGAGGTCGAAGTTTGGGGCTTCTTCTTTGATGAACTTCCAGGCGGCCTTCTCGGCGAATACCTGGATGTTTTTTTTTTGTCAGTGTTTACTTGTGATGGTTTGATTATGGCCTGTCTGGATAGTTGGTTGAATCTCGCTCACTTTGCTGCCTCGGTATGTGTTTTCGGGATCCAGTGCTTCCAGCCAGGTCAACGGTGCCCAGACACTTTCATCGTAGACCTTGGGATGATTGCCTGGATTGATCATCGCTGCCGACGAAGAGGTCATGACAAGTCGCCTGACGGTCGGGGCGTATGCCTTGACAGCCTTGAGGAGGCCAACTGTGCCCGAGATGGCGGGTTGGAGGAAATCCTTCAGGGGGTCCTGGACGTTGAAATGGTACGGCGAGGCCGTGTGAACGACATAATCAAAGGGCGGGTCTGATCTCACGGCCTATTTACGAGTTGCCATTAGACTCAAGGCTGCTGCTTTCATGAAGGATTAAGAGAGTATTAGCGTGGTGTACTCACTGCATCAAATGCACCGTCTGCCGCAATATCCTCGACCACCACGAAAGAAACGCTATCCTCTGACGCCGCTTCTATCGATTCTACCAACCGGCGCCCTTTTTCTTCGGATCTCACAGTGACGACGACCTGAAAGCTGGAGGACTGTCAGCAGAGAAAAGGGGCACGCTCGACCGGGACCACCCTCACTTACCCCTCGTCCAGCAATTTGTCCAAGACATGAGAAGCAATGAACCCGGTGCCACCTACATAAACGACTCGGAATTAGCTAGGTGTATCCTACTGGTGTGGGACATGCTCGGACAGGGTTTCCGTCACCAGTTAGAAGCACTCGGCCTTTTGTCTGTGAGCCCATTTTGACGTGATGATGATAACCTTCCAATGCTTCGGGAGCCGAGGTTGGATGTAAATCTCGTGCAGGATGTTTGCGGCAGCAGAAATGTTCAACAAGACACGGCCGGCCGAATATCATCTAATTTTGCGGAGGTCGAACGACAACGACCGGAGACTTCCCCAAAGTTTTGTCCGGGGGTCCGCAGACATCCCCAACCGAGGCTGGCACGTGTGTCAGCATCCTTCGAGGCAGACATGTGTGTCAGCTTCCTTCCAAGTTTCTCATCAACGCAGTCCGATAATTACTGCGCGGTCCAAATTAGCAGTGGCACATCAGACGGTGAACGGTGAACTGAAACATCAAATCAGGTGTCCTCCCGCTTGTGTTCAGACATGACCGATTCCCGCGACTGACTCAGCCCTAGAATACGAACGACAGAAAAGTAAGACATCAAAACAATGCCACCGACAGGTCCTAACACGCGCCTTCACGTCGCCATAATCGGCGGCGGCATCACGGGCCTCTCCCTGGCGGCCGGCCTGAAGGCGCGCGGCGTGCGCTTCACCGTCTACGAGCAATCGCCGTCGTTCCGCGAGGTCGGCGCGGGCGTGGGGCTGAGTCCCAACGCCGAGCGCGCGCTGGGCAGGCTGAGCGCCGGCGCGCTGGCCGCGTTCAACGCCGTCGCCATGCCCAACGGCGAGGACTACTTCCAGTGGGTCGACGGCCACGGCTCCGACAAGGTCGTCTACCGCCTGTGGATCGGCGAGGGCCTGTTCCGCGGGTGCCTGCGGTCGGATTTCGTCGAGGAGCTGGGGAGGCTGGTGGGGACTGACTGTGTGAGTTTTGGGAAGGATGCACGGTCGATTGCCGAGGAGGACGACGGAAGTGTGACGATCACCTTCGGCGACGGCTCGACAGCGCGGGCAGACGTAGGTACGGCAAAAGAACACTCCCTTCCGTTCCAGAGACTCCCCATGCTGAACCCGAACCAGTCATCGGCTGCGACGGCATCCACTCCCGCACGCGCCAGCTCCTCCTCGGCGAAGCCAACCCGGCCTCGCACCCGGGCTACACCAATAGATCCTGCTTCCGCGCCCTCATCCCCATGGCCGCCGCCCGCGCCGCCATAGGCGACCACCGGACCTCGACGCGCTTCATGTACAACGGGCCCGGCGCGCACATCATAACCTACCCGGTGGGCCACGGCGCGTCGCTCAACGTCCTCGCCGTCGCCAGCGACCCGCACCCCTGGCCCGACGCCGCGCGCCACACCAAGCCCGCCACCGCCGCCGACGCCGCCGCCGCGTTCGCGGACTGGCACCCCACGGCGCGCGCCATCGTCGGCCTGCTGCCCGACCGCCTTGACAGGTGGGCCGTGTTCGACTCGTTCGCGGGCCCGGCGCCGTCGTATGTGCGCGGCGCGGTCGGCCTTGCTGGAGATGCGGCGCATGCGGCGGGTCCGCACCTCGGGTCCGGCGCGGGGTTTGGCATCGAGGATGCGCTGGTGCTGGCGGCGCTGTTGGAGGCTGTTGACGAGGTGGGGCGCAGGGGTGGCCGGGGCGATGTCGGGGTGCTGTGCCGCGACGCGCTGGAGGTGTATAATAGCGTGCGGTACGAGCGGACGCAGTGGCTGGTCGGGGCGACGCGGGAGGCCTGCAGCTTGTTCCATTGGGAGGATCCGGAGTGCGGGAGTGATCCCGACAAGTTTGGGAGGGAGATTACATGGCGGTTTCACAAGATCTGGCATTACGATGTTGATGCTATGGTCCGAGAGGCGCTGGATCAGCTTGCGAAGAGGCGGGGGGAGATGCCAAACTGAGTGCACGTGAGGGGGAAGTAGATGGAATTATTCTATTGACGACTCGTCCAGGTGAGGCCCCCGGCACTTGTTGTAGACGAGTCAACCCAACGAATTCCTGAGACCTCTTACCACAGAGAAAAGCTCCTTTACTCTACCTTGATGCTCTGGTCGTGATGACAGTAGCTCAATGGCAAAGCCTTCCTGCAGCTCACTCAGCCGATCTGTGTGCTCGCGAGCTTCTTGAATTATTCGCCTGTAGCGCTCCACCTCGCTGCGGAGTTGCTTATTGTTTTGTTGTAGCTCCATGATGATTTGGCGGTGTGGGTTGTCCTCCTGATTTTGGCTTTCAGGAATGTTCGAATTGGGCAACGTTGGAGTTAGTGCTGTTGCCTGCTGTGGCTGAATGAAGCCCTCTGTGTTGCTCTCGAACCCGAATGCTGAGGCACTTGACAACTGCATTGGCGCAGCTGCAGCTAGTGATGCGTATGTGGCCATATCAGAGTTCGTGGCCGAGTCTTCTGGGATGTAGGACAAGGGCATAGCCAATGCATCGTTGCTAAATTCAGCCGACATATCAAGGTCCGCTGGGTCGCGTATGTCTTCTGCAGCTGTGTTTGAACTACTACTTAGAGTAAGGAATTAGCATAAGAGGACTGCAAAAAACATGGGTAACTACTACAAGTACTTACGTGGTGAATCCCTGACCTCGGTAAACCTGAGATGCAGTAGATCCAGACCCACTGGATTCGCTCTGCAGAGAAAACTGCGACGGAGTTGGCGCATATGGCAGAACAGGATCATAGTCTTAGAGGAGTGTACTTAGATTATATCATTTTAGGAAGGAGCCGATTATTCTGGGAACTTACATGGGGTATAGATAGTCGGTAAAAGGTGAGGGAAAAGGTACTCGAAGAGGTTGTACCATTTGTCCTCGTCTGTTCCGTGCTTGAATACCCTCCGAATGTGAGCCACTTGATGGGGCGCCATGAGGGTCTCCTGGCAGGAAGCGGTGGAGCATTTTGTCTCCGACTCGTGTTGTCGTGCTGCCTCCTCCGTCTTGCAAAAAGACCAACAATGATGACACCATACTGCCGGATTGTGGCGCTTAAGGACGTGCGATCTAACTCAACGTGTAAGCAAAGACTAGCAGACATTGAGGCACCAGCCGCAACTTACTTGACACGACTGAAAGTCTCGTATCCCCCAGAACGATTCTGGTAGCTGGGCATTGAGCAGTGGGGGATTGCCTGTCCTTTCAGCTTCTGGAACGGACAAGCAAATCTTTTCGACGATGTTGGGCCGGCCAGGGCGGCTCCTGTCTGCCCTCCTTTAAAATGCTTGCGAGCTTGATCGTTATTCTCGTCATGGCCTTGGTCTCCGTCGGACGATCCGATGGATCGCTTGTTGCCTGCTCCTGTTTGACTACTGCCGCCGCTTGAAGAAGACCCGGCGGTGTCTGTTGCTGTGCCAAACTGGGACCTCCCGGCCCCCTGCCCCATACAGTCGTTAAGTGTGACGGCCCGAAGGCTGCCAGCTGTAATGGGAAATGGATTGAGAATCCAGGCAAGGGAACGGACAATGCCGGACTGCAAAGACCCAATAGGAGGCGAACTGGTCATACCGCCGACTAAGGCGTGCGAGGGAGTTGAACAGCGAGAGGAAGTGGAACCTTCAGTAACTGTTTCCCAATCCGACTCAAACTCTTGTACGTCTTGGGCAGGATCCTCGCCACGAGAATCCTGAGAATTGTTTGATCCATGGTCGTCAAGTTCACAACAAGGATTCTTCGGGATCGATCCTGTTGGGTAAGGAGACCAAGATTGCAAACCCGGTGAGGAACAGAGACCTTTGAGGAGGGCTTCAGGCGGGGCTTCCAAACGTCTCGGATCAAGAATATTCTGGATATGAGTAGGGTGTAAGACAGGCACTACCGAGAGTGCTGAATTAGGGGAGATTGCTTTTGGTATCTGTGCTGTTCCTCGATTCGACGGAGCAGCAGTACAGGGTGCTTTCGGAGATTCATGAGTCGAGGATTTGGGCTCGCCTGGTCTTCGGATTGTCTCACGACAAGGAGAAATCGACGATTGTCCATCTTGACTTTCGGAGAAGGTGGTTTTTGAGCAGAGAGAAGGACATGCTGGCACATCGTTTGATGGGGAGGCGAATGGCTGCACGAGCCGTTTGGACCCTTCTTCAGATACCTTGTGTGTTTTCCAGAAAGGAGCATTCCAATTAGGTCCTTCACCATGGAGGGCCTTTAAAGCTCGAAATTCAACAAAACCATCATCGTCGTCATCGTGGATGTGGGGTTTAACGGGATGGGAATTTCGTTCCTACTTCTTGATAAGCTTAGTGATCTAATATACGGTGCTTAAAGTCTAAAGAGGACACAAAACTCGTCTAACGCCTAGCTCGTGTGCCGGGAAAGGAATTATGACAGCATTGCTTGTCTGTCGCTGACGCAAGTTTGGGAATTGTTCTGGGAGAGGCTTGTCGGGTTTCGGGACCAGAGACTTCTGAAATAATCATTTTTGGAAGTGTGGTGTAGTTAGGGTTTTAGTAGCAGTGAAGAAACTCACCATGCCTAGCAGTTGGGGTCGTTTTTCCTTGGTGTTCCGATTTCAAGTGAGGAAATTGAGACGCAGATTAAGAGGAGGGGCACTTGTTTAAAAGGAGGCCAACACACAGAGCTGTTGTGCAACCAGTTGCGCTCCGAGGTGCAGGCTAAGCCCTTTTTAGATATGCAAGAAGCAGGGGCTCCTAGCTATTTTGCAGCCAGCAGTGCACCTGGATGCGCAGCCAGCAGCACACCTGGATGCGCAGCCAGCAGCACACCTGGATGCGCAGCCAGCAGCACACCTAGATGTGCAGCGAGCAGTGCAGGTAAGCTTCTAATTACCAGTGTGGTTTGGCCAAGCATGTTTGACGTCCCTAAAGTGAGAACTAGAAATGTTAGAGATCTAAAAACTATTAATTCACAATTTGATCCTTCTCTTTTCTGCAAAAGATTTTGTCTTGTACTCGTATTCTGCCCGTAACCGGTTCACTTTTTTTGAGGATGACCACCAAAGACAGGTGAGAAGGGTTGATGTTTCAGACTTGGGCAATATTGACCAATGACAGCTTGAACATCGATAAGGACCTGAGCCCTTGTCCGGCCCCCAAGTCGACACTTTCCAATGCAGTGTGTGCTACAGGATCTCGGTCTCTTGTCGAGGTTTCTCAGCGGACTGATCTCTCCCAGAATCCCCTGAAAAGAAATGGTGATCCGGACCATAGCCCTGTCATTTCGCAGTCAAACTGTCCTCGCGAGCCGGATCTTGACTTGCGTGGCATTGGGAGCCAGTTTGATCCTTTAAGCCTCGCCTCGAACGTCGACGACTTTTGCATCGGGAATTCAGACAGCGATGATCCAGGCGCTCAAGGGATGCAATAATTCGAAGGTTTTGTCTAGCGTACGAAGTACCAAGTCTGGAGTCAACACGGCTGTTTCTCGCTTTCTTGACACATTTTATATCTTCTTGTTGCTTAAAGAAATACTGTAAGTATCTATGGTGTAATTATGCGTTGATTTCCAAATAAACGAGGATTGAGAAGGGCTAAGTGGGATTCGAGAAAGTAAACGTTAGGAGAAGTTGGAAAGAAACGACGGGCCTCAAAGTAACAGGGCGCTATATTAACACAAATTTGCGAGAACAAGAAAGCGAAACCAATCAACAATGAGTGTAAAGTTAGAGCGGTTGCCAGCAGTTATTTGAGTCTCCTAATTATGGGGTAGCCGTTTCAGGCTTCTTCGGTTGCAGTTGACGCTATTCCTACATTCTTGTGGCACGGCAGACTTATGTCGGTGCAGAGGGTTGTGGAGAGAAGCCAATCAAATGGGCTCCGAGAATAGTGTTATACGCAACTGGTGCATACAATCAGTAGGCATACGGCATCGTCATACATGCAGTGTATGTCGCCGTATCCTCGCGAGAGACCTAGCAGAGACACCTTGCAGGTGAACTTGATCGCACTGTCGCTAGATAGCTAGGAAACTTGCCATTGGTGTCGTTGATATTGTGATGCCTAAGACTGTGATATCTTAAGGCGGATGGTGCGTTGAAGTCAGACTAGGTGAGTAGGGGAGACGCATCCAATATTGCGTCTCATGGCAGGACAAATGAGATGTGTCACAGAACTCGCATGGAATCTTGAGGTCGGTGAAAAGGTGTGAGGAAGGTGCATGGTGCTTCAGTGGCAGGGTAGTGTCAGAGTGGCTGCTTATCAGGTGACAGTACATGTGCCTTCAACAGTCAAACATGTCGAGTAATGTAGGTAGGTAGGTAGGTAGGTAGGTAGGTTGATAAGGCAGGTGCAGCCTGATCCAGGGCAGGCAGGTCGTGGGAGGTGGATCTCGAGGGTGGGCTCTGGGCCCAGGCCGCCCTAAAGCCCTACAGCGGTGCGCACCGCACCACCCACAGAGGCACCCCGCTGCCTTAGCATGGGATGGGAGCTTGTTGCCTTGCAAGGGGAGGCAACGGACGCTCTATCACACCAGGCTGAGGTAGGTAACACTGAACAGCCTCACTAACGCCCCGCCGTGCCAGCAATCACTCTCGAATCCTCCCACTTTCGTCTCCAACCTCCTCACCCAGATCTAAACCTTCTCTTCTCCGCAGACTGTCCCCAGATATCCGCCTCGTCTTGCTTAATCCCAAGCAGACGTCGAAAGACCAGCATGGGTCTCGTCCACATGGCGACTCTCGCCGTTGCTAGCATGCTTTTCCTGATTGCTGGGTTGGTCGTTCGGTCCTCGGGTTCCGCTTCAACAACAGCCATGACAGTCCCCCACATCTTCCTCGTCTCTTTCAAACCTTCGGCCTCGCGCGAGACCATTCAGGCGGTAAGCCCTACTGCCCATTACAAAAATAGAATGCGTGGCAGGCTAATGTGTTTATTGCAAGATCCACAAGCGGATCATCGCGTTCAGGACTGACTGCCTCGATCCCGACGGAAAGCCATACGTGCTCGCAACGAAGGGCGGCATAAACAACAATCCCGAGCACAGCGTCAGTAGGCCGCACCATTCGCGGTTGCCCTGCTCTTGACTGGACTAGTTGCTGACTTCGTGCTTTTCAGAAAAAATGACCCATGGCTTCATCATGGAATTTAAGAACGAGGCAGACCGACAATGATTTGGGCCCCCGGGGGGGGGGTTTCCAGTTTGCTCGGGGTTGGGGGGTTTCACGCGACAGACAGCGAAGCTCCAGCAGAATCTCTTGCAAGAAGGAATAGAAACGTACTCCTCTTCCAACAAACCCAGGTCATCACAGAGAATGCAAAATTATTTACCCCAAATGCCTGCACCATTTCTCCAGCAGGTGATCTGAATGATGGTTTCGAGACCCATTGCAGGCGTCGCCTCAAAACAGTCAAGGGCGAAACGCACCTAGGAGGGACTCGAAGCTTACTTGAGTTCTACACCAATCTCCTTGAAGGCAGCCTCTACAAACTGCCTCACGGAACGCGACTCTCCACTGGCGAGGGCGAAGTCTTCAGGAGCCTGCTGCCTCATCATGAGATATATTCTGCGAACCATGTCCTTGGCGTGGGCCTAGTCTCTTTTCAAGTCCACATAGCCCGGACGGATATCATCTGCGATGCCGTGGGCTATCCGTGCGGCGCCGAGGGTGATCTTGCGCGTGACGAAGGAGCTCAGCTACATGTTCGATAATGCTAGCTAGCTGGTACTTCCTCCGACTCCTACTTCTGAGGCCCACTACCGCGTGACAATTCCAAGCCATGCCTCCATTTACATATCCAACGTCTTATCCAACATCTCATACACAAACTTGACCTCCGGGACTTTCGCCTCAAGCTCACTTCTCGTCTCCTCCCAAACACGCTGCTGCGCCATGCGGCCGCTCTTTCTCTCCATGAAAGGCGGATACCTACCATCCAGTTATTAGTTAAGGTCGACTTAGAACCTCGACTCGATCTCTGTAAGGGCATTCGAACTTACGCCGCAGTATCAAAATCCTGCATAATCTTCCCATGCCCTTCTTCTGAAGCCGAAACTCCATTGACCAGCGCAGTGGCACAGATTTGTGGATCTCTAGCGCCAAAGTTCATGATCAACCTCGGAATCAACTTGGCCTGGTTTGGATTCGTGAGTGGCGTCCACGCCGAGCCAGGGTCGGCGCTGTTGATGGTCACTTTGCGCATGCCTTTGCCTGCGGCTGCGGTGGCCGAGGCTCGGGCTGCCAGCTCGCGGGCGAAGTACAGAAGGAGGGCTTTGGAACGGCCGTACTGATGCGCTTGCTCCATGCCGCCCTTGTTGTTGCTGAGATGTTTGAGATAGGAGCCGCGCTTGGGTACGGACATGGTGAAGGAGGATGGATACACGCCGAAGGTGGTGACGAAGGTCAGAACAGGAGGGGATGGATTTGTTGGGCAGGATTTGAGCAGTGGAAGTAGGAGGAGCGCGATAAGTGCGTTGGAGAGGAAGTTGACTTGGATCGCTATTGTGAGACGAATTATTAGAGTTCCGTTGCTGTCATGCAAGCAGTGGAGAGCTTAGAGATGGGGAGAGAGAAGGAGACACCCACAAGTTTCCCAGCCCTCAGGTGACTCGCGGCGATTGAAGGCGAGAATCCCTGCCGTCATTAAGACATGATCAAGGCTCTTCAATTCGCGTGCCTTCTTTCCCAATTCCTGACAGCCTGCAAAGGACATCATGTCGATTTGCCAAACCAGAATGTTAGGCTTGGTCTTCTTCATCTCACTGAGCTCTGCCTCGATTTCCTCCTTGACGCCTCCACAATCCTTGACGTCAACAAGAACAAGAGTCTCGACCTCGCGGTGAGCAAAGATTTTCGCAGCCCTGGAGCCGAATGCGCCATTCGCGCCAGTAATCAGGACAGTCCTGCCTTTGTATGATTTAGTAACCACGGTTGGTCTGCCATGACGCTGATTCCACAGACTCCGCCATGGGAAATATTCTGCCAAGAACAAAGGGATCCCGAAAATAAGGATGGTGATAAGGGCAGGTACTAAGACGAGTAAGCCGTAATTGGCCATTGTGAGAGTGATCACTTTAATTTCCGAGCAATTGTGTCTGGCGTTTTGAACAATGTTGTTGAAAAGGGTTAAAAACATTGATCGACCCATAATCAGGCGACGCGACGCGAATCCTTGGAAGTCGGGTGCCCGCCAACTTCAGATCGGAGAATAATTTGGCCGCGAATTCACCCCAAGGCTGCCCTGCGCATTGACGGCGAGCCATAATTAACACTCATTCACGCAAGTCAGTAGTCTTGCATCGACCAATTTGCTATTCTACATGCTTGCTTCTATCTTGAAGGGACAATGCGAAACTCCTCTCCCCTAGGTAGAATCCGTAATCCGTAGAATACCACGAAGCAGTGATCTGTAATCCGCATGCCCTCTTTCTTACCAGGCGTCCCGCTCTCCAGAACGCCCTCCCAGAACCCGGGAACGGTCCGATCCCGACTCTTGTGCCAGCAGTGTCTTTTCAATCCTCGTCAGCTTCGCCGACTCTGTCGAAGCACCCTCATCCAGGCGGGCCCCATCAGCGCCGCCTTCCTCAACCAGGCCGTTCCGGTCGCAGAAATCCAACACAGCCTTCCAGTTCGGATCCTCAGCCAGGAGGTCCCTCTTCCCAATAACAATAAGCCCAAACTTTGCCCTCGTCAGCGCCACGTTCATCTTATTCGGCATCCCCACGATGCCCCACCCAAGCGCCCGATCCCTCTCGACAAACCGCCTCCTCGACCTCGTGGCGCAAAGAATAACAACCCCATGCTCGAGGCCCTGGAACGCCTCGGTGGGCCCGACGTTGACGCCCCAGAGCCCAAACGGCTCCGCGCGGATCGCCTTGCGCAGGCGCGCCACCTGCGCCTTGAACGGGCTCATGATGCAGATCTCCTCCTGCGCAACCAGCCCCGACGCCACCAGCCGCGCCGCGTACCCGCACGCCACCGCCGCCTCGCCGGCGTTGTACCATCCCCCCGCGTCGGCCTCGAGGTCGTCGGGCGACGCGTTGTCGCAGAACAACACCGGCCACCCCCGACCCCTCCACCCCTCCCACCCGGCCAGGCGATCCGTGCCGCCAGCCTCGGGCTCCAGCGTGTCGGCGTAGAAGAGGCTAGATGGCGCGGCGAGGATGGCCGGGTGCGAGCGGTAGTTGCGGATCAGGTTCGTGAAGGCCGGGCGCAGCATCGGCAGCATGTCGCGCGTCAGCGGCGGCGGCGGCGCGTCGCGGCGGCGACGCCCGCCGGTGCGGCCGCGCGCTAGCGGGTGGTCGGCGTAGACGGGGCGGGCGAAGAGGCGCGCGAGGAGGGAGCGCTTGAGGGATGTGGCGGGGGCGGCTGTGCGGGGGCCGAGCTGGTACTCGTCGCCGGCCATGACGAAGAGCGGGGTGAAGGATAGCGGGGGGGATTCGGGGGGTGGGGAGACTACGTAGAGAGGGACTAGGGCCTCGGGTTCTGTGGCTTGGGCTGCTTCGTCGATGAGCAGCGCGTCCCAGTGGAGTCTGACCTCGGGCGGTGACGGGTCGAGGGGGTGGATCCGGTCGCGGAGGCCGTACTCGGTGGCGTACAGGTCCGAGTTTGTCATCCGGGCGTACATCAGCATCGACGCGTCGCGGCAGCTGGTCACGACGATCTTGTAGCTCATCAGCTGTGCAAAGGGTGGCAGCGCGAACGTGTCCTGGGCGATGTGGCAGTAAGGGAGGAGCCCGTCCGGTACCTCGGTAAACGCGCGGGACGGTCTGTTGAGCCTCAGCAGCTCGTTCGGATCCATGTGTTCCTTCAGGCGTGCGGCGAGCGTGTCCGAGGCGGGATCGGAGGGTGCGCATATGAGGATGTGCCACACCTTGTTGACGTTTCTGATCAGCTGTAGGGCAGTCTCGATCAGGGTCTTCGTCTTGCCCGTGCCGGGAGGGCCGGATATGAGATAGGGAAGAACACCGTAGTTCTGGGAGCAGATGTTCTCGACGGCCTTCCTCTGCTCCCAGTTGATGGCAGTGTCGAATAACTGCTGGCCGAAATTCCCAGAGTGAAGGTTGGCCTGCACATCACAATCGGCCTCAGTCGGGAAGAGCATAGACTGGATCCAGAACTGATTCCTTTGTGCGCCCACGATGTTACCCTCTTCACCCAAACCTTGGTCCTGATAGGTTATGTTGCTGGCAGCCGTCAAGGCGCCCTGGATCTGCGGGAGGACGTGCTCCATCGGGAAGTATCTCTCTCTGGGGACTGGGAACTGCACGTTGAACTTGAGGTGTTTCTGTGTGGGTATCGACATATGGTACGGATGTCCAAGCAAGATCTCGGAACTCTGAGTCGTGAGTCCAAAGACGCGAAGAACAAGTGTTTCCTTGGCTCGCAAAACGGCCGAAACACGCGCGAGGAACACAAGCCCGGTCCAAGGCTCGGAGTGGTGTGCCGCCGCTGCATGCCGCAAGTGCGACCCCTCCGACCAGGGGTTCATCCCAGCCTTCTCGGCTAGCCTCATCGCATTGTGAGAGCGAAGTTGTCGGAGTTGTATGATATCGTCGTCTTCCACGTACGGGCTGTTCTCCCGCAGACCGGGGACGGTGATGGTGCAGCGTGCCACACCGTCAGGTAAGAAGTCGACCATGCCATGATGCCCGTACAGAGAGCATGACGCGTTTTCGTCCTGCTGGAAACGGATCTCCTCTTCTAGGTGGAGCCGGAAGAACTGTTCGTATTCCTTCGGAGTAAGGCGCGGGCCCTGGTCATCGGCTACCAGCTTGTTGGCGTCTAAAGGCTCGAGGACAGGCGGCAAAAGATTCGGGACAAGCGATTGGATAACATAGGCGCCAAAGTCGATCTTCTTGACGGGCTCCGTGTCGAATATTGTGCCATCCGACCAGTTGATCTTTTTCAGCTTCTCCGGCACAAACGGCGTGGCGTAGACATCGAAGCCTCGGTCGAGTTCATCGTCCATTCTCTTGGGTTGCAACGGCCCCTGTACGTCAACCCCCGTTCCCGCAGCCGGTCCTTCTCGTGTCCTTTTGCCTTTCTTCCGGGTGACGCCGACCTTTTTCTCACGTCGGGAGTTAGCATGCCTCCCGGGTGGTGAATTCCCGCGCGTGTTGTTGGAGCCACTGCAGACCTTGTCTGGTTGATGGCCCCCAGAACTGGCATCAAAGTTCGAGGGCGCATCACGTGAACTGACGGATGAGTATCTTGAGCTGGACGCGGTGCTGGGCAGAGGCTGGCCTGACCTCGGGTCGATGATGGGAATGGCCCTAGCTCTGCCAGGTCGGACGAAGACTGGCGGAATTTGTTCCATGTTCCTGGCCTCCGTTCCTCCTGGTACGGAGCAAAAAGATCATGATCGATCGCCCAGAAATCGGTGGGACAAAATGAAAGCGAGAGGTGTCGGTGGTCGATTTCTAGACAAACGACGATTTTATTTGCTTTTTGGCAGCCTGGGCCCTGGAGTCTGTTAGTGGGGTATAACGGCTACAGGACTATCTTATCTCCCCCTTTCGCATAAGGTACACAGATCACGGACGCGCTGAATATTATTGGTTGTCTCAATTAGCTTCTTTTTATCAAGTCCAAATACATTTCTTGTCTTCATGAACACCTCTAGATGTTTTTGAAGTTATAGGGGAAACTAATTGGTATGTTTAATATCAGAACAGTGTGCACAGACCATCTCCCAGACAAGGGGAGAGCAAGACGGAACAAGCATTGGGAACATTCGCCATGACACACAACCACATAAACTATCAAGCTCGACTTGAGCTCGTTCAGGAAATTCTGGACGAGCGGTTCGGCTTCGCAGTAGGCGGCTCCCTCCTCTCGGTGACATTTCCAGTGGGTGGTGTTTGGGCGTCTGCTGACCAGCTAAGGCCGAGATCGAACCCATCCAGTACGATCCAGATGCCCCTTCAAGTACAACAACTTCGCATACCGTATCTCCCTCCAACCGCCTACCGCTTCGGACCGGTCGACGAACAATGCGCCACCTCAGAAAGGCACTGGGCCCATTCCTGAGGGAACGAAAGAGTTCATCATGCGCCTAACCAATCCAGATGCCGAAGGTATGCATGCAGCAACCCGAGGAATGAGGTAGATATTATATCTTTGGCCTCTGCCGCTCTACGTGGCTTTCAACCACATGTTGTGCCTCACATCTACGGCTGGGCAAGCGCCAAATCCGGCCAGGGATGGATCCTCCAGGAGTTCATGCCAGGCTCGCCGGTGGACGAGGCATTCAAGACCATGGATCATGAACAAGAGAAGAAGATATTCGCGCAAATGGCCGAGCTGCTCAAGGGGTTGCAAGAGTACACGCTGCCTGAGACTATCACGGCTTTCGGGGGTGTGACGTATGATGACGCTGGTCAGATTATCAGCGAGGCCATGCCCAGCGTTGGTGCCGGGCCTTGGCCCTCTTTTGAAGCGTCTTTCATAGGCAGGCTAGAAGTAGCCCTCAAGAAGGCAGATGATAACCCCTATATTAGGGAGTGGCGTGCCAATGGTTTGAGGGACCGACTCGAAGCGTTCGTGGCCGAGGGTGTTCCGGATCAGTTTGGGATACCGAGTTCAAAGGAGGACCGAGTTATTGTGCACGCCGACTTCAGTGAGTTATCCGCCATCTCTTGCCTTTTATTCGTCCCCACTAACAACCTGGAGCCCTGAATAATGTGCTATTCGATGCCATTTATCGGGTCGCATCACAGCTCTGATCGACTATGACTTCGCGACTATTTCCCACCCGTCATTTGAGTTCCTTCGCTCTTTCGATGGGGCAGGCGGCCAGTTCCGCGGCTGGACTGGTGATGAAGAAGGTGAGAAGGCGGCTCTCAGAAATGCCAAGCTGCATGGCTTTCCGTCGCCGCTGCAAGAGACACAGCCCGACGGCGCCGTCAATTGGGAGGTTTCCAAAGACTGGGAAGATGCATTGGAAGGGGCTGGTGTCAAGCGCCCACGGAACATCCAGGGATTTGAAGGAGTCGCTGATGTTGACACGATCCTGCGCTCGATTCTGCCTTGGCGTGTCAGCAACTCCGATATCTTGCGTCTCCAGTCAGAAGAGGTCATTCTTCAGTGTAGGGATGAGAATGAGGAGCATCTGGATAAGCTGCTCAGCCGTCTGGGATGGTGAGACATTCCATTTGTATTGAGAGACCCGGGGTGCCGGGAAATATGTTGGCCTAGAAATTCAATCAAGGGACCACTTTGATACGCGAAAAGGGAATTGGTATATGGGGGGAAATGGGGGGGAAAAATGCCCCCAGATGCCTACAGACAGTCGAACCGCCACAATCGGGAAACAAGCCCCGGTAACTGCGAAACAATGTACGGCTGGGAATTGAACCCGCGCTTCGTGGAATAGAGAGTTACAAGATAACGCTCTTACCAACATGACTATTGATGGTCGAAAGCGTCACTCACTATTGGGAACTATATCGTCATTTGCTGGGGCGGGCAGGCATGGGCTCGCTGTGATTCTCACTTTCCACTCACCCAAACTTACAAAATGGAAGGTACCTTGGTACCTATTTTACACAATACATGGATTGCAGCAACTGGTAGGCATGTTAATCTTAGCCCCCAGCCCGGTGGTTGATAAAACTGTACCTTACTGCCCACTTCTAGGGGAAGACAGAAGTGTAGAAATGCTCCGAGTGCCTACAGTGCAATTCCACTTCAGGTGGGGTGCCTGCCAGGGTGTCAAGGTGGCCAGATTCTTGGTAACCAATCCGGCCAACAGCGGCTATTTGACCCAGTTCACCCTCCCACATCTTTGTCGACGCTGCCGCCTCGAACCAAATCATCACCTCCCACAACATGGCATCAGAGTCGACTGCTCAGGCTCGAAGGGGTCTCTTGACATGGAAAGATATCCGTAAGTTTTGCACACGTTGCCTCGAATCGACTATGGTATCTGCTGCTAACGTGAATCTGCAGTTCCATGGCAGAGGTTCGTCCGTTCACAAGATGGTGACGGACTTGAATTAACATGACCTTTCCAGAGACAATGAATTCATTCTTACTGGATATCGGTACGTGACTTGATCCAGGCCAAAGACCCAGGCCCACAGCTGTTCAGTTCCTCACCAGATTCCCCTAGAACGGCGTCCTTCTCATACTCCAAGTCCCTGAGGAGCATCTTCCAAGTTCACAACGAGACTGGTATGATATCACTTGCCTTCCAATGTTGCCAGGCGTCGAGTCCATGTTGCATTCACGACTTACCATGACCCAGCCAACATCTGGTCCCACTTGATGGGTGCCGCTTGGTTCCTATTGATGTTCCTCCAGTCCTTCCACATCAGGCAACTGGCCCATGGCTCTCAGCTCCAGGATGCCATGGCGCTGGGCCTCTACTACCTCTGCGTAGTCGTCTGCTTTATCCTCTCGACCATCTTCCACACCTTCTCCGACCACAGCCAGGGAATGCACAAATTCGGCAACGAGCTGGACCACCTCGGCGTCGTGCTCGTCATGTGGGGCACCGGCATGTCGGGCGTGCACTTTGCGTTCTACTGCCACGGGCTTCTACGCAACACCTACTTCGCCATGCTCACCGGCACCGCACTCGCCTGCGCCGTCTTCACGCTCCGGCCCAAGTTCAGGCAGCCGGCGTACCGGACGACGCGGTTTCTGATGTACGTCTTCCTCGGGACGAGCCTGTTTGCGCCTGTCTTGCATGCTTGGCTGCTCTATGGGGACGGGCTCAACGAGATGATGGGGTTGAAGTCATTCCTTGGACTGGCTGCCATCAATTTTTCCGGGGCAGCTGTATATGCGGCGCGGATACCTGAGCGGTGGTTCCCGGGGAGGTTCGATCTGCTGGGCCAGAGCCACAACTTGATGCATGTGTTGGTGCTTACGGGAGCGTTGGTCAGGCTGGATGGGCTGGTGGGGGTTACGAAACTGTGGCAGGATCCCGCCGTCAAGTTTGAGTTTTGTGTCGGTGCAAGCTAGTCTTTCGTCGAATACTTCTTCCTCTTTGGAACTACCACCTCGGTTGGGCGAGTACGGGGACAAATCGACTACACCATCGCCACTGGCACTACAACTTGTCGCTGTAGAGTCCGCCGTCACCGGAAACTAACTTGCTTCAAACCCTGTTGCTTCAATATTACGTCTTGATCTCGAAAGCAGAAGAGTAAATGATAGCCCGCCACTCCTACATGTGTGCGTCCCCTCCATCCCATCCCCACCCCCCTCACAAAGCGTGTACTCCCATCTTCCCCTCATCCCAACCCACCAGCAAACAAACCGATTAAATCTCAGCCTCATCCGTACCACCACCCGCCCCCCCGCCCGCCACCGCCAACCACCTGTGCAGCACCCTAGCAATGACGCCCGCGACCCCCGACCAAGCGACGCGCCACCCATGCTGGCGCAGCAGCGCGAGCGCGATCTCGAGCGCCGCGACCGCGATGCCGACCAGGCCATCCCCACCTCCCCCCTCATCCAGCGAGCAAACGACGGGGTTTTTGTCGGGGTCGGCGGGGAACAGCGGGCGGCGCTGCAGGCAGTCGATGTCCGTGTTTTCGGTGATGAGGCGCCAGAGCAAGTTCGCACCGTGGGCCTGGACGTCGATCTCCCTGAGCCAGAAAGGGTCGTAGAATCGCAGGTTCGGGAGGTCGGGGCCCGCCGTCGTGGTGGTGGTGGTGGTGGTGGTGGTGGTGGGCGGCAGCAGGGGCTTCCAGAGGAGGTCCTCGAGGGCGTTGGAGGGCCGGCAGTCCCAGGGCTTGTCGACGAGCCAGCAGCGCATCATGGCGAAGCCGACGCTGAAGCGGTCCGAGTTGCCCGTGCCGAAGAGGCTGAAGAGGCTGATTATGGCGGCCGACTTAGGGATCGTCGTGCCCGGGAACCGCTCTTCGTCGAGCTGCACGCCGACTACGAGGTCGACGTCGTCGGGGGTGGCGTAGAGGCGCGACAGGGAGGCCACCGTGGTCGGGTCGGAGGAGAAGTCTTCGAAGCGCTTGCGGATCGGGACGGTGACGTTGGTGCCTGGATGTGTGATTAGTAGGGGAGGTACCGTGTTTAGGGTCGGAGATTGCTTGCCTTGCGCATTGTATGCCTCGAAATATTTGTTGAATGTGGGGAGGCCTTGTTCTCTCTCGTGCACGATACCTTCGGGCGTAGGGGGTTAGCAATCTCCTCAGAGGCTCACTACTGGGGCAAGGTCTTCGGCTTACTCCATGTGGCGAGATCGAACGGCACGCCCCTGTACTTGCCCGCAGTGCGGAACCCGTCGTCGACGCCGCTGTGAAAGTTGGGGATTGAGGTGGCCAAGATGCCGCGGAGGATGTTCTCCAGGCCGGCATCGATGAAGCCCTGGGCGTTGAAGCCGGTAGCAAACAGGTTCTGGTCCCACAGCGTCTCGTTCTGGGCGTCCTTGATGGGGAAATCGGGGATGATGAAGTCGTGGAACCGGTACACGACGGCCATCTCGGCCGAGATGGTCGTCGGCTTCCCGTTCTTAGTCACCAGCGGCCACGGGTACGTGTTGGCCGGGTTAATGTCGAGGAAGCCCTCGCCGTGGATCGCCCGGAAGAGCGGGAACCCGTCGTCGGTAGGCCACGGCATGTCGTCCGCCCAGTAGGCCATCTGGTAGACGTTGCCGATGAGCTGGAACTTTGCAGATACGATCAGCCGAACTGTCTGATAGAGCCGTTCGTCGTCGTACTCGGGATGTTGCCCCGCCAGGATGTCGCACAGCCGGTTGTGCTCCCGCAGGAACAGGGTGTGCACCGCCAACATGATCCAGTCCTCGTTTGTGCGCGGATCGCCTCCTGCAAAGAGCTTGGTAGGGTCTACCCCTGGACGTGTCCGAGTCGGGACTCCCATTGTGTTGAACGGAAGGTAGGCCCGGGGAACCTTCGCCCCGCGTGTGGTGAGCATCTGTTCCAGCAGCTTGCCGCCCTTGAACGAACGCAAGCGTTTGGCCACCTCTTCTGTGCTACCGTACAGCACCGACACGTCCATCCAGGCCGTTGCCATGTTGAGGTTCTCGCGAGGGTTCTCCTTCGATGTTCCGGTTCCGGGCACGGCCGCAGCCCTCCAGACACGAAGTGTCGTGTTAAGGGGGAACTCGGTCTCGTCTGGCGGCATGGGCACGTCGATGAACTCGGTCGTCGAGTCCTGGCTCCATGTGACGTCGTGAATGATGAACTCGACGAGGCCCAGCAGAAATGGCGTGTGCTCATAGTATAGCGTCTTGTGTCTCTTGAAGAAGGCGTTGCTGACGGCGCGCGGGTTGGGGCCGTCTCGGGGCTTGGAGATGCCGTCCGCATAGGCGTGTTGGTTATGATCGCGTGACTTTCCCGTGCCTGTCTGGCCCTCGTTGATCTCATTTGCCTTGATCCAGTTGCAAGATCCGTCGTAAGTGCGATACCACCATTTGTTCCTGTCACTCATGCAGCGCGGGTCTAAGGGGAACCCTAGGTAACTGAAAAGATCGTTGGCTTCGGAATCCGGCGCGTTCGATGTTGTGCTCTGTCCCTGAACATCCGGTATTGGCCCTCTGGCTACCGGCGCTGCGGAACCCGGTACTCTAACGCGTTTAAAAGGCTCCTGGACGGAGTTGACGTTGCCTGGTACCTCTCCCTCCCTGAGGGCATCGCAGAGTTGGCCTGTGTGGCTCTTGCCAACGAGATTGCTGAACCATTCGGCGACTTTCTCAGTGGTCTCCGAGCTGGGTGCAGGCAGATTTTGTGTGGGCTCATGGTTCCCTGCTCCCTGCTGCGGCTGTCCAGCAAGGACCTCGACACCCAAAACAAGGGCCGAGGTGATGAGTACGGGCAGTGTTAAGAGACGATGCAGTTTCATGGCTACGGAGATACTCAAGATCCTGGCCGAACTGTGGAAACATTGGGAAAGGAGTGGCTGTCTTCTCGCTGATAACTTCGCTGCATTTTGCGGAAACAGCCATTTTGTCACTCTCCAAACCTCGAACCACCCATATTCCGCTCCAAAAGTCTTGCATCATCAGCTGGCCACAGACAGGAGACGTAAAGGGGAGCATGTTATTCAGCCCGCGACGGAGACCACCAATCCTAAGCCGGAGAGTTGGGGCTCCCCCGGGACGAGCAAGGCGAATGAATCCTGGCCTAACCACCCTCCCAGGACTGGTTTACACGCACCTCATGGGTAACACGCCGGTGTTCCCCTCCCTTTTTGCGGTCCAAACCATGTGAATCAGGTCACCTAGTAATTAATAATAAGCTTAGCAGCCAGCATGTGCAAGTCATGCCTTGTCCCTGCCTCCTTATTTGAACCAGGAGAAGAACCAGGTGTATGGAGGCGCCTGGTCACCTGCTGAGGGGGCTCACTCCTGGATAGGTCTTCTGGTCTTGGATCGAGTGAAGCACAGAACAAGGAGTGGCAGAAAAACAAGAAAGAGCACACTTCAGCACCAAGTGTTCCCTGATAAGTCGGCACTGGGGATGCCTCCAGAAATGAGGAACCTCCAGAATGAGGCCCTTGGTTCCACCGACCGAGACACGCCCCAGTCATGAGGTTCTTCTGTTCCACGATGTAGGCATCCCTGGTGTTTGCCACATTGCCATGATTGCTGGGCTCACGGCAGTACCTTGGAGTTGTCGGATGAATCTACCCTGGGATGATAATAGTACCGAGTTCACATTGCCTAGGTAATTAGGGATTCATTACCCCGACCCCGGGAGAAGTGTCGATCTTAGCCATGGACGAACTGCTGATGCATGGGTGAACCATCTTGGCTGTCTCGGGCTCTTTCCTCGCCTTCAATCTCGTCTTTCAAACCAACATGATCGGCGCTCAATGCGTCCACGCATACTTGGCAATTTTTCTCGAGGCATGAAACGTGGAATATCGAGCGGGCGGTGGATTGGCCGAGCGGTGGCCAGTCTTAGCCGAAGCCCGCGTATCAAACAGTTGCACGTCTCGAAGCCGTGGCGGAGCCCAAACGTGACCCCCTGCTGACGCCGCTTGGCCCGCGTCGAACCGCAGAACATTGTCAATCCCAAGGGAGGCCGCTTTGTGTTCCAGTCTGAACTTGACGGTCCAGATCTGATCTGCACTTGGCAACCCATCAACTGTCATTCCCAGGATCTCGCCCGCGCATCCTAAGACGTATGTCGGACCAAGTACAAAACCGTCCGATGCTGCTCTCCCCGACCGGTTCTGTTTCCTTCTTTTCTCTCACCACCCACTCGCTCATTCCTGCCTTCATTTCGCCTTTTTTTTCCGAGTTGATCTCACTATCGTTATAAGTTCTGTGAACTTTATTACATTCCATTCTCTTGCACGTATTTAAACCGCCAGTCGGTCTTTTAACTCGGAAAACACATTCCTTGATTCAACATGTACGCAAAGACTTTCCTCGTGGCCCTCCTCGCCGCTACCGTCTCGGCTGCCGCCGTCGACATCAGCGCGCGCCAGAACAACAACAACAAGAACAACAACAACAAGGCCGGTGCCGCTGCCGGAGCCAACGCCGCCGCCGACTTCGGGCAATGCAACCCGACGATGGACTTCCAGCTCGGGCGGCCCGGCCGCAAGGCCGACGAGGGCACCTTCCTGCCCGTCGACCCGCTCGTGGCCAAGGGCCAGCAAGACGCGCTCAACCCGGCCATCATCGCCAACCGCATCTGCGACCAGCTGACCAACGTCTGCGAGGCCAACCAGGCCGCCAAGGACCTCTGCACCGCCGCCCAGGGCAATCTCGGCACCGCCAAGGACCAGTCCACCGCCGACGCCTTCAACGCCGCGCTCGGGTTCTAAGTTAATTTACCCCTCTGTCGAGATGGGTGCCCGCTGTCTGGATTCGGCCGGGGCTGGTTGGGAGGAAGGAGTCTTCGGGATGGGTTGTAACTAGCTAGGGGCAAGGAGCATTCATGGCAATATTCCACGGCGTTCAAACAGACTCGGGACCGGCGTTGTCCGGGTCGACGCTACAAGCCATATTAGACTTGATAGATGGAAGCCATTGTGAACACACAAAAGCAACGTGAATAAACATCGGTATGGATAGAGAGGTTCAACCTCGGATACGATTCCTCTTGTGCTTGTCTCGTAGGTACTAGGGGCATGTCATCAACTCTATGTGCAACTTGAAAATCACCTGATTGGCTCATACCAAGCTAGTCGTGCTGGCAGCTCAGCCCCCACAGCAACCACTCACAGTGCTCAAGCGTGATGGGACTTTGCTGCGGCAGGATCAGGCTGCCAACGAGGCCTCAACCCAGCAACTTCTCTTTCCCCCCGCCAGCGGGACCCGAGCCCAAACCAGGCACGACGCACTGGCGCAATCTCCATGGATCCTCTGAGCATTCTCTCCATCGCCGCTGCAGTCGTCGCCTTCGTAGATTTTGGAGGCAAAATCCTCAACTCGGCATCGCACCACCTCAGGCGAGACGACGACCTGACGACTGCCTTGGAAGATTTGGCAAGGGAAGCCGGACAGCTCGGTCGCCTAGGCCGCCGGATCGAAAGCACACACGGGCAGCCGGAGTCGTCTGCGAGTCAGAACCCGGAATTCGACGCCGTCCTTGTGGAGCTGGCGAGGGAATCCACCCTGGTATCAGAAGATGTCGAGACCTTGATCTCGACACTGCAAACCACCAACGGGAACCGCAAGGCTACAACATCTCTGCGTCTGCATTTGCTAAAAACGGTAAAGGATGGCGGGTCAGAGTATTCGGCGACCGAGAGGAAGGTGCGAAAAGCCGAACAAAGGCTCAGTAGCATCAAAAGCGCCATGATGTCGGCCGTGTTGGCCTGCCTCTGGTACGTGCAGGCGCCCTCGTTTGTCGTCCCTGTTGTTCATTGTCTGAAGCATCAAGTACTAGGGCCGATTCAAGATCCACAGCAGACGAGATCCGCCGGATATCACTCTACATTGGCAAAGAGCATACCCGAAGCTCTGCGCCTGCTACGGCTTCTCCACCAGAGCCCGAGCTGAGCCTGAGCGCCGAGGAGCATCAGCGACAGCAGCTGATCCACCAAATCTGGTCGCAAAGCTCCGGCCCCTCGGACCAGTTTGAGTCTCTTGGGGGAGATATCGAGGTGGATTCGGCCAGCCTGAGGTTGCCGCCGGTTTCCCAAGTGGAGCTGCAGCAGGCAGTTCTCCGCAGCCTCCAGTCCAACGAGATGGAGGAGAGGAGGAGTGGGATAAGCCCAGCGCACGAGAAGACCTTCCAGTGGATATTCGAGCGCCCCCAAGACACGGGCGACGAGCTCGCCGACGCCCCGCCATGGTCTGACTTTGTGTCCTGGCTAGAGCAGGACGACACGTCTCGGATTTACTGGATCACGGGTAAGCCAGGCTCCGGCAAGTCAACGCTGATGAAGTATATTTTCGAGAGTGGGCGCCTCGAACACCACCTGGGGCGATGGGCAAGGGGACAAAGTCTGAGAACCGCCGATCTTTTATTCCTGGAATGCCGGGAGTGATGATCAGCGACCCGAGCACGGCCTTCTGAGATCAATTTTCCACCAGTACCTAACGCAGATGCCTGAGCTTGTCCCCGGCGTCTGTCCACGACGGTGGGCGATGCATCGCGTCTTCGGAACGAGTCGTGGTGTCATGCTACCTAGCTGGACCAAGACGGAACTACGCCAGGCATTCGATATGCTCCTGCCTCTCGCCCGCCAGAGCAACCAAAAGCTCGTGCTTCTCATCGATGGGCTCGACGAGTTTCAGGTGACAGATAACTTCCGGTTCCTTCTCTCCTTCGCCGAAACAGTTCGATCAGAAGGGGGCGCAAAGGTGTGCGCCAGCAGCCGCGAATGGACCATGTTTACAGATTACTTCCGCGCGCACCCAAGTCTGCGGCTGCAGGACTTGACGAGGAATGACATTGAGCAGTACATCTACAGTCATCTCAACAAGAGCATTGCATATGCCGAGCTGAAGGACTCAAACACGGAAGATGTGGATCGACTGGTCGGAAGCTTACTCGACAAGGCCAGCGGTGTCTTCCTCTGGGTTCGGATAGTCACGGATGTTGTCCTGGCTGGAATGGAGGCTGGTCAGACCGTCAACGAGCTCAATGCGAGCGTCGAAGAGCTGCCGCCCGACTTGTCCGACCTCTATCAGGGAATCTGGGAAAGGCTGGGCCCCAGAGACCAAACTAGCGTCGCCCGACTGCTCCGGATCTTGGAGGCGAGTGTCGGCCCTCTAGATCCAACGACAATGTTTGCGGCCGAGCAACCCGATGCAGCGGAGGCGCTGAAGACATCCAAGGTCGCGCTTGAGAAACTCGTTGCTCGGCGGCTGCGGAGTCAGACTAGGGGCCTTCTTGAGATTTCCGAGATTCGCACCATCAACTATCTGCACCGGACTGCCAGGGATTGGTCGCTTACTGTCGAGGACGAGATGCAAAAAATGCTGCCCCCAGATTTCGACCCGAATCTGCAGCTTTGCTTGGCCAAAGTCGCCATCACGACGATTCTGTGCACTCCAAAGGGCTGGAATCTAAGCTTCGCGGAGTTGTGGGACAGGATTGGCGGCTGTCTTGAATACGCAAGTAGGGCGGCTGTTCGGCCCAAGAAATGCGCGAATGCTACCAAGCTCATTGCAGCACTGGATAGCCTCGACACGTGGGTGGCAGAGTTCCGAGAATATTTTGATTTGCGCAAATCTCGCGGCTTCGGCGAGGAAATTCATTGGAGTAGTTACCAGTTCAGTCTCCATTTCACACCAGGAAGAGATCCTGACTTGGTACCACATGTCAACACTTTCCTGGGCCTTGCGTCTCAGTACGCCATCCTTGCATACGTCGAGCAAAAGCTAAAGGAATGTCCAAAGCTGGTCAAACCCAAGCGATACGAGGTTAGTCTCCTCGAGAATGCCTTATTCGTCCCCGGAGCCAAACCCGGCAGACCCTTTGGGCTCGAGGAATCGCCGGGACTCTGGCGACTGCGCTTTCTGCAGCGAGAGGCCCTCGTCCGCCTACTCCTCGATCGCGGCGCCGACCCGCGCGCCGAGTCCTTGTTGCTGTGTCATGTCCCCAGGCTGGTGAAGGGCCTCATTCTGATGCCGAAAGGGCGGCGGGTTGCCGCCGCCGCCCGGGCCTTGCCTCTCTACAAGACTTTGCCGAGCCTATCTGGTGTCGGCAATAAGACCTTCTGGGAACCGGTGCAAACCATGTTGGATGAGAACATGAAGAATCGAGGCACAATTTCGCGGTTGCGGTCTTTACTGTCCCTGTAGATGCAGGTAGTAATGATGATAGTTATGTTGATTGAATTGCCTTGAAAGGCCTAACAATATAGATTCCAATTCTAATTATATGCCAAATATTGCATAGGTAGGCTAGGTAAGCAAAGTGCTGACCTTGATTTGTTTGGGGACCCAATAGGACTACGTTGATCCCTTGTCAAAATGCTAGCAAAATAGAACATAAGAAGAGGAGAGCTTCTCATTGGTGCTGAAACGGCCACCTGAACTTTGCATGCAGCACATTTTTCAGGTTCTCCGACTGCCTGGCGGCTGATGAATCAACAATAAATGCGGCTGGGAACTGGAAACCGCGTTCCATGGGGGAAACCAAGAAATTCTCTACAGCTCCACAGCTCATGCTCTCAGCGCCATCCATCTGGCGAGGTTAACGCAACGATGAGCAAGGAGAATCAGACATTCGTTTATATTGATGGCAAGAGGTATAATTGTTCACAAGACGAGGCAGTTGACCTAGATGTGGCCGGCATTGGTGTATGAACAACAGCCCTCACTCCAGCTTCCGCTGCTAAGGCATTTTCGCTGACTCTGATAATTAGGTCATGGTTTCCTTCTGGGCTTCTGCAGCGATTACATTCATATGCATTATTGTTGGCTACCTTAGAGGCACTCTTCCTGGTGTTCCGCAGAATGAGGCAGACAGCCTGATTAAGGGTCTGATACGACAACCCTGGACCTGTCGCGAAACACTCTTCAGCTCCAGACCAATCTCAAAAGCGCACGATAAAATACCCAGAGCAGAAAGCGGCTCACGGATTGAAGAAGCATTCGAGAGCTTCCTGCTCTCGTTCAGCGATCAGCAGCTTGTCACCGGTCTAGCCATGTTGGTGTCTATGTTCAGCAAGGGAGATATCACTATATACTCGTTCCAGCTTGCTACAGCTGTTGCATGGTTTTCATCGACGATACACCTTGCCACGCTGGTCGTCTTGAGGAGGCATAGTCTCGCCGTTCTTGTCATCTAGTTTTAGGCATCGGATTGCTAACATTTGGCAGGTTTCTTCGCCGGAACAAATGGTCACGGATTCTCCGAGTTTCGATAATGCTCGTTGTCGTGGTTTTGCTTCTGGCCGCGAATTCCATAAGTGTGACAACCGATCTTTCACATTCGCGAAATCGACCTTCCGATGCAATTTTCTGCGCTTACAGGAAGACAAAATATAAGGGAGTCGACTTGTTCAGCATCATCTGGTTGGTCTATGCCTTCACGACGAGAGTCATCCAAGTTTCTGTTCCTGAGCCGTCGGACACCTCTCGCCAGCGCATCTTTGATCGCTTCAGAAACCGACTTGGCAACATGCCTACAATTCGGGACCGTGTCTCTAGCAGGATTGCCGCTTTGCGCCAACAAGAGCACCCCTCAGTATCGACAAAGTTTCACTTGGCTTTTAGCGCCATATACTTCGCGCACATAGAGTTGTCGTCTAGTTTTGCGTGGCAGGTTATCTGGCTAACTTTCAGTTTCGGCTATGGGGTCCGAATCTCTACGGACAGCTGGAGTTTCTGCTACTCCATGGCTGAGTACTGGCAGGACCCGAGCTCAGATCCAGCAAGGTGTCTGACGCCGGCATTGCAGATGGGGTTCGGACAGATTGTCCCCCTTGTTCTACTGGCTTTACCCGTGCTGTCTTTCGTTGGGGCATTCTTCGGCGAAACTAGTGAGTGATATGCTTCAATGCCATTCGTGTTGTCAAGCTGCTAACGAAATTAGCAACCACCCCGGAGACTGCAAACGCGACTACAAACGCAACTAGTCCGATAGTGGAGGGAGGAAATCCTGATCCAGGGAATCACACAGAGGCGGAAAGCTCAAACTTTGTTGATCCTGAAACCTCGGCCTTCAATACTATTGCGCAGCAAGCTCCGACGAACAGTGGTGAAAGGTTTGGTATAGCAGAGCCAACTGAATCACTTGATGACAGGGGGAATCTGCCAAATCCTGATCCTTACGAATTACTTATGGTCAGAGGGTTTGTCATCTTCCTCTGCTCCATATATTTCGCCTTCGTTGTATTGTTGGTGGTAAGCGGCTTGAATCTGGCTACACTTTCGATTTTTGCTATGGATATTCTCTATCTTCTTGACGAAGCGCGTGCTTTTGCTGTTGCGTTGCACATTGTGCCTTTTGTGCTTATGCGCCAGGCTAGGGGGCGTCAAAGGGAGGAGTCAGTTTAAGGTGATGAGCATAATCAGAGGAATCACCTACTAGGATTCGAGGCATTGGTCCTCTCATCCACCAAAGTTGTAACTGCCTCGCAGAGCCATATGTTCTGTCTTTGAAAGCTTGCTTCTAGCATCCCGAGATCCAGTGAAAGTTACATAGGCCTCAATCGACGCTCCCACAACTAATCTAACTTATCCATCCGGTGACAGCATGGCCATTTGGTCGACAGCAAGTTAGACTCGTCCCAGGCTAAAGACAAGCCAGGCAGGTGCTAGCTAGATAGGCTCCTAAATCATATTTGGATCTCCGGGGCATTTTAAACCGTCAGTTATTACCCTGTACTTTACTACGTATGCCAATTTCCTCTCCATTCCCGAGACGTTGCCTATGATGCTCCATCACTTCTCGAAATAGGTAGCTCAAGGTCTATCATCTATCGCAGCCAGAGGACAACACGGCGTCAATGTCGAAGGTAATTGCGAGGGAAGCATTCCTAACCAAAAGTAATAAGTCCCAGACACGTCATACACGGTGCCAGGGGCGGCATAGAGACCCAGTAGGAGAACGCAGGGCGCTAAATAGCGGGTTGGCCGTCAGCACTACTACAGGACAGACTTCGAGCTGTTGAAGCCTGGAAGACAAAACGACAGAAAAGAAACAAAAGTATAAATCTTCTCCGGATGCGGGTCGTGGTGGATTGAGTCCCAGCCGTCTAGGAGGAGTCAGTCGTGAGTGCCGAGACGGTATGAAAGGAAACGCCGTTCTTGGTCACGAGCGGGCCGTCCCACGAGAAGCCAGGGGGCGTCTTGTCCAACACGGTGCCGTTGGCGAATATGACGCCAGTCTACGGCTCGAAGGCCGGGTTCTGGGCCGCATGGAGCGTCTGGGCAGGGCTCTTCCCCGCCCGGTCTAGACGCGGATGCAGCGGGGGCCGCCTGGGGTTGATGAGGCAGTTCTCGCTGATGGTGAACAGGTTCAGGCCGATGGCCAGCGTGTACAGCTCGGCGCTAAGCTGGTCGAAGTGGTGGTCGCCGTTGGTGACGACGCCGATCTAGTCGACCATCAGCACGTTGGGGAAGGCATGCTGGCACTACTGTACTTGCGCTCCTTGGGGTCGCATTTGTCGCTTGGGTCTGTCTTGGCTCGGTTGTCGACAGCCCAGTCGGTGATGCCGCCAAAATTCAGACCAGACACCCAGTCGACTCGGCTCTTCTTGGTGTCGGCGCTCATGTAAGCTGCCCAGTCCGCCTTGTCCGACGTTCCGTACACGAGGATGTCCGAGTCGGAATCTTTGTCGTAGAAAGACCTGACGACGCTGTAACTTGTGTTCCCGGCCTTGATCTCCAATTCGGTATAGTAAGTTATCTCATGCAGGTACTTATTACACGGCTTGGCACGTTTACCATGCCGTACATCTAGCTAGGGCTGCTGACAGGAATGGGGTCATGGATGCTACGTAGTCACATCATCGGGGGTTGTTTCGTGCGGCGGAGCGGCAGGTCCTGAGAAACCGGCAGGTCTTGTCAAGGGGGCATCAACGACGCTTCCATTCTGTTGCCTCTACAATAACAGTAATTAATCACCTCTCAGTCAGCCAGGCCCTCCAGCTGCGCCTTGATCTGCAGCGCCAGGACCCGCGAGAAATACCGACAGATGGCGAGGTTCCCGCCATGGAACCAGAAGCCCGGATGGCCCGACCGGCGCCACAAAGCCCTGACCTCGCCCTCGCCGTCGAACCCCCACACGTCCCCGACGCGGTCGGCCACCTCGTCCCCGAAGATGGCCCTCGCCTGCGTCCTCATGTTCTCGTAACCGGTCGCGAAGACGATCTCGTCGGCCGGCAGCTCGGTCCCGTCGGCGAGCCGGACCCCGCGCGGCAGAATCTCCGCCACCTCGTGGCCATGCTTGACGGCGATCTTCCCGTCGGCGATGAGCTGCGACGCGCCCACGTCGAAGTAGTACCCGCCCCCGCGCTGGAAGTACTTGATAAACAGCCCGCAGTCGTCGGGGCCGCGGTCGAGCCCGAACCCGGCGCGCTCCAGGCCCTCCAGTATCTCGGCGTCCTTGACCACCTGCAGGCGCGTCAGGTCGCGGTGCAGCGCCTTGACCACCTCGCCGGGCCAGCCCCACAGCCACAGGTCCGCGTCCTCGACGGGCGGCCCGCCCTCGGCGTAGAGCCCGCCGAGCAGGATCTCGGTCGCCGAGGCGCTGCTGACGACGCACGTTGTGGACCGCTGCACCATGGTGACGTGGTAGCCGCGCTCGTAGTAGTCCTGGCAGATGTCGTGGCTCGAGTTGCACGCCCCGATGACGACGGCCCTCTTGCCCGCGCCGTCGGCGCGCGCCCCCGGGAACCGCGACGAGTGCACGAGCAGGTCGCCCTCGAACCGGTCGCGGCCCGGGATCGACGGGAAGTGCTCCTTGCCCGAGTGGCCCGTGGCCTGCACGACGTGGCGCGGGCGGAGGGTGCGCGTCTGCGTGGTGCCGTCGGGGAGCTCGCGCCGGATGGTGACGGTCCACCGCTTCTCGGCTTCGTCCCACGATGCGGATTCCGGCGACGACCGCGTCCAGATGTTCAGCTCGAGGGCCTTGGCGTAGATCTCGAACCAGTCCGCGAGCTTGTCCTTGGGCGTGAAGACGGGCCAGTGGTCGGGGAAGTTCATGTACGGCAGGTGGTCGTACCAGACCGGGTCGTGGAGGACGAGCTGGTGGTAGCGCTTCCGCCAGTTGTCACCGACGGCCTCGTTGCTGTCGACGATCAGGGTCGGGACGTTGAGCATCTTGAGCCTTGCATGGGCGGTCAAACCACCCTGTCCAGCCCCTTCACGGATGGATCGTCAGTACTACAATTACTTGCTTCTTCGCCGAGAAAAGTCTCCCAGACCCAAACTCACCGATGATCAGCACATCCGGATCGCTGTGGTCAAAGTTTGCATCCTCGACCCTCCTGTCCAGCCAATTCTTCCGTCCCGGGTTCGCGCCATGCTGCACGCCTTTGGTCCTCCCCGGGCCAAGTGGCTCCTCATGGCCTTTTATCGTGGTCAGGATGGTATAAAAGGTCCATATTTTCCAGGTTCCTTCCTTCTCCGCCAGCCGGACGATGCCGCGCCCGGAACCGACCCCGGTCTCCACGGTTGTGTAGAACTGGATGCCCTTGACGTCTTGGGTCCCGTTGAACGGGGCAATCTGCGGCGATCGCCAGGCCGAGGTTCGGTCGATGGCGACGGCGGTCAAGGGGCAGCTCTTCTCGAGCTGCGACACGATCGTGTCTCGGCCCTTCAGGGTGCGCAAGTCCCACGACAGCGCCAGGTGGTCGCGCCAGTACGCGTCCTCGTGGAAGAGCTGCCCAATTGCCTTGTAGTCCTTCTTCGCGATGGACTGGTTGAGGAGGTCGATGGTGCGGGTTGCGATCGCGTCGGCGTCCGCCGAGAGGTCCTGCGCTGTAGCGGGCCAGGCCGAGACGGGGATGTTGACGGATCCCGGCTCGCAGCGCTGGCTCGAGGGGACCGAGGGGGCGGCCTGGGCCGGCTGTGGAGTTGTGATGCTACCCATGGTGGTCAGGGACAAAACTAGCTGGTTTAGGGAATCGATTGAGGTCGATTGAGGGGTAGTCGCACCTAGGCTCGTCCCTTTTAACTTTGGGCGTCAATTGGGTGAGTAAGCATCACCGACTAGTCACCCACTGCAGTACCGCGATTTACATCTCCACTCGTCCGCAGTCTACTGCGGTACAGCGTGGTGGCGTCTGCTGGCGTCGCACAGACTTCCCGGCATCAGCATCGCGATGCGGGGTTCAACGGCATATACCGCAGCGATTCGTGACCACTGTTATATTTCCATAATGGGACATGTTGGTGCTATTCCGCACAATTGACATGTCTGCAATCATCTGATCCCATAACACGCCCATACAAGGAATACAGCAATGTCGGCTCCCTACGTCTTAATACGTCACAGTTCTAAAATCCCTACAAATAATTAAGGAAAGAGGAGGGAAGGGCAGAAGTCCAATCAGCCAAGACATAACTACCAAGGGGGCGGTTCCGGGAGCGAGCTTAAAACATTGTACATGTTTCGTATAATTAGAGACAATAACCTATCATACAGATGCGATACTGATAACTGGTGCTAGATGGGTTCAAGGTTGACGATCCCCCGATGGAAAGGTGGCTGTATTGTTGTCGTCTCGATCCTCCTGCATTAATTAGCCAGCCCACGATACAGCGAAGTGAGAGCCGTAGTTCGGGCTGGTTAGAAAGGGGCATGAATGCGGCCATGTTGGCAACTCAGGGGGAAACGGGTCACTCAATGTATCGAGTGTGAGAGGCGTGACTCTCGTTCTTTTTGGACGCCAGAGACTTAAAGCCTGGTTGCGTAAAGAGTACTAACAAAAGTGGTTAATTAATTAATGCAAAAGGTATACTTGTAGTTTTGCTATGGCTATGAGAGCTCTAACTTCGAGTGGACTTTGAAAAGTTACATCAATAGATCATTCAAGCTGAACATTCCGCTGTCGTTTGTATGTTCGATCTGGCGCATGAATTCCAGGAGTTGGGCTTGGGGACGCGGCCCATTCGGAAGTGAGTCGTGTCAGCAGCACCGGTAATGCTGTTTTCTTTAGCTGTGTGTCGTTGGGATGGGCGATGAGGCTGTTCACGTTGAGATGGGGAGCTGGCAGGGAGATGCTTACATCGCTAATGAGTCGCCAACCTAAGCAGCCCAAGGTCGTCAACGGAATCGGTTATCGGTGATACCTCGTTTCAACAATCCGGATGATCGAAGCTATGCGCACAGAGTTAGGCCGCTCCCAGGTATGTATGTACATACAACCCACTGAGTCACAGTTATATTCAAGACGCCAATACCGATGCCTTTGTCTTCGATACAGGAACCCCCAGGGCTAAGTATCATGCACAAACACGCTCTCAGAACAGCACCAAGCTAAAACCTCCACCCCTACCGACCCGGCGCCGCCACCTCACCATCGGCGCTCTCGTCCGCCGGCTCAGCCGAGAACGGGTCCCTCTTGAGCGCCTCCTCGACCTCCCTATACGCGTCATAGCCGTACAACCATGGCTGGACCTCGGGACACGTCCACCTGCTGGGGAACGCGCCATCCAGCTCCTTCCCTAGCTGAGACAGGAATACCCTATCGCGGGCCTCCTGCTCGGGCCCATCGGGCATGTGAAATGAGTCCCTCTGTAAAAAAAAAAAAAAAGAACCCCGGCGCGTCAGCATTGCGCAATGCAAGGGTGATTGGGGGAGCGAGCCACGACTTGCCTGCTTGAACGTCTCCTTGACGATGGCCTCGCCCCGGGCCTTGCGCAGGCGCTCGTACAGGCCCAGCGCTTGCGGGAGCTGCGCTCGGGACTGCATGCGGCCGAGGAGCAGGCCAAGGACGGCGCCGTCCTCGACGGCCGAGTTTGCCCCCTGGGCGAGGTACGGCAGCATCGGGTGGCAGGCGTCTCCGACGAAGACGAAGTTGGACTTGTCGTTGATCCAGGTGGGGAGCTCGGCACCTGTCACGAGCAGCCTTTGTTAGAGGATCCCCCCTGGGACTTGGTCTTCGAGGCGGGGGGAGGGGGAGAGGGGAGGAGGGGGAGAGGGGAGGAGGGGGAGAGGGGAGGAGGGGGAGAGGGGAGGAGGGGGAGAGGGGAGGAGGGGGAGAGGGGAGGAGGGGGGTCCCGTACGGTGCATCAACTTCCACTTGTTGACCGTCTTCACGAGATCAAGGAACCGGTTCAGGATAGGATCCCAGTCCTTAAACAGCTCCCTCATCTCCTCCACGGACCCGGGCTGCCGGCTGACGCCGACGGGGAGGTCGTCGGGCACCAGCAGGACGAGGTTGTACACCCTCCCCGCGCGGAGCGAGTACCCGACGGCATGGGAGCCCGGGCCGATCCAGAAGTGCACCGACGGCTTGCTCACCCACTCGCGCAGGTCCGGGTCGGTGATCTGGTCCAGGTCCAGGACGACGCGGTAGGCCAGGTCGCCTGTCATCTTGGGCCGGTCGGCCAGCCCGCCCAGGAAGCAGTCGCGGCACCGCGACCAGAGGCCGTCGGCCGCAACGACCAGGTCGGCCCGAGCCCTGACGCCCGACTGCGTGGTGATCTCGGCGGCGTCGAAGTCGATCCAGTCGACTCTCTGGCCCAGCCGGAACCCGACGCCGAGGTCCCGGGCGCGATCGTAGAGGGCGAGCTGGAGGTCGACGCGGTGGAGGTCGATGAAGGGGGCGCCGTACTTTGCGCGCATCTTCTTGTCAAAGTCGGCCTCCATGGCCAGGATCTCGCCGCTGTAGCGGTGCACGGCGAGATACGTCGGCTCGGCGGCCGACTTCCACAGCTTGTCGGGGAGGTCCCATTGCTGCAGGAGGCGGGACGAGTTTGGCGTCACCTGCAGGCCGGCGCCGATTTCCAGGAGCTCCTGGGCGGACTCGAACACGGTGACATTGTGGCCGGATAGCGCGCACGAGATGGCGGCTGAGAGCCCGCTCAAGCCTGCTCCGACGACAATGATGTCCAGGGCAACTGGAGATTTGGAGTGAGTTGGCATCGACATCTTGTCCACGAGCTGCGTCGTCGGTTGGCGGCTAAGGTTTGCTTGCAAGATCACGCCCTACTACCGCGTAGACTCCGGAAGAGGTACCCCACACTCGGATCCCCCAAGGCAGCCACGCGGGTGTTTGGATCAGTGGATCAGGGGTCTTCCCCTAATGTAAGTGTTCGTTCGGAAAAGCCGAGGGCCAGCAAGTGGAAAGTGGAGGTGCCTGGGAATTCCGGGATTAGCGCACTTTCTCGTTACCGGCAAGTTGGGAAGTATGAGATATCCCGCAGCCCCGCCATCGACGGATCGATTGGCTGGCCGGCGTCCCGGCATCGGCAATATGAGAAATTTCGGGAGCGTTCGATGGTGCAATCTACCGTTAGGATCCCCTCAAATTTCTTGGGGGTAAAAAGGCAAGGCAATGGCAGCTCCCAGCAGGGAGGGGAGCATGTTAGGGACAATTGGCGATTTTGACAACAGGTCGACAGAATAATAATCACAATGGCTGCGCCCAAGGGACCTTACAGGCTGGTGACCGTTAACACGGCACCCGAGCGAGCAAAGAAGCTGATTGGTCGCATGACCGAGGCCTTGAAGGACCAGTACGAGATCGAATACGTTGACAACTGTCAGAGTAAGTTGCACTTGGTGTTGGGAAGGTATGAAGGCGAGCACTCCTCTGACGGAAAGATTCACAGGCATCGACGAGGTGGTGCCAAAGGTCACGAAGCACAAGCCCAGCGTCCTGGTAGGTTCCAGTCGGTTCCAGTCGGTTCCAGTCATTGCCCCTGAACAGGAGGACGGTCATGGTTTTGGAAGAACGGCGATGCTGACTTGCGGCCAGTTCTGCGCTTCCATGTGGACGCCCGAGGAGGCGGAGAAGATCCAGTCGCTGGCGAGATCGATCGTGCCGGACATCAAGACACACGCCATCCCGATGGGACTGCAGGTTGAGAGGGGTCCCGATGCTGTAGTCGAATACCTCATAGAGAAGGTTCCGCTGCTACTGGGTTGATCTCGCTCTCTCTGTGTGTCTCTATTCTCTTTTCCTCTTTTGTTTCTCCTTTTTCTTTAGACAGGGCAATCATTTGGCTTCCAGGAGAGACCATAGATAGAATATGGAACATAAACTAGCCCTTGGGCGGAGACCAAGATTGGTCCTGGACGCTCGTCAGGTGCAATTCTCGACCCGAGACGATCCTCGCCACACATCGTCTGGCCGATTCCGTGGAGTGTTCCCAAAATCAGCTTGTCTCTCCTGGCTTGCGTATAGCAGAGTTCTAGCCTGGTTGTTCATGAGACTGCAAAGCCGGGAGAGCCTTTCCGGGAGAGCATCTGACTCGACTCGAGGAACCCTCCCCAACACAGCAGGGCCTTCTAGCGCTTCGTAGAACGGCCCGGATGGTGTTTGGTTGAAATCGTAAAACTGATGAAAATATGTTTCGCTTGCACAATAGGGAGAAGGGACTTGTTCGTAGCCGCGAATACTGAGGAATCCATGATGTTAGAAGGTGATATGACAAGCATCGACAAGGGCGGAGTAAAGCTCACTTACCACACAACGCGCTGCCAAAGGATACCAAGTTTCTCACATCGACATTTTTCAACCATTCACGACTATCACTCCATATGTAGGCAACTACCAGCCAGCGTCCCGTTAGCGATCGGGGTTCTTCCTCGGCCTGCTCCGAGAAAACGATTCGCCGCCCCCATTTCTGGTAGAAGTAGCCCTGAACATGTGGCGGGCGATGAAGGTATTGCAGCCCTTTTGGGTCTTCCACCCGATGATTTCGCCATGATTTCAGGCTGACGTTATTCTCCAGATTCTCCAGTTGTTCGGGAAGGTCGACGAGTAGATGGCGCATGACCAAATACCATGGCGCATGATCTTCTACGTCTGCAGCGTGATACTCTTCGGGGGCGTGAAAAGACATAAACATCCACCTGAAGGCTCGCTTCTTTGGTATAGCAAAATATGGTTTACCAACTGCCACACCTTCCACCATGCCGTCGAACACCTTGTCGATCCGAATTCGCCGATTATGACGTTTTGCTCTTTTGGCGATTGTTATATCATCATTTTCGTCGTCTGGGAATCGGGGATACAGCCACATGGATCTATACAACCACATGGTTATAGACCGCTACATGGTTACAGATTTTGTGGATGTAGATGGTTGATACGAAGAGACGATTCTTGATGGAGGTAGTTGTGGTGAGAAGGTGAGCAGGTGAGAAGGACCGAGGGATTGAGGGCCGGGGCGCCGGCCGTTTTATAGCCATATTACTGTATGTCGTGGCCCAAACTTTGAATCGCAGAATGACTCATGGAATAGAGTTGGACAGGCCACTTGCTGCAGTAAGCCGGTTGAGGCCGGAACTTTAACTGCCAATGCATCGGGTCACAACAGGGGCCGAGACACATGGTTGGTGGTGAGTGTATATTTGAGCTGAAGCTATGGAGGAAATCTAAATACAAGATGGACTGGTCTTCGTTTCCCTGCACTCACAGGTACTCACCCGGCGTAAAGCCAAAACACAGAGGATATCCGTACTTGCCGTCAGACAGCGTACAATGAGGATGAGTCTATGATGTCGGGCTCGGTATCAGTACTTACTGGACTATCGGAGGAGTTCCCGGCAACGCTCCAGCACTCAGGAAACCTGTGCAGTCGAGGCAAGTCCTGGTTGACTGCATGGCTACCTACCCTTTTTGGCGAGCCGAGGGGCTAGAATTGTTGGATGTGGCGATGGCTCCCGGAAGCTTTCCTCTGATGTTGTGGTGGATGGAGTTACCGTTGTAGAGAGTAGTATCAGAACGTGCTGCAAATGGAAGCTTCGTGTGGAGGAGACTGCTGGGCGTTGGACGCATATATTAATCGCTCGAATCCCCGGCTAACTCCCGTCTTCTCTTCTTCTTTTCTTCTTCAGCACTCATTCACCATGGCGACCACACTCAACCCCTCCCCATTCACCTTGGACACTCGCCACGCTTCACCCCATTCCACGGACACCTGGATGACACCCTTCGGCTCGAGACAACAACGCTTCATCCACTCACTGGCCCGGCCAAACACGTCTAGAAGGCGCTTTGCGGCACGATGGGGGCTATTGGAGCAATAGCTAGTATCGTGTATACCGTATTGTATATCCTTGACCGCCAATAAGGCTAGTTCATTTCTTGTTCTTTTCGTCTTTGGTGCTATTTGGTGTCGGTCCGCAAGCGCTGGCAGACCTGGGACGACGGACTGGCACCTTCTCGTTTTGGAAGGCTGACTTCCACCGATGCAGATCGGTCCTGCCCAAATCTTCCCCCGCGGAACGGGCATCCACCCCGAGCTCGTTGGAAGCCGTCCGGAAGTGTCTCTCTCGACTCAGCGAAGCAAAGCAAACAACCGAGATCATCTACCGCGTCTACCAACACCACGACTTCTTCCGCACATGGTATGCCCCCCCACGCTCGTCTCCTCCCCATCACCGCCCTCCCGCCCACACCCACGCGCTCTTAACCCAACCTCAACCCACCAGGTTCTACAATGTAACATACATCTCCTTCGCCGCATCCATAATCGGATTTGATGTTTGATGGTGGGGAGTCTGGGGTAGGAAAAAGGTTAGGGATAGGGGTAGGGGAATCACTGCATGGATAGGAGGTGTTTAACGTGCCGGGCTGGGAGTTGGTTCATGGCACGCTTCCGATATGTTATCAATAATATCAAGGGCGTCGCTTTTACACGTATTTGTCCGTCTATTCTCCATTGCTGGCACGAGCATTTACCTTATTCCAGTACAGCTGTACCTTTCCCAGAAAGAAAAACATAATTAAACACAGACACAACCCATTTACTCCTCGTTCTTGAACACGTTGACAAGCGTCCCCACATGCGGCAGGATCTCGACCGCAAACTCGTCCCCGTCTCGCAGCGTCACCTTGGGGGTCCGGCCCACGCCGACGCCGGCGGGTGTTCCAGTGATGATGAGCGTGCCCGCCGGCAGGGTCGTGCCCTGGGACAGGAAGCTGATTATCTTGGGGATGCTGAAGATGAGGTCACTTGGGAAAGACGGTTAGCTGGAGGACAAAAGGGAGTGTGGGGTTTAGGGGGGGACGAACTCGATGCCGCAGTCCTGGAGGACTTCACCGTTCTTGAGGCCACGGAGGCGGAGCTTCGAGGGGTCCTGGATCAAGTCCTTGGACACGAGGGTCGGGCCTAGAAGCAGGGGTTTAGTTTATCAGAACACCAAAGCTGCCACCAGGTCTCCACATCATCGACATGTTCTACGGGAAGGAAGGGAAGCCCTACCAATTGGGCACGCGCCGTCGAAGCCCTTGGAGAAACACCACTGCGACTGTGAGAACTGCGAGGACCGGCTCGACACGTCGTTGCAGGCCGTGTAGCCCAGGACGTAGTCCATTGCGTCGGCCTCGCTCACGTTCTTGGCCGTCTTGCCGAGCACGACCGCCAGCTCGGACTCATAGTCGCCGCAGTCGTCGACCTGGGTAATCTTGGGGAGGACCGTCGGCGCCGGCCACGGGTCGGCGAGACTCGTGCTGGGCTTGCTAGATTTCACACACACATACATACCGTTAGAATCCTGGTGACAAGGGGGGGTCCATTCCCAAGGGGGTGCCCGGGGTGCAGCGTGCTGGTTGGCTTACCAAAAGAGGGTGGGCGTATCCGGTATGGCCATCTTAGCTTCGGCGGCATGCTCCTTGTACTGGTGTCTCCGTGTCAGCGTTCATCGTCCAGGCTCGAGAGATGCAGCACCACCACGTCAGCACTCACGTTCAGGCCAATGCACCTGATCGTGCCGACCTCGTTCTGGGTCAGTGGCGACAGGATGCGGTCGATGGTCTCGGTGGCACCGGTGGCGGTACCCGCAGACAGGACCGAGTCGCCGGAGAAGACGCTGACGGCCACGTCCTCGCCCCTGCGGACGGCGAGGCCGACGTCGACGTCGGGCTTGACGGGCTGGCCGATGAGGATCCGCGATGGGCCCGACTTAGGCACGAAGCGCACGAGGCCTGCGTCCCCTGTCAGTTGACCGGTGACATGGCAATAGGATGGAGGACGGGCCACTTGCGCGTGAATGAAGCTGCGGCCATTCTGGGCGAATTCGAAAGGGGAAAAAAAAAATTGGTATTACTGGGCTGACGCTGTCTTCCTCGTATGTTGAAGTTACAAGTTCAATATTTTGATCCCTATCTATGCGGGGTCTCGGAAGATAGCTGTGCCTCTGACGACACTGATCTCGGCAAAACCCCGTTGTAGGTTCCGGAAACAAGATGACGGGATTTCCGCTGCTCCGACGGACCTCCGGCCTCGGAGCATTGGGGGGTTTTTGTGTGGATCGGCAGTTAGGCTGGTCGCTAAATCGTTGCGCCGTCGAGTATTTTCCACTGAGATGACAATTTTAAAGCACTAAGACATGGCAACAGCATGGCGACTGGCCAATTGGCTATCACAAGAACCGGCAATCCCTGTTCCTATTCGTGTCATCTAGATCGTGGTTGTGGGGCTTACCCCTTGCAAGACCCGCAGCTCAGAGATGACGCTAAACGCGGGGTCGAATGGTGGATCGACAGGAGCGCGGGGGGTATTGACTTTTTGCCTGCGACCTGAGATTGTGGTGTGATTTGTTGTGTAGGATACTGCTATATTCAAGAGTGAATCGTGCCACTGAATTGAATCCGAGATAACTTCATCGAGCTGAGTTTGTGCTGAATTGCCCTTCAGGCGACGACAGCTTCCGGCCCCGGCCCCCGCCCCCAATCCGATCTAGGCGGGAACCTTCGTCCAAACTCCCAACGACCCGAGATAGCGAGATAACAAAACGACCATGGAGTCTGTAAAGCCGCAGACACCGCATGGCAGCGGTTTCAGGCAATACCTGCCCGATCTCAGCATCCCTCGCTTCACCGCGATGCAGCAGCAGGACGCGCACGTCTATGCAAATGAGTTCAAGGAGAGCGGCCGGCCACCGTGGCTACATGGGCTGTATCTGCACTGGAAGAAGCTGTACGAGGCACCATTCCAGGGGGTCACCAACGATGGCAAGCCGATTATCTTTTTGCCGACCTTTGCCCAAGATCAAGCAATGCTAACGTGGAACAGGCAAGGTCCGCGACGGCCTCTTCAGCCTCGAGGATGAAGGGATCCCGATCGATACCATCACCGACGCCGCCAACGCCGTCCTCGCCGGCATGAGCGATCAGCAACGCCTCAAGACCTGCTACCACATCGACTCGCCTGAGTGGCGGACCTGGTCCAACCCCGAGTTCCTGCTCAGCGACAAGGGCATCCGGCTGGACGAGATCACCCCGGAGCTGCGAGCTAGCGTCTTGAAGGTGCTAGAGACGACCCTCTCGCCCGAGGGCTACAAGAAAGCCGTCAGCGCCATGCGGGTCAACCACTTCCTCGGCGAGCTGGTCCAGTCCCCCGCGGTCATGAACGAGTTCTCGTACAACTTTGTCCTCTTCGGCGCGCCCTCCACCACTCGCCCCTGGGGCTTCTCCTTCTACGGCCACCACCTCTGCCTCAACATCCTGCTCTACAAGACCCAGATCGTCGTCTCCCCCTGGTTCACCGGCGCCGAGCCGAACCTCATCGACGAGGGCCCTTACAAGGGCACCCGCATCCTCGAGAACGAGGAGACCCTCGGCCTGCGGCTGATGCAGAGCCTAGCTCCGGAGCAGCAGTCCAGGGCGCAAGTGTACAAGCAGATGGAGGACCCAGCCATGCCGCACGGCCGCTGGAACCACGACGACCAACGCCACCTCTGCGGCGCCTACCGCGACAACCGGATCGTGCCGTACGAGGGCATCCTCGTCTCGGAGATGACGCCCTCCCAGCAGGACGTCGTCCTCGCCATCTGCGGCGAGTACCTCCTCTACCTTCCAGAGCAGGCGCGGCGGCAGCGGCTGGAGCAGATCCGCGGGTGGTTCGGCGAGACGTACTTCTGCTGGATCGGCGGGTTCGGCGACGAGGACCCGTTCTACTACCGCGTGCAGAGCCCCGTCGTCGTCGCCGAGTTCGACCACCACTCGGGCGTGTTCCTGACCAACGGGCAGCCGGCAAAGTTCCACATCCACACCCTGCTGAGGACGCCCAACGGCGGGGACTACGGCGTCGCGCTCAGGGCGCTGGTGCCGGGCGTGGAGCAGGGGTACCTGTGGGAGGGCGTGAGGGAGTGAGGGCGGCCGGCCGGGCACGGTCGTGGGACGGAGTAAACCCATATATTTAACTTACAAGTACCTAGTCTAATTTGATGGGAATTTCTCCAGGGGCATGCGCTAGGTATTTTCTCCGCAGGCAGTCGGTTAGTGTATCACAGGTGGCAGTTGCTGTCCATCGCTATTGATATTGCTGTCTATCGCTCTTGCTATCACTCCTGTCACTCTTGCCGTTTCTTCCCATCGCTATTGCAGTTGCTAGGAATGGCAATAGTGACAGCAATGACAATAGTGACAGCAATGGCAATAGTGACAGCAATGGCAATAGTGACAGCAATGGCAATAGTGACTAACAACGATGCAGCTGTTGCCAACCTGCCACCTACCTACAGAGCAAATGTCGCATCCCCCAGAGAAATTCCCCAGTAAGGTAGACTTTGTATTGCCAATATAATGTAAAAATGCTGCTTTTTTTGCTAGATATATTACAATCTAGTAAGAGTTCATTAGCTATATTGCCTATGCTATATCCTATTTTTACACTAGCAAGCTCATAGCATTTATTACTTCTAATACCTCTCTCTTTTCATCTCTCTGCCTATCCTTTTTGCTATGACTATTTATATACCCTTAGACTGCATTGTTTGCTTTATTCAAAGGTAAGTAGTAAAGCCTTGTGTATGTCAACTAGCTTATACTCGCCTTTATGCTAGGCAATGTAGTTTTGTTCAGCATCTAAGGTAAAGCAGTAAGGCTAATGGCGAGGGGGAGATAATGTTGGCCTTGGGGAGAGTACCTTTGTCACAAGGGTGTTGATTTAGGTGGTGGTGTTTGGCTTAGTCTCCGCCACAGCGACAGTCTTTTATTATTGGTATGACGGGGTTTGAAGGTGGAAAGAGAGCTTGCATACGCTGTATGGCATCAGTGCGCTGATCATGGCGAGGATGTAATTATTCTTGGTGGTGTAACGTTGCTCTGCGGTTGCGTCGAGAGCCTCAGGTCGCGCGGGGAACCCGGAGTGATCGGCAGACGGACCAGACGATGGATCCGATCCGTCGAGTCTCGAAAATAATAGATAACGACCATTCCACCTTTCCCCATCCCATCCCCACCGACAAAAGCTAGTCCAAGCTCCCATCAGAACCCCGCGCACCACTGGTTCTTTTTCTTATCACGTTATCTTCACCAGCCACCTCGTCACACGCCCAGCATGACAGCAGACTCGCTCCTCGACCGCCTCAACCGGGACGGTTTCGTGGTCATCCCGTCTGCCATCCCGCCGCCCCAGGTCGCCGCCCTCCGCTCCGCAGCACAGCACTCGGCAGCGCACGCCCGCGCCGGCAACTGGCCCCACGTGCGCACCCTCCCCAAGCAATTCCCCCCCTGGCCTGTGTCCGGCCCGAACCCGGCCGCGCCCGGCATCTGGGGCGTGCAAGGCCTCCTGCACCCGGACATGCCGGGCCGCGAGGCGTACACATCTCTATACTTCTCGGACGCGATCCTGGCGCCGACGCGTGAGCTCCTAGGCTGCGAGGACGACGCGCTCGTCATGGAGCTGTGCAACCTCCTGGTGCGACCCGACCGCGACTTTGAGCTGCGCTGGCACCGCGACGATGTCCCGGACTCGGCGACGGCCGACGAGGAGGTGGCTCGCCTGCTGGGCTCGGGCCCCGCCCGCTCGGCGCAGTGGAACCTCGCGCTGTACGACGACGAGAGCCTCGTCGTCGTGCCGGGGTCGCACCGCCGGGCGAGGACGGACGAGGAGAGGGCGGCGGGCCCGTATGAGCCGGTCTTGCCGGGGCAGGTGGTTGTGCGGCTCGCTGCTGGGGACGCGGTGTTTTATAATAATAATATCTTGCATAGGGGTGTGTACGACTCGGGCAGGGAGCGCATGACGGTGCACGGGAGCGCGGGCCATGTCGATGGAGCGGCGGAGAGGGCGAGGAATGTCCTGCAGCATGGGTGCAGGGACTGGATTGACCGGTGCGACTTTGGTTTCCTCGATGAGGGGACGCGGGCTAAGGCGGAGAAGATGCGGGAGAGGCTGATCAGGATGGGGAGGGAGCATGGCGATGTTGGGTATTCCCTCGAGGGCTAGCGTGTGTGGCAGGGAGCTTGTACGCTTGTAATCTCGAGATGCTGTCGTGTTGAGACTTTGGATGGAGATTTCGAGGGCCGCGTTCGGGTGTTTTCCACAACGGACTTCTTGACTCACTTCACACATTGTGTGGAAGCGCAAAATCTATGGGCTGAAAGCTAGAATGGAACGAGGCCTGTTAAGGAGCCCGAGTTCACTCGCCGCCAAGAATAGTTCAGGAGGCTAGGCCCCGATGGTCTATTCAGATGATACGACAGGGAATTCGACGGACTGGGGCATCTTGTTGGTTGTCCCTAAGGGGACTTGAATATCCAACAACGACGACAAGCGCACCCTAGGTCAACATACATACACTTTAACCAGACTATCCTAGCCGTGATGGATCGTGAACCGTCCACACCTATTCTCATAATGGTGACGTCCACCTATATGCCTCAATAGAGCCTATAGCATCTGTGTGTTGGATTCCATGGCTCCGGATCTGAGAAGTAATTCTTTGCAGCTGTTGGATAGACCAGTTGGATAGACCAGGTGACTGGGGAAATAATTGGTTGATGACTCGAAACATCGTAAATCACGCGGTCAAAAAGACAGGTCCAGGAGGATGATACCGAGAAGGCAGAGAGATCGAAGATGCCCATGTCAGACGACCGCGCGGTTCGGTGTGAGAATGCACGGGCCACCCCCTTTCCCCCTTTTTGATAGATGTAAGAAGAACGCATGATTGGGCCTCGCCAGTTCCTGGTGCAGACCTCATATCCATGACAAAAGAGCATAGGTCGAAAGTTGTGTACGGTGTTAGAATCCAAGCATCTGCATAGGTAAGGTACTATGTGCCTTGACTGCTGTGACGAAGAAGTGACCTAGTACCTCAGCACATCAATGTTCCGACTTGAAGTATATACAAACGTGACACTCAGTTTCTGGAGAATAATCTGGCCACAGCATAGCTCATTCAGACATCCCAGCATCTCGCCAGTCACAACCTCTCCCCAAATCATCGTCACATCCCTCCTAACCAGTTAAGTCCACCCCAAACAGCACAACCAGCCATGACCGGCTCGTCCCTATAAGCTCAGCATCTCATGGCGGGGTCTCGACCTTGATGGTGGCCGACCCGCTGCTGAAGTAGCCCTCGGTGGCGACGATCATGTAGTCGTGCGAGCCCAACCTCAGGCCAGCCTTCTCCCACGCGGCGAAGTGGTTGCCCGTGGTGACGTTGCCACCGGTGTGCTTGTCCTGGCGCTGAAGGGGGGAAAACCATGGTCAGCGCGAGTGTTCTCACCATGGAAAGCGGGCCCCCTTGTGTTTATTTCCTCTTCTGCTTTGCTCCTCTGATTTAAAACTGCTGGGGACGGACGACAGAAAATGATACTCACAATGGACCAGTACTGCTGGAAGGTGGATGTGCCCTCGATGCTGGGCTGGTTGGTCCGCGTGCTGACGTAGATGTCGTAGACGCCCCCGTCGGTGGTGACGGAGCCCTTCTTCTGCGCGTTGGAGGCCGGGTTGTAGGTGCCAAAGTTCTCGACGACGTAGTACTCGACGAGCGGGTTCTTGGTCCACCCATAGACGGCGAGGTACTGGGGCAAAAGGTTAGCAATGCTTTTTTTTTTTTCCATCCAGGGGGGGTTGGTATTTTCTACTCACGCTGTTGCCGTTGGGGTTGTAGCTTCCCGAGTAGGAGATGGTCCTGTGGAGCGCAACCTCGTCAGCACAACCTTTGATTCCCCCATACCGACGCAAAGCCATGAGGCTTAGTGAACTCGTACTTTGGGCCACCGGGCTTCCACCCCTTCCCGCCCACAAAGTTGCCGCCGCCGCCGCCCCACCTGACGCTGTACTGGCCGCCGGCCTCGTTGGTGTACGTGACGTCGGAGCCGCCGTCGGTCCACCACGAGTAGTAGTAGCCGTTGTGCGTGCCCGTGGAGCTGGGGGTCGCCCGCTTGTCGTGGACGTCGGGGGTGGGGCCGGCGAGGGCTCCGGCGACGGCCGAGAGGGCGACTACGAGGGATGAGAAGGCGACCATGGCTGAACTGGTTGTGTGATTGGACGATTCAAGGTGCTCTTGAGTTGCCTGTGGTTGTGGTTCAGCACTTGCGGCGAGGCCCCGTGCCTTTATAAATATCGCCCCCCGGGCCCGTCTTCAGGCCAGGTCCGGTTAATCTACGTCGTTGGTAATTATCCCTACATTGGGTCATTGTGTGCATGTGGAAACCTGGAGATTTCATCTTTGCAAAGGGGAGCGGGATGAGGAGCTGTGTATGGAAATATATTAACGTATTCGTAGGTTTGGGGGTATCATGACCGGGATATCAGCCGTCCTAATCCGTATAGACGAGGAGAGAGCGGATAATCAACGACGATCTTGGCAGGCCTCGCCCAAAATATTCCACCTCTAACCGCCCTCGCTCTAACTGCTCTCCGGACAATAGGGACAATATCTATCCCACCCCGTGTAAAAAGCTCCTCTCCACTCGGAGTTTCACGATGGGAGGCACCACCAACGGGTAATTCGAGCTTGGCCACCACTTAACCACGACTTGGCGAGCCAAGCGCGCTGTTGTGCCCTTTTGCCGGCGTGGTTAATACTGACTTGGCGCTTGGCGCCTAGCCCTACTAGACGACGTGACCTCTGTTGAAAGCGACCTCAGCCCGAGTCCTCGTAGAGTTTGTGCGAGTAGCAATAGTGCGGTAAAATCACGATCGCCCCAGTAACCCAACCTTGGCCCTCTCGAAAAGGAAATTCCGGCTGGGGGACGCCGGAGTGAGTAACATCGAATTTATTCTGGATTGCGCGCTGTCGCGGGCTGTAATTGCGTGCTCTTGGGAAGCGTTGGTGTTTTGAGGGATTTGCCTGCTGGGATGCTGTGGAGAGCGAGGGATTCAGGCGCCAGGGCACGAAGGGGTAAGACCAGGGAAATCGCACGTGGAAATGATCAGAGGACACCTAATTTAGTGCGCAAAAATTGGGAGGCGAAGCAGTATGCCTTGTCCCTGTTGGTGGTCCCACAGTCTCCTATTTGATATCTCAAGTTCTTGGATACGTGGCGATTTGTCGTATCCCCTCTTATTCGGAATGGCGACGCAGAAAGTAGAGTTGGACAAGTTCTAGATCAGGTCAATAGGGGCGGATGCAAGCGAGTTACTGGCCAAAACACAAGTCATTACTTGCTACTCGATGCACATACATTGATAAAAGGGGAGCCTTGAGGCGGAAAAGGCTATCGGGAGAACACTTCTAGAAGCGAAGACAACCAAGCCATAGGCTAAATACTCTCTTGGTTCAACTGCGTAAAGTATGAGAGCTGGAAAAACTACATCGACCTTTCACGATCGCCAAGCTACTTTACTGGCTTGCAGGTCCAATAATTAGCCTCCAATTTACAGCTATGCATACGATATAGAGCCATTCCTAGAGTTGTCCTAAAGCTAGCAGTATTAGCTTGATCCAAGGATAACGAGTACCAAGGAAGCCAAGTCTGGCGAGAGACGGGGATGAATCAACACGACGGTAGCAAGAACGCTAGTCGAGCTCATGAATATAGCCGTAACTCCCGACGGTTCTTGACATTATCAACGCAGTGTGAACGACGAAGTAGGCGACTCACAGGGGGGGAGGGTAAGTGCAGGTGCAGAAGGAATATGTTGGAATACTGGAGTAGTAGGGAGGAACAACAGGACAGTTCGTCCGCCTGCAACCAACGGCTAGACAGGGCGAGATCCTGCCCTAGTGGATAGAGCAGCTTATTGCGTCCCAAGTTGCCATGTCCCAATACGCGTCTTGCGCATCTCAGAGCTTAGTTATCTTTTGCCAACCGCCCGTAGCTAAGATTGACAATACTGCTTGACGGGGGCTGCTTCTTGGAGCGTACCTACGGTGGAAGATGCCGACAAGACGGCTGTGGGAAGTTGCGCAGCATGAGATGCGGTGCTCAAGGCGAATACACGTGATACTTGCCTCCGGCCTGGAGCTTGAGATGTCCTGCAGTCGAGCCGTGCCTCGGTGAGAGCGAGTGGTAACGTCCTATGTCCATCCCAAAGGCTTGCCTCAGCTGGCGTTTGCCACAGCGCCACAAAACGTTGCCCGAGGACGGTATCCCAGCTACTCTAGACAAGACAACTCGCACTGAACCGAGCCTGTGGTCGTGCCCAGGAAGAGTCCAGAGTTTGCGAAAGGCAAGCAGTGTTCCGTCACGAAGGTCGCAAAGGTCAAGGACAGCAACGGTCGGCATGTAGGCCTCGATCTCGCGCTCCAGAACGCCCAGTCCCCAGCCCCGAATCCTGATTTGTAGAGTCTTCCGATCCAGCAACGAGCTACGAGAGTATCGGGCGGGATGCGACGTAATTGGTAGCTTCTCGGCAAGGTTCTAGATTACGCCGTGCTGGCGACCATGACGGCCAGGAGTCGAGCCCTTGGTTACTCTTCGCCAGCGAGGTCTGGGGGGATTGTCGAGCTCAAATTGTAGCGCCGCGCTGTGCGACCGGGGCAGGTCCTTTTGGAAGTGAGGTTTTGTGGGGATGCCCGTTGGTGGGTCCGCACTTCGAGGCTCTAGACATGTGGCCCGGGCAACCGGCAGTCGTTGCCCCGATCGACCAGTCAAAATACAGATTTCCACATTGCCAGCTGGCATATCCGCCATTGATGATGTCACCCGTCAAACTGTATTGGGTGGCGCTCTTGTTCATTGGGCAGCGACCATCAACAGAACAGATAGGCCACACGTATCTGCAGACAGGAAAATGCAGAGAGAAGAAATACCGGAACAAGGTGTACACGTAAAAAACATACATGCCAATTTCCCCAGTTCTTGAAGCTGGCTGTACTTTGTATCCTCAGGTATCTCTATCTCGTCAGGTGCCGGATCCTTCCCAGCCTGACCTCAATCTCGTCAGGTGCCACAGATCACCTGACCTCGCCTTCCCGCTTTCGCGCTTGTTGTTCCCTGTCCCCGACCCCTGCCCTGCCAACCGAAATTCCGCGTGCGGCAAGGACACGACTGACATCGTCAACAATCCTCGACGACAGCCAGACAAAGAAAGCCGAACCAAGATAACGACCTCTCTTTCCCGGAATTATTACTTTGTCTCAGGCGCGACCTTCTCTCGAACCGTCCACCCCACCGAAGAAGGCGCAAAATCTGCAGTTGGGCCCATGTATGTGTTCTGTTCCCCTCCATTCCAGCGGGCAGCCTCTGTTGCTCCCCTTGGTGTGCGACTCGAGACGTGTACTCCTTGATTGTCCGTATCCACGACAAGCATGAATACTAGAAGAAGCAATAAGCCGCTCATTAAACTAATCAACAAAGTCGTCAGCTTTTGCCAGCCTGACGAGTCCACCCACGACATCGACAACCCCGCTAAATCAAGACTTCGAGCCTCGACCGATCTCGAATTCACCCCCCCAAAGACTCCCGAGAAGCACAGCAAGATGGCGGAAGAAGAAGATTTCAGTTCCATGCCATTGGCGGACCGCTGGGTTCACAAGGTACATCTCGACGGGCTACTCAATCTTCACTCGATGACACTTCAGCGGATACACTAACTCTGTCCCACCCGGTCGCGTAGGTTTGGAAAGTACGCAAGCAAGCATACGAGGATGCAGCGAAGCAGTTCGAGAAGACTCCCGACGAACACGACCCTGCTTTCCGCCCCTTCTTGCAAGATACGGGTTTGATGAAAGGAGCAGCGGCCGACTCCAACGTTGCCGCCCAACAGGACGGCCTGGCGGCATTGTGCGCCTTCTTGAAGTACGGCGGTCGAGAAGGCGCCGTACGGACACGACCTCAGACTGTCACTCCAATCGTGGAGAAAGGTCTACCGTCGACAAGAGCGGCGATAAAGGCCTCGGCCCTTGAAGCACTCCTCCTCTACATCGAACTCGATGTACCCGGCCCCGTCATCGAAGAAATCCTGCCCGCCCTCTCCAACAAACAGCCAAAGATTATCGCCGCATCGCTCGCTGCCCTCACTCAGATTTACCACAACTACGGTTGCAAGACGGCCGATCCCAAGCCTGTCCTGAAACTTTTGCCAAAGGCGTTTGGTCACGCCGACAAGAATGTCCGAGCAGAAGCCACGAACCTCGCCGTGGAATTCTACAGATGGCTCCGGGATGCCATGAAGCCCATGTTCTGGAACGACCTGAAACCAACCCAGCAAACAGACCTCGAGGGCCAGTTCGAGAAGATAAAGGCAGAGCCAACTCCAAAGCAGGAACGCTTCCTCAGATCACAGCAGGCAGCCATGGCACGCGCGCCCGCTCCCGGCGCGGGTGGTGACGAAGCAGACGATGCAGACGACTATGTAGAGGAACCAGCAGAGATAGACGCCTTTGATCTCGCCGAACCCCAGGACGTCATATCCAAGGTTTCTCCCGACTTTTACGACAACATCGCATCTTCCAAATGGAAAGAGAGGAAGGAAGCACTTGAGGCGCTCTTTGCCGTCTTGAACGTGCCCAGGATCAAGGACGGCGACTTCGCCGAGATCAACCGCTGTCTGGCAAAGTGCATGAAGGATGCCAACATTGCTGTCGTCACCCAGGCAGCACAGTGCATCGAGGTCCTCGCAAAGGGTCTGAGGAGGGGTTACGGCAAATACCGGTCCATCGTCCAGCAGCCCGTGATGGAGAGGCTCAAGGAGAAGAAGCAAACCGTGTCCGACGCGCTGAGCGCAGCCTTGGATCAGATATTCTTGGCGACAAGTTTCACCGACTGTTTTGAGGATATCATCGCATTCCTAGTCCACAAGAACCCGCAGATCAAGGAGGGTACCATGAAGTTCCTCATCCGATGCTTGCGAATCACGAGGGACGTTCCAAGCAAGCAAGAGATAGGCACGATTGTGGAGTCGGCGAAGAAGCTTCTGTCCGAGTCGAGTGAGGGTCTGCGGTCCGGCGGCGCCGAGATCCTGGGAACGGTCATGAAGATCATTGGAGAGAGGCCAATGAAGCCTCACCTGGAAGGCCTGGATGAGATTCGAAAGACGAAGATCACCGAGTTCTATGAATCCGCCGAGGTCAAGGCCAAAGAAAAGCCCAAGCCACCGCCTGCACCTGCCCGAGGCCCGCCTGGAGGGCCCAAGAAGGCCGTCGCCGGGGGGAAGAAGGCACCAGCAGGTACCAAGAAACCCGCTCCGTCCTCAGCTGAACCCCTCGCACCGCAAGCTTCATCCCGCGCCGGCCCAGGCAGCAAATTGGGGATGCCCAAGCCCTCAGGCCTCGGAGGACTTAAAGCGCCTCAAAAGAGGACTCTTGCCGCTCCTGGTGGTGCTTCGCCCCGGCGACCGACAGCCGCACCACCCGTCATGGAGGATGAATATCCTGCATCTCCCCCCCCGCAGCCAAAGCCCCGTATTGGAGTTGGCAGAGGCGGGCTTGCAGCTCGATCTCTTGCAAAGCCGTCAGCCGCCCCCACCCAGGTCGCGCCATCCACATCGCCCACGCCATCGTCTGGCCTCACAGCCCTGGAACGCGCCGAGCTCGAGGAGCTCCGTGCAGCTAATGATCGGCTGATCAAACAGCTCGAGGACTCGCGCCACGACCGGTCCAAGCTGATGTCGGAGATCCAGGAGCTGAAGAACCAGAACGCCGGCCTCATCGAGGACCACACGCGCGACGTCCTCTCTATCAAGGCGAAGGAGACCCAGCTGGTGCGGGCGAGGAGCGATGCCGAGGCGGCGGAGCAGACCAACGAGCGCCTGCGCCGCGAGCTCGAGAGGCTTAAGCGGGCTCTGAGCAAGGCCGAGGCAGTCGGGGCCAACGGCGGTCCGGGGAGCCCCGTGAGCCCAAGCATAGGACTGGGCATGATGAGCCCCACGCACGACGACATGGGCATCTACCGGGACGGCAGCGGCGGCTTCCCGTCGGGCGCCAACAGGAACCGCATGAGCTTCACCAGCACCCTCAGCGAGGAGAAGGAGAACGGCGACATCGCCCCATACCCGCGGAACAAGCTCAGCCCCGAGCTGAGGTACGCCGGTAGCGCGGCGAGCAGCGGACGGGGGAGCCCGGCCAGGGGGTTCAGGAGGGACGCGGGCGGCGGCGGCGGGGGCGGCATGGCGTTCGACGGCGCGGATGCCGCCGCTGCGCCTTCGGGCCTGAGCTACGGCGGCGATCGAGCGGGTAGCCGGGCGGGCAGCCGGACGGGCGATGGTGGTGCGGGGGCCGGTCAGGGCGGGTCCGGCGTGGAGAGCTGGAAGAGGGCTGCCGAGGTGACGAGCCAGTTGAAGGCGCGGATCGAGCAGATGAAGGTAAGCCAGCACCTGCTGCAAAGCAAGAGCGGAGCAGAGCACTGCCTGTGCTACGCCCCCCCCCCCTGTTTAGGACATTTTCCTGACTAACCTTTTCTTTCCAACAGGCGAGGCAAGCCACATCGCGGCCTTGAAGAGAGAGAGGACAGAACTAGGCCAGAAGAGCATAATGAGATGTCGTCTTCTTCCCATCACAACTGGAAGGTCCTCCTTCCTTCTTTCCGGGAACGGGGGAGTCGGGGTCCGCGCTTTTCTTTCTTTCTTTTTTGAATGCATTTTCTGAGGCGTCGGATATGAGGCATACCCCCTCTTTATCTTTATAACCATTGTTCTATCTTATTTTTTTTTGGCCCCCTCTCTCCTCATCCCGGGGAATCGTGGGGGTGTGTGTTTTTCCGTCGAGATCCTGGGTTTTCGCGGAGTGATGATGGCGAGTCGAGGAGTAAATCTGCTCTCGATTATATCGAGTCGCTGTGGACCTGCTGCTGCGATGGGATGAGGGGCCTCGTTCGGGGTTGTAGGTCGTCGTCGACGGGAAATAGATGCTTGTATGGCTGAGTAATGGCACGTGTGGATTGTGTGATTTGTTCTGCCTCGCCTTGATGCTTTTGAGTCGACTGCTCTGCTCCGCAACGAGCGGAATCTCATCCGGAAATTCCACTTTCTCCTGGAATGTCGAGGATCGATCCACCGTCTATTTATGGTATAATCACGAGACAGCGACTGACTGCGACGGCAATGACAGAGACAGGCTGCTTGAATATACGGGGGAGAGGGGCTTTGCAAGGCGTATCGTTGTCTGGCTCGATACCATCAGAGCGGTCATCACCATCGACTTGGAGATGGGCGACGGGTTGAAGTGGATATCGACACTTCCGGGAACGCATGTATCCGGACAGTGCCGACTGGGTTATACGCCATTTCAGGTGCTCCCCTCACTTCTGCAGGACTTCCCAGACGATAATCCCACTGAGTCCATGCAGATTTACGAGACAATAGTTGAGTCACTGTTCAATACTAAAGCACTGGAGGAGGATGGTGCCATGCTATCCTTACCACCCTCTCCTAGATGTTGAGTTCAAGTTTGATGGCCCGATTCCTGTCTTGAAGAGTGATGATTTGTCGAGTTTAATCCCGGGTCCTCAGGCTTCGCCAGTCCTTGCCAATTGCAGCCGAAGAGGTTTGACAGCCTACCTCTTGTCTTATGCACGAGGTCAGGGCGAGCGTCTCTCTCAGGCTTCCGGACCCAGAGAAGCGGTGGTCTCCTTAACAAGCCCAATATGCCAGGATTAATCCACCAAATTATTACTTCATCGCCTTGTGTCTCTAACCTACTACGATTTTTGCAACGTTGGGAAGGGCGCATGCATTGAAGCCAACCAAACACGGACGGCTGGGAGATCCACAGAGACAAAGATAATCCAGGCTTGCTATCAAAACTACCAATACGCGCAAAGTTGCCATCAAAACTACCAATATGAGCAAAGTTGCTATCATAACCACCAATAAGCGTTGCAGCTGACAAATGTGACTATTAGACGCCAAGCGTCAACCAGCTGGAGATGACACGCAAACCCCGGTCTCCGTATTGTTTTGGGCGCGCCTTTCCACCTCAGGATCACGGCCCTGGTCTCACGTTGGCAAGTTATGGTCTGGGGACCTAATTATAGATGCCCTACAGGACTCCCCACATAGCCGAGGAGCATAAATATGAAGGCACTCCGTCGCTGTAGAGAGTTGTATTTCCAATATCCGCACTTCTTCTTCTGAGCTCAAGACCTATTAGCACTGCAATTGCCCCCTATCGATCTTGAAAATATATCCGAGAACATGGCTCCCTCAATGCCAACCCGCAAGCTGGGCAAGACCGACATCGAGATTCCCGTCATCGGCCTCGGCGCGATGGGGTTGAGCATCGCATACGGCTTTGGGGGGTACGTGTCGCCTCTCTGACTTTCGACTGCACAAGACCTTCCATATCAGTGTTCAGTACTTCGACGCTAACCGTTCTCCTCAGCACCGACGCCGAGCGTCTCGCGTTGCTCGACCGCGCCTGGGAGCTCAGCTGCACGCACTGGGACACCAGTGACGTCTACGGCGACAACGAGGACCTCCTCTCGAGGTGGTTCGAGCTGCACCCCGAGCGCCGGCGGGACATTGTGCTCGCGACGAAATGTGGCCTCACCTTGACGCCCAGGGGCGACGGAGGCTTTGATATGTCCGTCGATAGCTCGCCCGAGTACGTCATGAAGGCCTGCGAGCGGAGCCTCGCTCGTCTGGGCGTCGATTACATCGATCTGTATTATATACACCGTCTGGACGGGAAGACGCCCGTGGAGAAAACCATGGGGGCGTTGGCTGAGTTGAAGAAGTATGTCCCCCACCACCATCAACCCACAACCCCAACCCCTCCGGCGCGACGACTTACCAAAACGTGCGAACCCAGGCAGGGAAAGATCAGGGCCATCGGCATATCGGGCGCCTCGGCGACGTCGCTTCGGCGCGCGCACGCCGTCGCCGCCGTCGACGCCGCCCAGGTCGAGTACAGCCCGTGGGAGCTGGCGGTCGAGAGGGGCGGCGTGCTGGCGACGTGCCGCGAGCTGGGGGTCACGGTCGTCTGCTACAGCCCGCTGGGGCGCGGGTTCCTGACGGGCGCGCTGACGTCGCGGGACGACCTCGCCGAGGGGGATTTTCGGAGTGGCCTGCCACGGTTCGAGGAGGGGAACTTTGGGCGGAATCTGGGGTTCGTGGAGAGGCTGAGGGAGAAGGCGGCGGGGAAGGGGTGCACGCCTGCGCAGCTTTGTCTGGCGTGGTTGGTTGCGCAGGGGGGGGATGTGGTGGTTATTCCTGGGACGAAGAGGGTTGGGTATCTTGAGGAGAATGTTGGTGCTGCGGAGGTGGTGCTCTCCGAGGAGGAGGTGCGGGAGATTAGGGCTGAGGTGGATGCGGCTGATGTTGTCGGGGAGCCTTACATGGAGGGCGCTTTGCCTGAATACGAGGACACGCCTGAGTTGTCGTGAGGGTCGGTAGGGTGCATCTTTTATTTGGATGGAGATAGATCGAGGGACATAATAATGGTGCTAGTTCATCTGTTGATGGCTGCTCTCTGACCCTGGCCAAAACTTCTCACCACAACTATGGGACTGTGAGATAAATGCGTTTGGGAATCTCTCTGCGGGCAGGTGGTAAGTTGGCAACAGCTGCATCGCTGTCACTATTGCTATTCCTAGCAACGGCAATAGCGATGGACAGCAACGGCAAGAGTGACAGGAGTGACAGCAAGAGCGATAGACAGCAATGGCAATAGCAATAGACAGCGACAGCGACAGCAATAGGGAACAGCAAAAGCAACTGCCACCTGTGATGCACTAACCGCCTGCCCGCGGAGCAAATAGCGCATGCCCCTGGAGAAATTCCCATGCGTTTAAAGCGTAACAAAAGTCTGGCCTCTGGCCTAGAAATAGGGGGTGCACAACACAAGCAAACAAGTGGGCGAATAGGAAGACCATCCAAATCCTTGGCTGAGGTTTCGCCTGGAGAATGAATCCAGTGATACTGCTCCTGTGTTAGGCAAGAAACCCGTAGAAAATAGCCTTGTCGCTACATCTTTTTCTTTCTTCCCGCTGCCCTCACCCCCAAAATACACCCCCATTCAGCTATCATCAAGGGCAAAACACCTCTCACTACTATCTGCATTATTCCCCCACCAATTCGGCATAGTGACAATCTTCCCAGCGCCGAAGAAGAGGAAGATGAGCAACATGTTAAAGTTGAACCCGGCATCGAACGCGGCGGCGAGGATGTAGTTCCAGCGCGACCACAGGCCGTACCGGTACCGGTACGCCCAGTACATGACGACGAACCCGCCCAGGAACGTCGACGTGTACCCCGTGCTGATGTTGCCGTAGAAGATGGACATGCTGCTGAACAGGATCGTCGTGTTGAACAGGCGGAACTTGGCCCGCGGGAACGCCCGGTCGAGAGCGAACATCAGCACCGGGGCCCCGGCCCCAGCGAGGAAGCCGTACGGGAGAGGGGCGAAGGTGGGGATCTTGAAGAGGCGTTTGGGGCCCTGTTGGGGGGTGGGGGTGGTGGCGGGGGAGATCAGACACGCTTTACTTTGGGGAAGGGGAACGGGGGGGAAGCGGGGAGGAAGAAGGGGGGAATGTTTTGACATACCAGCAATACGTACTGCACACCAAGCGACAAGCTCGATGCGAGTGACTGGCCGGTCCACTGGTGAGTCGGGTCTACTATTTCACCCGTCAGGTAGTGTCTCTTGGTGGACAGCACCCAGCGGACGACCGCGTAGTTAATGGGCACGCCGATGAAGGATCCGAAGACCTGGGCGAAGAATACCGCCCGCGGCGGCACGTGCATGTAGTGGCCGATCTTCATGTCCTGGAGCTGTAGCTGGGCCCGGTACCATGCGTCGCCGGCGATAGATCCGTACGTCGAGGCGCCGCATGGATTCTTGTGTCCACTAACTGAGTTGGCCATGAGCCCATAGAGGAGCTCGTTGGTTGTCCCAATGGGCTATTTCAGGGGGGTTAGGGAGTTAGCTGTTGAAATATTCTCCTCGTCGTCAAGCACTGATAATTAATAATGATGATGCGCTCCTCACCAATTGGAAGTTGGACAAGGCGTATAGCCATCCCAGTGGCACCACAATAATGGCGCCCGTGGCAATGGCGATGATGAAGGTCCAGGCGGGGATGAACAAGGAGCCGGACGCCGTGATGGCAAGGAGGGTGACGAAGGAGATCATGAACAAGGTGAGATACCACCAGAGCGGCACCTCGGAATATGACCGCTGCAGGATGCTGAGCTGGTCGGTGAACTGCTCGCTGATCTCGCTCGATCCCGACTTGCGGCGCTCCCACAGCTTCGAGAGGCTCGACTTGGCCTGCTTGTAGCCAAAGAGGGCCATCCAAACAATTGCGGACGTGTAAGAGGCGTAATCAAAGAAGATAGACCACAGGAATTGTGCCGAGGCAAACGGCGGGCCCAACTCTTCGTAGGCAGTCTCGTTGAGGCTGACCTGGGGCGTCAACAGGTCATTGATTGGGTAGGCCGTGCCATTTTCTGCTGGGTTTTAGCTTCGACTTCACTACCACTAATTTAAGTCGGCGGCATGAAGGAGTTCTCACCCAAGAAGAGCCGATTCGACATCAGGTGATGCTTCCAGGATCCAAGGCGACCATACTTGGCCGCGGGAAGGAGAATCCAGCAGACGATGACGTATGCGATGAACATGATCACCTGCGTCCACCACGGGGTCAGGAACAGGCTAGTGTTAGCAGCGATGGCGGACCAGTCGAGCGAGAGGTTCAGCATGGAGGCGCCGCCGAAGCCAGCGCCGAGGAAGTTGGCCACGGGGTTGTGCGGCGCCACCCAGCAGAGGAAGGCGAGCGAGCCAAGCATCGGCCAGACGTACTCGGGCAGGAACTGCCACAGCGTGACGCCGAGGAGGACGCCGAAGAAGACGCGCATCTGCTTCCGGGACAGCCGTGACGGCTGCTCGCGCTGCTTCTTCTGCGTCTCGAAGAGCGCAGATTGGCAGACGCTGTTGTTGGCCGCGGGACATGTCAGTTGCTTGCCTAGTTTTTTAATCGATCACTGCCGGGACACAATGATATAACTCACGATTGAAACCTAAATACTTTGTTGTTAGCAGGGATGTTCGTCTTCAGGGGTGGGTGCAAAAAAGGGGTGCGCGTGACAAGGTCCAAGCAAATGGCACGACATCCCCATCGAGGATCACTCTGAACAATGCTCTCTTACCATGGATACTGGGGGTCGTAAATCAGGAATTGACGACCCAGCGCAGCAAATGAGTAACCCACGAATACGATTGACCACATGAAAAATATGGCGACGGCCGGGTTGACCCTGTAATCGAAGTAAAGCTCGGCCATGGATATCGGGGCGAAGCCCAGGTTGTAAGTGGCGCCCGACGCGGCGGAGATGGTGACCAGGACATGCTCCTTGACGCTGAACGGGCCCGGGTTCAGGTTGAACCCCCAGCCGGTGAGCGGGATCCTGACCTGGGTCGGCGGGAGGACGCGGGCGAGCCAGGCGCCGACGTAGCTCGAGGCGATCTGGACGAAGAAGACCGAGTAGGGCGCGTAGGTGGTGCGGTACTGGCTCATCTGCGCCATGAAGGCTCCCGGGGCGACGAAGAAGAGCGTCATGATGAAGTAGCGGAAGGTCAGCGTCGGCAGCGTCGGGTCGTCCTCGAAGCTGACGATGCGCCTGACGTAGGCGGGGATGTCCCTCACGCGGGGGTCGTCGTCGTCGAACACCTGCTCCGACCCGCTGGAGGTGGCGCTCGTGTATAGGAAGGGGGGCTTCTCTATGCCATCTTCCGCCTTGGCTTGCTGTTCCCTGTTTGACAGGTCGTCTGAGCCCGGATTACTACCGTTGACCCTTTCAATGGCTGGATGATGGGCCTCCTTTTCCTGGTCAACCGATCCAGGCGTGGGGCCTATCGGGTCGTTCTCCTCGTTCGGGACAGCCATTGTCGTGGGGGGCATTCAAGGAGTGCCAAGTCGCCAAGTCAGTTACCGCGGCCAAGAGCTGCAAGCCTAACGTCGCTTGGGATCATATATGTAGGGTCACACACATGACAATGCGAATGAACCCCAGTCGGATGAGTGCTTAACTTTGTAATCCTTTTTGTGGAATGAACTCTAATGCTTTCGACGAAACTCTTTCGATGGTGCAATCCCAAGGATTCAAAAATGTGCCGCTCATCAATCAATGTCTGCCGGATCAGGAAGGTCGCAAACAATGGCCCAGCACCTTACGAAGTGGCCAATTGGTGATTTCAGAGTTAATACTTCTGAGAATACCCGGTGATTCGCCCCAGTTTGTCGTACCGGCCCGCATTGAGGTGTCAATCCGCAGCGGGGCAGAGCCAAAACTTGACATGATCGTCTCACGTCATTCTGGAAACCCCCAAAAGAGAAGGTAGATGGAATACTGGCCTACCAACGCAATGGCGTCTTGGTCGTTCCTGGGAATAAGCAGATAACTCCAGCCCCGCGTTGGAACTATGGCAAGTTATGGAGCAGGAATAACCGTCACATGTGGGTGCGACGCTGGCGATCGTCGATTGTTTGTCTTTCATGCTTCCCTGATTGGCTCAACTTTTGATTACGGCTGGGCTGGGAAGGTGCAGGGTCAGGGCACGAATCCTGGTCATCTCTTGCCGTTGTGGCAGAAGGCAGATAACACCGAGGAACCTATTAGAGCAAAAGCAACAGCTCAGTGACAGGTGCACCTTAGGTAAGTATAGGTTAAATCGACAAGTAAAAACATCGTCTCATGGTCACTTTCTACCTAATCTAGATATCGTTCCGCTCTCAAGCAGCATCACCGACCAAGTCAGACGACGCGCGCGCATCTTCTTTGGATTGCGCAGCGACTGTCGTGCCAGCCTTGTCCAGTTTACTCAACTGGTTTGACGGATGGAATGTTTGCAAGTCAGATTGCAGATGCTCGGAAGGGTTAAAAGCCTCATCCTCAAGCACCAGAGCCTCTTCATTACGCTTTCGAGCCTCGCCTCTCCACACAGAGTCTGTATCCTTGAGATACGTTGAATCTCCCAGCTTTCGCTCATCGGACCCGACGTCCTGAAGTACAGGTTCGCTGGGGAGGGAAAAGCGGACGTGACGCTGATCTCTTTGGGCAGTACGTTGAGGCGACGTGGCTCGATGCCGATATATCGCATCCACGGTGCCTGCTTGCGCCCTATCACGAGACTCAGCAATGCCCTGTGCTCGTCCGCGCTCAAAATACTCGGATTTGAGTTGTTCTATCTGTTCTGGCGTCCACAAGCGGGTGAGTGGAGGAGGTGAGGGTGGACGAGGTGCGTGTGGAATAAACGACCTATGATCAGGACGAGACGACAGTGTTGGCTGGTACATCTCGATCTCGTTGGTCATCTTGGAGAATTGAAACCCCTGTGCACGTTGCCTGGCCCATAAATGGGCGGCTCCTGGGGGTTCAAGATGCCGTGGATGTGGTCTCGTGTGTCCCCGCCTTGACGAACTTGAATATTCACTCTCTGTCGCCGTGCTCACAGAGGATGCCCCCTCGTTTTGGGACCACACCCCATCACTGACAAAAGACGAATCCGAGTCGCTGTCTGAAGCAAAGTCGGAGCGATTTATGACTTCGAGCCGCGCCGTCGAGGCTGTCTGTGACTGGGGCTTAGGTGAATTCACGACAAGAGGCGGCTTGGGGGCGAGCAGAGGCGTTTTCTGGGGATGTTGCCTCTGAACCTGTGGCTGGTTTAGAGGGAGAGGCTGCACTGGTAGCGTATTTGGTATGTTTGGCGGCCTCTTGTGCTGGTTTAGAAGGGAAATGGCATCTTGGTCCGGCCTGGGAGAGAGTCTATAATAACCAAGCAATGCGATACGCTCCATTGACGTCTTTTTCCCTTCCCGGTTCGATTCGTGACGACTGGGTTTCTTGCCAAAATGGCGAACCTTTGGCCTGAGCTGATGATCAATCTGAACAAGCTCCACGCAAAATCGTGGATCTCGTCCGCGTGCCAGATCCTCGGAAGCCTTGTCAAGTTGTCTCAGCTGAGGCTGATTCAGCGTGTTCCTTTTTTGTGTGAGACTGGGTGTCTCCCTGTTGAGGTGACGAATACGTTGAATCGTTTCGCTCTTTTGCATCTCCGTAAGTTCCGTCCGAAGGACGTTCCACCAACCCGAGTCGGTCTTATTCACTCCAGGATCGGAATCAATCGCCTTTTCGAATTGGAATACAAAATACTCTGAAAGCGATTCCCTGGCCTCGGCTTCGGTCATTCTTTCGAAGGGAATATCAGACGTCGGCATCTCCCGAGGCAGAGGTGGTGACGGTGCTGGTGGTACTTCCCATTGATTCGGAGAAAGACGCTGTATATGTGCAACTGGAGTGGATGGCAGTTTTGAGTGCTCCGAGGTGGAACCGGAAGCATCGGGGTGATCAGACGTGACTGCTTCCCCAGTGTCTCGCTCTCTAGCTAGTGTAGGATTACCGAAGGGCTTTGCTTGCAGGCCGAAATGTATGGCCCATGGTTTCTCGATATGCTGGAACGCATCGCCAACTGGGGCGAGGTAAGCTACTCTGGAACCTGTCCCGCCAGCGACGATTTGGCCGTACAAGTCGCACGTCTTCTGGTCCATTACTGGGGTTCCACAGTCTCCGTTGTCCACGACTTTGTCCAGATGCAAGGGGTACACACGCTGAAAGCTGCCCTCTCCTGAAAATCGAATGAAGGTCGGCGTAGGAATGAGCGTCCCCGAAACAACTCCATGACGAGGCATGGCTGCGAAAACAAGAGTATCGTCTTTTCCTATCACACCGAAACCAGAGATGGTCTGGTGGCCCGTTAGGGTCAGGTCGTTGGCATTTGTGGTGTCCGTTGCGGCCAGCTCAATGAAGGCGTAATCCATTGCGGAAAGTCTGTTGGCCATCTGTCCATAATATTTCAGGCACGAAAAGTCTGGATAAGGGACATCTGAACCGGGCGGATCGGGCTGGGGCGATGAACGTGGTTCTGGCGACGAATCTATGACGTCTCTGAGGGTTGTAACTGACGATGTTTCGCTGGCCGGGGCTCCATCTAGACCCGTCGTAAAGGAGGTCTTGTCAGACTCGTCTGAAGTCACGCTACCTGTCGCCATCACTCCATCGTCATCATTGTCGCTTAGGTCGTCGTCGCTCATGCCGTCAAAATCGCAGTCGTCGCTTACGGCTTCCGGCGGAATAGGCGACTGCGGAGTCTCGCGGGCGTCTCGGAAAGCATGAGCCACTGTCAGCTGGTAGCAGTGGGAGCCAAAAAGGACGACTGCCCCTCCCGTGATTTGACGCAGAGAGTAGTCACGGCGATTGACCACAAAGAGTCGTGCTCCCAAGCGAGGCTTAGTATCCTCGGCCAGAACGGCGACTTCAATGTCACAGCCATCAGGGAGAAGAGCTTGAAGAGCTTCAGGCGCCGCGAGCTGCTGTATGACTTGTCTGTCCGGTAAAACAGGGACGTCTCCCAAGCCGATTCCTGGGTGTTGACTCATGATCATGCTCTCCTTGATAGTTTTGCGGATGAGTTTCCGAGTTTTCGGGTCGGTTGAGCAGATAAGAATCTTCGGAGCGGCCGTTTGTTCGGCACGGCCTATCATATAGATGGACCACGAAACCGTTTCGCCAAGGGGGACGTTCGATGCCTCGAGACACTCCTTGATCTCGGGCCCCAGCTTTTGGAATGCTTCACGAGCCTTCCCGCTTGCCTCCCAGCAGCTATAGCGCCCTTCGTTCAAAAGTCCGATGAATCGTCCTAGCGATTCCTGGGGGTTGTCCCACCTGTCATTCCGGAACAGATATGGAAATGGCATCTTCTGTACTCCCGCAGCGCTGTCATTCACCAATGCACACTTTGCCCTTGGGGACTCGACCTCTCAAACTTCTGCGGGAAGAAAAATACAAATGAGGGGGACTTTCCAGACCCTCGCTTCTTCTCCCCAATGATTAGCCGCTGGGATGACAGTTCGTGTCAGTGGCTTGCGCCCTGCACCTTAACGGACCATTCAGCTTCAAGATCAAGTCAGCCATAGGCTCGCCCTGCAGCAAGGTTGACTGAGCCAGCCAGAGGTTCTGCGCCAAGGTGGCTGAGTCGGGCTGTACAGTACTGGCACCAATTGCGTGGCGCTACGAAAGATGACAACAGTTGGGGGTCTCGATTAAATTATTTGACGGCCATGACAAGACACTCTGCGTCCTAAATCGCAGCAGATCCCACAGCCTCGCTAAAAATGCTAGCCATAGCAATCTCCGCCGGACTCTGCACCAAGACCAAGGAGGCGATAGCATCATCTTTCTGGGACACGCCTGCTTCTGAGATAACGCCATCCCTTGACTATTACTTTAAATACTACGTCAAGCAATGCGAGCTGATAGCGCTGCACGAGGGCGGAAGCCACACCTCGCTGGTAGAGCAAAAAGACATCACGGAAATCGTTGCATTGCTGAGGGCACACCACACTCGTGACGATATACGGAAAAAGATAGCGCGTTTGACCAGCGTCTCTACTTCAAATGGGACGCAGGACTATTCGATCGACCTGGCTGCCAGATTGTTGTTGATGATCGAGGTCGGCAATCTGCCATGGGCATACTCGGGATTCAGACAACTGGAATGGGACAAGGGCAGTCTGAGGGACTTTATCACCCAATATTTCGAGGAGACACCGGTATTGGGCCACGACAACATCAAACTCGAAAAAATCTTCAATGCTAGAAGGCTGGGGACAATCGCAGGCATGGAAATCATCTGGACTTCCAATCTGGCGGATCACCTTCGCCTGATGAAAGACGACAAGGCTGTGGCAGTTTTCCACCATGCTTCATTCTTGAAAAGACAGCAGCAGTGAGTTTATTTATTTGGGGGCCTCCTTTCGATGTTTTTGTACCGGATCCTTAGGCTGACCTCGACGAATTACAAGGGACAACTCTCTCCTTCCTCAGAAGCTAGTCGACGAGACATTAGCTACAATAGCCCTTCTATTCCCCAAATGGGATGTTGACACTCGGTCATGGTATAAACAAGAGGCTTCCCTCCGAGGGCTCGACCCTTACCTAATCGAGATCGGCCATCTGGGAGCCGATAAAAGACGGTTCGAAGGTTTCCACTACTGGCACGACCGCTTGGTGGTGCTGAAGCAGGTCTTTGACGAGTCCAGACCGAGGACTTTGCAGCAGTGGTGGAATGATCGAAGGAATGGGGTTCAGTGGTACACCTTCTGGGTTGCGTTTCTTGTCCTATTGTTGACCATTTTCTTTGGCTTGGTTCAATCTATCGAGGGGGCGTTGCAAGTGTACAAGGCATTTCATCCATAGCTCCATCATGTTCTCATGTATCAGATTCCCCCGGTTCCCCGCGCGACCTGAGCCTCTCGACGCAACAGCAGGGCAACTGTTGGGATGCGCCATGTGATGGATCACGTGGTCACCCGTTTCCTGTATGTAGCCACTACGCGTCTAGCCTACCTAGCTTTCCACAGGCAACAACAATTCAGACCTGCCGTCTCCAACAGGTTATAGGCCCTTTGGCTTCCACGACCGTGCAAATGTGGAATCTTATTTGATCGTTGAATCGCACAACTCTAAGGATTGCAAGAAATATTTTATATATTTCCTGCGCTTTATATTCCTAGACCTGATATTCACTAAGACCTTAGACTTGGACCTGATATTCACCAAGACCTAAGATCTCAGACTTTAGACCTCGGACCTCGGACCTCGAAAAACTTCAGACCTTAGACCCGGACCTTGAAGACCTCAAAGACCTCGAAATGGATCTCAAGGTTCCTATCCCGCCAATCCTACCACTTCGAGGGGAGGAAAACCTTGAAGAATGGAAGAATCTACTGATTCAGACTCTGATAGCTTGATTAACTACATCTTAAGTTCCAATCCAATTCCAGATAAACCAAAGACTCGCCGCGAAAAGGCTTTGACCTTGATAATCATCACTGCTTCGATTTCCCCTGTACGCGACCACCTTTCGAATACTGGCTGGGACTTCAACAAAATCGACCAAAACCCAAGGACCTTCACAACCACATCCTCTAGACAATTCCCCAGACTTCTCAGGCAGCTTCTGTTGGAGTCTTGGTTGAGGAATTCTGCCGCATCAAGTCCTCCCAGTTTGTCACCCTTGCCAAATTCCAAGCCCGTCTCCAGTACCTTAAGCGCCGTCTTGAAGAAGTGGGCTGCAATATGGAGGAATCTTTGGCTTTGTGGGTTGCCTTGGATGCTGTAAAGGATGGGAGTCTAGAATGGCATCGATTCTTAGCCAAAGATATGGTGGGAAAGCAGTTGACTTGGAAGAAGTTGATGTTTAGCATGGCAGATAAAGCATCAAATGAAGCAATGCGTGAGAAACACTAATTTGCCAGCATTTTGCAAGATGGATACGATGGATTAGTCCATCTTGCTTGTAGCCGGAAGCATACTGAAGGGGAAGCACAATGCAACAACTTGAACCCACACTTGAGGGAAGAGTGGCTTGAGAAGAAGAAAAAGGAAGAAGCTAAGGAAAAGGCTAGAAAGCCTTCGACTAGTGCCTTTTACTTCTAGAGTGGACTGTGTTGATGGATGAAGCTATTGGCAGTAGGTAGTGCGTTGTGGCGAGGTAAGGGGAGGTGTTGGGATGCACCACGTGATGGATCACGTGGTCACCCATTCCATGTATGGAGGTACCTACCTAGGTAGGTAGCCACTACGAGTCTACCTAGCCTACCTGGTAGCTTTCCACAGGCAACCAACAACAATTCAGACGTGCCGTCTCCAACAGCAACGTTACACCACCAAGAATAATTACATACTTGCAATCAACCATGATGCCAAGCAGAAAGTCGCTTGTGGATTATGGGATGCCGAGGTTATGGTTCGATTCACGCTGAGTTCTTTGCACTGGCAATAGTCGGGTCCGGTCTGGCATGGCTGCCGTATTCCCATTGATGTCTACCTTTCCGATACTCCCTAATGCAATATTCTGATTGTTTCCCGCTGATCACTTCCGCTAGGCAGACTCTGGGGAAAATCGAAAGTCATCTACCATTCGTTCTTCGTCCCTCCAAGCTCCTGTAACTCCCCGTTCAGTTCAGGCGTGCAGGCGCTCGTACACGCGGGCCATTTTGACACGCATCTTGAACCCAACCCTGTTTATCCAGTTCATCTCCGCAAGTTCCTCATCCAGGCGAGCCTGGTATATCTGCTGTTGCATGGCGGCATCGGTCGCGCTGGGGTCCGCGGGGTCGGGGGCCGGGGCCGGGGCGGCGACGGTCTCCCAGGTTCCCAAAGCGTTCAGGTGGGCAGTGAGGAGGTTTCTCAATTGCGAGTGGTTCCTGAGGGTGTCCCGCAGTCTGACATAGTCTTCCATGAAATCCCCGATCATCCTCTGCCTCGCGGTTTTGAATAAGTTGGCGCAGCGGACGGAGGCCTCCACGGCCCGTCTATGGCTAACGTCGGGCGCCCACCGGGGATAGGCGTCCCGGATGTCGGTCTGCTCGATCCATGTACATGGGCGGGTCAGCGTTTGGGATATGCGGCTTTGGGGAGAGGGGGGTTGTCGAGACGGCTTACCATCATGTGTTGAATAAACAACTCTTGGTCGGGGTTGCATTTCTAGCGCTGGAATCCGAACTCCACGGTGACCAATTCGCCTTCTCTCGCGGTCTCCAGTGTGCTCATAATTGCGGATGTTTTGTCTGTTGAGCGATGCGGAACGGAAAATAGGTGCCTGTTCTCTGATGTGCGCAGAAGAGGAGGGCGAATGATGGAATGATTCATTGCTCAAAGATGGATGCTAGATGGTGTGAAATCGCATCTCAAGCAGGGAAAGAGTCGCCGACAAGGCAGGAAGGATGTTTGCTTGGGAATGTAAGTAGGTAACTAGGTTCCACGTTAGGCAGTGTCAATGGAAGTTGTCCCAGACTCTCAACCTGCTGCAAGACAGAACGAATACGGGTACCTTCCAATTGTTGACACTTGCCGTCCACCTCAATTGACTGCCCCCTTCACCCTTTGACCCCTAGGGCTACTTCCAGCCCAATGTCACCGCGCAGAACGGTTTTTTTGGGACAGCTCCTCCACGTCGTCGAAGCGCCTTTCCACCCCGGAGGGCCTCGTGTACGGGTTGCACCAGGTCCACTGTTCATTGAACTTATCGTCTGTCTGCCCGGTTAACTGTGTCACGAGCTTGGATTTTAATTGTGCTCAAACTAGGTAAGTCCTATATGTACCTATGTATAAATCAAACTTGGTGTCTCGGCCTGGTGTTTCCAGATAGCTACTGGGAAGTGGGTGAAGTAGATCGTATTTGTTGGAGTCTCCAAAATGCGGAATAAAGTCAAAATGCTCGTATAGAGAATCGCGCTCTCCCAACAGGTTGAAATCCCCAACAACCTGGGTGCAAATCTACCTATTGCCATGTCCTGCCTCCAATGTGGAGGTGCAACACCAGCGCGGGGTTATCGGCGTTGACAGTGCCAGTAATATGACGTTATCTGAATACCAGGGTCGGCCCCGACTCCCCTTTTCAGGCCCCGGTCGTGGCTCCCGTCCCTTCCATCCCGCCTCGCCACTTCCCCGCAGAGATGAGGGGCAGCTATCGGTATCGTACTTTCTTACCTAAGGGACGGGAGGTATGTATTGTAGGGGGAATTTCTCCAGGTGCATGCGCTATTTGCTCCGTGGGCAGGCGGTTAGTGCATCGCAGGTGGCAGTTGCTGTCTATCGCTACTGCCGTTACTAGGAATAGCAATAGTGACAGCGATGCAGCTGTTGCCAACTTACCACCTGCCCGCAGAGTCAATGGCGTATTCCCGCAGAGAAATTCCCATTGTACGTACTGTACACCGTACCTAACATGGATAGTATGCTAGATAACATTTGGATGGATGCTTATCATAACAGAGGGTGGTGATCATGGTACGGATTCGTAGCTTCTCGTGCTCCGCGTTCACCGGGCCGATGTTTGTCTCGGTTTCTCGTGAATCTTTCCTAATATGGAAGATCTGCTTCCTGGCTGCTACTGTTATGCACTACCAGTCGAGAACACGAGACACGACAAACGAGACACGAAAAACGAGCAGAAGGGTCTCACTAAAATGATTAGGCCATACTTCCCGATCTGTGGCTAGCCGCATCTGCAAGGGGGCCCCGCTGCTAAACCGGGGTACGATCACCGTTGTTGCATTTTTAGAAAAGAGGCTAAACTCAGCCACTGCCAGCCTCTGCCACCGTTTCCGTCGGCACTTCTCAGGGGTACCCCTGCAATCCGAACCCCAAGTCATCTTTACTTTCTTTTTTTGGCCTGCCCTTCGCTTCCCTTCTTTGCCCATTTGTTTGCCGACTAGGTACCTATTTTCTCGTCGCACGACAGTTGAGCCCACAGACTCTGTATAGTACGTAGGTAGATATGTACCTCTCCTTCCTGCCCTCATGGTTAGAATGGGCGACATCCATGGATGGCAGGTACCTGATTAATTATCAGTTGGTGGAGAAATCCATCTGACCACGAATGCAACCTAATCTGGCGGCTTCATTCGAGACACCGACGCAACCAAATTCTGCTGAAGATCGGCACAGGGGGTTTCGAGGGGCTGAGCTCACCTCTGCTGCGGTACACATGTAGGTTAGCCAGCCCTATGCTCCTATTGGACCTTTGTGTGGCCCATTCGGTATTCGTTGTGCCCTATGTATGGCTTCGGCCGACCTGATGACGGGATGCAATGACGTTGCAGCAGAAAAGGGCGCGGCCATGCAGGTGTGCTGCTGCCGCATCCTATTGTTGGGTCTCGCGTCGCACGATGTGACCATGATATCGCGATGCCCCATCCTCCTCAATTTCCTGCCCAATTCTACAATTCTTCAATTCTACCAACCCCCCTCCATCGTCCTCCGACGGCCCAAATTACGGATTACATCCTGTCGTGCTTCTGTTTTCGCACCATTCGTCCTGCAATCACACCTGTGGATGAATGAACAACATCTCGTGCAATGCGCCATTCCTTTCCGACAGCCTGACTGGCATCTTCTTCCAGTCCGATACCCATTTGCTTGACTGGCTAGTTTCTTCTCCTCCCTCTTCATCACTGTTATTAATATCATTATTATTTTTAAAATAAATAAATAAATAGGTACTGCTGTTGTATGTACCGTCGGATTGCAATGGCCAGCTCATCGCGGATAATCCTTCCCCGCATCGATACCTCAAATTCGTGGCTGTTACTCCAGGACGAGTCTGCACAGGGCCAACTGGTCTCGACGGTTGCGCATGTGCTCGGCCTGGAGAGGGACAGTGTTCAGCTGCTCGACTCGTTTTCCGACCTTGGAGGGACCCAGGAGAGCGCCACCGCAGTCCAGAAGGCGTGCATGGAGATTGGCATCGCAGTGAAAACCAAGGACATCCTCCAGTGCCCCACTCTTGCCGAGCTCCAGACCTGCATCAGCCCCTGTGCCCGGCAATCACAATGTCAAGACTCGGTCGAGTCCGTCATGATCGCCCCGCATGGAATCCACAACGCCAGCCGCCTGTCCGTCGCCGACTCCCGCAGCCGGCATTCTCGGCATTCGAGCCGTTCTAGCAGCTCGAGTAACATCCAGCAGAGGACCAAGGTCGAAGAGATATTGGACTCACACAAACTCGTCTCGAGGATAACAACAACCAAGCCGAAGGCTGGCTTGCTCGAGGACAAACTCGTGGCATTTCTGACGCTCAGTTACTATGCGCCGCGGGCATGCGAAAGCCTGGACGACGTCCACTTGATATCGCAGTCGCAGATGTTTTTCGCAGGCACCCAGATCGCGACGCTGCGGAGGGTGCTCCAGGAATCGCGCCAGGAATCGCAACAGGCTGATATTATGCCCGAGGCGTGGGTTGTGCTGGATGAGATGCCGCTCACCGAATCAGGTGACATCGACCGGCGGCGGCTGCGTACATGGGCTCAGAACATGAACGAAGAGACATATCGCCTGGTCATGAGCCTGGACACCAGTGAAACACTCCAGAAGCCGTCAACCGAGATGGAAAGATCCCTCCAGACCCTGGTCGGCAAGGTTCTCCAGGTGCCCCGGGAACAGATAGGTGTCAACTTCACATTCAGTCGCCTCGGCGGCGACGAGCTATCAGCGATGGAGCTGGTCGCCCGATGCAAGCACCAGTCGATCAACCTCGACGCTAACGAGGTGCTGCAGGGTCTCACGTTGGCGGATCTAGCTGCTCTCGTGTCTCAGCGGGGCGGACTGGCACATAAATGGGACGAGGACCGGCTGGATTGCTTCGACCTGTCGCCCATGCAACAGCTGTACGTCCGCACCACCATGGGAGGCGACGCACGGCGCCGGGCGTCGGGCGACGGCAGTTACCGGTTCAACCAAAGCTTCCTCCTTCGGCTGAAGAAACACTACTTGCTCGAGGACATGCTGGCTGCAGTCGAGACCATCGTTGGACACCACTCGATGCTCAGGTCCCGCTTCACGCTCGAGACTGGCAGGTGGTCGCAGAAGATATTCCCCGACGTCTCGGGTTCTTATGCCTTCAACTATCATTCCGTCCACTCCAATCTCGAGGTTGAGGCCGCCATCGAAAGGACTCAGGCAACGATCAATGTCGAGAGTGGCCCCGTGTTTGCCGTCGACTACTTCCAAACGAATGACGGCCATCAGATGATCTATTTGGCCGCCCATCACCTGGTCGTTGACCTTCCGTCCTGGCGCATCATCCTCCACGACCTGGACGAGCTTCTCGAACATGGGAACCTATCTTCCCAACGTTCGATGCCGTTCCGGAGATGGATCGAGCTGCAAAAGTCGATGCTGCAAGGGTTGGGCACCAGTAACATGCCATCGATCGCGGGAGGGCATTACTCCGACTATGGCTACTGGGGATTGAGAGACCGCCCAAACACGTACGGTGATTCGCTGGAGGCCGTCTTCTCGTTGAGCCCAGAAGTCACGTCCGCCCTCCAGACCTCGTGCAACGATGTGTTTGGAACCGACCCGGTCGAGATCTATCTAGCGGCACTCCTACTTTCGTTTGCACAAACCTTCCACGAAAGACCGGTACCCATTGTGTGGAATCACGAGCATGGGCGGCAGACGTGGAACCCGGACATCGACATCTCTGAGACCGTAGGATGGTTCACGTCTCTGTGCCCCATCGTGCAGAGGGTGGGGAACCGTGACGACATTGTCGGACTTCTTCGCCAGCTCAAGGATGGTCGCCGGTCCATGCCAGGCCGCGGATCTCACTTCTTCGCATCCCAGTTTTACAATGCCAACGGACCGGGCACCTTCTCACCAAACAACAACCCTTTCGAGATTGTATTCAGCCATGCGGGCCCCCTCCAGCATCTCACACGTGGCGACGGCATCCTCGAGCAGATGGATATTCCTGGCCGGACCTCGGCTTCGAGCACAGCAGATATTGGCTCCGGAGTCGGGCGGATCGCTGTGTTTGAGGTCAGCGCGGTGGTAGACCAAGGAGTCGCCAACATCAAGTTTCTCTACAGCCGCTACGCAAGCCTTCAGGATCGTATCTCATCATGGATCTCCAACTACGAATACGTCCTCCTCGATGCCGTCAGCAGGCTCAGGTATCACGCGCATGAACTCACGCTGGCCGATGTTCCCCATCTGGATGTGACATATGATGGCCTTGCCAAGTTGAACAAGGGTTGTCTCGCGGGCCTCAACCTCGCCAGCATCCGCGACGTGGAGGCGGTTTATCCTGTCACCTCGAATCAGCAATGGATCCTCGTCAGCCAGGCCCAGGACCCGGACACTTGCTTCCTGCACACCATCCACCAATTTACCTGTCCCAACGGCGAACCGGTCGATACTTACCAACTCTGCTCTGCCTGGCAACATGTGTCATCGAGACACGCAGCCCTGCGCACCGTGTTCACTGAGAGTGTCACCCAAACAGGCTTGTATGACCAGGTTGTATTGCGCAAGATCTCGCCGGATATGCTCTTTATCGATGCCGTCCCGCCAGATGACCCGGTTGACGAATTGAACAGCCTCCCAGGCATCAGAATGGACGACAACAAACCTCCTCATCGACTTACAGTTTGCAGAACCCCGACCAGGACGTTGATTAAACTCGACATCAGCACTGCAATATGTGACGTATGTTGTTTTGGGTCCCCCGAGACCCATTGGCGTTTTGTGCTGACGAGTGAAAAGACGGCCAGCGTACACACCCTCGTGAACGACCTCTGGCAGATCTACACGACGCAGAGGGCCATCCCCGATCCCATCCATTTCTCGTATTCCGACTATCTCGAGTTTCTGAAGACGGCGAGGGAGGGCGAGAGCTTGGCGTTCTGGCGGAAGCAACTTCAAGGCGTCCAGCCGTGCTTCTTCCCCGATCGGGGCTCACTGAAACAGAAGCGACAGCGCACGGAAGCCACCCTTGAGCTTGACATTTCCACTCAATCCCTCACCATCTTCGCAGAGACACAGCACGTTTCGATCGAGGCAGCCATTCGGCTTGCATGGGGCCTCATCCTTCGATCATTCACCGGCATGAAAAGGGTCTGCTTTGCTTGGCAGGCTACTGGGCGAGATGACTTGGTGACAGGCTCGCGACAGGCCGTGGGATCTTTTGCCAACACCATCCCATGTTCCATGAACCTCTCGCCAGATGACCGTATCGTCTCCACCCTTCAAAACGCTGATAAGCAACTGAGTCTCACTTCGGTCCATCAATATATCTCCATTCCCGAGGCTTTGCATGCAGTGGGTCTCAGGGGCTCTACGCAGCTGTTCAACTCCTGCCTTCTCTACACCGATGAACCAGCGGACCTGGGCAGCGACTCCAGCTCACATCAGGACCCGGAGCTCAGGCACGTGTCCCAACAACAGTCATCCCCATTCGAAGTCTCCATCCACGTCCGTCACTCCCGAGGCAAGCTTGTCGTCGATATCTGCGGCAGCGTCATGAGCCGGCATCAAGCACTCGGCGTGGCGACCACCTTCGGCCAGGCTATACAGGCGATCACGGACTCTTCAGACGGCCAAATCAGGAGCATCAACCTCTTCAGCGACCGTGATTACGCTCAGCTTGTATCCTGGGCAAGCGAGGTGACACTTGGCGAGCGCGAGGGCGGCGGATATGTTGTACACGATCTGGTGGCGAGGCACGCGCAAACGACTCCGCATGCGGCGGCCGTCTGTGCGTGGGACGGCGAGCTTACCTATCAGCAGTTGGTGAGCGAGGCCACAAAGCTTGCCTATCGCCTCGTTGATGCCGGGGCAGGCCCGGAAACCGTCATACCGGTGATTCTGGACAAGAGCCGCTGGGCCCCTGTTGCATTGTTGGCTGTATTACAGTGAGTAATTCCATCTTCCTCTCTCCCCCGTGTCCCCCCCCTGTTGGCCCTGCTCCTACTAATATCAAATGTCTCAGAGCCGGCGCCGCCTTTGTAGCAATCGATTCAGAGGATCTTGTCTCGATTCAAGCAATAGCTGACAAGCTGGACGCCAATATTGCCATCGTCACTCGGCAAGCAGCCGCAGTCATTGGTAACGTCTTTGAGGACATGATCGTCCTGGATAACGACATATTTTCTCAGCTCCCACATCATTCCCAGCCATTTATGTCCATAGCAACGCCCGACGACGCCGCTTGCGTCCTATTCCCCCCGGCGACCTCGAAGGAGTCAAAGGGGATTGCGTTCAGCCACGCGGCCATGTCCACCGCCTTCTTAACCCAGGGGCCGGCCGCAAGAATCTCGTCTTCAAGCCGGGTAATGCAGCTGTCCTCCTTCAACGCTGACATTGCACTATCCGAAGTGTTCACAACGCTAGTCCACGGCGGATGCATCTGTGTGCCCTCGGAGTACGAGCGCTTGCACGACTTCGCCGCCGCCGCAGACCGCATGGAGGTTAACTGGACTTATATGACACCATTCCTCTCCAGGAAGCTGAAGCCGGCTTCCTTACCCACCGTTAAGGATGTTTGCTTCCGCACACGCAACCTGGACGACGACACCTACGGCCAGTGGACCGGGAAGGCCAATGTCATGCTCGCCTACGGAACATTGGACGTGTGTCCGCTGGGTATCGCGTTCCTCGACGTCACCGATGCGAATCAGCTCAAGTGCATCGGGCGGCCGTTTGCGGGCAGTTTCTGGGTCGTGGACCCCGAGAATAATCGGCGGCTGGTTGCCATCGGTGCGGTAGGGGAGCTGATAATTGAGAGCCCTACACTAGGGACAAGTTACCCAGAGACGGAGCCAGTTCAGAGCCCAGTTAGCGTCCTGGAGGGCAACGCTGGCAAGAAGACCAGACACTTCAAAACCGGCCACCTAGTCAGATATCTGGAAGGTGGCACAGTCGAGTTCATCTCCAGCAAGCGACGAGAAGAGCTCGAGATCAACGGAAGAAGCTTTGATATAGCAGATATGGAGAAGAACATCCGTCGCTGTCTGGGCCAGGGCACCGAGGTTATCGTGGAGGCGATCGCCTTCGGGGAGGAAACGACAACCCCTCCTGCCCTGGTAACCTTTATCGAGTTTGGAGACAGCCTGCTCAGTGAATTGGAAGACGTCACGCAACTCAGTAACCCGGTCAGGGAAAAGATCAACATTGCAAAGCAGCTCGTGCAGACGGGCTTGAGAAACTCGACTGAGTCGTCCCTGATTCCGTCAATCTTCATCCCGGTCAGACAGCTTCCAATCACGCAGTCGCTGAAGGTTAACCGGCGTCGGCTCCAGAAGATGATCCGCGGCCTGTCGAGGGAGCAACTGGTCGCAATCTCAGACATGCGGAGCCCGAATCCCGTCCAGACTGTGAGTCTCAAGCCGCTGCCGCTCACACAGGGCGAAGAGCGAATGCGGTCGATTTGGGCCAAGATGCTAGACGTGGACGAGAAGTCGATCGACGCTTCATCTGGGTTCATCAGCGCCGGAGGGGACGATGTTCTTGCTTCCAAGCTCGTCGTTGCTTGCAGGCACGCGGGGATAACACTCTGCATCGCTGACGTCTTGAGGAATGCGAGCCTGACAGAGCTATGTCGAGGCATGTCGACAGCCGATGAATCGGACCTCCCGGAGCATTACTCCTCAGAATCGTCAGCGATGACATCGCCTGAGGCGGCCCGGCGCGCTTCCCTCACCGATAGCTTCGTGGAGAGGATCATGGCACCTAAGCTGGGAGTGGATCGCATGGCCATCAAAGATGTGGTTGAGGCGTCGGCGACGCAAACAAGGTGTATCGAGTCTGGGATGCTCCGCGGCCGCGCAAACGTCGACTATTTCATCTTCGACCTCTCCGGTTCGGTTGACTGGGAGAGATTGGAAGAGGCCTGTCAAGTGCTCGTGACCATACACCCCATCCTGCGCACAGCATTCGTTCCGTATAACCGGCAGGTCTACCAGGCAATCGTCAAGTCGTCGTCGTGTTCAGACTTCAAGCGCTATTCCTGCCCCGGCTGGAGACAGGCGGCGCTCGTGGAGAAGATTGTAAAGAAGGATCAGTCGACACCGATCGCCTTCAGTGCTCCGATGACCAAGTTCACGCTTCTCGACGGAGGGAAGAGCGCGACCCTTATTCTGAGGCTCTGCAAAGCCCAGTACGACGACTTTTCGGTTGCGCTGCTGGTCAAGGACCTCAAGCGGCTATACGACTGCATCAATAACCCACCGCGGAGGCCGACATTCTGTGACTTCATCCGGTGTACCCACGCCGCCATCTCTCAAGGCGCCGAAGAATACTGGAAGACGCTCCTTGAAGGCTCAAAGATGACGCAGGTCGTCGGCCACACCAGACCCTACCAGCTCAGTACCAATGTCAAGACGCTGCGCGCGAGGCTGACGGTTGGATCGCTCGAGAACTTGACCGTCTCATTTGGGACGGTTCTCAAGTCTGCTTGGGCGATGGTCTTGGCGACCCTCTCCGGGTCTTCGGACGTCGTGTTTGGCGAGATCATCGAGGGGCGCCACGTCAAGCTCGAAGGGAGTCAGTCGGCGTCCTCAGTTCTCGGCCCAGCTGCCAATTCCATCCCCGTGCGCGTCCGGTTTCCCGATACGTCCCTAACCCCTCTCACGCTCCTCGAGTACGTCGACGAGCAGCACGCCGCGAGCATCCCGTTTGAGAACATGGGATTTCTGAACGTCGTCGAGAAATGCACCCTCTGGCCCTACTGGACGCGCTTCAGCACCGTCGTCCAGCACCAGTCACAAGACGCCGCAGTCAACCCGCAGGAGCCGAAGGCGTTCCGCCTCGGCGCCGCAACCTGCCGACTCACCGTCATCGAGCCGGGAGCCAGGGACGTACACGACCTACTCGTGCACTCGATAGCGCGGAAACACGGCGGGATTGAGCTCAGGCTCACCTTCTGCGCCGACCGCGTCCCCGAGAGCCTTGTCGAGCAGGCGCTTCGGTTGCTGTGCGAGACGGTGAACATGCTCACGAGCGTGAGCAATACGCAGCCGATAATCCCAAGCGGCTACCAGTACCGCGCTATGGAGAAGAGAATCCCGATACCGCCGACACCTACCACGACAGGCGCAGCCCCTCCCCACCCCCTGGATGTTGCATCCATTGCCGACATAGACACGACCACCCCGCTAGGCCCCGAATACGAAGCCAACAGGCTACCCGAAGACCAGATCCGGGCGATCCAGACGGCTATCTCGAAGGCCTGGTCGTCGGTGCTCAAGCCGCGGTCGCTGGGCGTGCCGGAGGAGCATCTCCACACAGCCGCCTTCTACGACCTCTGGGGCAGCCTCATACCGGCGGCCCAGCTGGCGGCTCACCTCAACCGCGAGCTGCCGCGCCTGGGACTCGGGGGGCTCGAGGCGGTGACGGTCACGATGGAGGACGTCATCGATAACCCAACCATGCTGGACCAGTTTCGGCTCGTTGCAAGGAGGATGGTGGCGGCGGCGGGGGTGCCGACGACGACGGCGACAACGACAACCTCGGCGACCGAGTATCCGGCAACGCCGCCGCCACCACAATCGCCCAGCGCGAGACGGAAGCGCGCCGTGTCCATGTCGGTCTCGGCGTCGGCGGCCACCATCGGCAGCCGCATCCGCCGCCTGACCGGCACGATCGCGCACCCGGCAGCGCGTAGCAATAGTAGCCGCAGCAGCAGCAGCAGCAGCAACAGCAGCACCCCCGAGGCGCGGGTCGAGGCCGGCTTGTCCGGATTCCCTGGCTTCCCCGGCTTCCCAGTGGGTGGACGGCAGACGCCGCAGTCGGCGGCGATGGTCCCGGCGGCGTTTGCGGACCGGGAGAGCGGGAGCGGGAGCGGGAGCGGGAGCAGTAGCTCTGCGGCGAGCATGACGCTTAGCATGACGGCGGCGGGGAGCAGTGTGAGCAGCCGCGGTAGCATTGGCGGGGGAGGTAGAGGGGGCGAAGAAGACCTTTTCGCAGATGACGACGTCGCCGTCGCGGAGCAACAGCAGCAGCAGCTGACGGTTGTCGAGAGGGCGCTGGTGCCCGCGCCGCTGAGGAGGGTGCCGCCTCAGCACGTGAAGGTCCCGGCGGCGGGATTCCGGGGCGGGCACGAGGACGTCGTCAGCCCTTTGAGTGCTGCGAGCCCGGGAGTGGGGTTTTGGGATGTCAGAGCTGTTCTGGGAGGTGGTGGTGGTGGTGGTGCCGGGGAAGGATACGCGGGCATGAGGCAGGATTCAGATGCTGCTGATTTGTTTGAGAGGATGGGCTTGGTTTCGCCGATTGTCAGTCATGGGCAGTAGAAATTGTCCCCGTGTGCAGTGCAGCTGAAAGCTCAGACTATCCAATGGCGGCAGACGTGGCTGGGCGCCTCGTTCTAGGTTGTAATTAGTTATTGCGAATTCACCGCCTCCAGCCAACTACATTTACCAAGGCAACCATGGGTCTCCTTGGCGTTTTCTTCATGCTTCCACAGTTCGCAGCACCTGCAACAACTCCCCCCAAACTCAACGCTCTTTTCTTCCGCCAACACTCATATCAACTATTAATTAGCTCAATACGGGCTGACCCATGTCGCACTCACCGGCCGTTGCGAGCGCTGGTGAACGAACGCCCTTGCTTTCTGGAGACACGCAAATCCTGCCCCCTCGATCTTCACGGGAGCGGCATTCGTCAGATGACAATGGAAACCCGGTGCAAGAGCATACCGCGCTGCCGACAGGGGAGGACCCCTCGCCAAAAGCCAAATGGACCTACGCGATCTACGTAGTCTACTTCCTGGTCGCTCTCAGCACGTCGTTCGCTGTTTCTGCAATGAACAAAGTCGAGGAAATGGCGCTGCTCTCCCGTCAGCACTCTCGGGGCTTTAGTGCTCTGGGAAGGGAGCCTCCCCGCGAAATTCCCGGCGCAGTACAGGATGAACTTACTCTTTTGAGGGGTTGGCAGGGAATCCTAGACAGCATTGTTGGAGGGGCGGCAGCGATATTCTTGGCCGCACTTCGATCCAAGATGCTTCCTCTGAGCGTCGCCGGGCTTTTCGGCTTCGTTAGCGGAACCAAGAAGATCCTCATGCTGGCACTCGCCGGGATTCTCATTGGACGCGTCTTCAACAGCTTGTTCTGTAGGTTCAGTTAATGTACATGGCCCCCCACACACAGCCAAAGGGTTTGCTAATTTTGTCTATTTTTGCTTTAGTCTTCTTCTCCGATAGCCACACGTATTCACTGCGGCTCTCCTGGCTTTCCGCCGCTTCGAATCTCATTGGAGGTGGTGTACCCGGCTTCTACGCGATGATCTGGACTTATTTGCGAGACGTCGGTCGAACTGAAGACACGTAAAGTACCACAAGTCCCAATATTTGATGGACAACGTGTCGACTAATACACTTTCCAGTTTGGATGGATTCCTCTGTATATCCATCTTGGGTGTGTTACCAGACCTCGCTGCGGGCGTCGCTGCCTCGTTTCTAATAGACGAGCACCCTTGGATCGTCATCATTTTGAGCTGCGTCTGTCTTTCCCTTGCGCTCCTATTGGCGGCAAGCTGCCTTGAGGAGGATCCAAAACCTCAAAATGCCATGGCTATGGGAAACGCAGTGGGTTATCCTGCAGGCGGCCCGGACAGCGACGGCCCTTCCGGGGTTTCTTTCTGGGACTGGATTTCGCTGAAGCAATACGTTGGGAGTCGCTGGCTCGTATTCACTTTTGTGATAACCGTGCCGGGATTTTCCTTTGAAGACATAAAGCTTCAGTATATGAGAAGCAAATTTGGGCAAACGTGGTCAGGGGTGAGTCGATACAAGGAAGCACTTCCAGCCAGCCCAAGAAATTAAAGCTAATATTGATATCAACAGACTATCTTTCAGGCTGCATGCATTTTGCTTGCCCAGATCGTCTTTTTGGCTATGATATTGGCAGTCAACCGTTGGAGACAAGACAGAAGCCCTGAAGCCACCCAGCGCTTTGATATTTATTGTGCCTGTCTTTGTGCAGCCTTGTCCTCTGTTGGCCTCGCCATATTCGGGTTATCAGAAAAGACGTGGTTGATGCTCATTGGTAGGCACTTTCCCTCCCTGGATCAGTCCCATAAGGTTTGAGGGTTGCTAATCCTCCTATTCCAAGGGCTGGGTATGTTATTTTGTGGTCTCGCTTTTCGCATGTTTCTGAGACACCTTTTGTCCCTGATCGTGGATGCAAACATTCGACAAGGTATGTTCTTGCTTATTGACGCTATTGAACACTGTGGCTCGTTCCTTGGAAGTCTGGTAGTGACTAAACTTTACGGGCTTGGGCTGAAATGGGGTGGTTGTTGGAGGGGAATTCCATTCTTGGCCACGTCATTCCTGTTTCTTGCTGCTTTCGTTATTGTTGTTGCCTGGCACTTGCATCCGCCTCTTCAAGCCGGACCGGTACGTGGGTGAAGCGGGCTGCAGAAAAGGTGAGAGTCCGTCCTTGGCCAACGGTATGGACAAGATGGGATGGAGCAGTAGATGACCAACGCGGCCGCACGTGACACTCGCCGCATTTGCTCAGCCAGCTCAATACCTACATATAAACAGTCCGCCACTTTCCGCAGGAGGATTCACCACATCATCCAGAATCGTCCAAATAAATTCGCTAAGATGCCACTCCAAGACTTACCTCCAGAGGTGCTAGTCCGCATTTTTGCCTCGGCCGGCTCTCGACCTGATCTGCGAGCGATGGCAAGCACCTCCCGGCGCATTTACTCTGTCTTTTTGGACGAGAGACCAGCGCTCATCTACCAAGCTCTCTCCACCGAACTAGGTCCAGTTCTCAGCGATGCCCTTGCTTTCTCCAACACAGAGCCTCTTGACGCATCGTCGCTGTCGTACCACCAGCAGGTTCGAGACTCTGTGTCTATGTACGACGCCTATCTCACAGGCCAGAACAACCCATCCCCACGCCAAGTCTCACTGGATCACGCACTTGATCTGGTCAACTCATACCAAACAATGACCTATTTAACAAGCGTATACACCACCTCCAAATTGATGCTTTTCCAGAAGGAAATCAAACCCTCCTCCTCAAGCACGCCCTTGGTTGCTCCGCCAAGCCAGACAGAGCATCTGCGCATCCTCCGCAGCTTTTACCGCCTGCAGATGATCTTCAACCTCTGCGGCAGCTGTGCGCCAGGACTGCGGCGGAAGTACAACAAACCCGACACCGAGTGCATCAATTATCGCCTGTTTGGGCTATGGGAGCCATGGGAGCTACAGCAGGTTCTCTGCGTCGCCGCCTTCACAAGCAGACTCCACCGCCACCTCACCCAGATCGAGGACGACGACCTGAGGGGGGAGGGCATATCGCGGCGCGTCTTCTTCGGGCTCGGTGCCCTGCGAGAATTTATTGGGAAACTGCGCGCTGCCGATGAGGCCACGTGGCAGAAAGTACTACAGGACACGTCGAGCCTTCGGTCTGAGCCCCGGACCATGGGGACGTTCGCGCAGTACGGCACGGACTGCTTCGACTACCGCTACCACGATTACCGCATGCAGAAATTTCCGCCCGGGAGGTATAGTTTCCCGGTAGGCGTCCCCTTCGATGGCGACCACGTCACGTCCCCGCCCCTGGCCTGGGTGGATGCGCACGATGGGCGGTACACGCACGACTTCTTCGCAGGGCAGGAGAGGACGCGGAGGGGCCGCCTGGAGATGCAGCATCTGGGCAAACGGATGGGGTTGGTATGGGACCTCTTGGGCTTCGTCATGTGGGATGCGCCGCGAGTCACTGCGTTGAAGACGTCGTCTATCTTGTCAGAATTTGCAACGGGCTGGGCGCTCGGCTAAGTACTTGTAATTACAGTACAAAAGCACACGCAACAGGCCGCCCTCTCTCTAGTGGTAACATGACAAAATAAACATGTCAAGCAAAGCCCGCGTGTTTCAAAAGCCGAATGGCCAATGATCACCACTGGCAAAGCACGACGGTGGTCATGGTCGGGTTGTACACAATCCCGCACCCCTCAACTTGCTTCTCCATGTGCGAACACCACATATTCTTGACACCATCACAAACCAGCAGCCCCAACTTATCTTCAGTCCCCTTGTACGTGCACGTGAAGCCCACGGCCTCGAACGGCCCCAGCGTCGGCGGGAACCCGGGACTAGCGCCGTTGGCCGCGGTCGTCGACTTGGTGAAGACTGCAGACGAATCGCACAGCTCGACCGGCCGATCCAGCGTCGACGCCAACACGCTCCACGACCGGACCCACTGCCCGAAGCCGAAGCCCCCCTCCGAGTTGGCCAGCAGCTCCATCAGCGCGATGATGATGAAGCCATTCTCGGGCACCGGCGGCGGCGGCGGCGGCGGCGGCGGCTTCGGCGTCGCCGTCGCCCAGTTGGTGCACGTCGACGTCGTCACGCACGCCGACTGCCCGCCGGGTCCCATGGCGCACGTCGTCACCGCCCCCGAGGCGACGCAGGTGCCCGTGTGGGTCGGGCCCCCCGGTAGGTCGGGCAGGTCGGGCGCCGTCGTGCACACCTCGACGGGGACGCAGACGGTGTTGCCGCCGCTGCCGTTGCACTGCGTCGACGTCGTCGTGAAGTCGCACGACGTGGGGCCTATCGGTGGCGGGGTGGGTAGGTTGACCGGGTCGGTGAAGTCGGAGGGCGTGCCCGTGGGGTTGGCCTGGCAGTAGTAGCCGCTGCAGAGGGTGCCGCACTTGGTGGTGCAGGTCGGCGAGGGCGTGCCCGGGTGGTACGTGATCGACGACCCCGTGGCGTCGCTGGGAGGTCCCTGGCCGTCCGGGTAGGCGCTGCCGTCTCCGTTGCCCTGGATGGACTCGCCGCCGTTGGCGGACAGGGTTCCTAGATCGGCGGGGAGCTCGTCTCCGCACACGGCATCGCCCTCGAAGGGCCGGTCGAGCAGACACGACTTGTCGAAAACCTGGCCGTTCCAGATGAAGGGCTTGATGTCCGTCGTTCCTGATTCGTCGGGCGGGACGCTGGGATCGCTGATGATGAGTCGTCGCTGGAAATTCCTGATCAACGCCTTGATCGCGGCTGGCTTCTGCAGCTGCGTGCTCCAGTCGCCTGGCAGGGGGAGAGCACGGAAATAAGCAACCAAGCCGGCGACAAGGGGAGTCGCTATGATGGCCGTTAGCTGGATGTGAGGATAACACGGGCAGGCTGCACAGAAAAGGAGGGCATACCGTAAGAGGTCCCGCTGTCCACCATATATCCCCCGGATGGCCCAGCGGGGATGTTCACATTCTCGCCGCTAAATCACGTATTAGGTTTTGTGTCTGAGAAAGGTGGAGGAGGTCTAGGCCGAGACTGGTAGGGCTGAGGATATACTCCGCAGAGTATGGCGGTCTGGAGGGGAGGTATTCTGGAGGGAGGTATTCTGGAGGGGAGGCAGGGCTTACGGTGCATATGTGGTCATCCAGTCCGACTCCATACTCGAGCCAGCCCGTCTGCTGTTCCCGTTTGTTGATCCGACAACAATCAGATTTGGAAACTTCCCCTCCCCGAGGAACTTGGCAGGGTAATGTATTATCTCCGGGCCGATGCTGCGGTCTCGAGCATAGTTGTGCGCCAGTGTGACAATGGGGGTGTCGAGCGCATCCAGCTCCTTGAGGATAGCGACTGCGGGCAGAACAAGGTCAGCACGGCACCACGTCTGGCCTGGGAGGAGGACTTACGCATAGTATCCAAGAATTCAGGGGGTACAAAGATTGACCTGACGCCCCATGATATGCTCACGACGGACTTGCCCTTGCGGCGTCCTTCGTCTCTAGCAATATCGTCAGCAGCATTGAGCAATGACTCGAGGATCTTCTCCTTGATGATCGTTTTGGGATTAGCGACGTCATTTTCGTTGGCATTTTTGTCGAGAACGACCATGGTCGCGGCCTTGACAATTCCGAGGTTCCTTCCGATTACTTTTGCGGCAACCCCGGACCCGTGCTCCAGGTCGGCGGTAATATCCTTATCGCCATAGTCCGCTCCTTCCACGTGCTCGATGAGTGCACCGTCGAACTCCTAATACCAACGTCCCATGTCAGCCGAGTTATTCAAAGGCAGTCGCCGACAAGAGCAGAACATGCAGCAGCCAGCAGCCATGGAGAGGGAGAGAGAGGGGGTAAGCGGAACTTACGGGATGGTCCTTCCAGATTCCATCCTCGGCCACATAAATATATTGACCTGCCCCACTGGACTGATCATAATAGAAGCTGTAGTCAGTCTGCTGCGTGGTTGGATTTTGGACTCGGATCCTTTCGTCGTTGTACCAATCTCCTTTCCTGGGTGTGGAGACTTCCGAGAGTTCCCAGAAGTTGCTCTTCTGATCTTCGCGCTTGACAAGCTCCATTGTGCCGTTCCGGCGGCTGGCAGAAACACTTCTCCCTGAGCTGCGGTCCGGATCAGGATTGTTCTGGTTATATTGTTCATAATCGTAAACATAGGCGACCTAGTTTCCCTCTCGTCAGTCAGCGTCTCCAAATATTCACCGAGTCTCCGGCGAGGCCAGCTGCGCGGCAGGGGGGGACACGGAATATGGTTATTGGGTTAAGACACTCACCTCGTCCATTTTTTTCATTATCGCTGCCGTGTTATCGCCAAGCTGTTCAACCCAGAAGAAGGCCGTGAATTTCAGCGCCTCAGACCTGGCCTCGTGGAAGAACTCGTTGGCAAGCATGTCCCTGATCTTCTGGGCTGCAACCGAGTCTTTTGGATCACGGAGGTAAATGATGGAATCGGAGCCAAACTCGTCGTCGCAGTCACTATCACTGTCGGGGGGCGTATCATCACGAGGCACCACGCGCGCTGCGGCGGCGGCCGTTGCCAGTGCAGGCACTGCGGTCTGGGGAGTGTCTCTTCGCTTGCGCCTTGCCCTCTCCACCGTGCAGGTCGCGACGTCGGTTGTGCTGTTTTCGTCCTCGACGTTGCAGCCCAAGATGGTCGCGCACGTGGCGCTCGTGGAAGTGGACGTCTGCGTGGTTCCATCCGATACGACGGAGACGAACGACGTGGTTGTGGAGCAGATGGACGCGCTCTTGGTCTCGCACGGCTTGTTGTCATTGTTTGGGTCGAAGGTTGGGACACGATCGGATCCAATGCTGTCAGTTGGTTGGTTAGCCCTTATCCCAAGCGGTAGACGGAAGAAGAAGCGAGGTAATCAAGTGGCAAGATTTGGTTTTACGAACGTGATCGGAGGCCAGGGCGGGAGCGGCCCTTTGATTGTCCATCCCGGCGGAGGACGGAAGATGTTGAGAGGGGGCGGGCCACTAAATCAATGTCAGCGATGGGAACGAAGCAACAACAATTCGAGGAGAGAGAGAAGTGGGCTCTTACGGAGGATAGATTCCCGGAGGTAGACTCCATGACCATCCCTTGATGTTGATATCCTGGAAGGAAATGCAGATCCAGAAGAACCAAAGGTGGCATGGCGTCTCGCTGTGATCGCCTGTCGGCTTGGGCTTGTCCACACTCGTGGTGACGGGGGCGATGATCCCCGGAGGCCAGGTAGTCCAGATGGGCAAAGGCGTCGTGGTAGTCGACGTCGTGTCCGAGGTGGGCACACTGACGCCGATGATGGTGGTACAGTCGACAGTGACCTGCGTTATTGTGGATGCTGTGATGGTGACGACTTTGGTGGTTGGGCAGGTAAAGTCGATGGTCATGACTCCCGGGCAGGGTAGGGTCACGGCGGTTGCTGGGGTGTTGAAAGAGAAGACAGAAGACGGAGGGCAAGACACCGTGGTGGGGCTCACGACTGAAGGGAAGGTGACAGTCGCGGTGGTCGGGCCCGTGGCTGTGAACCCAACCGAGTACGGGGTCACGAACGGGACCATAAGTGTTCCGCTCACAACACCTCCACCAACTCCACCTCCTGCAGGATTTGAGCCCCATGGCCCTGCTGAGCTTGGCCAGCCAAGTGGTGGCCCGTTGTTGATGGCTGGCCACGGGGGAAGGCTGAGAGTACGGTGGGTTGGTTGGCCATCGGGTCCGGTCACGTCGACCGTCACCGGCGCCACAGGGACACTTTTGGTTGGGACAAACCCAAATTGTGTGTTTTGGTCCGAAGTGACGTTGACGTTGGAGAAGCCCATCGAGTCTGTTGTGATGGCGGTGGGGTGGACTGTTATCGTAGTGGTGGTGCCTACCCCGGAACCGACCTGGATTGAGGTTACATAAGACAGAATGGTGATTGTCGTTGTTGGGATGGCACTCGGCGGGAGCACGAAGATGCACGGCGCCGTGCATTGGGCCGTGTAAGAGGTATACACCTCAGAACCGAGATAGACGACTTCATAGTCGTCGTCACCGAGGGGCGGAACCCAAACACTGACTTCGGTGGTGAAACCACTGCATGGGAATTGGATCGTGTTAGCTAGCTTCTGCCAATGTTCATCCTCGCTGGACCGAGACGAACAACGGAGGGCCCCATGACTTACCTCTGCGTGTCATCTTGCGTGATGAATTGGTTTCCCGCGCCGTTGGCAACTTGAACTGAACCAACCGTGAAGATGTTGAAAATGGCAACATCGTGGGAGCCCCTGACCTGGATGACTCGGTCCTGGCAGTCAAACGTGCCGACACAATCCTGGTCATAGTTCTGGAAGAAGCTGTACATGCCGGCACTGTGGATGTAGATGTCGGAAGAGTCGATGATCCGAACAGCCCACGAGTTGCGGCACGTATCAGTCTTGCAGTCGTCGATCGTCGGATCCGAAGGGAATCCGGGATTGGAGACTGCATCAAAGGGCTTGGGGCCAACTGGATCAGGCTGATAGTATGGAGATTCCGTTTGGATGTGGCCCAAGTAGATCTAAATGAGAGCGAGAGAGACATGCATCATGTCAGCGAGGTAATCAATCATACAGCAGAGAGCAGGTGAGCAGCCAGGAGGACGTGTGCCCCGAACGGGATAGAAATGATGATCATGACAATGACTTACATCCTTGGCGTTTAACAACTGGTATTGATACAAAACGCTATGCTCCGAGCCACCACCGATGAACCAGGAGGGGCCTTGGGACTCGATAAGCATTCCCCTGCCAGTATAGATGCTGACCTGGTTAACTGAAGCGTCTAGTTCATAGTACATGTTCATGTCGTTATCGCTGGAGATTTGTATTAGCCCCTGAATTTTAGAATGCCGACGAGTTGCAACTTACTGGTCGGCAGTCCAGACCCAGACGTTCTCAAAATAACCAGAGGCTTTTGAAGTAATGTGGAACAACAGAGAGGCAGCAATGCACTTCTCGCTGTATCCGAACTTGGGGCAGTCGCCGATGGCCAACTCGCTACCTGTCGCACCACCGACGCGGAAGTGTGAATCCCACATGGCAGCTGCAAAGTTCCAAGGTCAGTGGAGGGAAGACAGTGGGAACAGTGGCGGCAACGTCTGCCGACTGGAATTAATTAATTACCTGATCCCTGGGTACTCTCGTGGACGTTCCACTCCATCAAGATGGCGCCGGCAGTTGGCCCTTTGACGCTGAACAGCATTTCAACAATCTCCAAGACACCCTTGTCGCCGGGTTGACCGACTTGAACCATGACCTTGGGGTTCTTCATGTCTTGGAAGTAGGTCCCAGTACCTTGGATCTATGCCGCGAGTGTCAGTAGACATACTAATTGCCCCCGTTTCCTCTCTCTGTCTGAGTGCACATGGAATGAGACTAACCTGCGACCAACTAGCTCCCTGGATTTTGGAACCGACAGGGACAAAGACGGTGCCTTGGATCTGGTAGATACCCGCTGGGAAATATGCCACCAGTCCCTGGCTTACAGCGCTCTGAAGGAAAGTGTTGATGGCAGCCGTTTGATCGCCGGTGCCATCGTTCTTGATGCCCGCGGCCGTGGCAACGAGGAAACTGCCCACGCCGAGAGTCTCATACTGGGGACGAGACCTGGCAAAGAGACTTCCGTCACTCAACAGACTCGACGGCTTGCTCGGGACACCGTAAACATCGCCGCTCTGGTAACCACCCTGTCCACCGATGTACCGTGGGCCGATGGCCCACAGCGCGACGTGCTCGGAGGCTCCCAGCAGAACCTCACCATCGGCTGTCTTGACGACGGCGCCAACATTGCTCGTGACCAGGTTGTCGATGACCATGTTGGGGGGTGCATCGGTGCCGGCATAGGTGAGGATTCCCGTGGGCACATTGGTGAACTTGGAGTCAATGAGGGAGATGGAACCCACGCCCTGGGCGGTGATGCCGCCCTTGGCGCTGATGTTGAAGGCTATCGAGCCGCCGTCGACTTCGATCTGCTGCCAGTTGAATCCCCAGTCCCAGATCATCTGCACCGCCTCGGTGCAGCCCGTGAACTTGAGGTTGCGGGCCGTGTACTGCTGCGTTCCGGCCCTCCAGCCGACGGCGCCTCCCTGAAACTCGAGGTCCGACACGAACCCGCCGGACCCGTTCTCCATGAAGATGCCGACGTGGGTCCCGTTGCCGTCGTTCGTCGGCATCTTGAAGAGCAGGTTTTGCAGGGACGCTGCTTGAGCAACTTGCCACTAATTACAGGTTAGGGGCGGCCACTCGATTAGCGTGCTGATTGTTTATGCCTGGGGAGAAGAAGAAGCTGGGGACATACGTGAAGACCAGTCGGGGCCAGTGGCTGGCCGTTATCGTCCGTCTTAAGGGGCATTTTCGTCAAATCGAAGACGAAGTTTCGGATCTGGCGAAAGAATTGATTCTGGTTGACGAACCACTGAGCGCCATTGCTATTTGTCGAGTGTTAGCCATGTTTGTTTATAATTCCATCTCCACCTCGTCAAGTGCCGCTGGCATTACCTACCCGCCGGGGATGTACGGGTCTGTGTCGATCAGCCCAATGCCGGAGAAGGTTTCACAACCGACGATTGTAGGCCGGTTGGTAGCATGGCCGATAAACTGCGTGTAGTAGAGCCTTGAGAGAAGAAGAAAAAAGGGTGTCAGCCCGAGTCCACTTAATAATACAACCGTTGCACAGGGCGGCGCCTCGTAGGCAAGATAGTGGCCAACTCACTGGATGATGGGACGGCAGATTTTATACGTTCCGGGCTAATTACTTCGTGGTAAGCTAACGTGAAAAGACGGACGAAAAAAAGACACATTAAAGGTTGGGCGGGACTCACTGGGAAGTAGATGATGGCCCCTTGGGTGAAGGTACTGCCACAATCCTCGCCGCACCGGTGTCCATCCTGGATAGCAGCATTGATAGCTTCAGTGTCATCGTGAGAACCGTCTCCCACAGCACCGTAGGCTGTAACATCGCGGTAAAGCTTATAGCCACTGGCAGCTAGGGGTTGCTATTATCGGCGAGTCAGTTCGCTGCTCAAGCAAGGAAGGCCAAAGATTAATTACTCACGGATCCCAGCGGCGCCAGCTCTGGAAGCCAGTAATCCGAGCCCTGTCGGGACTTGACACTTCGAGTCTTCAGAGAAGACGTCGAGTTTCCCGATCCGTCTACTGGGGGGCCGGCGCCGGCACTGCTGTTATTGTCGCTGATGAAGGGTATTCCCCCGGCACCGAAAGCGACGTTGTGAAGGTAGTTCGAAGTATCATTGGTGGTCGCAGCTCCACGGAAGTCGGGTGCTGTTGAGTTGCTATTGCCTTTTCCATTGAGATTGGCCATGTAGTTCTCAAAGCTTCCCGAGTGCAGCCACACGGCGCCATTCTGAGTGCCTGCCACCCGTTCACGTCAGTCTCACTCAGGTGGTTCGCCGGAAAGAAGCCAGCTCGCCAGCCTGCCAGCTCGCCAGGTCTCCCGGACAGACAGACAGACAGACAGACATACCCTTATCAGGTGCGGTTTTATGTGTGTTGAAGGTATTGTCAACCATGTAGTAAAAGGGATCTCCCCGGGGTGAAAAGTCGGGGGGCGGCCTGGAGACATGCGGACCACGGTGATGAGCAGCTGCTGCTGCCGTGGTCGTGATCCCCAGCCAACTGACGGCTAGGGGAACAGCCCAAAACATGATTGCGACGCGCTGGTGGAACTTTTACAAAGCTCCGAGTCTTCTCGACCCTGTCGCATGCAATTCTCTCTTGCACGGTTGCAAGTCATCCTTCGCATCAGGGGAGGGAACGACCTCATTAAGGGCTCTCATTATCAGCTGCAAATACGCAAGGCTCACAAGGCAGCCACCCAGCATTCGGGACTCATTCTGGATTCTGCCTAACTCATAGGAATCCTTCAGAGATACCGTAATATCCGGAATGAGGCCAAGTAATACGAGTGCAGAGACAAGGCCAGCCGATTGGATCAGATTTCTGTTGTCGCATACAGCGTATAGTCGCACCAGGCTGTGTGGTAACGCTAACGCAGGTACTTTGGCGATCTGCCATTCCATTCCGTCTCTGAGTGGGTTCTATAAACAACTCCAGTGACGTACATGCCGTTCGTGGGTGGTCAGTTAGGGGCGGGTAGCCAGCCAGCTGGCGATGTGGATTTGCCAAGGAAGCTTCTCTGCAGTCACTACCACCCCCCGTGGGGGTTACATGCGTACTGTACAACGTAATTAGGGGCTCGGCAGGCCATGAAGCAGTTGCTATTATATGTAAGCACCTTTGCACACAGTACCATGGAAGGATTAAGGATTTAGCTAGGAATGTCACCATCTTTCTTCATCCTACTCCTTTCCCTCCCGTTAATACTATATGCCTCCCGGCTAAATGCAGAAGGGAATGCTGTATCCGTAGAGTGGACCGGGACAGTAGTAAAGGACCGCAAAGTTGCCGAACGAAGGATTTGTCGCAACTTAAATCCCACCCTGCCTGTCCTGCCGTTGCTACCTTCCTCCTCACCTCCGCCGCCAGCGAACAACTCGCACCGCTGTGCCGTCCCCTGCATTCCCCCCCACCGCCGATCACTTCAGCAACCTTGCAAGCCTTGGTAGGCTGAGCGGGATTGTATTCAACTCCTGCCTGTTAAGCCGTCCGAGGCGGTTTCACCTGACGACTTTTCATAATCCGGTTCGGATCCGTACAATTGGGCTGCCAAGTCTTCTATGCATTGTGGTTACTAACTCCGGTGTCGACGTGGTGTTGTAGCTCCGTATAATTACCAGGTTTTGAGGGTCCCGTCGTATAATCATGACTCTAGTAGATCGATCTCATGCACCACTCATTCCCGACAAACGGTTTCCTGGGATCTGCTGGTGATTCGTCCTCTCCAAACCAAATCTTATAAATAGGACCAACCATTATCTCTCTTTGCGCCCGGTCTTAGGGGTCACCCGTTTACCCGTCCAGCCACACCCGCACCCCCTAACCCCCTGAGTTATAGCGTGCTCCTACCGGATCTGCACGCTGACTTCCCCACCAGCCCTGCTTGACCCCCAGGCCCCCACCCTCCCCCCCCCCCGGCCGGATCTCCGCCGGATCCACTGTCGCGCCCCCGCTATGTTTTAGCTGCCTGCCCCACCGCTTCCTTCGGTATAGAATGGTTTCTCTCCTGGAACGGAAAGTCTAGTTAATACGCGCAAAGCCATTGTTCTGCGCAAAGTCAAGAAGGGTGTTCTGTTATACCATTATCCTCACGGTCGAGCCGGCTAACAAGAGGTAGGTGTAAATCTGAAGTCGGATTTCGGCTGGCAAGGGTGGAAGAATGACTTGTAGCTTGGTTTCGTTCGTCGTAGGTGAGGCGGCGTAGATTTCTCCGACGAGGACTACAACCTAGCGAGGTTCGTTTTATTGATAATGTTTGCTGAAAACTGACAAGCGGGGAAATTTCAGTCAGAAGTGTCACGGCGTCCTCGCTAGTTTTGGAAGAGCCTTGCTTCAAAGGCCCGAGTCAAATAACGAGAGGTGTCGATAATCTTTAAATGGCGTCAAAACCGGCGGAGATGTGTGTGCACAATATGTGTACGTGATGTCGTCAGCCATTACATTTGAAGAGGAAATAATTAGGCTCTTCTCCAACCTAATATGATAACAACTTTTCAATGAATTCGATTGTAGGAGGTCCCTAAGGAGAGAAGTTGTCATGTAATAACCGATAACGTTGTGTCAAATTTTGGTGATGGTGATGATACTGTTAGTCCCGATGTACTGTACATACAAACAGGGCGCTTCGGGCTGACCGTCGTGCAGGATTGCTTCGAGGGCCCTCTCCATCATTGGCCGGCCGAATCAGTGGTGGTGGTATTAGGCTATGCCGTAGCGTTTGCCTAACAGCTCGAAGAAATGCGCGCGGTTGTTTGGAGGGGTGAGGGTTGTCTGCCATTGGCTTGGGCCCCTTTGGTCATTGTTGCATTTTTGCCTAATCAACGAGCAGAGCCGCAATGTGCTCGAGAGGGGGCACCCCAGAAGAATGCCAGAGGCAATAAAATCCCGGCCGCCTGACTTCCGAGCAAGGCTACTGCGATAAGCTACCTAACCAGCTGCCAGCCGATTGAGTCGAGCTTCGGAACCCAACTCGTCACCTGAGAATGTCCTAGACGTGTCCTCCCGTATCAGTCATTTTCCGTCGAGCCCCCGACTAACCACGCCCGGGCAGTTCAGCCGGTATGTCTCGACATCAGAAAGAGCAGCGAGAGAAACGTGGAGGAACAACGGATGAAGGCTGTCCATGTTGCGTCAGAAATAGAAAGGTTTTGAGCCCTTCACAACCTCGGGGAGGCTTGCAAGCTAACTGCCTGATTCCTCCCTAGTGTGCCCCGGCTCCGGGTTCCTGCTTCGTACCTGGAGATCCGCGAAAAAAATGGCCAGGCTTGAAGTTCGTCCCATGGCCCGAACCGCCCCCGATGATACACACCAGCACGGCAAGTGGATGGAGCAGTATTTGAGCTGGAGAGAAATTTGCAAGTGTCCTTGTGGGAAAGGATACTATTGTAGGCAACATGGAGCATGGGTCCGAGGGGACGAAGCCGAGGACGAATACCAGTCTGAAAGAGACCATTGCGGTTATCCAAACTGTCCAGCACGGCACTATGCCTCGGATCCCGATAATGGCCGCAAGGACAACACTGGGTTCCAAGACAAACTCAGCAGAGCCGACGACGGTGTCCCTCCTGAGGCTCCGGACGAACCTTCGCAACTTCCTAACACGCCCGACAGGAAGCGAGCCCAAGCATCCGGAAAGCATCATCGTTCCTCAAAGCAGGATCATTCAGATCGCAAACGGCAATCAACCACTAGTAGCACCGCTAGTAGCAACATTAAGGCAAAGCCAAAATCCAAAACTAAGGATCGTGTTGATAGAGCGGGTGAGGCCCAGGGGCAGTGGAATCCCTCCATCGAGCAACCCAATTATCCACAAACAGGGTACGAAACATATCATGGCAACGATTACCCGCAAACCACATATCATGACAACGATTACACATATCATGGCAACAATTACACGCAAACCCCGTCGCTCTCTTACTCACAAGAAGACTACCCGTCATATGCACCCGAGCATCACAATTCCGCTTACTATGATCATGATAATGAGGAGGAAAGTCAACCCACTGGCTCCGGCTAGGGCTATGAAGATGAATATTCGACTGGGGATTGAATGAGATATGGAAAGGTCTCAGCCACGGTATCCTAGTATTAGAGCAGCTGGGGGCTCTTCTACGCTCTTTGCCGAAGGGTCGAGACTGTCCCCAATATGTTGACGGCGGGTAGTCCTTTGATGATTCGAGTCGTTCTTTTATGACAAAGATGTCGATTTTTCTCAATTCTGCTGATGGGTGCATATTTTCCATGTAATTAGCTGCGTATTGAATTCATTTTGAGTTACTCATAATAGTTGATATTGCCACAGATCTAGCTACTTGGACCTGCGACTTACCGGATCAAAATGACGAGAGTTTCAATGAGAGCCACTTTGAGGCTACCAACGGGGTATGATTATGCCCTAGACAGTGGTGCTCCACGCCTCCGCCGTAACAATGCCCAGGACTGCTCTTCGAGGTTGGAACATCAGTAAGTAGACTACATGATAGTGAAGCACAAATCGCCGAGCCTTCTCAGCTGGCATCCAATAGTGTTGCCATGTATGTATGTCGGCTACATTGCCCCGCCTCTTCGTTGGTTGTAATTTACCAACGAGTGGGAGTCTAACGAGGCAACCGTTGGGCATCAATTAATCTGGGGGAGCACCACGGGGGGAACAGGGCGAACCATCGAACCAATGTGGTTGGAGCCCACATTATAAAGGACGTGTGTACCGGGTTTTGGGTTGCATCATGTGTGACCTTTGACAAGAAAGCTGCCAACCGTCATGGCTGCCACTCCCAATCACATGCACTGTGACCTGGACGATGCAAACCCGCGATGTCTTCAGTCAGCCTTCGAGGTCAGACGCCAATTGCAACATGCAGACCACATACCAGTGCAGCTGACTGTTTGTAGGATTTCTCCAGTGGTCTCAAAAGACGACAGCAGGGCAGATGGGCGGCCTTTAAGGTCGACGGATTGGACATTGCCGCCCTGGAGGTTCGCCTCAACTCGATCCTCGATAGACGTCCAACCTCGCCATCAGGACTTAAGAAATTCGGCCGGCATATCATTGATCAGCTTGTTCGGTACGCACCCGGGGTTGACCAGCTAATGCAGGGACAAGGGCCCATTGCGTCAGGGGTCTGGGGCTGCATCCGAATGGCCATCAATGTGAGCTAACGCATCAGATTCCTGCGTCTCTACCTGCTGACTGTCCTCTCTCAGGTTGTCGAAGAATACCAAACGATTCCCGAATTAGCGGTCAAGGACATCAGGCGGGTTTTCGAGACTCTGATACGCTTGAAGTCTCATGTAGGTAGTTTCACTGACGAAGAAGAAAAAGCGCTTACATCCGTCTACACACGTATGCTCTGGCTCATGCACGTTGCCGATATCATTCTTGAGGACCGCAGAATACGTGTGTGACAAGCAGGAATTCACCGTGTTCCGGGTGCCACGAATTAACATTTGAACAGGGAGGTTGCAGCGGTCGATCCTTCGTAAAGGGACACTAAAGCTGGAGGCAAGGCGTGAAGATCTGCAAGAGGCTGTCGATGAATTTGACAGGGTGTCAGGTAGGCATTAATTAAGCTGCCGAATGCAGCCGCAATGGAATTGCTGACACGGCTTCTTGTCATATGGCAGGATCAGCACAGATTCGCGGTATGTAATGTCTCAAGACCATCCATATTCTCCCTCATCGAGCCCCATGAAAAAGCCACGATATGTACTTGCACATATCTGCATACCTATACCTGCGTTTGTTTTCGCCGAGGCTGACCTGATTGGCTCCCCCCTACTAGTTGTGTCGGTTGGCGTCCAGCGGCTCGGTGTATGGACGCAGGGTGAGTATAACTACCCCGCCCCCATATTTTCCCTCAGTCCTCGTTGACCGCCCTTGATCGCTGGACAGTCGCTCCAAATGCTGACCCGGTAGCAGAACATGACCGTCGAGCGTCGGAAATGCAACTAGCCCACAGTCGTGGTATGTCCCATCTCAATGGACGCGACGATTGTATTCTGACCATTGCACATCGCATCCGCTTCCAGAGCGAGCCATGGACGATATCATGGACAAGCTCAAGGAAAGGACGGCTCCGCCCTTTCCAGTCCCCGAGCCGACGGAGGGGACTTGTCAGTGGATCTTCAACGAGCCAGCCTATGAACGGTGGGCTAAAGAGGACCATCACTCCCTCCTCTGGGTTTCAGCTCCTCCAGGTTCGTGGATGCTCGACGCGCAGTGCGTAGCCTCGCCGGGTTCTAACTCGCCATGTATCAAGGATTCGGCAAGACTGTCCTAGCGGCTCATATCGCCGCCACCCGCTCACAGGACGCAACCCTGGTCTTGTCATTCCACTTCCGGCCCTCTATCGAAGCCAAGTCGGAATCTCTAGACACGCTTGTTTGGACTTTGCTGGACGAAATCCTACGCAGTGACAAAACAGTTCAAACGCCTGCATTCTTCGACCAAGTTTTTCACCTACGCGGGCTACTGCAACAGTGACATGTGAAGATTCCATACGGGAGGCTTTGGCCTCTCCTGGCCGCAATGCTCGACACCCAGCCCAACTACATGATTCTCATCGATGGACTGGACGAATGCAGGTTTGGCAGTGGCGACGAGACAGAAACGCCGCATACCATCATCGGCAACTTGGAAACACTGGCAAGCACAGAGAAGGGCCGCGCAATTGTCTTTTGCAGACCTTTGCCAATATTCCAGAAGTTCATGGCTCCTGACAGGTCCATTCGCATCACGGAGAGCTTGTTGAGTCGAGATATCGATCTCTACTCAGGTCTCAGTACAATTACCACTGTCTTCAAGAGGAACACTTCAGCAGAGCGTCCAAGGAGATCCACACCAGGGCTGCCGGCTCCTTCCTGTGGGCTCGCATGTACCTCATCCATCTCTCTAAAGCGCCTTCGCAGAGAACCCTTAAAGAACGCCTTGGTTCGTTCCCGGCCACACTCTCACAGGCCTACGACAAGATGATATCCGCCAATCAGGAGCACCTCGACAAGGACCAAGTGGAGCAGCGCGACTCCATCCTGCTCGCCGTGCTCACAGCTCGTTGTCCACTGACAGTGGGCCAGCTCTCCGAGTCACACGACCTCCCTCGACATCAAGGCGCCGATACTGCTGTGAATCTCTGCCTCCCATTACTCGAGGTCCGTGACAATCGCATAATCTTCACACACTCGTCCGCGAGGGAGCATCTCCTTTCTCCTCCGCCATCCAGGAAGTCACTTCGCCTGTCCCTCGACGAGTCAAACCTGTCCCAAGCCCTGAAATGCCTCAACTGGCTTCTGCAAGTGGAATACGGGTCGCCGGAGCGCATCAAGTCGCTGGTGAGATCAAACAACGACCTGGGCGAAGCGGATTCGACCATGGCCGTGGTTCGCCTCAGCGGGGGATGCTTCCTCGACTACGCGGCTCGCTATTGGTTCCTCCACGTTGTCGCGCTGCCGAAGCCACCCCGAGACCTCGTTGAGCTGGTTGGAAACTTCCTCGGCGCCAGGCAGTTCGTCTTCTGGGGCGAATATGTGACCGAGCGTGGCAACAGCAAGGAGTTGATTCTGGTTGCCGAGAGAGAGATTCGGAAGTGGCTGAGGCGGTTACCCGCCGATCTGGGCGATGCCATCAAGCTAGAGGACTATGTCATGAAGCCTTACGAGGAGATGAGCGAGGTCTTCTCCGAGACGGACGGAGACAAGTTGTTCGAGTGGCTTATCCTCATGGCCCTGGGCGATTACTTCTATGAGAAAGGGGACAAGCGAGCCTTTGCGTTGCGCAAGCAAGTGGCTGCTGGACTCGTCGAGTTGCGGGGCAGAGAAGATCGGTTGTCCCTCAGGGCGCAGAGCCAAGAAGCCGCAGTCTACCTCTGGCAGGGGGAGATGCGAGGGGCGCGAGATCGCTTTGTGGAGCTGAGCAAGATACAGCAGAGAGTCCTGGGAGAAGACAAGCCGGATATGTGGGAATCCTTGGCTCATACCGGGCGAGCCGAGTACTATATGAACGACTACGACAATGCCTTTGCGACATACACGCGTGCCGCCGGCGGCCTACGTCGGACGCTGGGTGAGAAGAGCGCCTTTTATCTGGGCACGTTGGTGTATAAGGCCCAAGTATTGGTGATGCAACGCAAAGTTCAAGAGGGCGCTTCACAGCTGCAGTCAGTCTACGACGAGCGCGAAGCCGAGTTTGGTCCCGAAGATGGATTCTCGATTTACGTGCAGGGATTCCTAGGCGAGGCTTACCGGAAAGAGGGGAAGTCAACCCTTGCTTTACAGCACCTGGAGGAAAACTATCAGTATCGCCAGAATCAATCCTCCTCCTCCAACGATTACCTTGTGGTAGACGCTGCTATCAGCTTGTTGATCGCGTACCGCGATTTCGGCATGCATGACAAGGCCAGCAGCCTGGCTCAGGAAGTGGGAAACGATGTGGCAGCTCTCTTTGAACGACGATGCCAACTAGTCCACCTCAACGGACTTTTAGGAGTTGACCGCGGTCATGTCAGAGAGTCTATCAAGATGCTCCGGGAATTTGTTGTTCAGACTCGCCGCGAAGACTACAATCGTGGATTCTTATGGCTACTTCTTGATCTGGCCACCCTCCTTCGACGAGACGAAAGGCATAACGAAGCTAGCTCACTATTCGATAACCTGGTGGTTGTGAAGGAAGCGAGCACGCATGCTTCTGCTGCTGGTGCTGATGAGTTGGATGATGAACCCAGTCCCCCAAAGCTGCTTGAGTTGGCAGAAAGAGCTTTGACGCTGATCAAGAATGCAAAGCCTGTGTTGGCAAATGAACTACTCGAAGGAAACAACCTTGTCTGGGTCAGAGAGAGAGACACGTGGTATTGGGAAGCAGCTTCTCCTGCAGACACTGCCACAATGAAAGGGCCGCGCTGGACGTAATGCATGTTGCGCACTCTATCTTGTCCTTTCATTGCTTCACTCCTTTGATTTTTTCCACATATCGTGCTTTTCATTTGGAATATATGAAACTCCCAATGCAAGTTAACTGCTACCCTGGTGTCTTCTCCGTTACCCAATCCATGTCCACGCCCGGAATTTTAGTCAGTTAGTTAAAACTCCCCATCATTCCCATCAGATTATTCCAATTTGACGTACGAGCCCGAACATCAACCCGGTTGATTATCTGCCCCGCGAGTTCACTCGCTCCTTTCCCGTCTCCATCGGGTCATGTTTTATGGCTTCTCTGCCGACCTTGTCCGGGGTGCCCAGAAACATCCAGTACACGGCGCCCAGGAGCAGCGCCGCGCCGCCGGCGTAGCTGTTGCGTGTCAGCCTCTTGACGGGAACTCTGGTCTCCACTTCCAGTCGCTTGTAGATGCAACTGCGTGAGAGGGAGATGGGGGGAGGAGATGAATATGGTACTAGATGGGAATGGGCGTACAAGTACGTCTTGTTGGGGTTCGTCCCCTTGTTGAATTCGCCGGTCGGTCCATCGTCCCGTATGCCGTCCCGTATGCCGTCCCTTTCCTGCTGCTCGCGATTCTTGGACGTGGTGGCGAGGCGCATGCCGTCGACCGCGGCAAGACGCCGCTGCACGGGGAGGGGCCGGCGGAGTGCGGCTCCAGGCCGAAGAGCTGCTCGGACGGTGGTTAATCTCGGGGTAGGCATCTTTGTGAAGCTTGACAGGCAGTTTTAGATGACCGGGCGAAGATTGCAATTGTAAGGCGGATGAATAGAATAAATATGGTGCTGCAGTTGGCATCAAGTCATTATATTATGGTTGTGGGCATGTGACGTGACGTCTTCGTGACGCTGCCGATCATCCATAATTACTTGAGACTGGCATTGGTGACGTTACCACTTATAGACGCCGAGTTTCTACCGTAACTGCGCCCTTGAGACGGTTTTCGTATTATCAATGTCCAACTCCGCTCTGGCAGATGGCTTGTTAGCGGACTTCTCAGGCGAAGTCGGACTATTTATCTCACGCCTATTTTGAGGTATCCAATCGCACCCTAACACGAAACTATTAATGATTATGTTTTCGCTTGATATCCTTCGATTATTAACCATTCAGATGTAGTTCTCGGATAATCCCCAGGCGACACAGCCAATCGATAGACAGGAGCTCCAGTCAGGATACCTGCCCAGGAAGACAGCAACCGAACCGCTCAGACAACGAACCCTCATAAACACACCCTGCGACGGCTCAATCACACCCCCGAAAGCAATTCAGCAGCAAGACCTGTGAAACGAGCACGTCCCGTCACAGCACGTGCAACCCAGATTCATCCCCCCTCCGCGCAGAGTCATCTCGTTCTCGGGCTCTGGGCGAGGTTGAGCTTCCTTGAGGAGGCCATGTGAGTATTCTTCTTTTCCAGTGTTTGTCTCCACGGGGAGTGTTGGTTGCCCCGCACACACTTACCGGCTGCCGCTTCACAACTGTCCCCGGCGCCGGCGGTGCGGACGCCTCCATTGGCGCCTGCGGCTTGGGAGCTTCAGCGGTCGGCATTTTTATTGTTCTCTTCTAATTATTTCTTTTTCGATGCTTGTGTCGTTGGCCGTTGATGACCACGCAGGTCTTGGCTTATAGGGAAAGTGGCTTGACGAAAGATCGGTTTCTGTTGATGGGAGTTGGAGCTGGAATAACCTTCGGCGCTAGGAACAGGGCCAGATATATCTTTATCGAACCCCTGGCGTGTTGGAAGACCCTGGACGCATCGTGGCTTGGACGGGCTGCAGAATCGCGTCCCTGGGTTGGCTGCATTGATTGTGGCGTCGTGATAGTAGCATCTTGGCGTCTTCAGCTGGCTGCGCCATACCGTAAGAGGGCTAGGCGAGCAATTTGAGGCCTCTCGTCTGACCAGTTTATTGTTGAGATAAAAGAATTGACCAATTGCGAATAAAGAATAAAGGCGCGGGATATTGGGCAGTGTGAAGATGTTACTCTACGTATACCAGCTGGCACGAAAACGACAAATGGCATAAAGTGATTGGATTTGCAACCAGAGAGTTTGACAGAGGTTTACTTCGCTCGCTAGGACCATTTTCGACAGTAGACACCGTGAGATATCCATATTGACACTAGGTAGGTAGGTATCCGTACCTACCTAGCTTTGTCGTGCAAGTAGTGGGAACTGTGCACAGGCCCCCCCTTTTTACCCCCTTTCAACACCGACAACCAGCCCTGGCCTTAATCCAACCAAGTATTACCACCATCCCTCCCACCTGGTCGGCAGACCCAAATTATTCAGCAAACCAATAAAAGGCATGTCAATAAACGTAGACGAAATCCTCGTTCTTCAGGTCCGTCACGTCGGAGAAGCCCTTGTCGGCGACGACGGGGCCGGCCGGCACCGCGCCCTCGTCCATCTCCATCATGGCGGCCTCCTTGCCGGCGCGCACCCTCTCCCCGCTCATCATGGACTCGTCCACGATGACGGCCGACTTGCCCATCCGCTCGCGCTGCTTGGCGTGGACGCGGTTGAGGTACATGAGGTAGAAGATGATGAGCCTGGGGGCTGCGTCAGTGGGGGGTGTTTTTCGGAATGATGAGAGAGAGAGAGAGAGAGAGAGAGAGAGAGAGAGAGAGAGAGTTTTGCGGCTTACGTGGGAATGACGGCGACGACGATGAACATGATCAAGGAGGAGATCAGGCCAGGGCGGTATGTTGGCTTCTGGTTGGTGTTGTAGAGCTGGGGGCCAATAACCTGGAAAGGGAAAATGCCTCGTCAGCTGTTGTCCCGTTGCCCCGCGGCACATCACGAGGAAGATAACTCACGTTGCCCGTGCACATCCCGACGAAGACCACCCCCGAAGTGCACTTCCGCTTCGTGTCGCCGGCGGTGTTCTGTGCTTCCCACGCGTAGACCAACGGAGTGATGGCAGCCAAGCAGGAGACCTGGTTTTTGGGATGAAGAGTCAGCAAAAGAGCGAAGCTCTTCTTCTGTTTCAGGGACCTACTAGATAGTAGCCGAACAGCAGCGCTCCCTGGTTCTTTCGGTCTACGGTCAACATCAAAATTGTGCCGATGATGGGAAGGAGAGAGACTCCGACGATGACCCAGCCCTTGCTCTTGATCTTCCCGGTCAGCCATCCGGTAAAGATGATGACAATGACTTGGATCACCCCAAAAGGAATGTTGAACAGAATTGTCTTGAACTTGTCGTAGCCGAACGACTGGACGATAAGATTACCAAAGGTGCTGATTCCACCACTTGGGATCCTAGTTTGGGGGTGCGCAAAACATTTTGGTTAGCGGATCACACCCATACATCGGGAAGGCCATCAAAACATACGAGATGGAAACAATCAGCAAGAACCAGAGGTAGGTCTTAATATCCAAGAAGGTGTCGCGCACGTGGTCCCATCGCCACTCGCGGGAAATGACGCCCATCTGGTTAGCGCGGAGCCGCTCGACGGCGATGACCTTTTCCCTCTGGCTCAGGAACTTGGCTTCCATGGGGGAGTCGGGCATGGTGAAGAAAACGATGACGGAGTACACGACGGTGAGGAGTCCGCAGAACATGAAGATGATCTGGCGGTGTTAGGGTTAGGGTTATCGCGGGTAGGCGACAGGGGCGAACATACCTGATACTTGAAGAGCTTCTCGCTCTCGATACGACCCAGGCCGTATGTGACGAGACTTCCCACGATAGCGGTCACGCCATTCATTGCATTCCAATAAGAGACCCGGAGGGTCTGTTCGCCGCGCCTCCACCACATTTGGGTGACAGCAAGGAGGGACGGAGCTGGATTCACGACCGACATTAGCACGCGGTTTTCCAGGCGACCCGGCGGGAGATGACTAACCAATCATGGCCTCGAAGGCGCCGAGGCAGAAGCGGAGGCCGAGGAGGCTCTTGAAATCGGTACACGCGGCCATGATAGTGAGGCTCGAGCCCCAGAAGAAGATGGCGCCGGCGATCAGCTTTCCGGTGGGGAGCTTGACGAGCAGGAACGCGGCCAGGGGCTGCATGACTAGCTGGGCGAGGTAGAGGATGGAGCCGAGCCACGAGTACTGGTGGCCGACGAGGTGGGCGTCGTCGACAATGCCGAAGATGGACACGTACGACAGCGACGACTTGTCCAGCTGCTGGAAGAAGTAGGCGAGCAGGATGATGGGCAGGATCCGGAGGTCGACGCGCCGCAGGACCGACTTCTCCTCCTCGTACGTGAACGAAGTGTCCTCGCCAACGGTGGCCAGGAACTCGGCGGCCTTCTCGCCGCCGCGGAACTCAGCATGGGCTGCCGCTGCCGCTGCCGCTTCGGCGGTCGGGGCGTTGGTGATGGCATCGGGATCATGCGCCGCACCCGAGGCAGCAGCTGCTGCCGCCTTGTTGTCGCTCGACATTATCCTGGCTTTCTATTGCCTCTATCTCTAGGGCCGCTGCTGCCGGAGAAGAGGACTTTGGGGGAGGTGTTTTGAAAATCTCCAAGCTGCGCGTGGCACGAGATGGAGTTGCGATAATTAAATTGAACAAGCTTCGAAGCACATCACAAGCCGTGACCTTATACTGCGTAGTATTCAATATCTGTCACAGGCTGGCCAACACCAATCACATCTGCCGGTTAAGCAGGATCACCAACCCCGGCTTTATTGACCTCATCCTCGCTCGCCCCGGATCTGGGGGGATTGGAGGGGCCCCAAACCCACCTTGGACGATAACTGGGGCGATGCATCCCAACCACTGGACTGCTAAGACATGTCAAATCCTCGAAACAACCAAGGAAGCATCCTATGACATGCCCATTGACGGAAAAACTACCATGGCTGCTCACTAGCGCGTTGGTGACAGGGTGTCTGCCGGGTGAGAGCCGATCAATACAGTAAGTCCCTGCTGGCTGGGCAAGCTGGGACAGCGCAACAACGCAAGAGAATAGCCGGGCGGCCGTGATTGGTCTAATTGACCCCGCGGTGCGGGGGCATTTAGCCGGCTTCCCTGTCTGCAGGCAGGGAAGAGGGGACGGGACGGTAATCCGGGGCAATAGCGGCCGAGCTTGTATGACGCCAGTGTCAAAGTTCGAGCTTCAACATCGTGTCATTGCTCGGCAGCTACAATATCAGGGGAGAATATTGCTCTCTCCTGTTCACAGTCCGGGCTATAGAAAAGGCGATTGTGCTCACAAGACAGTCTGCCTGCGTTCGGTCCCCTCGGAGTCACTCCATATCTTTGCCTTCTTCTCCTTCTCTTCCCCCCTCTGTCACGTTCATCCCCTCCTTGCCCATCATGGCACCAAAGAAGTACGCCGTTGTCGGCACCGGCGGACGTGCCGCTTTCTTCTACACAGCCATTATCAAAGACTTCAGTGCCACGTCATCGCTGGTCGCGTTCTGCGATACCAACCAGACGCGCATGAACTATGCCAACTCCAAGATCCAGGCGCTGGGCCACCCGGGCGTGCCGACATACAAGGCCGCCGACTTCGACAAGATGATTGAAGAGACGAACCCGGACGAGGTGATCGTGACGACCATCGACCGGACGCACAACATCTACATCGTGCGGGCCATGGAGCTGGGCCGCAACGTGGTGTCGGAGAAGCCCATGACTATCGACGCGCCGCGGTGCCGGGAGATCCTCAAGGCCGTCGAGCGGACGGGCCAGAAGCTGCGCGTGACCTTCAACTACCGGTACGCGCCGCACAACACAAAGGTGTTCGAGCTGCTCTCGTCGGGCGCCATCGGCCAGGTCAACTCGGTGCACTTTGAGTGGATGCTGGACACGTCGCACGGCGCCGACTACTTCCGGCGCTGGCACCGCGACCGCCGCAACAGCGGCGGCCTGCTGGTGCACAAGTCGACGCACCACTTCGACCTGGTCAACTTCTGGCTGCAGAGCCGGCCCGAGACCGTCTTCGCCATGGGCGACCTGCGCTTCTACGGCCGCGAGAACGCCGAGCGCCGCGGCGAGACGGCCTTCTACAGCCGCGCCCACGGCGGCGGCGAGGCCGCGCGTGCCGACCCCTTCGCCCTCGACATGGCCGCCAACGAGCAGCTCAGGGCCATGTACCTCGACGCCGAGCACGAGGACGGCTACTTCCGCGACCAGAGCGTCTTCGGCGACGGCGTCAGCATCGATGACACCATGGGCGTCATGGTGCGCTACCGCTCGGGCGCCGTGCTGACCTACAGCCTGACGGCCTACTCGCCGTGCGAAGGGTTCCGCGTCTGCTTCAACGGCACCAAGGGCCGCGTCGAGGTCGAGGTGGTCGAGCGGGCCTACATCAACTCGGGCGGCGCCCAGGGCGAGGAGGGCGCCCTCGAGTCCACCTCCATCCTGCTGCGGCCCCTGTTCGGGAAGCCCGTCGAGGTCGAGATCCCCCGGGCCGACGGCGGCCACGGCGGTGGCGATCCGGAGCTCCTCAACGACCTCTTCGGCACCCCCGTTGAGGACAAGTATAACCGCGCCGCATCGCATGTCGATGGTGCACTGTCCATCCTCACTGGCATCGCGGCGAATAAATCCATCAGCACGGGGCAGCCCGTCAAGGTGGATGAGTTGGTGCAGATTCCGTGAAAAGGGTTGGGGGTTAATTGTAGGAAAGTGCCATAGACTCAATATAGAATAGACTGGTTAGGATTCAGGTATGTAATTACGAGAGGCTGAGGCATGTAACATATCGTAATCAGGTGTTATGAGTGAAGTATGCTGGTCAGGGGATTCTATACACTGGCCACGCGAGACCAAAGCGATGCAAAGAAACTACGAATCTGCTGGACGCATTCAAGCAGACGGGGTCTACACAAGGTGATCTGGATGGAGTCTCAAGTTCATTCGAGGCGGAAAGTATTATTAAACAACTTTAGTACTATTTTCATGAATATATACAGAGGTTAGCTAGTCTCAAAACCGACCCCGACCTACTCTTCATTAGAAGCATGGTTTCGTACCCCCGCTTAGTACAGATAGTAGCCAAGGCTGCTTTCAAGTTCCAGGCCCTCAACACCTGCCTCTAGACCATCCAGTCCGGGCGTAAAGAGGTCCTTGGCCGCGCAAACATGCGTCTCCAAACTCTCAACACCAAACAACTCGGGCTCAGGCGAAGCCTCCGGAGTGGGTTGTGGCGCCGGACGCACGTCTCCGGGCCAAGGACTCTTCCGTTTCCTAGTCCTCGCACTCGCACTGGCCCTGATCGCGTTGATGGATTGTTCCGTCTTTCTGACGTCGCAAAGTGCCTCGACGACGGACACGAAGCTGACTCCCGGGAAGGAACTAGACGGTGGGAGGGAGGCCAGGCCGTTGCGATGCAGCGCCTTGGTGAGAGCGCCCAGAAGGAAGGAGTCGCACTCGTAAGGGCACGAGACTTGGCCTTCGCTCAGATTATCCAGGACGCGGCGGAGAATCGCGAGAGCCCTTGCAATAAGTTCCCGTCTCCGGCTGTCGATAATCCCTGTATGGACAGTCAGTCAGGGCACAGTGAAGACCTATAACAAGTAACTCCTTACTGATGATTTTCTCGCGAACAGGAAGACCTAAGTCACTGATCGGCCCCGTGCTGTGCAATATGGCCAGCCGCGTGACCTCCTTAAACAGATCCGAACGGCGGAAGACGTAAGCAACAAACATCCACAGCACGGCGTCCCTCCCGAACGCGCCCGGCAGCGACCCCTCCAGCTTCCCGATCCACCTCTCGGCATACACCTCCACAGCATCGAAGCACTGAAACTCATCCACGAAAACAGCCACTTTCGCGAGCGTCTCCAAGTCCACCGACCGCGGCACCCTCCCGCCCCGACCGTGCAGCACATCCATTACGATCGCCACCGCCCCGGCGTCGAACCCCTCCAGGCGCACGTGGAAGCGGCCGTCCGGCTCGGAAGTCGACCACTCCCCCCACTTGAGCCGGTCCCTGAAGTGGCGCGACGCGAGGCCCAGGTGCTTGGACGAGACCTTGATGCGCAGCTCCGGAGGTGGGGGGTTCGACGCCCCGCTTTCCCGGCCATTGGGCGCGGCGGCGGCTGAGGCGGCTGGGAGGATGAGTAAGACGTCGGCGTCGGGGTCGACTTCGTAGAGTCTGAACATTTTTTCAGGGAAGGCCCGATTGGGGGCTTGAAGGTAGATGTAGATTGGTGATCTGGAAAGGGGGGGTTAATTGTAGAATTAAATAAAAAGAGACGTTCTTGTTTCTGAGAGGGGTATCGACAGATCCGGTTGGTCAAAGCCCGTGGGGGGTGGGCGGCAATTGCGTGAGGGGTGTGCTGCATCACGCAATTGCAGGCTATCACAAAGAGTCAAAGCCCGAGTTGGCTCTTGAAGCGGAATTTGACTAAACTTGCAGGCATGCAATAACCACGCGTTTCAATAACTAGAAGGTAAAATTCGCTTGGCTAACTGACGAGCAATCAACAGGGCCCCGGGACCTAATTATATTGGAATCGTGTAGAAGCCCTCCTCAGCATAGGATCACATTCAACTCAAGACGCACTGATCTTGAGATGACACTCATCTCTTAGGATCTCTTGGGAGACTAGTGTTAGCAAGGAGGCCTTATCCTAGAATCCCATCGAACCCCTGAAATGATCATGCTCCTTCCTACAAATTCAGACTCGAGTTCCACATCGAATTCTATTTGCATACCATGGCCGTCGTTAGATTACAAATTCGGGATCTGACGAGTTATCGAGTTCCCAGGTGTCCATAGTTGCCGTTGCCAAACTTTGGCCCTCCGGGGTCCCCAAGGCTGTTAAGACTTTCTAGGTAGGTTCTCTAAAGCCGCACACGAGCAGCAAGGAGTATCGGCGCCCTTGCTTCATCGCCCCACACAGGTGTTGTTGCTCCGGTCACATCACTCGAGTTTCAAACCGTCCTTGATAGGCCACATGTTTTCAAAACAGAGTCCCAGATCTAGGGTCTCTCTCACCACCCCCACCCCCCCCCCCCCCCGGCCCCAGGCTCATCACATCCACGGCAACCCCTAACCCTCCAGCAACAAATGCCTCAACCCCCGTTCCCTAAGCGTCTCCTGCACCACCACCAGCACCTCAGCATGCTCTGCCTTCAGCGCAGCGACGAACCCAAAGTTCCCCTTTAACTTCCTCCCAGCAGCGAGATCGATCGGCCTCCCATCCACATCAGTAATCAACCCGCCCGCCTCCTCAAACAACAACATCGCCCCGGCATGATCCCACACCTTGGCATGATAATCCCTCGTACCGTAAACCCACACCGTCGCGTCGGCCGCCCCAAGCGCCAGCGCCGCCCACCTCGGCACCCACCCGAGGAGGTCGCACCCGGGGTACTCCCTTCCCAGGCGCGCCGCCACCGCCGCGTGCACGCCGTCATCCACCCCGGACACCAGCCCATCCACGCACGTCACCGCCCGCCTCAGGCGCCTCGCAGATCCGTCGCCACCGCCGAGGCGCCGCGGCACGGCGTCACGGGCCCCGGCCCCAAAGAGCGGGCGCACGTACGCGCCGTAGCCCCGCGCAGCAAACAGCACAGCCCCCCTTCCCTCGGGGTCGACCGACACGTTGCAAACAGCAGAGCCGCCGTCCCCGGCCCCGGTCCGCGCCGACAGGAGCGGACACGCCGCAACCCCGACGACCTGCCTGCCCCCGCTCAGCAGCGCCACGTTGATGGCGTACATCTCGCCCCGCACAAACGCCTTGGTCCCATCGACAGGATCAAACACCCACGTGCGCCCGTTCGGCCCCGGCACGCCCTCGCCGCACCGATCGAGCAGCTCGCAGAGGTGGTCCCTGTCGCGGGGAAGGCCGAACTCGGTCCCCGCCTCGGCGTCCCGCCGCAGCGGCAGCAGCAGCTCCCACACCCTCTCCAGCAGGCGCGGGTGGGATCTCAGCTGGGCGGCCGACTCCTCGCCGACGAGGACGTCGCCGGGAAAGGCCTGGCCGACCGACGCCGCGAGGAGGGCCTGCACGGCCAGGTCGGCCGCCGTCACGGGGCTGAGGTCGTCTTTCTCCACGGCCGCGGTGTCCCTGCCTGCCGAAGAAAGAAGAACCGCTTGGCTGACGGTCGCGGCGCGCTCGACGGCCGCGAGGGCGACTTGGAGCTCCCTGCGGTAGGGGCTGTCCATGGCGAGAAAACGAGTTTGATTGCGAGCGAGGAAGCTAGTTTACAAGCTGTGTGGCTGTGCGGCGACGTTGTGTATATGCAGGATTTGGCCAAGGGGAAAAGAAAGAGAAAAAAAATTGAGAGAATTTTAACAACGACCCGTGTTGCGCCCCATCGTCGGAACAGGAGTTCCACAGCGGGAGCACCCATTTCCTCCCCGCTCGCCAACCTTAAATTTTCGACCAATGAGGCTCCACTACATATGCAGGTACGCACATGGGTACGTAGCTATATAAGTTTAGAGCTCCAGTGAACTTGACGAAGTAGGCATGCTTCTCTTTATATAATGAAGCGGCCTTGTAAGGTACTGTCTTTCTATCGACCAAATATCCTTCCGCTATGGCCACATACTCCGAAGGTCATACCTGTGACAACGAGTTTCCCGCTGGATGGCAAGCTTGGGAGACGGGATAGCTTAGGCATGCCTGCAATTCTCACATCACGGTCCTTCTGAGTATATACAGTAACGGAAGATATTACGCTCTCTGTGGTAGATACATGTACTGAGCGTGATTGAACGACCCACCAAACCAGACCCGAGAAAACCAGCCGACTACTTCGCGCAGCTCTTCTTCGTGCACACAGTATTCTCATGAATATACCGAATCTGCCCCGACTCAACCCTGATAAAGTTATTCGTCTGCGTCCCCGGGTCCCTGGGGATGGCGTTGTCGAGGAACGGGAAGTTGTGGAAGATGTCGACGGCGCCGAGCTCCTCGTCGATGGTGTACCTCCGGTTCGTCACGTTGAACGGCGGCGGGAAGTTCAGCAGGCAGTTGCCGCTGAGGTACGACCCGCCCTCGAGCCGGGCGCACTGCGGGCTGAAGGGCGGCTTGATGGTCTTGTCGCCCCACGCGTCAATGTACGCGTCGCCGGCCGCCTTGATGACCTCGCGGGTGTCGCGCTTGCCCTCGGGGATGGGGTCCCAGGCCTCGCGCTTGTTGTAGTCCAGCGATCCGCTGGCTTTGAAGAGCCAGTCGCCGTCGTCGCAGACCACCGATTCTATCTTTGTGATCTTGTCGTCGGTGAAGGCCAGGCGCGTGCCGATGACGTACGGGTGCCCGGTGGTGGCCACCACTTCCGTGTACGAGGCGCATTGGGTCGTGTCGTAGATGCTGCGGTTGAAGTCGATCTTGATGCCCTGGGACAAGACGCCCTTCGAAATGTCCATGACCACGTCATTCTCCTGATACGGGACGGTGCCTTCCGCCAGAGCCGGAATGGTCGGCGTCCCGGCAGTCAGTGCTGCGAGGTATCCCGCCGTAGCCTCCTGGAGCATTGCTCGGGTGCATTCCGCTGAGGCCTGGGAGGCGAGGCCCGCAAGCGCAACAAGAACTGGGGTAAACATGGCTCTTTTTTGCTCTTTCCTTCTCGGGTTGTTAGGAGCCCATCAAGCCATTCCGGCATCGAGGCCTTCGCTTCCATTTTGTAGGCACGGGGTGGGGCGTTAAAAATGAGGGGCCGTTGACTATCGCCCTGGCTTAACTTAATTTTCCGGCTTAAATTGTTGCGGAGCTGTGACGCCGACCCGCGGAACTTTTAGCCGTCATCTCGTAGAACAAGTACGCATCATGATCTGGACAGGCTAGGCTGGCGGCAATTCCATCCACGAATCACAACGGAATGATGATCAGATATCAATGTGAGAGACAGTGCCGGTACAATAGTAGTGGCCTGTGGCAACTGCCGCCGAGGTGGCAGAATGCCGCCTTGGCAAGTGAGGAGGAGTCTCTAGATCGACGGCAACTACAAGGAGAATCTAGGGATCTTCTCTAGACCCACAATGAGAGCCACGCATGGGCACAAATTCTCATGCTGGATCGGCGGATATCCATTAAGGCTGAAAAAGTAGGGCGAGGCTTTAGGATGACGAGGTTACCAGGAACGGATAAGTTCCGATTAGCAATTCAGTCCCGAGACTTGGGTTCACAAGAAGGTTATGTCTAGTGTCACACAGATCATATAATAAGGCAGTTCTTCTGAGACCCTATAGTACCAAAGACGATTCTTCCAGAACTTTAAGGGCCCTAGAATATATGGCGCGTATGAGGTTCTCCTATAACTTTCAAGTTCCCGTCAGATACCTATAAGAAGCTAAGGGGTTATTTTCGTACGGAGCAAGAATTTTGCAAAATCCAAGACGTAGAGGACGTCATTTTAACATCCGTCGCCTATCTCTTCGGAGAGTTGTTCTTTGGCTGACTGACGAGCGCGTGGGTGGTCAAAATCCCGATTGGCCCCCGCTCCAGTCTTCCTCTGCCTTGATAAACCATCAATCGATACTCAGATATACCCACCCCGTGATGTTACTCTTGAGGCCAGGCCATTTTAAATACTCATGAAACCAGGATCAGAGGTACTGGTAGGACGGCTTCCATTCATATAGAGTTATGGTGGTCCAGGACGCTAGAAGCGCATCACAAGGAGGCAGGTTCTAATACATCTGTGCAAGATGCAAGGGTAAAGAAGTGACAATGCACTGCTTAAGTTAGAAGGTAATCACAGTTACGTTGAGATGCTAGGTTGAAGCGTCAGAGTGCAATGGCAAGCTGAGTTCTGCGGAGAAGCCCTTAGATATTCTGAAGGAAAGTTAGTGCAATCAAGACACTCGCACAACTCATTACTGATAATTAAGATCATAATTCAAGCTTGGTCTTCTTAGAATGGAGTCGAATTCAATTACCCATTTCAATAAATTCTAGTAGGACAAGAAGTAAGCTAGACGATCGTTATGGCGGGCTCCATAGAGAGCGAACTGGCGCGGCTCTGCTACTGTTGCTATGCCTAGACTATCTCAAGAATCTAGAAGATACGACTAGCCTCCATTGCGGGTCTATTCCCAAATGGGAAAATTAGTATGATTCATAGTGAGCCATGGGACTCTTGCGAATTTGGAGGTTGCTATTGGCTAGGAGGCTGTAGATGAATAGACTAATTAGGTGGTGCCGCAAACCCCACAAAGATCAACAAGTGGTTGAAAACTAGTAAGGAATTAATAACCCTCCAGGAACTCGACAATTCCACTTGAAAAGCTGCGCAAGCCGAATCACCACAGCCACGCTCACAGGTGCTCAACTGCCCAAAATGGATGACCTTGATGTTTCCCTGGACATTTTCGGGCAACAGCCGCTTCTCAGGATATACACTCAGCTCTCACTTTTCTTCCCAGTTGCCAATGCGTCCTCTCATGCGTCGATCATCACCACGTTGACCAACGGACTCGAGCGGCTGTCAGCGAGCTTCCCATGGGTAGCAGGGCAGATTGTCAACGAGGGCGCGGGCGAAGGCAACTCGGGCACATTCAAGATCAAGGCCTTTGAGAAAATCCCTCGCCTTGTGGTGAAAGATGCCAGGGATGACCCCTCGATGCCAACAATGGATGCCTTCAGGGACGCCAACTTCCCCTGCGCCATGCTAGACGAGAGCCGGATTGCGCCCCGCCACACCATCCCAGGAGGTCCCGGCGAAACACCGTCGGACCCGGAGCCGGTGCTGCTCATCCAGGTCACTTTCATCACTGGCGGCCTCGTCCTCACCGTGGTGGCACACCATGCTGCCATGGATATGACGGGACAGGGCCAGGTGATGCACCTCCTGTCAAAGGCCTGCCGGAACGAGCCCTTCACCAGCGAGGAGCTCTCGTCCGGCAACCTCGACCGCCGCACCATCATCCCCTTCCTCGACGACTCATACAAACCCGGCCCAGAGCTCTCCAACCAGATCGTAAAGCCCCCTCCCCCCACTGCCGACGCCACCTCGGAACCACGACCCCCACCCCCACCCCCTCCGACCTGCACCTGGTCCTACTTCACCTTCAGCGCCACCTCCCTCGCCGCCCTCAAAGCCACCGCCACCGCAACCCTACCCCCACCCACGCCCTTCATCTCCACCGACGACGCCCTAACCTCCCACCTCTGGCAATCCATCACCCGCGCCCGCCTCCCGCGCCTCCCATCCCCCTCCCCCCCCTCTCTTCTCACCCGCGCCGTCGACGCGCGCCGCCACCTCGGCGTCGCGGGCACGTACCCGGGCCTACTGCAGAACATGACCTACCACGCGCTCCCTCTGTCCGACCTCGCCCTCTCGCCGCCGGGATCGCCGGCGTCCGCCCTGCGCGCCGGCGTCGCCGACTCGGCGGCGCTGGGGTGGCGGACGCGGGCCCTCGCGACGGCGATGGGGCGCGCGCGCGACCGGGCCGGGTTCTCGTTCACGGCGACGGTGGAGCCCGGGCGGGACCTGATGGTCAGCTCTTGGGCTGGGGTGGGCTGCTTCGGGATGGACTTTGGGCTCGGGTTGGGGGGTCCCGAGGCGGTGCGGCGGCCGCGGTTTGTGCCGGTTGAGGGTTTGGTTTATCTGATGCCGCGGGCGCCGGATGGGGAGATTGCGGTTATGGTTTGTTTGAGGGATGAGGATATGGAGAGGTTGAGGGCGGATGGGGAGTTTGGTAGGTATGCGAGGTATGTTGGGTGATGGTGGCATATGAGAAGTAATGATGAAAAGGAGAAAGGGCATGCAAAGGGGAAGATAGGGGAACCACAAGAGCACGGGACTTCACCATTCTTCCTTCATAACCTAGGCTTGTGAGACTTGGCGAACTCGAGCACCCTGTATTTATTTACGACCCCACGTATCTGCCCCCTGTTGGCGTAAGAAATCGAGTTGTTAAAGACAACGGAGTATCGCATTGGTATCATCCTAGTCTAGTCCCCCACGAAAGTTCCCTCTCTGCAACCTCCTTAACTTGCCCGTTCACTGAGCATACTCCATCAACACAACCAAATCCGCCTCGCGATCCGAGCGGATCTCCACCACCCCGTCCTTCCTCGTCTCGGCAAACAGCCTATCGCCCTTAAAGTACACCAGGACGCCGCCCTTGCCATCGCCACGAGCCGTGATGCGGTACAGCGGCCCCTCGGCGTGGACCTTCTTGCGCTCCGGTATGAACTGGAGGTCGTTTGCCTGGCACCAGTCCTCCACCGCGTTCTTGAACACGACCCGCGGTGTCTCCTCGACCGCCGGGGGCGCGGGGCGGGTTTCATGGCGGCGGTGATGATGGTGGTGCCGCCCATGCCCGTGCCCGGCCCTCTCTTTCGACGGCGACTTCGGGACCACTTGCAGTGCGGGCCCCTTCTGCGGGGGCTCGAGCTCGGCCGCCGCGCGGTCGCCGAGATCCAGCGCCCGGTCGATGAGGGCGGTGCCCTTTGCGAACTCGGCGGCCACCGACGGCAGCGACCTGATCTCCTCGGGAAAGACCTCGTCCTTCCACCACATGAACCACTGGCCGATCTCCTCGTAGTTGGCCTCCTCGGTGATGAGCCACTGGTAGAGGACCTCGTGCCACGCCGGGAACACCTCCGTCACGATGACCTCGCCGATCATCGCGGCGGAGATGACGCTGACCCACTCGAAGACGCCGGTCAGGTTCTCCAGGTAGGGTTCCTGGTCCTGTGGGTCGACTCTGAAGTTGGCTCGCAGGTGCCGGGCCATGCTCGCAACAAGGTGGTTCATGACCAGGGGTTTCCATTGATCCTGGCTCTTGCTCGGCCGCAGCACCTCCTTCCACTGCTTCAGGCCCGGGATGACGCCGCGGTTGAACTCCCAGACCTCGACGAGCTTCCTGAACTTCCTCTTGACGTCCGCCACGAGGCCGGTCGAGCTCTTCGGGTCGAGGTGGTGCGGAGGTAGATACTGCAGCCAGGGGAAGATCCAGACATGGGGCAGCGAATGGTGCTTCTTCCGCCTGGGCTCCCACTTCGCGACGGCCTCCTCCAGTTTGCGAACAATGTCCTGCTCGAGCAGCTGGGCGCGCACGAAGCGGGGCATCAGCTTCTCCCACGCCTCGAACACGGCCAGCAGCTGCTCCGAGTCCCGCACGTTCCACTGCCGCACGGCGCTGGCCATCCTGGGAAGCCATAGCTTGTACATCATGGCCTCGAACGGCGTGGCTGTCGACTTGCGCTGCGGCTTCCCGGGTCGTTGATGGCCGAGCAGGCCGCTGATCGAGATCATATCATCCAGGAAGCGGGGCTTGGGTTCTTCCAGCGGATCCCAGGTGGCGAGGAAGTCCTTGAAAGTGGGGTGGATGGCCGCAACGGCAACGGCGGTCAGCTCGTCCTTGATCTTGGGGAGCAAGTCGTCCGAGAGAGAAGCATCCGCCACTTTCAGCTCCCCAATGATCTGACCCAACCTCCGGCTCAGGCCCGTATGCCTGTCAGCCTCCTCAATCTCTGCCGGGTGGGACAGTTTATCGCAGGAGGCGGCAATGGCCTGGTTGCCTTCCAGGCCGGCAACGAACTCTTCCAGCTCCTGCCCCTCCTGCTGCAACTGCAGCTCGAGGTAAGCTTTACGTTCCTGCAAGCTCCGCCACTCTTCGAGGATGGCCATGAAGTCGTTTTGCGCCCGCCGAGCAAGCTTGCGGGACTCCACGGCCTCGACGGATTCTGTCGCCGGGGCTCCATCCGTTGGAGTCATCAGGCCGGAAGAGGAGGTGAGCATCTTCTTCCCCGGCCCGGTCAAGTCGAGGATCGGCGTGAACGCGTCGGGGATATTGAGGCCCGGTGCCGCCTTCTTGATCTCATCCAGAGTGAGATATTTCGGTTTCTGCCGCCTGGGAGTGCTAGCACCGCTGCCAGTGCCGCTGCTGAGGCCGCCAGCCAGGACTCTCTTCTTCCGCGCCGCCTTCTTCTTCTTTTCTTCCTCGTCCGAGTCCACAACAACTTCTCCGCGCAGGCGAGCTTGGCGTTTCTCTTCCTGTCTCTCTAGGTCGGTCTTCTCTCTCACGGCACCCAAGCCGATGCCCTGGGGCCGCAGGTTCGCCTCGATGATGACGTTTCTGCCCTGGCCTTCCTTGCCGAGACCCCGGCCTTGCACGTATCCCATCTTCGCCATCATCCGAGCCCCGAATGACTTTGGATTAAGCTTGGCCTTCCCACCTCGACTGGGAGTAGAAAATGCGCTAGGCAGCGATTCTCGGGGCGCGGGTGACTCGTCTTCTTGGACGTTGAGGACCGGCGCGTGCGCAGACGAGGGCGTGAAGCCTTTCCCGAGAGGCGTGGTGCCGTCAAACGTCGTCTTCATGAACGACTTGCGGGGGGTGGTCGTGCTTGTGCTGGTCACAGGCTGTTGCGCTTGGGGCATCCATCCCATGGTCTGCGCTGCCGAGGCAGCAGCACCGCCGAAGCCCAATCCGACACCGCCCATCGCCTCATCCTCCTCGTCGTCCTCTTCGTCGTCCTCTTCGTCATCTGCCGCACGAGACATCGTAGCATCCATAGTGTTTGTAGCGTCCATAATGCTCTTATCGCCATCCTCGCCATCCTCCTCGTCATCTTCGTCCTCTTCCTCTTCCGCCGCCTTCTTGCCCTGCGACACGAACCTGACGCCCTTGTTCCGTAGCGTCGCCTTCCGCTTCCAGCGTCTGCCGGGGCCGTCGTCCTCGCTATCGGAGCCGAATATGCCGAGAGCAGCGCTCTCCTTTGCGTCGCGGCCGGTGCGGCGGCGCTTCCGGGGGTTGAAGTCGCCGAACTCGTCGTCGCCTCCCGGCCCCCGCGAGGGCATCAGGTACTCGTCATCCTCGCCGGCGTCGGAGTCTGACGAGGAGTAGTCGGCCGCGGTCGACTTTGTGAGCTTCGATGGGTCAAATGATGGATTCCGCGTGCGATCCATCTTTGGCGGGGATGGGGCGGGTGCGTGGTCGTCGTCGATGGCGATAAAGTCATTTAGTCATTTCCTGCTAGGAAGAACAATGTTTCCGTCGGAGAAATATCGGTAAAACAACTTTATCTATCTAGAGGTGTGGGGCACTGGGGATACGGTCACAGTTACGGTTACTAAATTGAATACGTTTTTATTCTAAACGTTGTTGGTAAAGCCTCACCACATTCCGTTTCCAAAACGGTATCCTCTCTTGAAGAGCCAGTGATTATCACTTTGTTGACCTCCAATGTCCATGGACAATATATACCCGACAACTGGTATAGAAAGAGTTGGGAACGAGTCCCCAAGCTATCTCCACGGGCATGACAGTAGATCAGAATGGCAGATTTTGCAAGGCCAGGTCCCTGAAGATCGAACAGTCCTGATGTCATAGAGTAATTCTGCAGAGACAACCATGATATCATTTGAACAGCACCGCGTCAGGGGAATACAGTAGCAGCAGTAAGTAATTCTGGCATCAAAATAAAATTTTCATCTTCATTCTCGTCAATTTTCAATTTTCATTTCAATCCTCCCATTTGAGAAAGAAAAGCCACCACCATATAGGCCCCTCTATCAACCAAAGAGCTAGACCAAACCACCACACAATCACATCCTCCTCCTCCAGCACCGCACCCACCACCACCATGCTCAGATCCCGCGTCGGCCCCGCCATCGCCGCCACTGCTCTCATCGGCGGCGGCATCTACTGGCAGACGCGCGGCGGCAAGCAGCAGCCAGCAGGGCGGGCCCTGAAGGAGCCGCGCGACCAGACCGACATCTCGGGCCGGCTGGAGGCGGCAGCCGGCACGGGCGGCGCCGCGGCCAAGCCCAGTCCCCCGCCGGGGGGTGGCGGCGATGTCGAGCCGCGCACGCAGACCCGCATCTACAGCCACACGCCCGGGACGCCGTCCAAGAAGGATCCCGGGAAGGCGCGCGAGGGCGCCGCCGAGGACTTGGGGCCGGTTAGTCCAATGCAGGCGGGGAAGCATGCCGGCGAGCCGGAAGAGGGGCTGCGGGAGAGGACGAGGCAGCAGTAGTGGCAGGGCATGCCGATCGATGGACTAGAGGGCATTGGGAGTGGTGATATCTGAGCAACAATTATCTTTACATTTTTATTTCCACTCAACCGTTGTCGTAAAATGAGTCCCGGGCATTCACATCTGGCGTCACAGATAATATTTAATTACGTCGTGCTAACCAAACCGCAATGAAAATAGCAGCCAAGCCGCCTAGAACCCACGGTCTCAACATCACCCAGCACGCTACTAACACTGCCCTCAGCTCCCGCTTCTTATACTTTCCATGTTGAACCCGATCGTTAAGCCTCGGAAACGGCACGTCCGGCACCTCCTTCCCGAGGAACTCACACAATGGTTCCCACCCGTCACCAAGCTTATACTCTAGCCTCCGCTCCGGCGGCACGAGCTCTCGTATCCTGTCATAATACCCGAAATACGTCACCCGTGCATTCGCCTTGATCTCGCCCAGGTTCCGCGCCCCAAATGCCCCCATGAGCATCTTCCGCATAGCCAGCGCCGCCCGAAACCCCGCGAGCGCCAGAACCGGGCCCAACACCGCCGTCGCCGGCGAGAACATCCCGTCCGCAACCTCGGACCGGTAGCTCTCCCACCAGGCGTCGTAGTCGCGCTGCACGATGACCACCCGCGCGGACGGGTAGGCTTCGACCAGCTGGTCCGCGAACAGCGACCCGACGTCGGTGACGGCGTCGTACGAGCCGAACACGGCGTCCCACTCGGCCCGCGTGAAGCGGCGCCCCCGGCGGCGACGGCGCGCGCCCGGCACGGTGGGCTAGGTCGCCTCGGCGGCCTCCTCGATTGCGGCCCATTGTGAGGAGCCGCGGCCCGGGAGGTCGCCCATGTCGAGGCCGTGGTGGGCGCGCAGGCCGAGGATGTCATAGGCACGGGCCATGGACATGGTGCCGGTGCGCATCAGGCCTACATTGATCACAGATGGGGGCCCGTGGCGGTTGGAGTCTGTTTCGGACATTGCGACAATTAATGGGGTTATAAAGTGGCTGTGGTGAATTGGCGATGCTGGCAGTTTGTCGGTGCCTGTTTAGGTGATGTTGGGCGATGAGCCCATCCGCTGAAAGTCAACTGCTAGTTCTGGTATACATACCCTGGTTGCAAGGGAAAGGAGATTTGCCGCTACAGGTAAGGTCTCATTTCTTCGAATCCTTCGCCAATCTACCGTCTAAGTTCAGGCATATCTGCAACACCGTTCGTGTCGGAATTTGACAAATGGGCCAGCAAGCGAGGCCGAACCTTACTTGCTGGCGGACAAACTGGGCCTTGGGGCGGGTGCGTACAATCTGCAGATCCTTATTGCAGACCTCAACGGCTTAGTCACCGTTATTCAAGATACTGGTCAGTGTATCTATCGTTTACCACTCCCTAATTGTGGTTACCAACTGCCGCTCGCCTTCTCGGCTCCAATAAATTTTTTTTTTAGCAATAATTATCTTTCCCTGTCACAAAGCGTGAAAGCTGGGACTTGCCCCTCGTTCTATGGCTCCGCGGTTGGCAGAGAGACCTTCATAAGTGAAGGTAAACCCACCGAGTCAGCGTCAATCTTCGAAGTGCGCAACTAATTACCTACACGTGAGTGAGGCTACGCCTGAGCTGAACAAGCAAAAAGTATGAGACTAGTCACCTGGTTTACCCCTTTTCGCTGTTTCTTTCCACATCAACTTCGGATGCGGGATAATATGATGCAGTGTAACCACAAGCTCAAGCAGGCTGCCTTGGCGTGGAAAACTACCAGGTAGTGCGAGTTATCCTATCAGCCACATGCATCGTTGCCGAACTCCCCATGTTCTTCTGTCTTTCCTTTTTCCTAAGCCTTTGACGTCCGTAATTTAAACCTGCTGCCCATTGCACTTCGGGCACTCCGAAATTATGGATTGGAACTGCATTTCTTCAGCAATGGTGTGTACTTCCATCTTTCCAGCTACTCAATGTGGTAATAAACCCGGCGATCCTTCGGCTGCTCGTCTCTTGAATTTCACACACCCCTGTCTCGATGCGCCACCAACAACCAACATGCATATGCATGACGCTCGTGTCGTACACATCCATACATCGGGGCCGATTGTTGGGAGCCAGGGTTGGCGGAGTGAAAACCACACCGGGAAGGTTTACAATGAGTCATAAATGCGTCCGTCTGTGTTCCCAACCGCGCCCGAGCCCTGTGCTTCCAGGATAGATACCTGAGGTTCGAGAGTTGATGCATATTTCTGGATTCATTGGCCACGGGCTGGGCCGGGGCGTTTTAGGCGCTGCAGAGGCCACCAAGTCCAAGGCCCCGGAACCTGGAGGTGCCTCGACATGCAAGCGCCCCCTGCATCTATCACCTGCATGGCGTCAACCTCTGGCCTGTCACTCCCGGCCTCCCCACACTGGCGAGGGTCGGGCCATTGGGGCCTGCCACGACGAGGGGCGATGGAAGGCGATGGAAGCCGAGTGGCCAGGCGAGGGCTGGCTCGCGGTGCTCGAGGCAAGTTGACAAGTCGGATTTTACCAGCCAAACCATATATCGACCAGGCACGCATACCTACCTGTTGGGCCTGTCCCACGGCGCTTTCTTTTTCTTTTCTCTTTTCTGTCTTGTTTTACTCGTCTCTTATTTCCAGCCTCGGTTCTACCAATCGTCGACGGCTACACCCTGACCAGGCGTCCTCCCATTATCTCACCATGTCCCAGCCGCTTCCACATGACGACTTTCCCGAACTCCTGGAAGCGCTGAACAAAGAATACGTACAGGCACGCCGCAAACGCCTGCATGACGAATACGAACGCATCACCCTCCCCTACCGGAAGGCGATCGATGACGCGGCTCGCTCCCTGACCGAGCAGGAGACCTGCATGTTCGCCGCTCTCACTGAGGCCTTCAACCCACAGATGGCAACCCGTATCTGGGGGTTGGAGATCGGCTCGGGGACGCTTCCTCGAGGGTCATCGGTTCACGATCCGGTGACCTTGCCGGTCGACGGCCACCTCGTCGACGGACCGGCGCTGCAGGAAGATACCATCACAGGCCACGGTTCGTGCGACAGTAGCATAGTCGTGGCCTCGAGCACCAGACAGAATAGCCCGGTAAGACACCCGACACGCCCTCTTCTGGCGTAATAAGATGCCGTCTAGCTGACCCGGTACAACAAAATACAAACAGGCTAAACGCCCACCAGAAGCCCAGGCCGGCCCGCGAAAGAAGCAAAGACAGAACACCGACTCGACCCCCCCGCCGCAGCTCGTAATTTACATCCCACATCTCCCTCTGCCCGCCTGCCCCGCCGTACTGACCAAGGCCTTTCGCCCTGCAGACAATCACGCGGACGGTGGATAGCTCGCTCGTCCAAGGCCAGCACTGGGTGTTCCAGTTCCCAAGCGCCGGCCCGGGCTACTTTGTGATCCTCTGTGACGGCGTGGACGGGAACCCGTTCCGGTTCGACTCGGATCCGTGGAGGTGTGACCGGGCGTTCAACCACTTCAGGGCTTGTCCCACCAAGGAGAAGTGCCACGGGGCCGGTGCCGCCGGGGAGTATTCCCCTGAGGCGATCATGGAGAGGTTCGCGTATCGAGGTGAGTCGCCTAGGGGGGGGGGGGGGGGGGGGGGGGGGGGGGGGGGGGGGGGGGGGGGGGGGGGGGGGGGGGGGGGGGGGGGCGGGCGCGGGGGGGGGGCGGGGGGGGCGCGCG